GGCGCGATCGAAACACTTGGAGCTCTCGAACAACATATGAAGGGAGGACACGGAAGGGAGAACAGACAGACGAGCGAACGAGCTAATATTTAATTCGTAAGCTCATTGGATTCCGATTAAACTCACGCCGCCACCGCCACCGAAAAGTCCATTTATATGCGACGGTCGCTTGGCGGAATTTACAACGCGCGGTTCACTTCCGTTATCGCGGGTATTATACCGGGTGGCGTGTGGGTGGCCGAAATTTCGCGCTAGCGAGCGCAACGTATGATCGCGAATAAGCGGCGACCTGGCCGATTAAACCGGCGACAGCGTATTTAACGTTTTCATTGTTGGAGTGTAATCCCTCCGCTCTTCGGCGGACGCGCTATCGCGACCGTATTTCCATAAATCTGAATTTCCTCCGTACCAGAGCGGCGCGGCGCAGTGTGTCGGTTGACCGGGCGATCTGCCACCGCCGCCGCCGCCGCCGCCGCCGCCAATGTCGCGCGCGCAGTCGATTAATTAATAGCCGCTAATTGGCATGTCACGAGCACTCGTAAAATTCGGCCCGAAGACAGCAGTCATCCGGCGCGGTCGGCTTTTAAATTCGCATTCGTATCGCGAATTGCAGCTCCCGAAACGCCGCCGACCGCGAGCGTCCCTCGCGAGACTGCGTTGCCGGTCGCGATTTGATTTACGGGCTAACACGTGAACTTGAATCAGATGAAAGGAGAATCGCGACGCGAGTGCTTACACTCGGATGTCAATCGCGCGGGACTTGATCTATCAAGAGCTATAATTATTTCGCAGTTTTAATTAGAGGCACAGTCAGTTTTTATTTCCTAGAGAGAGAGATTTCAGATTAAAACTGTTAACTGGTTTAAGATTGTGATAATATAAAAATGAAATTGGGAAAAAGAAACATAAAATTGCATACTAATTATAATTAAGTATTAATAAAGTGATTTTGTTCAGCGAGAAGCAGACACAAAAACCGGTTAAAACGAGAGAGAGAGAGAGAGAGAGAGAGAGAGAGAGAGAGAGAGAGAGAGAGAGAGAAACATAATCGCAAGGGTGAAAATTTCGAGAAAATACTCTACATCGTAGAGTACTTTCTTCCGTAATCGAGATTCCGGAAAGCAGCGCGGTCATTACCAATTTGCGTACGTTGGGAACGTTGACAATCGAGTTATATTTCCGCGCCACAGATCACGCGAGCCTCGTAGAAAAGCGGAGTTACGACACTGGTTGTAACAACGATCCCACAAAGCCCACCCCCTCTTCTTTTTGGAATGCGCCTGCTATTTATGCATCACGCTCTAGTTCTCTTATCTACTCTTGAACCTCCGCCGCCCTCTTTAGACGACCGGCGATCGACCGCCGGTCGAGCCAATTAACCAACCCAACCGTCGTTGAACGTTTAACTTTCGTTTGGTTTGCGCTAACATCACGCGCGTCACTTGCACCAGTAGTCTGTTGAGGATGCTGTTGATGTGTGTGCTGCATAATCGTAATTCAACTCACTAGCCTAACAACAGCAACAACAACGACAACAACGAGAATAACGGTGCGTGTTATCGTTAACATGCCAGTCACTTTTGTTTGCTCGCACCTTGAAGAGATATCTCCCCGCGACTCAATTCGCTCAATTCGCGCAAGTATTTCGTAGAATTATAACCTAACAAGTATCTCCTATCAATTTTTTTCTTATAATTGTAAAAGTATGCGAGCAAAATAAGCACATATGATTAATTTTTTCTGTTTTTTCTCCATAACTTAGACGCTAAATCTAATTAACGCAGAAATAGAGAAATAGTTATCGGTATGTATAGTAGATACAAAGCGAGCGAGCACGAAGAGCAAAAGTTCTGCGCTCGGGAGCTATTTCCTCTTTTTTTTTCTTTTCTCTAACGGAGTCGCGCGATGTGAAATGCCCGTTCCTTTAACGAACGTTATTCTCTTCAAGGTGAATATCGCTCAAGGCGAAACGTACGTAAATGAGAAAGCACTTGTTGAATCACTCCATCAGCAGCCGATCCGAACGAGATGACCGTGCGCCAATGAAAAGGTAGGCGGAATCGTCAGTTTTTATTTATCTTCGACCGAAGATAGGAGGCGATTTTTCCCCGTGCCACCTTTATTCTCTTCGATCCATTTTTTCCTCATTTCCTCTCTCTCTCTCTCTCTCTCTCTCTCTCTCTCTCTCTCTCTCTCGTCTATTATTATTTTTTTTCTTTTCTTTATCCGATCTGTCGATAACTCTCAACGCCATTTGTCGTCTCCAGTCGGTACAACGGCTATTCATTAAAGTCAATATCCATCCATCAAAAGTTGCCTACTTTCGCTCCCTCGTGTCATCTATCACCGTTGAAATATAACCTGAGAAATATATATTTTGAAAATATAATCTGTCGCTGTACAGCTTCATAAATCACTCGCCGCATCTCAGCGGAATGACGATCGCGTCGCGGCGATGACGGCGTCGTTGCATTTTGATACTTTCGTTGTGATACCGAGATTCCGAATTCGACCTCTCGACGATGGTCACAAGAGAGGACGCAATTTATTTATAATTTGCAACAGAGAAGAGAGAGAGAGAGAGAGAGAGAGAGAGAGAGAGAGAGAGAGAAATGGGGGAAGTAGTCGACGGGTTTGAATAAGATTTGATTGATCTCTAATCCATCGAAATTATTCTTCCCACGAGCGCTTCTTCCCCGTTTCCTTCGGACGCGCGATTCTTCATAGCTTCGCGGGAGTAACGGACGCCGGATTGTTTTCCGCCTCGTTTCTGATATGGTTCTGATAAATCGGCCGATACCCTACGCGATCTCGTCGAAATTCACCGAGCCAAGCTCGCTTCGGTGAATCCGAAATGCATCATCGGCCGAGACGAAACCCGGCCACCGGTGGCCAAGGAAGGATGCTTGTGCATCGTCAGCTTCCGGAAGCTCGCGCGTTTCTCTCTTGACCGCGTCGTCTTTCCACGTCGATCGCGCGCGCGACCGTTGCCCTCGCAGAGCGGACGGATCGACTCCATGTGTCGTCAGCTCGCCGAGCTTTCATAGAAAGGAAGAGAAAAGATTTTCCCCGCAGCCCGAGCGCGAGCGCGAACCGACCGGAAAACAAACGGGAGATCATCTCGCGGGAGATCGTCTCCGCGTCGACGTTTTTTCTTCATCGAGTTCTCCTCGTTCTCCTGTCCCCCGCCGCCCTGTTGTCGTTTCCTCCATTTTCATCGAGGCTGATACGATGACGTGACCGATACAGCCACGCGCGACTTCCGCTTTTCAGAGCTTCAAGAGGGACTGTCGAGTAGAGCGCGGCTCTTCCGTTTCGGAGCGCGCGAGGATCGTTCTTCTATTTATGCCACTCGCCGAGTGCCGCTTCGAAAAGGGTTTGGGATAGTCCATTGCAAGCGGATTACAGTCGATAAAATTGATCGACGTAAAGGGAGAATGGTAGAGGGTGTGTACTCTCTCGCGGGATGAACTTCGTTTACCGAAGTTGTAGTTGTCGTTTCATTCGCTTCGGGCCACTCACGAGTGTCAACCGCAGGCGGAGCAAGAAGCGGCAAGACTTCTCTCTATTTTCAGTTTTCCGAAGTCTACTGTGCATTCTCTTTTTCTCCCTTTCTCCCCCCTCTCTTTCTCTCTCTCTCTCTCTCTCTCTCTCTCTCTCTTTCTCTGGCCCGTCGCGCGGGCCTCCTCCGGTTTTCCACGCCTGTATTTACTTCTCGGCCGCAATTTCCCAAAGTCAATCTTTGATAGGAAGAGCAAAATTTCCTGCTCGCACCGCCCCGCCCCGCCCCGCCGTTTTCTCACGTTGGACACACGTTTACCCTCTCTGCCCCACATTTCCCTTCATCCTGAACGCGGGCGGATATATTTGTCGGTGGATCGTGCTTGTTTTTGCGTCGTCCGTATGATGGACGCGTCACTGGGAATCTGTCATTTCAGCCGCGATGTGTCAAGTGTGTGGCCGTTTATCCCTTTCTTTCTCATAGCCTCGGCTATAACGTGTCATGTGTACGAAATCTTCGTGACAGATTCTTCGACAAATTTCGACTCGATTTTTCCACAATGAGAAATCGAAGCGGAGAAAATTGAGGCAAAGAGAGCGAGCGATTGCAAACTCCGCGTTTAATTGCTCTTTTGAAAAAATTAAATGAACGAGAATAGCTCAGTTTTAATATTTTATTAATTACGTGTAATTAATTGTAATTATGCTTATGAAGCTTATACAGTAGAGATATTTAAATTTAAAGATGTGAGCACGAACGACGAAATAGATATACCGACCTACTTTCCAAATTTCTCAAAATAGAATTTCACTCGGAAACGGAACGAAAAGGGAAAAATGACGCTGAAGATACGGCTACTCAAAATCGCGCGATGACTCGACGACTCAGACTCGGAGAACTCTCACTTCGCACGAATGAATATTTGCTCGAGGAATTTCAGAGAGCACTCGATTAGGAATTAACAATAAGTAATGAGCAACGACCCTCCGCCGAGGAAAAATCGATGTCGCAATTGTGTCGCGATGGAGTCGGTCGTGAAAATTTCAGCGCTACGAGCACTGCGACAGAAAGAGGGAAAATTCCACTAGAACGGCGCGCAACGATTTCACCGAGACTGCCGCGACTCGTTAGGGAACGAGCGAAAAGCTCGCAGCGGGCCCTAGAAATTCGTCGTCCTGCGAGTTCGCTGGCCGACGGCTAATTGAAACGTTCGACGAGCGCTCGTTACGCGCGCTACAGAGAACGTCGAACGCCGAAATTTATTAACGGGGGGATCGAACTCTCTCTCACGAACGCGAAAACCTCGTCTCGTCGTCGGCTGTCGACCGCTGATGTGCGCCGGCGGCGCGCCGCGCGCGGTTCCTCGAGCAGCAGCAACGACGGCAAGACCGGCGGCCTGATACGCACACCGTGGCCGATAATACGAGCAACGTGGTGTCTACAAGGTAGGCGATGTGTGTAATTATAGCATGTGCACGCGTACGCGTGTGTGTTACAGCCGCGGCACTTCGTGGAGTCGCCATACAGCGAGGTAGAGTCGGAGCAGCGAGAGCGGCCTTCCCGACGGGTGCAGCAGCTTTAGCCCTGGCCAGGAATCCGGGGCCACTGGCGGCAGCAGCTGCAGCCACGGCCCTGCATCCCTTCGCACCGACGTAAGTATCAGCCCGGTGGAGCCCGGGAGTCGATTTTAACGCCCTTGGCACTCGCTAAAGGTACACTCTGTGCTGCGCGACAGTCACAGCGACGTCGACAGTCTACGCTCTGTCCTCCTACGCAGACCTCCAGGCATTACGTCGTATTTTTAGATCATTTTTGCCACGGATAGAGTGCGAGAGAGAGAGAGGAGGGGAGGGGAGAGTGTATTTTAATTCGTGTTGAACTCAATGCGTTTCGGTAGTATTGCATCCCATTGTAGCAGTTTGTAAGGCTTGAATTAAACTAAATCCTATATACTATATATTCGACGGTGCCTTGAATTTTGATTAAATTTCAAACTACCTATTCTGCTATTCAGCAATTTGCAACATAATCACGATTTAATTATCATAATTATCATAAATCGTCGAAAATACATAGCGATAATTGTAGCAGCGCGCAGGTTAATCTCTCTCGCCACTTCCAATCGCGAACATCCAAGAATAATTTCCTCGAATCATGAATATAATGTCCAAACTCTTTACGTCGATTTAGCGCCGCGAGCGATTCATCGACGAGGGAGTATCATTCGCGCAGTACAGAATACCTTTGTCGGCTCCAGCTCCTCTCGGCTAAATCATTTCATCGTGCAATTTGATAGTGTAAATAATTTCACCTAGTAGTAATAATAACTCGCCCGCCTGATGCTTGTTTTGTGTACATTGCGTGCGAATGTGCTCTGTATGAGCGCGCGCTTGTGTGTGTGTGTGTACGCGCGCGCGAGCGCGTGCGTTTTCCTCTTTTTCCTCTTAGGAAAAATTACGCTTGCAGTGAGTGACGGAGAGCGAACGTCTCGGCAATCTGCGCTTTCCCGCAGACGCGACGTTAAACTCTTGGAGAGAAGGGGTTAACGGCGGTGGCGGTTCGCGTCGGACGATGGAAGGCGACGTGTGCGGTATAACGACGATAATTAATTTACACGAGCCGTCGCGGGGGGGGCGGAGGGGGGAGGGTTGATGGCTGAGATGGGGCAAAGGGGAAGAAAACGGGGCATCGTGCGCGTGGGGGAAGGCCACGTGTCCGCAAGCGTCGTTGACGTTTCGAGAGACTTTTTCTTCACGGCGGGACCTTTTTCTCTCTCCTCTTAACGATCGGCGGTTATGTCGTTAGCGCGGGATTTACATGCCCCGTAGTGCTTTTTTCGCGGACGGACGTCCCTCGGCGACGATTAAGTTTCGTTGTTCGACGAGCGCGAATTAAAAAGTATGCGTCCTCGGGGGCCGCCGTTTACGGCCTCGCGTTTGTTCGTCCGTTCATTCGGCTGCAATTAAGCCTGCGGATCACTCACGGGCTCCTCAATCGATCTGCGATTCCTATCCGCTCGCGCTTATTGATTCTCTCGAGCGAGCGTCCCGTTCTCAGCGCGCGCGGTTTAATATTAGATTGAAGGGAAAACCGCAAAGAGAGTCTACGAGAGATCGAGCCGTCTGGATCGGCGCGGCGGTCTTACAGACGAAATTCCCAGCGGAGAAAAGCCGACTCGGGGCTCCCCCCCCCTCTCCACGGCGGAAGCAGCATTGACCGGACGCAGGAAGAGGAGCACTCGAGTTAATCAACGCTCGGCCGTAAACAAGTCTAACGACCCGCGCCGGCTTTCTCGACGCGGGCCATTCAGACTGTAATACAAATGAATGCGGGGAGAATGTCAATCGAGGATCGCATTTCCATTCATATGTCAGCGCTCCGTCGCGTTCGTCGCGCATCCGTCGTCGAAGACCATCGTTCGCACGCAGATACGTCATCCGATACCGCCGACGGATTACTTCGGCCGAGCCGAACGTCGAAATTACTCACTCTACAACGAGTTGCACGCCGATACTCTAAGGCTCCCGCCTGTCAATCTCACTGCACTCTCCACACGACGTCCGACAAACTTGTCTCCCTTCCTCCCTGCGGGCCCTTCGACGTTTCCCTACGCGCGCGCACCAGTCCTCAGTCCGTATCCCGATCTGACTTCGCTCGCGCACAATGCGGATTATAATTTGCGAGAGAGCCCTATGGCGCTCGTCCATTTCTCCGCTACGCGCGTGGCGGAAAAACTTAGGACGAGCAGAAAAACGAGGGACGCTCGATTACACCCCTCCCTTAACCGCGCTCACTCCCTGCCCCGATCCCGCGCGGAGAAGAACAAAACCGGGAAAAAACCGCTCGACTCGGGAAATAACCGACTGCACTTTGACTGATTAGAGATCCGGGCGTGATTGTGTACGACGACGCGCCGCGAATTATCGCGCGACGATAACGCGATTCTCCGCTCTCTTTTCTCCCCCCTCTCGTCCTCTTTCTACCTTCCTTGGCTGTTTCCCTCTTGTCTTATTCGCCAAAAACCGCCGTGTGTGATTCGACGATCCTATCACTTTTTCTCTTTGCCTCTCCCTCTCCCTCTTTCTCCCGCTTTTTTCGCTATCGCGTGAATTTTTAGAAGCACGCGTTCGCGTCAAACCGTCAATCGTTCGTTTTAATATTTCGAAATCGCGGGGAGACGCGGCGCCCGCGGCGGGGAATGAAAAATTTGAATACGAACGAAAATCAATTTTCGAGGCCTGTTACATCGATGCGCGCGCGCGCACGCACAGCCCGCGAAATCAGATTTGTCAGATTCAATATCTGCATACGTTTCGTGTGTGTGTGTGTGTGTCGCGTTATGCATTTTAATTTAACGTTCGTGTCATTTTATTTGTAAAAATAAATTATTAACGCCCGACATAACCGCTCGAAAGAAAGCGCGATGTTTTATCTTCAATTTACGCTCGTACGCGACAATATTATTATTAATATTATTATTGTTATTTGAAACATTAATCGATACACATGATATTTCCACGGCCAATTCTGTCGCGAGTACAATTGAAACGCGACGCGTGAGAATCCTCGAGCCCGCAAAGCCCGTGGCACTCTCGCAAACAGGTTTTTGCAGGTCCGCAAGTCTTTCTTGTAAAACAAGATTATTACTTGGCCAAGTTAAATAGACTTTTAACAACGATCTTCAACGAGCGGAGTAATAAATGGGAGCGCGCGCGCGCGGGCTACTCATAAAACTAATTCCATTGCGAATACTCTTCCGAGCAGATGCAATATAAAGCAATCAACTTTTTACCCCCTGCCTCCCCCTGCGCGACCTCACCTCTCTTCTCCTTATTCAATCTTCCTTTCCCTCCCCCGGTCACCGTTGCCGTCGAACATAATTCATGGTCTTCGCGCGTAAAACAAACTTCGCTCGCGCCTCGCGCGCACTCGTGGCGAGAACGAAGTTTATCGCGTTATCCGGCACAATTGTTGCGCTGCCGAGCGGCGAATTTGCAATTTCATCGGGCCGAGCCGAGCGCGATATTTAATACGCGACGTCCATCGGGCACGCGCGAGCATTGTGTTGCTACATTATTGAGTTGTGAGATTGAAAAGAGTTCGCTGCTCCCCGACGCGAAGAGTAACAGCTTTTGTTCGCGTAAGTCGAGCGTGTCCTATCCCGCGCGGTCAATATTCAAACTCTCGTAAATATCTTTTTTTCTTTTTTATCTCCCGTCGTTGATATTACGGTCGTTGAATATGCGAAATTTTGTTACTTGCGCGAATTTCGCAAGAAGAAACGAAACGTCGAATTTCCGTTTTTTTTTTTTGTTGTTTTTTTTTCCTCCAGCGGACACCAGCCGTGAGGGAACGCGAAATTTTCGGTGACGCCCGCGACGCGCGACGACAGGCAAGCTGCGACGCGACACACATTGCTCGTGCTCATTCGTGACTTTTCTTTTGCAGCGTCTACTATGATCCGTTCCTCGCAGCACATGCAGCTACACAAGATTCCAACTACAGGCTACAGGTAAGATGTCTCTCGATTTTTACACACCCGCGCGGAGATTATTCCGCGCTTCCGGTGCACGACGGCACGGCGACCGCGAGGCATCGTCAAGAATGATATACCTCGACTGATGCGCGGGGAATGAGAATTTGAATTAAATCGGAGAACACGCGCGTGTGTACACGTGTGTGAGTGGCGGAAAACGTGGAGCTAAACGCGGATACGAGACGCTGGTCGACCGAACGACCGAGATGCGATAATCAATCACCGATCACCGCGATCGTCGTCCGATAATTGGCCGTTAATCGGAAAATAAAGCCTCGCGAACGTTGACGTGTTTTCATTATGTTGCGTTGCACGGACAGCCATCGGCCGGAGCTAATTAATCGGACAATCAGACTGTCGCGATTGAGTCGATGTGTGCATGCGCGCGCGCGCGCGGCTTTCGCGCGGCGGAGGGTATTGCGCGATCCGATGAAATCTCGCCGGTGAATGTCTCCGATTTTTCATTCAACTCGCTTTCGTGTTCATAGTCGCAACTTTTTGCTCATAGCAACTGGCGACTGGATACTTAAGTGGATGGATGTAATTTTCTCCTCGCGAGAGCGGAAATCATTTCAGCGACTTTTAGTGGCCGGGAAACGAGTACTAATTTGAATCTCACGAAATTGATTTCCGAAGAGAGCCCGATTTACTTATGAATACGTGCGAATATTTCCTCCACCAGAGAGGGAAAGTCCGTCGGAATGAAATTCAACGATGACGAGACTCCGTACGCGAGGAAAACGCGAGGGAAACTCGAGAATAATAACGAACGTAATCATCGAACCAATGTACAAGTATGCAATTCTTTCTCCGACGGTGGAAACCGTCTCCTGTAACGACGGGAGTAAATGGAAAACGCTCGCTCATGCACCGGAAGCGGAATACGGCGCGGTATATTTGTAAGACGATAAACAAGTGTGAACGCAGAGATCTTTACTAAAGTCCGTAACTCTTGGTGGACCCGTTTAGCTGGAATGGCCTCAAGCAACAGCTGACGTTAGTTGACACATTTTGCCAGGCTTGCATACACACTCACACCCACACACATATACACATACACTCACGTACACGAACCCATACGAAAGAGAGAATGCGGGGAGAAACCGATAACAATTACGCCATTCCCTATCTCGTTCTACATTGTTCCGATCGTTCACCGTTCTCATTGTATCTCATTTCTCGCCTGCCTCCCTTTATTTCTCTCTCTCTCTCTCTCTCTCTTTCTCTCTCTCTCTCTCTCTCTCTCTCTCTCTCTCTCTCTCTCTCTCTTTCATTCTCTTCTCTCTTTCGTTCACTATCGTTTCATTCGCACAAAAATCCCGATGTATCCCGACGTCACGACTGATAGGAAGAGAGAGTGTACACGCGACGGACTCCGCCAACCGTCGAGATGATTATTCCCTGCCTCGATCATGCGTCTCCCCGGCAACAATTCGCGCGTGAATGGACTTTACACTGGTGCCCGTTTCGACGGGACTCCTTTGAAAGCAGTTTCTCGTCGAAAAGCGAACGTCGAATCTCAAATGACCACAGTCGCGCGCCGTGTATATATATACTATACGCTGACTGCGACGCTTCGAATTTTCTCCTCGACTCTGTCGACCAACGCGGTGCGTAATTGACAAAAGAAATAATCTCTCAATCGACGAGGGAGGATCGTCTCTCTTTCTCTCTCTCTCTCTCGCGAGCGAGCGAGCGAGCGAGCGAGCGAGCGAGCGAACGGTGGTTCTGTTGAATCGAATTTGACATTATTCAGACCGAAGCCGTTCAATAGGCGATTCGATATAGAACTTGGCAGACGGAATTAACAAAAGAAAGAAAAGAGAAATAGTAAATTCTCAGAGTTCTCTTCGGATGATTGAGCGATTCGTGTCGTCGCGTGTAATGAAGCATGGTATCAATTTGCAATCTTCTCGAAAGATTCGGTACAGAAGAAATCTCACACACAAGACGGAAATCACGTGCCGCTTCATTAATTCATCTAGGAAAATGAAGATTAGATCCTCATGTCGATCGCATATCGAGGCATCTTGTTGCATCTTGTTCTGTCTAAGTGCATCTCATCTCATCGCGAGCCACATTGCACTCATCCTTGCATCTCCCCTTATCCCCAGCCACTTTCGTCGCACCGTTGCAACACTCTCACTCCCCCTTTTCTTTCTCTCTCTCTCTCTCTCTCTCTTGCTCTCTCCTCCTGTCTCACGACCATTCAAAGAAACGATTCGACCCGACGCGTAATAATCCCGAGGATGAGCGCGAAGTAGCGCCACTGCGGCGCGGATAATGCGCGACGATCGCATCGCGAGAACCGATTTTCGCGTGCTCGCGCATCTGGAAGGCACGAGGAACGGAGTTAGCTCTTGCCTTTAACGAGGACTCAAAGTCCCTTTCCGCGCAACTCGAGATCGAGTTTCCTACCGCCGCGCGATCCTAGTGAAATTTCTTTTCAGGTTTGCCGTTTGTGTTTCAGGCTAAAGCGCCCGCCCTGGAGGTAGGAATTAAGGGTCCGCCCGTTCTTCTCGTCTCTCCGTCTGTTTCATCCATATATATATTACATATTTATATATATATATATATATTTCTCTCTCTTTTCTTGTTATCGTTCATTTTGTCTCTGTCTCGTTATCTCCCCTTCTTTCGCTCTTTTTCACTCTTTCTCTTCTCTGTCTTTTTTTCCACGTTTTCGTTTGTTCGCAATATTGAAGTACCTCACCAATCTCTCGGAGAGACTGTTTAGTTAAATGTGTTCGCAATCCTCCCTCGCTAACAATCCGTTCCAACCAGCTCCGTGAAAGTCTCAAGTCTGCAGCTTTGCCTTGGAGAAGAGTCGTTTTCGCGGGAAGCTGTAGAGGAGAATTTCAAGCGGTCGCGAAGGAGCCGCCAACTTCCCTCCCTTCGACCGTATTTGCGTATTTTCTTTCCTTCCTCCCTTGTTCTCGATGGGTATTAGCGTGAGACAGCATGCGTTGTCGTTTATTTCCTCCTATCAAACTTAGAGCATGCGTCGCACCGATCTAGAAAATCCGTCGTAGGAGGCTGCGTATAAGAGAAAGATAGAGAGAGAGAGAGAGAGAGAGAGAGAGAGAGAGAGAGAGAGAGAGAAAGAGAATGTAGCGAACGTTGTGATAAGTGCACGCAAATTGAATGTCGTATGAAGAGAATGCCTCTCTTCAACTTGTTTTGAGGGAGCTTTGTATTACGCGAGTACAGTAGGCAAGTTCCGTGTGTAATTAGCGAGCTGACACAAGGTAGACTAGTAGTCGTACGATGATTTTGATGTGGTAACGTAGTCAGATTAGGCCCGCCGCCACGGTGAAGATAATTCGTAGCGAATTAATTACGAATATTGGCAGACCGTAACGCTTGGCCGCACATTACTTCTGAATGAGCGGAAATTCACGTTTTGAGGATTACTACACGCGATTGTTCGGATGTGTTAAGAGGACCAATGTCCATTTGGACCGATTTTCGGTTACAAGAATTTTTTTTTTTTTTTTTTTTTTTTTTTCCCGAAATATTTTACAATTTTATACATTATCTATCTAAGTACCGTGCTTTTTTACTGTCAGTGATCACGTGTACTTGTGAAAGATGTTTGTTTGCTTACGGTTATTTTCCCTAATTGTATTATTTTTGTCAAAAGAGATTTTGCCGTTAATAAATAAACGAATAGGAAGAAAGATGTTACAATAAGTACATCGATTCACTCGGAGCGACTAGCTGACGAATGAAAGTGACGGTTGAACTCAGCAAATTTTTATATCTCGAGATACCTGTTTCAGGTACCTGAGTAATCCAAAGTACTTGTACAATCGAAAATTCGACTAAATTTCTCCATCTATCGTGACATAGTTACGTACGTTGGTGCGCTAATTTTCCACGTCGCTTTAAATATTGCGGTATCGCAGAGAGAATTGACGAAGAATAAACTTTAACGACTTCGCGCTCGAGAATCTGTTTCATTCAGTTGCAAGAGAGAGAGAGACATGATATAGTAGCTAATCTTTAACAGACAATCCGTTGTTTCACGTCAAACGGAGAAGATGTATCCATGTCGAAAATATAAGTCTCTAAATCAGACTGACGACACATTCGCGATCGTAAATATGGAGCGGTGGATACGAAGATAAAAAGCTTTTCACGATCGTGAATCAGCAAGCAATGACCATTTGTCGGATGAAAGTAACTGCTTTACGAGAATGCCGCTGGCACTCGTTCTCGGGAGTCTTACGACATTAAAACGTTATTACGCAAATGCTTTATTGTGACTATCGGGACGTCAAAGTACATCGCTCCGAGAATTTTCATGACTGTCGACGTGAAAATTTATTACGAATGCCGTGAATACGCGTCGCCTCGAAGAATTCTCACGATCCACTTTCGGGGAACGAGGAAATAACGAGAAAGTGGACAACGATTCGATATTACATATATATTACCTTTTATGTAAGAATTGCATATATTGCATATATATATTATATATATATATATATATATATAACATCGAATCACTGCCCATTTTTATTTAGCACGCAAATCGACGAAGTTTTGGTATCGAAAGGAAAATCCGGAGAAGGATACTATAAACAAACCGCGGTTCGTCTATCAACCTTTTATCGTGACTGTAAAGCCGCTTATCGCGCGGACGCGAGTGTTTAATAAATCATCTCTTTATCTCTCTCTCTCTCTCTCTCTCTCTCTCCCTCTGGACGGCGCGAAAAACGCGCTCGACGGCTCGAGAATCCGATACGTAAATAATATTCAGGGGAGATTAACGAGACGTTAACTGGCGGCGTATACTCGTGTGGAAGAGGAAGAACGGGAAAACTCGTTATCGGGAAGCGTGAGTAGTGTCTTTAAACGCGGAAGCGCAGAGAGCCGGGTCATAAATTGTGTGTAGGCGCGCGTGCCGGGAATCGCGAGGAATTTTTGCGGCTAATTTGGACGGGGGCTCAATCTGCGGATTCGACGGCCAGTCGGCGAAACCGTCGCGCAATTGCCGCTACCGTCGCCATTACCGTCATCTCGTTGCCCGTCCGAAAGACGGAGGAAACTTCCTCCTCATTCGTACCGAGAATTTACGAACCGCCGTCTGTGAACAGAGCGGTAAGTCGGCAGTCGGCCGAGCTCCCCGACTTTGTGAGAAACGCCATAAATCAACGTCATTGCGACGCGCTCGTCATTTAAACGGCTGACGGGTTCATCCCGGGCTGCGTCTTCGCGACAACGTCACACCGAGCAATGAGGTTGTTAAGCGCGTGTCGTGGCTCAGCACGATGTAGCACACGGTACGGAAATATATATATGCTCCGGTAAAAATACATTCGCAGTCTCGCATTTTTGCTCGCGCGAGTCCCGCCTACATTAGGAAAAAAAAAAGAACACTCCCCGCGTTCGTTACGCGGACACAGAATACACTCCCGACTACAATGTAATCAAACGTGAACAAACGGGGATGATGAGTACTTTAAGAAGCGTGTACGGAACTTTGGTAATTGCGGCAAGTTCGCGGTAGGGTTAAGATACTCGACTTGTTTAACTTCGGTCCGATAATTAGTTCGGTTGCAACGGCTTAGAAGAGAGTGAGCCGCGCTTCCTTTTCCGGTAGAAAGAAGAGAGGGAGGAAGAGGAGAAGGTAAGGAGGGGGTGGTATTGAATACCGTATTCGCGAAATATTTCCAAGTCTTTTCGTCGGCTTAATTGAGGGACCCGCCGAGTGGCGACTAAGTTTTTTAATCAGCAGCCGATGTATACACGGCTCGTGCGCTTGTGTACCGTAATTGGGGGAGGAATGATGCTGCCTTTTCGTTATTTACCAGAGTGCTTGACGTTTTCAAAGAGAACGACGCGGCAGAAATTGTCCTTATCCTTCGCTTATCCCCGCATCTCGATAGTAATAACGGTATAGAAAGCAGCCGCGAGAAAGCAGAGAGAGAGAGAGAGAGAGAAACGCAAAGCAAGAACCCACCGGCCGATTACTCCTAATTACCGCACCCTCCGATTATTCAAAGTGAGAAAACTGAGAATACAAAAAATGTAACGCGCGAGATACCTTCCGCTGCAGGAACATTAGGAAAAGTAGCCGGGTTTTTTTTTTATCAGTGAAAAATGGAAAATTTCAAGAGATATACAAAAAATGCTTTATTCAAAGTATCGTCCCTCGCTAGCTAGCTACACATTTTTACCATCTCTCTGGCAATACATGAATACCGCGACGATAGAACGACTTTGGACCGAAACCATTCATCCAACCAATTTTGCACTTCTTCGAAATTGGCCAAGTGTTGCCTAGCCAAGCCATGCGCCATCGACCGGAACAAGTGATAATCGGAAGGGGCCAGGTCTGGCGAATACGACGGGTGCGATAGCAGATCCCATTTCAGCGTTTTTGATGGTGTCCTGGACAATAGAAGTGCGATGGCACGGAGCGTTGTCGCGCTGCAATATCACTCGTTCGTGTCTCGTGTCTCATTCTGGCCGTTTTTCGAGCAATGCATGGTTCAAATTGATCAGTTGTTCTCGGTAGCGATGCCCATTGACAATTTCGCCCGGCTTCTTTTCAGCAGCTCATAGTACACGATTCTTTTCTGGATCCACCAAACGCAGAGCATTGTCTTCTTTCCGAAGCGATTTGGCCGTACCGTCGATGTTGATGCTTCGCCAGGTGAAAGCCACGATTTTTTGCATTTAGGATTCTCGAAATATATCCACTTCTCATCGCCAGTAACAATTCGATGCAGGAAACTCTTTCTTTCATGCCGCAAAAGCAAAATTTCGGAAGTGGCTCTTCGATTTTCCATCTGTCTCTCAGTCAACTCATGTGGCACCCATTTTCCTTCCTTTTGAACTTTTCCCATGGCATGTAAACGTTTGGAGATACCTTGGCGAGTCATGTTTAATGCCTCCGCAAGTTGATCTTGTGTTTGCGTATCATCTTCATCCAATAACGCTTGCAGATCGGCGTCCTCCGGCTTGTTTTTGGTCTTTCGGAGCGCTTCTTGTCGTCAGTGTCGAAATCGCCACTTCTGAAACGTTTAAACCAATCTTCACAGGTAGCTTTCGATGTTCGTCGTAGACCTCCTCAAGCAAATGACGTGCTTCAGCTGCACTTTTTTTTTAAGTTAAGACAGAAAAGCAAAGCTTCCCGCAAATGCTGTTTATTTGGCACACAAAACTCGACATCTTCGTTGTTAGAAGAAATATTTTTGCGTTGCGATATGTGTTGGTATTACGACTGATTATTGTTAACAGATGTCCAAGCTATAAAACAAACACAACTTCAGACATGTATGTCGACTACATGTGTCGTTAGCACCATCCATGTGTGAAACCCGAAAACTTGGTTGCGCACCTAGCAACTGCGGTGAGACAACGCGAGACACGCTGAGACTGGAGCACCGTCCCGCGTATCTTATCTACATCTACATTTTCTGATATCGCAAACATTTTTCTCACATTTCTCACAACCGCGCTACGGTTGTAAGTGGAGCTCAGTAGTAAAGGTGCAATAACGAGAGGAAGGAGTAGCGCTCACTTTCCCGTTGTTCTTCGTCACTGTCAGGGTTAAGCGGCTCAGGTAAATCGTTAGGCGTTTCACCTGAGCCACAGTGTAAACAAGCCCGCCTCTCGAGTCTGCGGTTTCGCGGTGCGCGCGGCCGTTTAACAAGGTCGGTTTACGCGGGCGGAAAGAAAAGCCGAGAGTAGATGCGCCGGCGGTGCTGGTGCTGGTGCGCGAACGGGACGGCGAAGAGAGAAAAAGTGCGGCGGGGTCGACCTTAGCAGGATGCTGAATCAGACGTAACTGCGGTTTGCCCAATCGCGAGATAAAAAGCTAATCACTGGTCTCGGGCGCGACGACGAGAACGAGTTTTTGCCTCGATCTCGACACTTCCGGCTGGCCGCCCCCGGAAATTGGATTCGCGAGCAGAAATCGCGAGGAATTACCACCTCTCTCTCTCTCTCTCTCTCTCTCTCTCTCTCTCTCTCTCTCTCTCTCTCTCTCTCTCTCTCTCTCTCTCTCTCTCTCTCTCTCCCCCCCCCCCCCCGCCCTCTTTCGTCCGCTCTGTCGTTGTTTTCGACAATATCTCGCCGAGAGCGAGTGGACGATCCACGTTATTTCGCGCGATGAGATTACGCAATTCGTCGCCGTCGGCGTCCCGGCATTCAGCTAGCTCGTGTTTCCCGCATTTCGCCTGTTTTCGAAAACTTTGGCCAAGAAGATCCGCAGCAACCTGGCGCCCGGCCGCGAATCGCAATACGTCGTCCTGTTTTCCTCAAGCCGGCGACAAAACAGTTCGCTCGCTCGCTCGCTCGTTCGCCTGTCAGCCAGCCAGCCAGCCAGCCAGCCAGCCAGCCAGCCTGCCTGCCTGCCTGCCTAACCGTCGGCACTTCTCCGCGTCTTTTTTCGCGGCTGAAACATCGAATAACAACCCGTTCCCTGACCACGCCGACCGAAAGTTCCTGGCGCCGATGGAATCGTGTTTTCGTCTCGCGCGCGCGCGCACGCTCGATATGCGCTCGAGCCGGTCAGCCAATTCGCGCGCGCTCTCCCTTTTTCTCTCTTTCTATCTCTCGTTCGCGGATCGCGCAACCCCGCGTTATTTGCGGCGACGTCAAAAATTATTGGACGCGCGTTCGTGCGCCCGGATATAATGCACGGCTGTCGCTCGTCCAGAGTTACGAGCGGAAGAGTTTCCTGTCCAAAAATTCACCGCGCTTCCCTGTCGCGTCGTCGATTCGTCGTTGACGCGCACACGAGCCGCGCTTCTCGTTCCTGTTCCCATTCTCTGTCTCTCTTATCCTCTGTCCATCTCTGCGTTAAATTTCCCGACCGTTTTCAATTTAATTTCTTTACCGAAAACTTTACTGGGCCGACATCGTGCGTTTCTCGAATTCGCGCTTCTGCTAGATTTTTCGTCAAATGCAAAATTTGGCGCTCTCTCTCTCTCTCTCTCTCTCTCTCTCTCTCTCTCTCTCTCTCTCTCTCTCTCTCTCTCTCGTTAACGTTTCTTCCGTCGAGTGGAAACTTGGAGCGTTAGAATGATAATTTTAAATTTAATTGCAAAAACCCGGCGTCGGAAAGTTTGTCTCGGCGCTCTCTCTCTCTCTCTCTCTTTCTCTTTCTCTTTCTCTCTCTCCTTCCCTCCCCCGGTTCGGAAACAAGAATTCGTCCTGTATTATTCATATGAAAATTCTCAAGAGATTACTTGGAGAGATTGAAGCACTTTACTTGGTTTCATCTTCATCGGCCACACCTGTGACGAGAAAAGATTGAGAAGAATGATCGATAACCGGCAACCTCCCGTTGTCCTAATTCTTTCCCTTCCCGCTCGCCCCTCTCGAATATTTGTAGTTACACTCTTTCTCCGTTTTCCCGATTTTCCTATCAATCTGCACCGTGGCTATTTTCATCAACGTTTTTCTTCATATTGCATGACGCTCTCACATACTGTGTATCATTTATTCACTCCACTGCGTCTCGAAATGTTCAACGCTGTGCGCGAACAGCAAAGATCGAGATTTTCTTCTCCGCCTGTCGTTTGACGCGATTCTATAAGAAAGGGCTTTGAAAAAAATTGTGATACAAGATGGAGCATTCCTGTTTTTCACCTTCTAGACATACACTACAGCTAACAGATGGAATGTTTAAGTTGTCGCAAAATATATATCGGTGATATATATTTATAGTCACGTAATGTCACAAAAGCATCAGCAAATCAAATATATCGTGCATTTCTCTCTCTCCCTCTCTTGATCACGAATCGTGTCCCTTGTAAATAAAACATCCCTCTCGAGGCTGATTGTACAAACTACCAAGCGCCAAGTGTCACGTTTAGTTATATGCTCAACATGTTTGAACGTCCACACACTGGCATTTTGAAAACAGCGAGGGGGAAACGCGCGATGTAAAAGTTGTTTCGTTCGTGTATGCATCGACATGTTTTTTTCCTCTCCTTCCTCTCTTTTGTATATTCAAACCCCCGAAATAGATATATATATATATATATATCGCTCGCCGTTTGCGACCCGCTGTTTTATCGATGTCGTTGTGGATGATGCTGACGCGTTTGAAATAGTAATCGCACACAGAAAACACCGACGAATTGCAGATAGCGAGAGCGCAAGAGATCGATCCGCTCGGATTTGAAAGTCAAATATCGCGAGGAGCGCGCGACCGACAATTTTCTTGCATCCCGAAGACATCGCGGGGTGGTGATCCAATAAGATGATTGCATTAACGAGCGCAACGTTGAACAACGGTAACGAGGTGTCTCGGTAACCCATAGCGACATTTACACACGATAACGAACGAAGTGACACGATTTCGCGAATGTCGAGATATGAAGACCGTCGGGAAAACAAGGAAACGCTTCTTGTCGATTGCCGAATATTTGGAAGCTCTCGCTGTTTCGCGGAAACAATCATTAGAGTCGTAGAGAATCGCTCCCGAATGATAGCTTGCGCGCAACGAAACGGAAACCTTAAGAGCATCTTCTTCCAGAGAACACGGTATCTTTGCGCTTATGTGCTTTCCAAGCTCCGGTCGCAGTCTGTATGTATTTGAAACTGCCAACCGGCTCGGCTTGGTTTTCCGTGTGCGAGTACACGAGAGAGAGAGAGAGAGAGAGAGAGAGAGAGAGAGAGAGAGAGAGAGAGAGAGAGAGAGAGAGAGAAAGAGAAAGAGAGAGCCTCTATAGGAACGAGCGTGTTAGTGTATCGTTTCTCTCGCTGAGACCCTCTCTGTCTGTCTTCGAGCTTGCTTGAGCCTTGCATGGCGGGTCATGATTGTTGTTTCAGGCCGCGGCAGCAGCAGCCGCAGCGTCACCATTGCTGAAGACACCCCTGTCGACAGCACAGCAGGCCACCTACGCAGCTGCAGCAACCTACACGGCGGTGGCTGCGCGCGCATACGGCGCAGCTGCAGCTGCGGCACAACCGGTCGCAGGATATGCCGCAGTAGCGGGGTAAGTGCACCGTTTTCGCCCCCGAGAACCCCGCTGTGTACTCACCTCACACCGAGTCCTCCAGGACTTCCTCTCCCACTCTCATCCGCTCGATATATAGGAAATCCCAGACTCCGACCTTTCGCCCCGCGGATCGCCCGACTCGATTTTCCGTCTTAACGCGCAAAAATTCCCCGCGCTTACGTCTCTCCCTCTTCCGTTCTTTTTTCTTTTCAATCATTAAACATCCATCCGGCCGCAATACGCGGCGGACGATTGAAAGCTTCGCTATACCGCGGTTCGCTGTACACATTCAATCCATGCAAAATAAATATGAAAAGTTTCGCTAATTTTTGCATCAAATATATAAATGCTGAACCGTTATTAGATGGGAACGTTTTGTTTTTGATACTCGTAGTAGTTCTTTTTTGCATATTTATACGACTAGATAAATTTCTGATTTCTGATTTTGAAATAGACAGCTAACGTGTTAAAATTTGGTTGTCGAAAGTTCTTCCGATTTTGCGTTATTTAAACGATTTAGGAAACATCGTTTATTCAACGTTAAGAGAGACAAGAATATTGGTTGATTGACGGGTTCGCGACGAAAGGTGTTTCGCGATGCAGACACGGGACGCTTCCGTAGACATTCACCCTTCGAAGAAACGACGATCGCCGCGAGGAGAAGAGAAGAATTTCTAGATTCTCCTCCTTTTTATTATCCTCGGGAGAGGGAACTTTGCAAATTTTCTCCGCGAGCGTTCTCGTCCTTCTCTCGTAATACTTCGCGATTTCTTTTGAAGCGTTGCTTAGCTTACTTCGCATGAATTATTTACAACTCGTTATACAGCTCTTGTTGCATCGCCGACGATACATTCAAGACACTACGCGACGTTTGTTACATTACCGTGTAATATCTCTTCGACGTAGCTGAAACCACTTTTGCTCTTAAATCGGTAGATTATCGCGACGATCGCGTCACACGTTTACTACACATTTCTCAAATATATGAAAATTGCAAATTTTCAGTCTCTGTCTAAAATATATATATATATATATATATATATATGCGACGATAACGAGCGATTATTGGACTAGAGCGAGTTAACGAATTGTGTCGCGAGCGTTAACAATCGCGTCCCGAATGTATTTGGAAATTCTTCAATGATGATGCGCTTCTAGAACTCATTCTCTCTCCCGACATTGCGTTCAAGTAATGACCATCCGACGCGTATTATCTTCATTATCGATATGAAGGGCCACGGTTTCCCGAGCGTCATAGCTGTGGTCGGCATGCAGGCTCACGTATACCGATGCGGATACATACGTGTACGTGTACGTACACGTGTATAGATCGGGGACCTCCTACGGTCGTTTTGAAGTCATCGGCTCGACCCCATTACGGAGAGTGAGGTCGAAGTGTATATCACGTATCGAGCATCGCAGTGAATCGCGCGCGCGCACTTCATCCCCGCTGTCCCTCCGGCTATATAAATATAGCCGCGCGCGTTTGATCGTCGTTTCTCTTCATGTCTGTTCAAATTTTACCCGCCCCTAAATACCAATACCCCGAAACGGGGGAGGTGACACATCACTCACTGCACAGCTTAACACCGCCGAGTCCGTTCCTTGCAGAAAGCCCCGGCGACGAGGACGTGCTCTTAGGAGTCGCAAACACATTCCCGAAGTCCAGACCAGTCCTACTAGTTCCACTGAAAATCCAGACATATCTCCTGAGAAACCCTAGCACGCCTTTACACCTCGGTATTTCACGCACATTATCATCGATCCGTATCAGATTTTCTAATCTAGATTTTTTATTTATATTTCGTAATCTATATACTCTGTTTGGCCTGGCCTGGCCTTCTATCTTGGTGTCGTATGATACCCTGAGTGGATTTGTTTCCAACGTTTCGCAAACACTCTAGTTCATTTTTTCAGGTAGAGGAATGACCTGCAAGTTTCAGGTTGCTCCTCTCTCTGAAGAGAGATGGACAGAGAAGTGTTCACGAGAGGTGTCGCCATAAATTTATGAAGAACGTGGCACCAATCAGAAGCCAGGTCAAACATGTTTCCATACCGCGGAAAATCTAGAATATCAAATCTATGCATGTTAAGCTATATAATAGACATCATTATAAATGAGATCACTTTTCAAAGAGATCAGTATATATATATATATAATATATATGTATACAATTTCTTCAATATAGTTCAATGTAACTATAATGAATCGATTGATTCGATCGGCTGTTTTACTCACTAATTAACGTGCACGATTAATTAGCTCTCTCATTAATTAATCAACGTCCTTGTTTCGCACGTTTGTTCTTTCGTCGTATCGATTAAAAAAGGTCGACGAATGGATTGATGCATACGAGATCGCTCGATTCCGGGCGGAAATTTCTCGCATGAAAAACTTTCCGCGTCGAACTCCCTCTCGTTCGACACGGAATTAGAATAAAACTTGTTGCAGTAAAATCTTTTTATGTGCTTCCAGTTATGGCCGCGAGTACGCCGATCCTTACCTCGGCCACGGCATTGGACCCGTTACGGGTTACGGGGTAAGAAACAACTTCGATCACAAGGCTTACTTTTTACAGTTTCATTTAACGGGAGTGCGCGTTAAATCGCGCGCGTACATCACCGACGGCCCGGGTCCGTACGTCGGTACCCCGCGGTATGAGAATGGAGCACTCCGTTATTACGCCATAAATAATGGGGAGTTGGAAAAGCCCCGCGGCCGCGTTTCACTCACATATGAATTATTAATGCTCCGGCATTTTCAACTTATGGAAACTGTGTCGCAGCGAAAGTTAATGGGCACGTACTCCCATCGCGCGTTTATCCTTAAATGTGACTATCTGCCTCGCCATCTCGCGTTTACGACGAAGCCGTAACGGGCTTCATATTGTGTAAATGACGACGCGACTCGCGATATGGCGGTCGGTACGCGCGCCCCCTTCCGGATGGGGGGAACGCTTAATCGCCCGCGAGAGAGAAGGCGGAGAAATGATTCCTTAATTAAATCACATAAATTATCAATTTTTAATCGTAGCATCGCGCGACCGTCGACAAACTCAATCGCCAAAACTATGTTCTCGTTATTCAGTACTACTTCGGTACTCTTAACACATTTTCTTCGTACAGTAACTTTTTCGAGACTCTCGGAAACAATTCCGAAACGAATAGTTGAGATAAAATCTATTTGAAATCGATCGAAAAGAATAAACTTATTATCCGCTCGCGGAAAGCTCCATTTTCTTGATCGCTTGTACTTGCTCGAAGACTATCGGTACCCCGATATTTTTGTTCAGACGAGGATGACAAAAAATCTTCTTTTTTTTTCTCTGAATCAGTGTACACTTCCAGAGAACTTAAAAAAAAAATATATATATATACATACAGCTGAGACTTGATGATAAGAGAAGGAAAAGGAAATGCGTAACTAATGCAGGAAGTGCTGACAAAACGAACAGACCAAAATTTTGATAAAAAAAGAGAATGCTATGTAAAAAAATGAGCATAAATTACGGTTTACAATTCGCTGAGATGCAAAACAGAGTGCATCCTGTGTTTCTAACGAACCCTCCTTTTTCCCAGGCGACTGTCTACAGGGGTGGTTACAGCAGGTTCACGCCGTACTAAAGCGGACTGTTGACTGCGAAGCACAGCGAGCCTTCCACAAAGTACACCGCGTTATACTCAGCAGACAACATGACCAGTTAACAAGTCGACACAATCATCACCATCATTTCGCCATCATTGGGATCACCGTACGAGGAGCGACGCGCCTGGACTCTCCGCCGTGGAGCGGAGAAGAGATTTTGCGACGTTCACGAAGATCGTTCGTACTTCCGCGACGTTGTCGAAGACGGAGAAGGAGAGATATCCCTCGATACATCATCGTCAGCCTGCGAAGGATCGCTCGATATTCGCGCGGCAAGCAAATCCGCGTCGTTGTTTTCAGCGTCGGAACAAGTGTCGTCCGTCTACGTCAGTTCTACAAATCCGAGCTAGATTTGCTGCGAAACAGCTGCGAGCAACGGTCACGACGATGACCGAAGCGAAGACGCGATAATAAGGATATCTCCTTTCCGTGTTCTCGCGGTACTTCGTTCGACAAACGCGCGGCGGTTGAGTCGAGAACCGACGCACCGAGGTGTGTCGAGTCGTTCGACGGCGAGTAGCTCTGATCGTTTACCTGCCAGTACAGCCACAGTAGCAGCAGCAGCAGCAGCCATTCGCTCGCGAAAACGCGGACAAAAAAGAGGGACCCGATCGACTGACCGGGCCCCCCGCCTCCCTCCCACCGTTTCTATTTGGATGAATTTAAAAGCCTCAATGATGATATGTCGACGTTTTTGACAAAAGTTTCAACGACGAAATGAAGCTTGTCGCCATTTCTTTCAGCTCTATCCAATTCTCATTGAGCCGGGGTCAGTCTTTCGGTGACGCACACCACCGTCGTCAGCGTGTAACACTCATAGTCGCGCTGTCGCGCATTTCCTCAAGGGGATTCGCATATCCGGTGCGATTTGAAGTGTTTTTTTAATAACGACCGTGCGAGGGTCGAGATGTTCGAGATGCTTTCTCTTGAGCGCAATACGCAACGGAATATAAAGACGCGCACGATATAGCTATGTATAACCCTCTTGTTTATATAGTTGCTGCGAAAAAACGCACTACTGTTGTCTCCGATACGACGTGCGTGCGGTCACGCACGCATTTCCCACTCATCGCATCAGCCCACCAATTCATGCGGGCGGAAATGCATTTCGCGAATGCACGAACCGCGGAATCGTCCCGGCTGCTGTGCGCTCGTGTGCGCGTATTCGGCGAAACGCGCGCGCATGCACACACTTTGTAGGAGTGCTAGTAGACAAAAAAATGTGCTTCCGCAAGAGAGATGTGTCAAGCGTCCGTATGCTGCTGATATACATGTATACACACACACAATTGCGTAACTTTCACGGGAAAGTCCGGTTATGCTATTGCGTCTCGCATACGCGAAATTACGAGCGCATACTTGCTTGCCGAGATTCTCACTCGTTTGTCGCGACAGTGCTACTTCCGCCCGACGCCGTTGCCCATCTCACTCAGCCAATTGTAACATAGCTATGCATTTACTGTAATTATTCTTGTTTAGTCATCGTTAACCGTGTGGTTTGTACTCGTAGTCTAAATTAGCGGATAATACACCGACCCGCGGTCGTCGACAGGCACACGAAATATTTGGCATAATTATATCGTCGCATTGAACGCCGAATTCCGGCAGGTTTTATTCGCGCGCGCGCGCGCGCGCGCGCATGCGAGAGAAACATTTCCGACGCAGCAGAGCGCTGTAGAGCAGGCGACAATTCGGCAAATTCATTTTCGACGCGTGTAGATTCAAGGAACGATGCCGATCAAAGTTAACGATCGATCGTGACGACGAAATTGACAAGGACGAAGTAGAGCGATCGACAATGAACCGAACAATACATTAACGTGTGGAATATGGGCAACTAGCGACATGTTCCCGCTACGATTAGACGTGTAGCATAATGTGGGGACGCACGCGCGTAAATGGCTGCCGCCTGCGGAAAAAATTGCAGTTTGCTCTGTTTCAAGGCAGCGAAACGTCGACGAAGGAGCGCACATACGTTGTCGACACGAGCCGATACGAGGTGATGGTCCGGTAATATATTATATAAAGCGAGACCTCTCTCTCTAGGTAGCTAGGTAGCTAAAAAGAAGAAGAAAAAAACGTGAAAAGCGACGTATAGCGAATACAAAAGCAAAAAAAAACGTGTGCGTGTGTAAATGTATGTGTGTGACCGGTAGGGTTTCTATGCCAAATATTATACGCGTGTATGCTCTTTCGTCGAGTATACGTGTGCGTAGGTTCGCGAACTTGAAAGACTCTGTTCTTGGTACGCCATTTTATTAAGGAGAAGTGAATAGTAGGAGACACGTGGTGACGTAGCAGTCTTTGAGAGAGAAGGAAGAATCGCTTTGAAACGTGACCGTTGAAAAAAGGAAATGAAGAAACAGAGAAAGAAAACATTTCACACCCGGATTTTAATTCGCGCAGAGTCTAGTCAAAACCCCGGTTTCTCGATATCGAAAAAACGGCAACACCTCCGACTTTTCACCCTTTTTTAGTTATACATATATATATATATATCTTTTATATATATATATATATTTATATATATATATTTATATTTATATATATATTTATATATATATATATATATCTTTTTTATATTTATTTACGTCGCACGATTTGCACGTGATTCACCGCTTCCCGAGCTTGACACATTATCATTTAACACGTACACTTACCTACAATTCATGAAGATCAATTAGTCAAGAATAATTAGCTAATTAGCTGAATAGTTAAGATATATCTGGACGGAACTTGTGACTTGTAACTTATTAACTTGTTTAACGGGTCTTTCGAGTTATTTCACATTTCATCATTAGAACAAATGAAGAGCGAAAAGCTCCGGCGATCACTGCAACACACGACGCGATTTTTTCCTTTTTCTCTTTTATTCTTACTCGTCGGAGTTGCCGCGTGGGGAAGAAAGCCTCTTCACTGCGCTTTTTCGCGTATTGTTCTCCGACTTTCGATGACTATTGTTTTGTAAGACAATCGCGGATCAACGAGTCAGGTGTCGGAGTGATGAATGTGTTCGCATCACTCACGCTCTCTTCTTCCGTTCCTTTTTTTTTCTTGCGGAAGGAAAACGAATCGTGATTTGACCGCGCGATGAAATGAACCATCTATAATTTATTGCTTAATTAAGCGACTCGACATGACAGCTCTTCTCTTCTTTACGTTATATATTCTAATATTATATAAGTTAAGACCTTGTTAGAACGTTTGAAGAAACGCGGAATCTCAGCGCCGTTAGGAGGGAGGAGAAGTACACGTAGAGACTCGTAAAAGCAGACAAACTCCTCAGCATATTCGGTCTCAGAACGCACTGACCAACTCTCACACCTGGTTCCGCGGCGGACCATTGTAAAATCGGCAATAAGCAATATCAAATGCAAAAACGCACTCGCGTTTGAACGCATGACGTTACACACTCGGCAGGTCGTTTCGGTTTCTTGATATCGGAGAGACTCGCGCGCGGGGAAACGAACTTCTCGTTTTGACAAGTCTGCGCCAAACGCCGATCTGATCGTTAGCGAAAAACAAAAAGGAAACGAAAGAGGAAGTGTATCAAGCGGCCGAAAACGTCGATGCGAGCTGGTTGCACCGAAACAGACGCGGTTCGCGAAACCTACGCGCGATTATGAAGTTTCTTTTCTCGAAGTATACGAAACAATGTGTAGACCCATTGGTACGTACGTGTGTACGTGCGATATTCTTTTTTGTTCCGTGTCTCTTTTATTTTTTTCTTCGGTTTCCTTTTTCTTAAACGGGGAACTGCGGTCGACGTAGTTCGACATTTAGAAATTATATTAGATATAATTTTGTATCTATTATCTTATATGTGTTCTTTCGGTATGTGTTATGAAAATTATTGATAAATTTAACAGCACACGTGACATTTTGATATAAATATATAGTTTTTATGTCCCCCATCTCACACAAGATTATTAATTTATTCGCGAAAAGAATATCCTTGCAGCTGCGATTATACGCCTATTTTTCTTTTTCTTTTTTTCGGCCTCTCTGTTCCGAGCTCCGACGTTCTCGTTCGCCCCCCCCCCCCCTTTGCCTTCACCAGCCTTTTCTCAGTGACACTCAATATTTGCTTCCTGATCGAATAGATCGGTAATGCTAATACAATACACGGGAAATAAAAGAGAGAGAGAGAGAGAGAAAGAGAGAGAGAGAGAGAAAGAGAGAGAGAGAGAGAGAGAGAGAGAGAGAGAGAGAGAGAGAGAGAGAGAGAGAGAGATAAAAATAGAGTAAAGACAGAGAGATGCTCTGTTGGGAGTAAAACGCGACAGAAGAAATGGTACGCACACTGAGTCGAGTGAGTGATATCGCTGTTATAAATTACTAGTTAAGCGAAGATTTATCGTATATTATACGTAAGGAGATAAGATGTTGCGCTAAGTATTGTAAGAATGAGATATGCGAGTGCGAATTGAGAAAGCGTCTGAGCGGTGGAAGGGGAGCGTTGTAGAAAGGTGGTAACGCGCACGTAAGAGGAAGGCGGACGTGGGATACGTTCAAGAGTTACGAAAAGGAGTCGTGTGAAATAGCCAAATATGACAAAGATGTTTTAGAAGTGTACGGCAAGTAGTTTGGCCGTCGTTACGTTTTAATCGCATCTTCAGCTAGGATTAGGCTAAGTTTAGAAAACCCGAGGACGCTCAAGGCGGCGATAATTTTTTTCCTTTCCTATTTTCCTTTTCTTCGTTTATCCTTGCCTTTTCTTTTCTCTCTCGCGAGCGTCTTGTACGTGTACATAGATCATCGGCTAGTTGTCGAGCACAAAGAACATGGAGGAGTGTGCCGAGAAACGCGGCCGAGACTCGCACTCTTAGGAAGAGAAAAACTAACGAATAAGCAAGCAAACAAAATAAAAGAAAAACCACTACACTCAACATACTCATAATTCTCGTAATGTTAAATTAATTGAATGTAGATTATTAATTAGTAATGAAGAAAAGGAAAGATTTTTACGGAAGGACGCAGTCGCGCGACGAACACGCGAACAAGCACCGGAAGAATCGTCTGTCGAACAAAAACGAGACACGCGCGCGCGTTCATCTCACGAACTCGAATCTTTCACAAACGACGAAACATTTCCGAACGAAGAGAGATACAGAAGAATGATACATCAAGATGTATCGTTCACGCGTGGACAAACAAAGTCTTGTCTTTCAGTTCTTTCGGCAACGAATCGTCGTACTCGATTTGACGGTTTCTCGATGGTGCGCATCCTTCTGCGTCGAAAGACAGCACAAAGAAAGTTTATCAGAGAGAAAGAGAGAGAGAGAGAGAGAGAGAGAGAAAGGGAGAAAAGAAATACTGAGAGTGTTACGTTCGGAAGTAGAGATTTTCGCAGCTGTACCTTCCGCGGCGGCAGAGGCACGCGCGCGCGACGAAACGCACGAGAGAGACTCTGCGAGATTTATCCCTGTATATTGTACCCTGTAATTACAATTTATACTTACTCGTAATCGATACCTTTACCGGTAGGCTATTATTAATACTAGCGGCTAGCGTAAGAGAGTCAAGCTCAAATTTTAGCGAGGCGACGGCGAATCCGCGCGAAAGGTCGTGTAAACTTCTCGTGACGGTCTCGTCGCGTCTCATCTTTGTCACAAGTGCACAACTTCCTTCGATTTTTCTCCTTCTTTATTGCGCATTAACTGTTACGACAGGCCTATCGTACAAGATGTTCATAGAAACTAGAGGCTAGATCAGCTCTCTCTGTCCCTTCTCTGTAATGTCTCGTCGGTTTCTTTGTATTTTTCTCTTTTTGCGTTTCCCTCTTCTTTTTTTTTTTTTTTTTTCGACATTGGAAGAGAATATCGCGTTGATAAAACATGGGCCTCGTTCCGAAGTGACTGCGTTAAATTCTCTAATTTGCAACGTACGAAAAATAAAAAAGGACAAAATAGATATATATTTCACGAGCTTCGCTCGTGAAATTTTCTCGGCCGTGACCAATTAATCGATTAACACATCTCTGTCTATGAAAAACGTGACATATCTGGATTTCAATCCTCAAATGTCCGAATACGTTCACGTGTCTCTGTATGTCCCACCGAACCGTCACTTCGGCCTTCAGCCTTCGCGCGACTTCCCCCTCGAATCGAGCAACTTATCCTCGGTATCGTCCCGAGTCTCTGATTTTTAAAGATGCAGACTTGAGACGGTTCCGAAAGTTTGTGAAAGGACTAGCTGCTCGATTCGGCAAACTGGCGGAATGCACGTGACGGAATGCAGCAACGGCGGCCCGAATTCCTATAAACCACCGATTCGATCGTTGATTTATCTTCACGTCGATGATGACGAAATCCGGAGCATAGTGGGATCGCGCAGTGTAACATAACTCAATGATACGCACCGTACGTTTATACGTATAATTATTATATTATTAATTAATTAATTAATTATTAACGATAAATACCGTAAAGGGATTTTTAAATGAATTTAGATGAATACATGACTACGTAATGACACATCTTACGAGCAACATATCCTAGTGTATTTGAGGCACGACGCTGCCGGACATAGGGATTCCTCGGTTCGTTCGCGATTCTGAGCGATTTTCGCACGATCGTACGATACAAAGGAGAAAGGGAAAAAAGGGAGAAGAGAAAGAGCGCGCGTTTCTGCGATCGTCACACCTGACGATGCGAGAGAATAATATCGCGAGGAACCGGTCGTCGGCATTCGGCGGCGTCGTGCCCGCTCTTTTCGAATTATTGCAAGAAAATAAATGAAGGATGTTCCATGACATTAGGGCGTTATTATTAACGATATTTCTAGCGACGCGTGCGTGTGTAAAGTTTAACGTGTCTGTGCTGTTTCAGTGTGTGTGCGTATGCGTGTGTGTGTGTGTGTGTGTGTGTGTGTATGTGTGTGTGACGCATTGTGTGCATATACGTTGGGTGTGTGGCGTGCTTGAGTGCATGTGTGTGCGTGAATGCGTCATCGTGTGCGTGCATGCGTGCGTGGTAAATGAGCAAAAAACTCGTACCCCTCTCTTTGGATCGATGACAAAAAAGAATCAAGAGCACACTGTCTAATTATCGTTAAGGTAGCACGAAGACAAAAAACGACAAAAATGAAACAAAAACCCAGCAATTGTTCGAGACGCGAACAACTGAGGAAACGCTAGTTAAAAATGAAAAAAAAAAAACGCTAATCGTCACCTGTTTTTCCGCTTCTCTCGCAAAAAAAAGAACGTGTGAAACAACGGAATCCGCGAAGGGAAACGCCGTTATTACGCACGACGCGCGATCCCTTTACGGATGTCCCGTGCGCGCGTAAGAACGTTTTATGCCACCGAGAGTTTGACACCGCGAGTTCGCAAGAGATCCACGAGGAATCCGTGAAATGGCAACAAAAAAAAGGGTGAAAAAGAAGTAAATAGAGGTAATAAGAGAACAGGAATATAAATGATCAACTCGAAGTTTATTTGCGAAATATTGATAGGAATATAAGGTGTGACTCGTGTGACACCTTTATCATTGTCTGATTTGATGATATTTTGTAAGTCTGGACCAGTTGTTAGGTTCTTATTAATCCCATAGCGACTTCTTATGGCGTATTTTCTCTGTATATTGTCAATGTTTATTATTAAATATTTTTCAAATAAATACAGCCGCCCCTCTCTTTCTACCCTCTCTCTCTTCCTCTCTTTCTCCCTCTCTCCCTCTTGCTCGCGCGCACATGTGGGCGTTTCTCGCGAGATAGACGAGGTTTAATATTATACTCGAAGTTTAATTAAAAGCCATCATTTAACGATGCACCGAGTGATTTGTCACACGACAGCCACGCGTGGAACGAAACGAGATAGAGGAATAACGTTAGGGAGAAACGAGATTAAATAAACGAAGTCGGCCGGTCAGTCAGCTTCGCTTCAATTCGCGCGGTTTAATATATATTTTTTTCGAGGGGGAGGACTGAGAAGAGAAATTTATGACAAAACGGGAGAGACATAAATAACGAACTAGTTGACGCAAACGATACCGTCTCTCCTTCTCTTTCCTTCCCTCGCTTCCTCCCTCTCTCTCTCTCTCTCTTTCTCTCTCTCTCTCTCTCTCTCTCAGAACTTGCGCGGAATATCACGACGATATAGTTACATATACGGCTGATATAAACTGGTTAGTCTCGGTGTAATATACTTTTTGGAAAACGCGTTATAGAAAGACGGCCGCGATAATTCCGTCCGATGCCACTTACGAAGGCAACCAGATTTGTAATGAGGTGCAGCCGGATGGGAAATGATTTCCCTGGAGTAATTAATTATCCGATAGATAAGCAAATAAAGCGCGATCATCGAGGTTGAAAATAGTGCGAACGCGCGATTAAAATCGTCGCATGCTGCAATGTAATATCTAATAGTCGAAGTTCAATACTGCACTGTTCAACTAGTTTTGTTCAACCAGACTAAAATTTTATGTCACTAGTCTACGTTGCATGAACTACTAGTAAAGTATTGTGAGCCAATTTTATTTACCAAATAACATGTCACATAATAATTATAAAAATATTACATGATTACGCGTGTCGCTTCAGAGCCGAAATATTAAACGGCCTGAACGAAAAATTCAATGACCCGCCGTTCAATGGTCCACGTGACGAACGATTAATCTCACAAAGACTATTTTCGACCGATTGCGCATTGTCGATTGGTATTTCGACTGTTTTAACTCTTGGTAGTTCGCAATTTCATCAATAGGACACGCGACTGCGCGAGATTCAAGGTTTCCGATTTGCATAATTGAGCGAAACAACTTACGCTCCTTTTTTCACTTGATACAATACTATATACCAGAATTCAGGTGCAAAATGTCACGGTTATTCTCACGATGATTCTGTTTTTCAAAACGTCGCTCAACGTTCATATCGAACGTGAGGATTCCGTGTAAAAACACGCCTTTCAGCGGAAGAGCGGAAAAATAAACAGGAGCCGCGCGCTGGTAAAATTAAGCCGTGACTAACGCGATTTGTGGAAAAACAGTGTTCGCTAATAGAGAGACGCAGCTATTGGCACTCTTTTCCGGTCGGTTTCGTCGCTGCGAAACTCGACGATGCCAGATGGTTGCTTTCCTGCAACGTCCGCGTTCGTAAAAGATGCGCGGCTCACCCCGAGGAAACCGGACTTCGAGACTGGTATATTAATGTTTATGAGTATGATTTTCGACACGAAAGACGCACGGAAAATGAGTGCACAGCGATTTAGCAAATAGCCAATTGACACATTCAATTATACTTATATATCCTGAGAGCTAAATCATGCGCGCAGCAGATATGTAATACGTAGTTATTTTATAACTGAAGCCATGTATCTTCGGAAAGGATGAAATTTCAATATATCGAATGAATAAAATAAAATAAAATTATTTTCTTTCTCACATAAAGCATGATTTTAAAGTTCACAAATACTATATATGATAATATTATTATTATTATTATTATTATTATTATTTATAATATTATCAATAATAATATGTATATATAAGAATGTTATCTCATTGCCGGTGAAATAGGTATCGATGGACAGAGACATGGAAAATCTTCATGACTCACTTCACTCCCTCGAAACCAGCGCAGCTGACGTTAAGCGCGCAAAAGTCAAATAGCCAAGTCGAGAGAAATTCGAGAAATGGAAGAAAAGCAAACGAGCATACAGAGCAAGTGTGGGAGTTCAGGATATGCCTGTACTCCTTGCGGAATATACCGCAGTACAATGAAGCCGAATATCGCGCGAGATCCAATTATCATATATTATACTGATATCGAGTCGCGTGCCGTCCTCACGCCGGCATGCCGCGTTGCTTTTTTCCTTCTTTCATCAATGACTCACCGCACACACGCGGAATTGCTATTCGCACTCTATCCGACGAACATCATCTCAGTCGCGCGGGAACCATCGACGAGAGCGGACGCGGCGGCGGCTGCTGTGTCACCTGTCACAGCGACGCGCACGTGGCGGTGCCGACGGCACGCGCGACCGTCTCTGATAGCCGGCCAGTGTCAAGTGTCATTTAGCTCCCGTCTCGTGAGCAAAGCTAATTGACAATCATAATTGAGAAAGTGACGCGGATGCACCGATTATAGCGATCGTCGGCGGTTATTGTTTCTTTTTTTTTTTCTTTCTTCACGGTGTGATGGAGTCGTGCGTGAAAAGTTAATCCGACCCTCTGGTGAGTATGCACGACGCAATCTCGTTACTTCGTGTCAGATGGAACATGATTAAGTGGCATTGTTGAGTATTCTAATGCACACTGGCTTGCAAACGCGCGTCGACGTTACACACGCAATTATTCGTGATAAATCGTGCACAATGTGACGCGCGCGAGGCGCGATATTAATGTTTTGTTTTTATGTGCTTGGCCGCATCGAGCATTACTGCTACTTGATGGAGTTAGAAAAAAAAGTGCTTGCCTTCGGAAGAAGAGATATCATTAGTTAATCCCATCTTAAATGATGATTTATCATTACCGAGAAAATTCGCGCGTTCGCACGTCGCTTCCGCGAAGTTTGTCTTTGAAATGTTGCTACTGTCCTCGGTGGAACACACAAACGGGACATTGTTTTGCTTAGAAATTTGTTTGTCACAAAAATAGTTAAAATAGACAGACGTAATTCCGTGTATCTCGGTAATTCCGTTTTATTCGATATATCTAAACAATTTTATGTTATGTTCGTGAGAAGCATCGCCTCCTCCAGTTACTTGTTGACCTATACAGGTGGATTCGCAGGAAAAGAAGAAAATACTTTTGAAAGGACTTATCCGGAATTCGTCCGCGATGAAAATTGAAAATACCGCATTTGTCCTTACCGATAAAATTTCGAGTCGTCATAGTATCGTCATAGTATCTTGAAACGAGTTTCATTCAAATAGTTAATTCTCTGCATGTCGAACTTGCAAGGTCAATAGAAATATAATAACCGATATTCCAGTAAACTGATACTGATTCACGGTACTGATTATCGCGTTGATTTTTATTAATTATACGAAAAATTAACTGAGACGCCTAAGTTATCAAAAGATACTTAGGTGAATAAATATGTAATTCGGGACACACACATCGTTCATCTTGTTTTATTGGCTCTCAATTGGCCGTACAACCGATTTTTCAAATGCAATAAATTATATTTGATATTATTTAAACTTAATGAAATGTTGCAATGTCATAAGTTACTGGTAACCGTGTGATTCAATAATAATTTATATATATATATATACTTTTTTTTTCATATGATGAGATCTTTGCAATAACCGATTGTTCGACGGCATACGACGATTCCTTGACCGTGATTCTCGTGAAAATCCACGAATAAGATACAATTTTTCCCGACATGCCGCACGTGCACCGCGAACTCGCGTATGACTTCATTTGATTTTATCGTTTTATCGATTTTATCTGCCTGACCTTCTCGAGTTAGGTGGCACGCGGCAAGTGAATTATGAAAGATTTCGCGTAATTGTTAGCGCGCTCTCCCCTTATCGAGTGTCCGAAACGCTTCTTCGACGGCGCGATGTATTTTTAGAAGGCGCAAAGCGCTAAACGAAAATGGGCCACGTGTCCGAGAGTTTGCAAAATGAGAGACAGAGCTAATTCGTGAATGGTTCTGCTGTGTGACGTCGATATATAAAGGCGACGTGAAAATTAATTGTTTGTCCGATAGTGAGTTACACGAGATACCGAGCGCGTAATTTATTCCGGTCTGTGGTAATACTCCGACATGTTGATTTGGCTGAATAAACATATTTTTTTTGTATACACGTTTCGAATCGTTAAAGTTTAAAAAAGAGTCTATTTTAAAATTATTTTAATAACATTTCATTGACTTAATATTCTATCTGTGTGGAATGAGAGCAGATCGACAAATCGAGAAGCAAACAATAATTATTTACGAAGCTATATTATTTGTCGAATGACAAACTGAATTTTGACGTAAATTTCGAGTCAGGATATCTCCTTATTCCCGATAAGTTCATTAAATATCTAGTAAAAACAGAATCTTCCTATATAATATAAAAATTTCACACATCTGGAGGTACATATGGCGGTGATTTCATTACCTGCATCCTGGCATCCTGCATCCTCCGTTTTGGAATCTTGATCCAGCATCCTGCTCCCGACTCCGAAACTGCATCGTGACGCTGGCACTATCACTAATACGCAAATGCGATTTGATACTCGGAGAAACACGAGTCAATTAACGCGATACCGACGAACGTCCGATTCGATATCGCAGGTGCCGACGAAATTACCTGACGGGAAATGTAGCCGACATACGTAAATCATGGGGTACGCGTCGTTCGCCAGCTCGAAACTTGGAGTGCGGAAAAGCATGCGACGCGAAAAGGTTTTGAAACAATCGGCAAGAAAGACAAAAAGTCAACAACCGTCAACAACAAGCGAAGCACGACAATGAAAACATATCGAGTCATTGAAACGGTCAAACCTGCCTTCATACATCACGCAGTGTTTTTCAAATATTTTTCGAGTGTTTTTTACTATGTTTCGAGTCGATGAGCGACACGTTCACCGCGCGATGTACCGGTGTTATGTTAATTATTACTTTAATGATGAAAATATTTGGTTAGTTATTGAAATATTTGACCGGATTTTCGTCGATCTCGGCGTTTTCGTGACGAATTTAGCACATTTATCTACGATCAAATCATATCTACGTACGCGAATGTCACCAAATAAAGGGTGTCCCAAAATTCGCGCAAGAAGTAATTTTGATAGAAAACACAGTTTTATAATTAAAAATTGTAAATTTTTTATTGATTCATAAAGTATACAGTATAGGGTTATGTATGGAATAGCATATCGGGTAAATGGCCTCCACGGCTTTGCTGGTACATATGCACTCTTTTGTTGAAATTTTCCATGACCGTCTTGCATAAATGTGGCTGAATTTCGTTGATACAGCGCTCAATTTCCTCCTTCAAGGCGTGGGTGGTCGTGGGCTTATTGGCATAAACCTTAGACTTCAAAAACCTTAGACCCCAAAGAAAAAAGTCCAACGGCGTTAAATCGCGTGATCTGGGCGGCCAAATCTGATCACCAAAACAGGAAATTACACGACCAGGAAATGACTCGTGCAGTAATTGAATTGTTTCTCGGGCTGTATGGCATGTGGCACCGTCTTGTTGAAACCACATGTCGTCCACATCCATATCTTGCAATTTAGGCACAAAAAACTGATGTATCATGTCGCGATAGCGAGTACCATTAACTGTTATTACCTGACCAGCCGCATTTTCTTCCGAAGAATGGTCCGATGATGCCTCCAGCCCAAAATCCGCACCAAACAGTGACACGTTGTGGATGTATTTGTTTCTCAACAATCACTCGTGGATTTTCTGAACCCCGAAATGCGACAATTTTGTCGATTAACCAAGCCATCAAGATGAAAATGAGCCTCATCGCTGAAGATGATTTTGTTCGAAAAATCAGCATCCACTTGTTGTTGTTCCATAATCCATTCAACGAACTCTCTTCGCTGTGGCCGTTTACCCGATATGCTATTCCATACATAATCCTATACTGTATACTTTATGAATCAATAAAAAATTTACAATTTTTAATTATAAACCTGTGTTTTCTATCAAAATTACTTCTTGCGTGAATTTTGGGACACCCTTTACAATGAATGAATTTCCTGAAAGACAGAGAATCAAGAAACAAAACGCTAGAATGCCGGAACACGATCCCAGCGATGCGTCAGATTGTTATCTCAAATGGATACGTATTTAGATGGCAGATAAATACATGAAAAAAGAAATATATTTTTATAATGTTCAATCAAGACAATTTGTAGTTTCTTTTCCTTCCTTGACCCTATGTGTATCCAAGAGACTTATTAAAATTTTGCAAAAATAAAAGTACAAAGTAATAATATAAGTAATAATAGTAATAATCGAAATTTCCTACGAGACTTAACAAATGATTGTTTTATCAATAATTATAGCTTCATAAATCTCTGACTAGTCATGTTAAAATTTTCGAAGCTGATTTAAAATTGTCGCTCGGTGCAACTAGTAGTTGATTTCTTCGTACAATATAATTTCCTAAACATGTATAAAAAGATTTCATCGAAATATTAACAAATTAGAAGATGCAATTTTACTGCTTGTTTTAATTGACACTTTGTAAACTTAAATCTCCTCTGCTCTCGCACGTGTAGGCTAGATTTAATTTTAATCTCCTCTATTATTGAAGAACTAAGCAACAAGTGCGATAGAAAAATATATAAGCGTGTTCCTCTGATAATGATATCATTCCGGCATATCACTGATAAGGACCAAGTTTGATCTTATGAACATTTTACGTTTGACGTATAATTTCATATTTATCTTCACGATCTAATAACGACGTTCTTACTGGATGTTTTTAATTTTTCTTTTTTGTAATTTTATGTCATTGTTGGCCAAAATCGGCTGTCCTCTCCTCCTGACAGTACGATCGTATCCGATCTATGAAGCAACGCGTAAAAATTTTTACTTTTCCAGATTTCCATAAAGCAGCGATCGGTAAATCATATACGTGAATAAATGATATCTCGTATTGAAATTACCCAAGGCATCGCACATACGCATTCAAGATGGTGTTCTGCGCACGGTACAGATTTTTGCATATGCTGCCGAGGTCCAAGAATCGGATCATTTGGACTTGGCAAGCAGCAAACGGCACAGTGTCCGAGATCCTGGAGAAAAATCCGCTCACGATGGCCGAGTGTACCGTCGAGCTGATGAACGTGTCCGTTGCCGCTCTCACGACGCTCGTCGCCCTGATTTTGATTGTCAAGTACAAATGCGACGCCAACAAAACGTAAGTCGACGCGAAACGGGAAAGCGCGTGGCATAGGAAAAACCGTCAGCTATCGATCGCTCGTAATTTTAGCTGTCTCAGATGTTAATTCCTGATCGAACGCCACACACACACACACACACACACATACAGGCGCCACGCTCCTAATTTTATCCTCCACCGTTGCGGAGCGATTATGTATTCCGTACGATTAGCCGTACGAGCGGAATCGTCATTCAATCGCGTCGCAACAGCATAATTACATAACGGTCTAAAACGGGAAACAGGCGAGATATTGGTGCACGCTGATGAATACGAAGAATATCAGACTTTCCTCGTGCCGGCGTATTGTCGCGGAACATCTGGCGCGGCCGTTTAAACAGAACAAGTGTGACTTCGGGATTAGCCGCGCTCAACTGGAGTAAATTTCAATTAAACGACACGTTGCATTTGTTTTGGGATCGCTCGAGTCTCTCCCTCCCTCTACCCAATGATTCAGTCAATGTCGATTACGTTTGTTCCGGGGAATTTGCTTCGTTTGATACCGACGATACTCGACGCGTAAGCACATCGTTAATTACGCGACCATCCTTGAATCAATATCTAGAACGAGAGAAACTCATCGTCTTTATCAAGTCATTATTGCAATAATCTGTGGCAGTTTTTCTAAGTAAAACTACACAGTACTGCCATCAAGCAAGCACCGAACATTTAATCTGGTGAGCCTTAAGTCGGATAATAAGGAGATGGTTATATATCAAGATTACGCGCCGTTAATAAAAATTCATGATCATCCACAATTTCTCGTATCATCGAGTCTTCTAGACATCAGCTTTTCACCACATCGAGCAAAGTTAAACATGATGAACTAGGCGCTCCTTCGCATTGATTATTTTCGCATGCTAAAATTGTAACGTCGTAACGCAGTTTAGGTTTCGCGGAAGCTGCAAAGACTTTGTAGCGAGTTTGTAAATTCCCCGATATTTTCGCAATGATTCAATTTTCTGCGTATCGAAGATTTAATTATCTTATCGTGAATTACGTTTCGTTAATTAGGCGACACGAAGGCGCGTCTTTGGCGTCTTCGCATTTGCACAGTGTGTATCAATATTTATTATTTTTACGGGGTGTCTCTCGTTGACGTAAATTTTGCATGGTAAAGCATTTCGAGAAGTTTTTCGAATCGAATAAGTAAAGTGACATGAAATTTTATCATATTGCTTGCAATAAAATTGTTCAACCTTTAAAAATGAACGTGACGCTTCATTAAGCAATAAATTTAACATTAAAAAGTAATTTAACAGCTGATGAAAAATTATCGCGATAGTCAATAATCTTAAAAAAAAAATAACAGTTACTATCCCTATAACTTTCGTGCTCTAAAGGATATTACGTGTGTGTGTGTATATATATATATATATATAAGATAAAAAATATGGTAGACGTAATAAATATAAATAACTTTCTTTCCATTAAGAATTAGGATATCTTGATTGATTTTATGTACCAGCCGCTAATTATGCATCTCACACTTGATCACGAATGAACGTGTTGCAGCTATCAAAAATTTCGCCTCAACATTTTATCCGACAATTACTATATTCAGCAATATCATACGCGCAATCTATATCGCTATATTATAACCGACAACTATTCCTAGGGCATGTCAAAATATTGCTACATGCAAATAAGAAGCGATACCGTTAATCGCGTTCCTCCTTCACCGACATTGCAAGCACTTTCATTCCGCATGGATAATTAATGAAACGGAATGCCGGAATGAACTTGTGTGCTCACGGAGACGTATTAATTACCGGAATAATTTATAACAGGTGGTTACTCGACTCACCCTTCCTGCTCCCCCCCCCTCTCTCTCTCTCTCTCTCTCTCTCTCTCTCTCTCTCTCTCTCTCTCTCTCTCTCTCTCTCTCTCTCTCTCTCTCTCTCTTCTCTCTCTCTCTCTCTCTCTCTCTCTCTCTCTGTCCCTACTTCTCTTTTTCTCTTTCTTGCGGGGTAAATATACATTCGCCTACACGCTCGGCAATTTGCATCAACGATTACCGCGCGAGGAGTCTCCAAGCTTCAATCATCGTATCTATTCCCCATAATTAATTCTTCGTGTACCAATTTCGCAATTCGACTTGCCACTTGTTGAGTGGCTAGTCGCTAGTCAATTCGGAGATGATCATTTTCCTAACATGATTAAACCGTCGAGTATGATTTTCGAAAAGATCAGTTTGTCGTGTTTCACCCTCTAATATTTTCCGCACTCATATTTAACTTGCGCGACGCAAACCGCGAGCACCTGCAAGTGCCAGACGAATTGGTACCACGGCAACGTCACGCACAGTAGAACCCGAAGAATCGCGTACAGAATGACTCAGAGGCCATTCAGGTTCGTTAAGACGCGTACAAACCCAATCCCACTCATCGTACGTCTCCACTCGAATACATAATATACTTGCATACCTGACGCGATTACGAAATGTCTCATATAACGAGATATTCCGACATTTCTTTAACTTCCGTAGCTTTAGCCGGATCGACTGATATGCCAATTGCCGACTGACATGCGTTAACGATTTTACGATTGATAGCGCCGCTAATCATTGGATTAGCAAAACTGAATCTTCCGTACGAATATAAATAATACGTTGGGATACAAAATCAAAGTCTGAAGAAAAGTGTAGAGCAACGGTCTCTGAATAAATTATACGTTTAATTATACGTGCGATAATCTTGAGAGCAGAAAGAGGGGGCAAGAGAAGAAAGAAGAAATGTTCTCGAACGGGAATTAAAGTTACTTGATTGTAAATGCAACGTCTTTAAATGGCATCTCGTCGTCGGTGGAAAATTAATCGTAAGACGCGCGGTTTTCACGTCACGCTGAGTGTACGAAATATCCAACAACCCTCTACAATATCATAATTTGCGCCACATATGCTCTGATGTGAGTTTATGCAGGCCCGTATAAATGGTGATTCATTGTAGTCATTAACCTGACTGAAGGGGGTGATCCCAATTATGTAATAACAATAAATTATGTCAGGTACCTCACCGTGTGCAACCATGAATCACCTGCGTATAACGATATTGCAGTTAAATGTAGACCAATTTTATCTCATGGATGAACAACATTAGTCACAGATCGCACAGGGACAATTCGTGGAACAGTACTCGACAATTGATACGACGAAAGAGACCTTTGATCGAGAATAACGGAACACTTTCCTCCTTTAGGTCTTCCAAGTCTCTCTTGCCGTTTCACACGTTCAGGACGCTACTTTGCATGCTGCTGCTGTTAACACTTTTATTGGAGCTATGCGAGTCCCTGCTGACGTCGATCGTCCTGTCATCGATCTTGACAATTATTGCCGTGATATCCTGTTGGATATTGCATCGAGAAACCGAGATCAGGGACGGTTTTGGTACAGCCGCGTCGGGCGGTGGATTTGCAATAATCTGCCTCACGCGACTGTGGAAACTCTACCATCTGCACAGGTAAAGTCGATTGATTACATTCAATTATGATCAATTAATTCGTGTCTTCTTCTCTTGCAATTCGTACATAATTTTTCTAAAACTCGACAGTTTCACTGAAAAGTAAAAGAAATTAATATATATATATATATATATACATATATTTCATATCTTTTAATTGATCATAATTGAATGTAATGTCTTCTCGTGTGTTCTTCTCTTGCAATTCATACATAATTTTTCTGAAACTCGACAGTTTCACTGAAAAGTAAAAGAAATTAATATCTTCTTTGATTAAATGAAAATTACAATTTTGACAATAACGATTATTAAAACCTATTAAAAAGTCTCTTTATTTTATTTTATCTACTGATTAAATATATGAGAAGATACAGCTTGAGAACTAGAGGGAGAAATATTTTAGATTCAGCCTGACTATTGAACACGTCCGGTTTACGACAACGGCAGCCGTTGCTTTTTGTTGCGGATTTATGGCCATCATCGATGCCGGTAGTCTCTATCGTATGGTGAGTTGAATTATTCAACGTAAACTTTGTCATTTGTTAATTTACTATCGACGTGCCCTCAGAGAATTTGTTAGTCACGAAATAAAGTTGTAATTAAATATGATATTTAGAATTCTTTTTTTTATGCAGAATGCTCCTATAAGAAAGTTCATCCCCTTAAGGACACGATCACCGTGTATAATAATGTAATACATAAATCTTTTTCGTTACCTTTTTTATCCCATCTCGAAGATGATATTTTTATCTTTAACTTCTCGATTTTGAAATGCGTCAAAGAGCACGAACGTTTGAGATTATATTAAGCGGATTACACAACGAGTAACTTAAACCAGTAACTAGCAGAAGGAAGTTACGATCTTATCGACGATACCCAGTCGCTCTTGGCAACTGGCGTAAATATTTGTTTTACATTTATGAAATTTGTTTGAACAATAATGGTTATTATCGCATGCATCAGTGAGGCGTGCTTATCGAGAGCTAACGTCGCGCTTTTTACTCGACCGGCGAATAATACACGTCCGCAAGCGTGAGTGCTTTTCGATGAGACAAACCTCCAGGAGAGAAATTCCGCTTCGATGTAAATTCTATTTTTAGACTCGGACTTTCAATTCCGAATGAACAAAGATAAACAAAAAGGAATCACTCGTAAGTGGCACGCGATATTCTAATTGTTCGACCCTGAAGCGCAGATTTTGTCTTAAAAAAAGAAAAAAGAAATCGGTATCTAACATTATTTATTTTATTATATTGTAAAACTAAAAAAATATTTTTGATTCGCTTTCTAAGAAAATGAATTAATTTGTCATACATTAGATAATTAGATTTTATATTAAGATATCTTTTATACTTTTATATTATTCGATTGACCTTCACTAATTCTCCTGCTCTTTCTTAGCCGTCAAGATACGTGTTTGCAAGTCGTTAAAAGTAACGAAACATCACCATGTGTATATGTACACAATTCATCTTCCATTTCAACGAACGCGTTAAAATCTTTCTCACCTTGTTCGTGTTTATATCTTTTTCAACTCAAAAGCAAACTTCTCTCGTAAGAAAGTTTTTTTCGGATTTCGATGTGTTTTAAATATGTTGTAATCCAAGTTAAAATAAGAGACACGTAATCGTTCATAATTGTTCAATCATAAATTTAGGAGAAAAAATTTGAAAAAACACGTCGTCTTTCATATTTAAGTAAATATCCGAGCAGCAAATATCTTCAAAATAAAAATACGTGAAGAATAGGAAAAAATGTCTGGAAAAAAGTTCTTTTTTTACGACTTTAAAAACACATTAATTGGGGAGGGATACTGTTTTGAAGTTCCTCGTCGGTATAGTTTTACTCTCGACTCTTCCCCTGCGCGAAATGAAATGCGCCAAACACTTCGTTTCTCACGATGCGAATATGCTCCCTTTCGTAAATTCTCCCATCGTAAATGTATCAGCGACGATGTTTCGGTTGTCGTCAGATAAAGAAAAGCAGACGGTACACCGTGAGAAAAAGCAATAACAGGCGTACATCGTACCGGCATTCTGTTTCGCCATTTCTCAGCAAAATCACCTTCCACTGGGTGACTGACCTATTGTGGCGCGGGTATCGGACGCCTTTGGAACTCCATGACCTCGGAGATCTTCCGAAAGAGGAGACGATGAAGAGGCAGTTTGAACGATTCCGCAGCATTTACGAAATCGAGAAGGTAATACCATTTTGTGTTCGTCTCTTTTTCCGAGAAAATCTCTACGAAGGGAGAAAATTGGAGAAAAAATTGAAATATAAGTAATCATTATACGCTATCATAAAACGCTCGTTACATATTTAAAATTTTTAATTTGATTATAAAATTTCTTTTTTCTTCATTTTTTTAATTTTTAAATCTGTACTCATTTGTAAAATAACGTGATATAAATTTTAATTTTAAGAATTAAAATTTTTATTGCTGTGTCATACTACGCACCACGTATTTGACAAGATGGGATAAACGTTTAAGAAACAATTAATTTACCGAAGAACTGTACAAGCGCGATAGAAGTCGTATAATATGTAAAATGTTTTAAATATTCATGATCCCCACATGTATATTTTTTGTATGTATATTCATGTAAGTCAACTCATTAAATTCCTAGCTGCGATGTCGAGGACGTAAACTATCTTTATGGAAATGTTTGTGGAAACGTATATGGATGGTTTTCGCAGCGGGTGGACTTTTGAAACTTCTCGGCGACGCTACGACTTTAGTCAGTCCTATGATGATTTCCAAAATAATCGATTACGTGTCAGATCGCCAAAACAGCATATCGGACAAAAATCTCCTCTGGAAGGTACACAGTTTTACGTTTCCCTATTATTTATCATTACCGTGATGTACGACGCGTCTATTTTTCATCGAAATGATTAACTCTCGCATTTGTTTAGAGAACCATGACATTTTCGGAGATATCGCAAAACGGATATTTCCTGGGAATCGTAGTTTTCCTCGCGATCATTTTGCAGAGTACACTGAGCCAAGCGTACACTCATATAGTCTATGTCACAGGGATACGCTTAAGAACGGCTCTTCAGGTATATGAACGATATAACGTAAATATTTAAAAGTCGACTTTCTTTTCCGTGATTTTTGGCGCGTTCGGATCTTGCCGAGAGTCGAGGAAATGACGAACATTGAATTGGCCATTTTCAGGCACTCATTTACGATAAGGCACTTCGCTTACCTTCTTGGAGTATCTCAGAAGAGGAGAAGCCATCCAACAAGGACAAAGAACAACATTCACCTTCGCAGGCAGCTGACATTGGGACTTTGACGAATCTCATGGCCGAAGACGCGTACAACGTGATGAGTTTCTTCTGGATCGGTCACTACGTATGGGCCATACCTCTGAAAGTACATAAAAGTGTTCAAATTAGTATAGCACGTACATTATATCGCGTGTCACTATCGATACCTTAGAAACATCATCTTGGAATAATTTGTTCGAATCGCAATCGTTAAAAGTTGAAAGCATAAAATAACTTTAATTGTCTTTGATATACGTCGAATTTCTTTACAGATCACTGCTATCATCTTTCTTCTGTATTTGAAATTGGGTGTTAGCGCAATTTTTGGAGCAATTTGCTGCATATTGATCGTCACACCGATGCAGCTAATCCTGGGAAAACGAATGTCTGCGAATTTTAGGCGCATAACGGTGAGGAACAATTTCCTGTGTCTAACAATGTGTCAACGAAATATTTCGCGAAATATTTCAGGAAGAAAGCGACGCGCGCCTCCGTCTAGTCAATGAGATTCTTCAAGGGATACGACTCATTAAACTACGCGCCTGGGAGAACATCTTCGAAGAACGTGTATGCAAAGCCCGAGAGAAGGAATTAAAGTTACTGAACAAGAACTCGACATATTGCACATTCGTCGGTGAGCAATTCCATTCTGTTGAAAATACTTAAAACTCTGAATTTATCTTATATTTTTATGTAAAATAGAGATTGATTAAATTCACATTTTAACATTACAGACTTCGTGACTCACGCCTCCTCGATTCTGATGACCCTCTTCACATTCGGAATTTATTTCTGGCTGGAGGAACGAAATCTCGACGCGGGAAACGTTTTTGCCAGTCTCGCGCTCTTTTCGCAGATGGCGGTGCCGCTTTTCATCTTTCCGACGATGGTGTCGATTATTATCAACGCCAGAGTGAGGAATAACGCTTAATTCAATGTCTGATTTCAGTCTGATCCTCGCGAAATGACTTCTCATGATGCTTTCTCGCAGATTTCCACAACGAGACTGGAAGATTTCCTTCGGCTTCCGGAGGTGATGAATATTCTTCCTGAGCAAACAGATCGAAAATCGAGTATTGTCGAGCACAGATTTTCAAAAAGCACTTTGCGCATCGAGAACAACGTGAGCACTTTTTAAGTTAAAGTCCCTCTGTCTTCAAGTCTCTCGTCATTTTTCTCCATCGTGAAAATCATATATAATTCAGATTGAAAAATAACGTGTTAACTTTTCTTTAAGATAAAAACAAACAAAATATCCAGCGTCGCAACAAATGGATCGCTTGACGATATCGTAGAGAGCGAGAGCGAGGAAAATCAGTTGCCGAGTGTTTCGCGTGAGTCCCATTTGGAGATAGACTCCTCGGTCGACACGGTGTTCGAGCAAGATCCGAAAGTGCCGGATTCTGTCGTCAAGATCACACCGAGTGTCTTCACCTGGGGATCCGACGACAACACATTGGTGCTTAACGAGCTCAACTTCCCACGTGGTAAGCAAAACGAAAAAGAAATCTGAGCATGAAGATTTATAAACGACTAGAACTTTTAACAAGACTGTCTAATATTCAGTCACGGAAAATGTACAAGGCCACCAACAGCCAACACGATCGTTATAAATGTCTTATTCGCATTATTCTAGGACAGCTGACGGTAATAGTGGGAAAGACTGGAAGCGGCAAGACATCCTTGTTGCAGGCGCTTTTAGGAGAGATTCAGCGGATGAGCGGAAGCGTCGAGTGGGCCAAGTAAGTAATTCCAAAAAATTCAGAATGGAACTTTTGACATTTACAGTAACATTTATGTCAGCTGAGGTCACATCACGCGTCATTATCCATTAGGAACCTGAAGATCGCCTATGTGGCGCAACGGCCATGGCTCTTGAACAGCACCCTCAAGGACAACATTCTGTTCGGCTCGACGTACTGTTCGCAAAGATACCTCAACGTGTTGCGCGCGTGTGCCCTTCATCCAGACATAGATATACTTCCTGATCGGGACCTGACCAGGGTAGGCGAGAGGGGTATCAATTTGAGCGGTGGGCAGAAGCAGAGGGTCACCATTGCACGAGCCATTTACAGCGACGCCGATGTGATCCTCCTAGTCTGTTTGTCAAGTTTATGGTCAATTTTTATATCAATTTGTCGTGAATATATAATTTTAATTCGTCGCATTGTCGCGTTAGATTCGCATGTGAGTGCAACTAGAAATTGCTTCCAGGACGACCCACTGTCGGCGTTAGATCAACACGTTGGGCAACATATCTTCGATTATGGCGTGAGAAGGTTTCTGTTGAGGAGCGGTCGGACGGTGATTATGGTCACTCACAAGCTGGAGTTGTTATCTGCTGCTCATCAGGTCTTACAAGTTTCTCAATGATATGTCCTCTTAACTTTTTCAAGAGTTGAGATAAATAACTTCATATGAAGAGTCGCGATGAGCAAAAATTGCTTTTTCCAGGTGATCGTCATGGACAGCTGTCGAGTTCGCGCGGTTGGGACAAAGTCCAGCATCGAGGACGTAGATTCTGAGTTGGCGACAGAATGGAGGATCGCGGCTTCGAGACAACAAGACGATGCTAGATCTCAGAGAACCGCCAGAGACAGGTGGTCTTTGGTCAAACTAGTGTCCAGGTTGAACGTGAGAGACGCACGTATCAGTGACGGATCATGGATCGCCGATCACGATGCCCACGTGGTAAATTACAGAAAACCAAGTATGTTAAGAATTTTTTTTTATCTCTTCAACAACAAATCGCGAAGTAGATTTCTATTTGAATTGGATACATCGATTGGAAGATACGAAATATTACACAATGCCTATTATACTGTCTGGTGTCTGGTAATTAGCTGCCAACCCGAAGTGTGAAGGTAGATTGGGTTCAGACAAACATAAAAGTCCTATCTTCTTACCCAATCTTGACCCAATCTAGTACATTCACATTGTATAATATCGAAATAATTTTATTTCGCTGTGAACTTTTCAGAGTCCGTCAGTTTTTGTTCCTTTAAGACTACGTCGAACAACGTTAGGATCGAGATATCTGGCTTACGATCTCACAGATCTCCCAGTGTCGACAGAAGAATGGAATAGCGGTATAAAACGATCAAAAACGTGTCGCGATACCGTCAGATCGGCGAGTTTTCAATCTCAAAGACCACCGCCTGTTCTTCGGCAGAGTAGCACGCCGATAATTCTCGAAAACCGACATGTGGCACCAAGGTATGAATATTGACAAAAAGGTTACTTTTTAATCAAAATGTCTCGTATAATAAAAGAGAGCTGTTTATTTGTCGTGGTTATTGTCGGTATATACCTCAATATCTACATTGTTGTAAAATTTTATATAAAAAGAAATTAAAGAAATTGTCACTTTCTGAATTTCGCAAATATCCATATAATTCCAAATTGTAACATTAAATATCTGAAATTTTTATTTAAATGAATATTTCATGAAAAATATTACTCGAACATGTTATTCTCTCTACTCATTGGGAATGGATTTCTCTTTTACATGTTTATATTTCTGTGCAGAAAAAGAAACAACACATACGACAACGGACAACACAATAGCGTGTTAAAACAACTCTTCTCTACAAGGTTCTCAAGTTTTCTTTTCGCAATATAACATGACCGCCTTTTATTGTTGTGACGCGCACGTTGAAAGAATAAAGCAATAATAATACAAATTTTAGGGTCATTGTGCAATCAGAAGAAGGCACGATAAGCAGAGACAAAAGCGTCTTACGAAAACTAATGTCTGGTTCAAACAAGTAATTATAAACGATAAACGATAAAATAATTAAAGTAATTGCAATAATTATAGACGCAAATAATTGAAAATTTATTTTTTATTTTCAGATTACGTCAACACCAGGAAGAGGATCACTTCCCGGCAAAACTATTGTTATGGAGAAAGTCGCAAAACTTTGACGATATGGATGAAGTGGAAGAGGGTTAGTTACAATTACATCGAAGTTATCTTTGTCCCAACTTTATTCGCAACTTTTTACTCCTCGCACGAGTATCTCCTTCATCTTCCATCTTCCATCTTTACGACATAAAACGTGTTTCATAGGTAAATTTCTTTCAGTATTTAATTATGAGGACGTACACGAACAAAATGCAATCGAGAGTGACGATAAAAGCGGCCTTGTCACTGGAACAATCTGGATGGAATATTTTCGAGCTGGTGGATGGCTGTCAGGGAACGCTTACATCGTAACAGCCTTGGCCTGTCAAGTTCTTCGCGTATGCATGGATCTCTGGCTAAGTCGATGGACAGAACAAAACACTAGTTCGACAACCAACGAACGTCAGGATGTAAGTAGATTTTCGCGATATTACATAACATTTCGAGACAATAAAGGTATCATTTTATCTGAATTGTATATCGTTCCATCCACAGCAAGCGAAAGAAATATTTCGCGTCAAATATTCATATGTAATAAATTAGATCTATCGGTCGATCGATCGATCGACGTTCGAAATTAATCAACTCTTTGAGAATCTACTGCAAAAATAATTCTTGCACGATAAAGAGGATGTAGAATCGCTACGTCTTTCGATGAAGTATAATTTCGACCGGATAGTTTCTTCCCTTTTCAGATGGTGTCCTACTTCAAGGTGTACATCATTATTTCCCTGAGCTCCATTCTTGCGTCGCTTCTGTACAACGTAGCGAGTCAATGGACGGATGCCAAAGCAAAACGAAAATTGCACCGAGAGGCTGTGTCCGGACTTCTCGGCGCGCCTATTTCGTTCTTCGACTGTAATCCAGCCGGCAAGATCCTGAACAGGTTCAGCGCCGACGTGGGTGTCATAGACAAGGTAAAAGGAAGTCCCCTGGCACGCTTCGATAATCGACAGCGGCAATCGTTCTTACAATCGTTACTGAGATAATCAGATTTCACGATGGGCGTCGTTGAAAATGAGTGACGATCTTAATCTCCGATGTTCGACTAATCCTTGCAATCGTTTCTTGCTCAATTAAGAAATTAGCCACGTCGCTCAAGAGACTGACGTTCTTCGTGCTGCTCTGCGGCTCGTCGATGATCCTTAATGTTGCCATTTCACTGTGGTTCTTCTTTGCCGCCTTCCTGACCGGTTGCGCCTACTACATGTTGCAAAAGTTCTACAGACAGAGCGCCAGACAACTGCAACGACTGGATGGCAGGTATTATTAATAATCGCCGTTTTTCATATGTTAAAAATCTCAAAAAAATATGCTCTAATAAGTTTTTAAAGATTCTCTCGCGTGAACGAAAAATAGAAGTTTCCTCGTGTGACGGATTTTATTGAGACACTCGAACATTCAGCGTAATCAGTAATACCTCGTCTCTAATAAAGATACTCTTTGAGACTGTTTTGAGTCAATTTTTCCACTAAGATACGTGAATAATTATACAAATGTTGCTTGCAGCACGAGAGGACCCGTGGCAACGCATTTTTCGGAAACTCTGTCAGGACTTCCGACGTTGAGAGCGTTTAAGCAAGAAGACCGCTTCATGGAAGAGGCGATGAAGCGCATCGACGCAAACACTAACGCCTTTCTTATCCTGAACACCAGCGACAGATGGCTGGGCATTGCGTTGGTGAGTGTTACGAGCAAAGAAATATAGAAGATTTAGATTCGAACATTTGAATGAATAAAAAATATAAATTTTCAGAAACAAACCTTGCCTTTGAAAATGTTATAATTGCGCATCGTAATTGGACTCGATCCATTTTTAAGTTTTATTTTGTGTGGATTTGTCAAGCTTCAGATCATTGACATAAATGACGGATAGACTTTTCATTACATTGTTAATATCCGCCTCCAGGATTATCTAGGCGCTATTATCGTGGTGACAGCTATTTTCGCAGCTTTACTTTCCGCGGAAATGTACCCTAGCCGCGTGACACCCGCTTTAGTCGGTCTGGCGATCAACTACACTCTCGTGGTACCGATTTACCTGAACTGGGTGGTCAAGTTTACGACGGACATCGAGAAGTATATGGGCAGCGTGGCCCGAATATCCGCCTACAGGAACACGCAACCGGAGAACTATCACGAAAACGGTAACTATTCGCGACCTGCAATCACGCCGTTAATGCGCATAAACATGAAAAATTGATACGCTTTGTCGTTCGCATTAAATCCTTATTTTGCATGTACGTCTCATCATATCGAGACAAATGTCTCGAGTAGAGGAAAATCAATAGATATGTAAACTTTGAAATCACGAGAATCGGTTATCAACACGATGTACTTCATCCGCGACAATCTGATGTGGTAAATAAGTGGTGATTGTCAATCTCCACGATCATACATAGCAATTTCCTCGTCATAACAGTAATAGCCACTTTCGTTTGACAAATTTCAGGTTTACAAGTGCCCGATAATTGGCCCAGCAAGGGAGAAATCATTTTCGACAACGTTTCTTTGAGCTACAACGCAGATAGGGACTCTGTGATCTCGAATTTAACTTTAAGGATACCAGCTGGACAAAAAGTAATCGATTACACTGTAATAATAAAACAAAAATTGGAAACACACCTGACGTTTACTAATCGCTAGCGCGATTTTTTATCAAAAATTAAGTATCGAGAAATTTGACGTAATAAATGATAATCGTAAAAAAAATAACCGTCAGATTTCTCTTTGGCATTTTAATACTCGAACAATAACGAAAAGTTAATCGTGCTAAATATTATTGGACAGTTGGGTATTTGCGGAAGAACAGGAAGCGGAAAATCATCGACCGTGATGGCCCTCTTCCAGCTGGTCGAGATCAGTCAAGGCCGCATTTTGATAGACGGAATCGACATCAAGCAGATACCACTTCGTACGTTACGATCACGATTGTTGGCCATTCCGCAGGACGCAATAATGTTTAGCGGCACGATTAGGTATTTCTATATGTTATCACACATGATTTTATTACCGCGATTAATAGCCACAACGTTGCGATCTAATCTTATCACTTTGCCGCAATAAATCGAGCCTTTTTACTACTTAAAGTTCTAACTTAATCTTAATTGATATCTGCAGAGAAAACTTGGACCCACTGTTAAAATATAACGACTACGAAATTTGGAAAGCCTTGGAACTTTCTCAAATCAAGGAAGTCATAGCCTCGCATCCTGATGGACTAGGTACATAAGATTTCTTCCCAAATTCACCTAATATCGATCAGATTATTCCTTCGCTTACGATCTCATATATTTGATTAGTGATTAAAAATTCGAAAATCTTGATTAAAAAATTCCAAGTCTTTACTACGATGGCGATAATCACGTAAAAAGATAATCTCTATGTCTTTTTATAGCGATAAAAAAATCATTAAATTAAATTAATTAATTATATCGGTTTTGATTTTCCGATGACAAATTTTATCCTCCAAATATTAATCAAAATATTATTTCCGGCTCAGATTTTGAAGTTCGTGAGGGTGGTGAGAACTTCTCAACCGGCCAACTTCAGCTTTTATGCATGGCGCGTGCTGTCCTTCAACAATCAAGTATTGTTATATTGGACGAAGCGACCAGCGCACTCGACGTGGCTACAGAAAAATTGCTTTTACAAGCAGCTGCAGCTGCCTTCGCTGATAAAACTGTGATCACTATTGCAGTTAGTAAAAAAGTTTCCACGAGTAAAATTTTAATAGAATTATACATATATATATATATATATAAAATATATAGTTATACTAAATATATAGCTTTGTCCAACTGTTCATTTCACGATTGAAATTTCTAACAAAATAAACTTTTTCTTGCAGCATCGAGCGATGGCCTTGTTAGATTGTGATCGTATCATCGTTTTCGACGAAGGTAAGATTGTTGAGGAAGGCTCACCAGTAGATTTAATGCAGCGACAAGATGGAATTTTTGCTACGATGGTGACCGCAATCAATTAAAATGACGAGCAGCGATGATTGCAAAGAATGCGAGAAAACAAAGAAGACGCGAATAATTACCACCGACTAACAACCATTTATGTCAACTTTAAACAAATCATAGAACTCGCAACTCGAAGTTTTATTTGTAATTCGACATTGCTTATAGTACAGGAAACATTTAAACGTTTATAGATAATAGGTATATGTTGTATGCCTACATATAGTATAAATGTAATTTTCAGTAATTTTTTATAAGAGAAATTTTGCTTTGCAACTTCTGTCGCGGGTTGTGAATCATCTTTAAAATGAAATTTCAAAGACTGTGCTGTACGAATCTAATATTTCTTCATAACTATTTTTTTATCAAACATTAACTGTTTAGAATCAATAAAGTTTTATTTTTTATACTGATTGACTGCGCGTGTAATTAATATTCACTGTCTTTATATAATAATTTAGCAAAAATAATTGTATAATAATTATATAATAATTATTTTTAGAAAAATAATTATATATATATAAATTATATATATATATATATATATTATACAATTATTGTGATAAAAAATAACTATAGATATTATTAGAGACAACAATTTTTTGTGAATATAACACAATGTAAATATGATATATCTTAGATATATTCTGTAAGATACGCAAACACTATATATTTGAATTACGGACAACATTGAAACTTACTGATGCGAGCAATCTTAGACGATATAATTAAATGATATTTTACCGATCAAAAAAACAATTTTAGAAAAATGTTTTTGTGAATGGTAGGCATTTCAAATATCTTTCATTAGTTTCCCATTCTGTTTCGTAATATAAAAATTGGTTTTATTATTAACACTGTATAAATAGTTTTATCATTGTACTCGTATCAATATATATAAATAAAAGTTTCGATAAAATATCTCAAGCAACATAAAGTGAAAGAAAAGTGAGTATTTTTACAATGAATTGTATCTGCAGCTAAACTTTTTTTGAAACTCTTTTTCAGCTTTCTTTGCATTCGATTAATATGATAATATAAAAATTGACATATCTTTCTGAAAGATATGACGTAGCTGGCAATAATTTCTTGATAATAATTTTCTACATATCGCTTGTTTAGCCTCTTTATAATAATTAGTAAAAAATGCAGCATGACATTAAGAAAATTATGTGTAAGTTATATACAAAAGACCACGTGGAATCGAATGAGAAATAATCAAGTACAAAGAAAATAAAGAAAACGAATAAAATTAAGCACTATTAAGTATGTAAGTGCAATGAACAATTGCGATGAAATATCAACGCAGACGAAGATAAAATCAAATCATGAGTTAATTTGAATCACATATTAAATTAAATTAATCCTACGCGTTCGCGCACGCGCGCATCCAGTCTGAAGAAGCGTATAGTCCAGCCGTTACCGTAAACACACCACGCCGCCCGAAGTTATATCGCGCGGATAAGCAAGTGCCAAACGATAATAATTAACAATACCCCCACATCGTCGGCCGCGTCTACTACCGTGGAAAACGCAAGCGTACTTTCTGTTAGTGGCACAGGGACCGACCTGTCGATAGCACCGTCTGGGCCGGTTATCAGTCATTTTCGACGTCGGATCGGAGATCAGTGTGGCCGAGACGATAAGCCTGCTGATACACGTGGAATTCAACGTCGAAAGTGGGAGCACGCATTAAAGTTCTTATTGACACGATCGTCACGTCGACTTTTTTCGTCGCGCAGGAAAATTACTGCTCTCGTCGACGGACAGACACGGTGAACCGATGACAATGAAGGCTACCGATACGATGTAAATTCGTGAAGGAAAAAGAAAAGGAAAAAAAAACGACAAAGGAGATAAGTTGGCGATACGGTGAATAAGCAAAATCGCGATAATTATTAGTGAGATTTCAACGCAGTGGTAAACTCGATCTGTCCGACAATCTGTTTCGACATTTCGGTGAATCAACGACGAGCCAAATTCGAAGGAAATCATATTTTTGGAACACCTCGGAACAAGAGCGTTAATGACACAGATGTGTTTGTAAACGTGTTTTGCGAACGCGTTTCCGGAGCGAAACGTCAGCGCGAGATCGCGGCGATAATTCGCGGCGTAACAAATTGTGAACGAGGTGCCTCGAGATCGTAAAGTTCGAGAGGTGAGTGTTTCCAATGAATTAACTAGGCGCGCGTGTTATCACGCTCGCGCTCGCACTCGAAAGACTTGGCTTAGTTCGCGCGAGCAAGTTTTTACATGGAAAGTGGAGTTTTTACAGGAAGTGCGATTTCGAGAATGCCATCGGGGGTATAAAAGGCTCGATCGGATCGATATCGCGATATCTTGGCAATTTCCATATTATACGGGGCTCGCTGTGAAACGCTGCGGTACTTTAAAATGTTAATAACTCCTGTGTTTTCCGATTATCAGGACTTGACAATTGAGAGATCAAATTTTTTTTTTTAAAGAACTAAGACATTTCGAGAGAACTTCAATATCCATAAATTATTTTACAATTTTCAAGTTATTATCAAAATTTAAGGAATACAAACTATGATATACTATTTTTACAAGCAATTATTCCGGTGCAATTTACAAAAAGAGAAATTATTCCTCTAAAAAATAATATTCTCTACAAATTGGATACGAAAAATAATAAAGCGCACATGTAGGAGTTTCACATTGACATTGTTGAGTGAGGACGTGTCATATCTTTTCATTTATCATAGTTCGCCATTATCAACCGTTATTATCATTAGCCAATTGTCACAAATTCACATATTAAAGGCAAGTAATACAGATTTCAAATTCCTGAAAGCGGAAATTTTAACCCGCTGTTTTCCAGACGATCAAAGAGACACCGCAGCGAGTATGATAATCGCTCTTTATCCGATTAGATATCGCGTACGTGAGACTCACATGGTCGTAAGTAGTACATATTCAAATCGAAGTGAGTCACTAGGCGGTTGTGTTACCTAATGACACTGGTAAAAAAGATGTCCAATGATAAGAAAGGAAGGACATATGGTAGCGCTCGCTTCATTGAGTCAAAGCACGTGGGCAGCTAACGAGCAGAATTTTTCAAATTAATTAACGATATAATCAGGAAAATTAGGTACACAGTCGGATAAATCATCGTCAGTGCAAAAAGAATATCAGATCTAGTGTCGCGGGGACGATGGAGATCTCAAGCCGCGCTTGAGATTTGACTGTCTCAATTGATCATTGTCGAGCAACCGGCAATTGTCTAACAAAAATCAAATTACATATGAACGAAGAACACGATATCAAGACATCGGGCCCATAATGCAAGTTTATCGTTTCAAAGATAAGAAATCGACAAATGTCGTTATAAAGATCAGACAGCCGTCGATAATCCACACAAGCTAATAGACTCAGAAAATTCCTTCTAAGACCAACAAGAATTAATCTATGTTTGACTCTCCGCAAGCCGTTCCAAGAAACGAAATATTCTCGAGTATTTGACGGTATTAAAAATTGCGGAAAAATTTCGCATAAGATCAGAAAAGACGGGAACAAAGATTGAAAGATGTTCTTATACACGCCTAACGAACGAATAATTTGCAATATTACACTATTACTGTAATTTCACTCTCTTTTGCATGTCGAAGCATCATTGGAGCGGAGGTTGAGTCATTTAGGAGTTTGATCACGACTTCATTCGTTTGCGAATTAGACACCCTGCTGAATTAGCAAAATCTTTTTACAGCAGTAAAGCAAGAAAGAATAAAAGGGAAAGAGAGAGAGAGAGAGAGAGAGAGAGAGAGAGAGAGAGAGAAAGGTAGAAGTAAATATTCAAAAATTTTGATAAATTCTCACATAAAATTAACAATACCGATTATAAATCAACGCGAAGAAAAAAAAATATTTCACATACGAATATATATATATTTTTTAAACAAAAATTCGATAATTCTTGATTTTAACCCTGGCATATTTATTCGCGATGAATATGCTTATTTTGAAGATAAGGAGAGACAAGTAAAGAAAAGTAGAAACCAAGATAAAACGGTCGTTTGTCATTTCTCTTTGTCTTTTCTTGTTTTACTTTTACCACGTATTGTACAACACAAAATAAATAGCCGAATAAACAGCAATAAACAGCCAAATAAACAGATATTAATATTGTAAAGGCAAAAGGGATGAGGAAAAAACGCGGTATATTTTCCCGGGAATTGTAGCACGTGTGTCCGACGAGGAACACGAAGGTGGCCTTATTAATGGAAAGAGAATAGACTCATTAGATAAGATGCCCGCCGTACATATACCTGCCTGTTGACACTGCGTCGTCCTGTTATCGGCTAGATAAGATTTCTGCGTCTTTGTCGAACTTGAGGCATCAGTCGAATGCGCGAATTCGTGCGGTGCAGCTCCGTTTTTCGCTGTGGTCGGACAAAAAGAAAGAGAAAGAGAAAGAGGAGAGAGAGAGAGAGAGAGAGAGAGAGAGAAAGAGAGAGAGAGAAACTGAGATCCGCGATTTCGCATTTTTCATCGTCCATCGCGAACGAAAAATACGCCGCGAGAGAGACATTCCTGGAGAAACTCCGTGTCGCCCGTATTTTCATATCCACCGTCATTCGGCGCGGGATTTCGTATCCACCCTGAAGCTTTTCAGACTTCAACCTGAAGGGTGAGTCCCGGCGAGAACGAAGCGACCGAGTTGCGTCGATCTTCAACGAGTTGAGCGTGATACTTGGCGAGCGATGCTCGGCATGTTTCTTTCGGCTCCATGCGATTGATTATCTAATCGATCCGTGGAAACTGCGATTCGTAGCCAGATACTGGTGCTGATAAATTCCATAATCGCTTGCATTCCGATGCCGATAATGGGCAGGCGACCGAGGCGATAAGGTTCTTTTCGTTTCGCGATCGGCGTCATTGCAAAATTGTAAATACTTGACTATTAAGTAATACAATTGTACAATTACACGCGATATAACACGAGGCTCTCCTGCAGAAATATATACATTTTGTATCATTATTAACAAAGTACTTGCTAAATGAATTCTGGATTTTGTTCTTTCTGTGTGACAGTCTTCATACAAATTTATTCGCTGTTGACGCTTATTCATTTTTCTTCGAGCTTGACATGGAACTTAATTGTAATTTTATCGTCTCGTTTTGCTCGCACTTCTGCACGCAAATAATATGATAGAGCTAGAGGCAGATGGAAAATAAGACGATACGACAAAGTAGCTGAAAGTTCGAACAGCTAAAATACAACATGAAGAATTAGCTATCCTTCGGGAGAGAACGTACGACGCGAAAATCGTGTCACCTCAAGAGAATTAATTACAGCCGCGTATACGTATACGGATGAGAGGAGTTAATTAACCTGCGCGCGGTTGTCGATACAGTTGATTAAACTTGCGCCTGTATTAAAGAGGCGCCTATGTGACCGGCGTTACAAAACAATATTGCCTTAATTGTTCGCGGCTCCGAATGTATGCGCAGACCTCTCCGCAAATATCGATAAAACGTCGGACAGCGCTTAACGCGCAGCGTTAATTGGCCGCTGCATTAAGCACTTATATATAGGTCGATATTATTATTGCGTAACGTTACGAAATGTGTGCGACAATGTAGGAAAGATATCACTATGTGATGCGCGGTGACGAGGCTGAATACATGATCGAGAAGCGTAATTAATCTTGCTGAGAACTCACTCGACGTCTTAATCAAGAAACACGTCAAACTATGGATGTGTGTTTATTCAACGAGAAATTATCCCAACATTTACAACATTAATTCGATATTGGCATTGCAAACGACAGAATATGATAAATAGAGGAAATGAGAGAAAAAACGAAGAGCCTAAAAGAAGCAGGGAAAACAAGAAAAAATAAAACAATCAGAAAGAAGCAAGAAGATCATATTTAAAAACAAGCGAAAGTAAATTTTTTCAATCCAGTAACGTCCCATGAAAAAAGAACTCACGTATGCGGAATACTCATTAGCCGAAATACAAAGGTTATTTATAATTACACAAATACTATTAATATCCATTTGTGAACGTTCTGACATGTCAACACAACCGATAAAATTATAGAAAAGTTCTTACACAAAAGTGAAGGAGAACAGATAAAATTCTTGTACTTTCCGAAAAATCAATAACTCGAAATTATATAAGATGGAATGATAGATATATCGGCAATCGGAATATATGATAAGTAATTATTTCACCATAAGATAAATAGTTAATCTGAAATATCGATCTTGAACACGCTGTACAGATGTACGATCATTACGATAAGGCGACCAAAGTATATTTAACATCAATCTAATAAATGCAACTAATAAGCGATATAATCAATTTCAATCAAGCGGCAAATAAATTTTTGAGTATTCGCACATTTAAAGGTGTGAAAGTGAAGATATTTAAAGACATGCTGAATGAATACAACTATTAGGTGCATAAACAATTATCGCTTACATATGATTATTAAATAATGCAAATGAGAGTTAAATATTTATTATAATATTTGTTCCAAGTATGAACTGTGAAGAAAGATCTCGAGACATAATCGTAATGTTTATCTGGGGTAGTGTTGAAGTGTCAATCGAGACACATCGAAAAGATCGGATCGTTGCGAAGAGAAGGAGACATTTTCCGGAAAAACGAGTCGAACTAAAGCTTGTCAAAAAGTACGAAGTCAAGAGCAAGTGCTCGAGACACTAAGACACCGCATATAAATCTCTTCAACGATTAGTATCTCACAATCGGGACCATTATCGTCCGCAAACAGTACCGTCGAGCGTCTTGAAGAGGCATAATCATCGCTCGACAATATTTTAATGTTCAGCAAAGCCCATGAAAATCATTATCATTTATCCAACCGCGGCGGCTGGTAACCCAGTTTTCTGTCTGTAAATCGACACCGAGAGCATTGTGCAACAGAAATTACGTTATTATTATTACGTTCTCTCGCTTCTCATTTCCACGCCACGCGATCTCGAAATTATGTAAAAAAAAACGAACGAAAAAAGGCAGTCAAGTTGAGCAGAGCCGAGTCAAACGGCAAAGCGGCGAGTGTCGCGATATGTTGCTTATCATTGTGTCACACAACGTATTGTGTCGTTGGATCGTGTTTCACATCGAGACACACGCATTGAACCGCCTGCTATTATTGCCCGAGACTCATTTTAATTACGGCCCGCTAATGAGTCATCGTCATCGCGTTCAGGAACCGGAAATGTCATTTTGCGAGGACACAGAGCGTATGGATGCGGATGCGTGTAATCGTCGACGCACATTTTCGTTTTCCTCGACTTCTCGCGCATTTTCCTCGTACGCATAGCATGACGGTGGAATACAATTTCACCGTAACGCACAAGTGCGTGAAGACTCTAATATACTTGTTGATCATGTTCTAACAAACCTTCTGTTGGCTACACCGCTATTTGATACGTTGAAAATTATCGCACAAAATATTTAATACTAAATTCCTAAAGTTCTTTTTCTCTCTGTCTCTCTCTCTCTCTCTCTCTCTCTCTCTCTCTCTCTCTCTCTCTCATTTTCTCTTTCTCTTTTTCTCTCTTTCTACCACTTTCTTCTCTATAAAAATGTTACTTTTTGATATTTTACATCTCACATTATATTACGTAAAAATTGTGTAATTGAGACGCAATATCGGAAACATCAAGCTATTATGTCTAAATACGACAGGAAATATGATGTTTCCCGCGCAAGTAATTAACAACATTATTATATCATTTTGTTAACCATAGTTATATAATTTATGTAATGCGCAGTATGCACAATATGGACTTCTCTCTCGTAGCGGTTTCAAACCTTATTGTCAGTCTTGCTGAAACGGAAAAGTGATAAAATTATCAAATTGTAATAAATGTTTGCGAATTCTTCTAAAATGACATCGTAAAAACTTTCTCGTGGAAAGTAATTGTCTGTTAATTAGAGCGCACGAAGTTTATACTCATGTAACGAATGCATATACTTGGCGAACACGCTATAATTAACGTTTGGGCAATCGTCTACCTGCAGGTTTAATCAAATATCATTATCATCGTCCCGATATAGTGCGTACAATCCGATACGAGCCGACCTTGCGTCTCATAACGAGGCCATGCATCATTTGAAGCGATGCTTTGCATTGAGATACGCGTCGCCAGACACTTTCATAACTGAAAAATTCGTGACAATATTTTTGTAATAATATTTTGATGTTAATATACCGAAAAATTCCTTCTCACATTCTTTCTCAAAACGTGACGCAATTTTACTTTAGGCGTATCTAAAAAATATTGTCATAAGGATTTTGCGTTATAAATAATTGCCAATAAACATATCGATGCTTAATCTTGGTCGAGCACAATACTCGAGAGAAAATTAGAGGAAAAATAGATACTATGTGTACACATACATACACACACACACACATACACACACGTGTATCTTGTGAAAAGAGATTCCAATAAAACGAGTAAACCGCTGCATCGTGACAAAATCAACAATAACGTGACGGCATGGCGCGTGGTCTGGATTATCGACGTGCTTCAAGATACGCAGACCTTGTCGCGTATTTTTTCTGGAAGAGAACAACAGCTCACAATTGTTTCGTACACATATACAAGGTGAACTGTTTTTTACATGTTGAAAGTAAATATATTTGGAAATTAAAGCTAATAAAATAATTTCATTCGCAGAATGACTGTTGCGAAACACTGAGAAGTCAGAGTCAAAAATCAAAAACATCACAAAAATCGGCAAAAGTGTAGCATGAATATAAAATAAATATAGAAAAAGAATATATATATCATAAAAATAAGATGTATCAGCTTGTTTGTAATATTCTTGAAACATTATAAAGCCTTCGGCGCATCATTTGAGTGCGACCTTAGAAGAAAACGAACGTGTAGCCGCTTGAAATGGAAATCTTGACAAAGAGGAAAGGATGGTCGGAGAGTCGAGAATATTCTCATCGTGAGCATGTGCTAATGTATTGTGACGTCAAGACGCAATATATCTCGTGCACCAAACACCATTAGCATAAGCATGTGACTGGTGTGGAAGCGATCTTGCGGCTGCTTGCACCGCGACCGAGCGATCACGTGCAAGTTGTGTGCCACGAAAAATGACACAGTCTAGCTTAAGACGAAGAGTCGCGAAGTAAGACGACTAAATTGACGTAGTCGACGTCGAAGTCGAAGTCGTAAATGATCTTCGTGCGAATCTTAGTCGAGATTATCGGTTGAAAGTACCGCCATGAGGAAGAAAACGCGACGCGACCAGTGAGTGAGCGAAAGTGATCGACCAGATCGTGTCTCACCCGACCTAATTAAAAATTCTTTTAAGATACGAGATCGTTATTTGTAAGATATACTAAGAATCCCCGCTGTGAATAATGCCGTGCGTGACACATCAAATATCGCGCGAGATTAAATCATTTGCTCCGTAAAGATCGCTCGATGATAAAGCTCAGATTTTCAATTAAAAATAATAAAAAAAGAATTTGTTCTCGGTTATTATTCTCGGTAATTAAGGCATAAATGGAACACGTCGATTGATAAGTTTCTGCTCAAACCTTGTTAGGTATTATGTAAGAAACTTTTGTACCTTAATGAGTAACATTTAAAATGTAGAAATAAAAGAAAAGTTATGTAGAAACTTCGCAGTTAATGGCATCGGCTGCGGATTTTCTAATTCTTGGTTTCTACTTTGCTAAAAACGAATATTGAAAATTCTGTATTCTTTGCAGGTGTCAAAAGAATTTGTTTTGGGCATGCGTTGGATGAAGATAACATGAGGTTCTCGTGCTTCCCGAGGGCTGCCAACATCCTCGGGAAGAAGGGTAGCATTAATCTTACCCCTCTTCCGGGTAACGACGAGTCCAACAGCATCGGCAATTTAAGCGTAGTAAGTCCTGATTCTACGATCGCGTTCGAGCAGAAACTAACTTTTCTCTGCGTCTTCTCTTGTTGCAGAATGGAAGCACAAGGAATGCGATTATCGCTAGCTATAAGCAATCCGGCGAACCAGACTTGACGCACGGTGTTGTAAGTTTCTAGAAGTGTTCTCTATAAACGCTAAGTATTAAAAGGGCTATAATACTGAAATAAAATTTGATCGAGATTAAATTTTTTATAAGCTGAAAAGAAAAAAATTTGTCTAATTTTTGAAAAGTTAAAAAGAAGATTTACCAAGAAATAAAAGATCTTATTCACGGAACCAAAAGTATATTGATTTACATTTTATATTGCTAGATGTTTTTAATCTTGAACGATTGCCATTTTATCAGAACATTTGTAGCACTTTAAAGTGTTGATTTTAAAATAATTATAGACATCTGTAGATGTTCTAGCTTGAAATATTTTTCACGGTGTTTCTATTTCGGTTTCTGTTAATAGATACGTCCTTTGCCTGGTACAACGATTCAAAATGGCATCGGACCACTATTATTCACTTCTTCAAAGCCCAGAGCACCTCTACCGCCTCCAGATAATCACGTTAATAACCTCCATATACATCCAGTACAATCAGAACTAGAAGACGCAGTCAGAACAGAAAATGGTGAACAACTCGTGAGCAATCCGAGGGGTGGCGTTATTGGAAGGACACCGACGCCACCTTCAGCACCCACCCCCGTGTACGAGAAAGATGCCAGGTATGTGTGTATGATCAAAATACTAATAAGTATCATAAAGGAGTTGTATGTATCATATTTACTGTTTTCCCTTTCCATTCGCAGGAGCGCAAGGCAAATCAAACGAGCCATTCTAGAAAATGAATTTCTGGGTAACTTGGAAGAAAATCAAGTGGAGGCTCTCGTCTCTGCCATGTACCCCAAACAAATTCCCATTAGTACTCTAGTCATCCGAGAAGGAGACATAGGTGTGTTTTATCAATCATTAAGCAACACAGACGTTATGTAATATCATAGATAAGTGATGATTGATACATTTCATGATGACTTACACTCATGTCGTTGATTTACATTTACAGGTTCACATTTATATGTATCGGCAGAGGGAGAATTTGACATTTATGAAGGCAACAAGTTCCAGAGGAGCTTCGGACCAGGAGTGGCATTCGGAGAGATCGCTCTGTTGTACAACACAAAGAGGCTTCGATCCATCAGTGGTAAGCAAGAAAATGATCAGAGACTAAAGATCAAGAATATCTATTCGATGAACAGAGATGCAATATAATGAGAAGAATTGTTAAGTTAATGCTTCTGAAGAGCAATTTACGGTATTAATTAATCGACTAATTATAACTTTTCACGATATTGATTGTAATTACTAATAGACATTGCTTGTTGAACTATTTGTACGATATTACATTTCAGTGAAAAAAGGTGGAAAGGTATGGGTGCTCGACAGATCAGTATTTCTAACAGTAATGATGAGGACAGCTCAAGAACAGCTGGAAGGCAACATCCGCTTCCTCAAGCGAGTTTCTGTTCTCCAAAAACTGCCCGAACCAAAGGACCACGTCCTTGCGAAGATATCCGACCTCATAAGAGTGGTAAGAGCGAAAAGAAGAAACGTCAATCTCTCCCAATTACGTTCACGTAAAACATGGAAAAATTTCGCTTTTTATTTTATGGTGTACCATAATAAAATGACGTGTATTCACAGGAATTTTTCCCGGCTAGCGCCAGAATAGTACGGCAAGGCGAGAAGGGTGATAAGTTTTATATAATCAGCGGCGGCAACGTACGCATCACGAAGGACACCGAGTATGGAGGTGAAGAGGAACTGGTGGTTCTCGGCAAGGGACGATATTTTGGTGAAAAGGCTCTCTACGATGACGAAGGAGAGAACCGTCGGCATGCGAACGCAATCGCACTCGCACCTGGTGTCGAATGTCTGACATTGGATAGATCGTGAGTTTAATTTCTATAATCACTTCTATGATCACTAGAGTTTGGATTTGTCAAGATTCTTTTTGTTTTTTAATTAGAAAGTAAAACTGAAACGGAAGATCTGAAGAGCATAATTCTGAAAAGACTGTCTTATATAGACTTGAAGTGCTTAAATTACTTATAGTTTGCGTAAAACGCCACGGTGAAAATGTGCGTGTGTGTATTTTATAAATTTATATTCCTTAAAAATATTTCTGAAAGTCTAAAATCTATCTTAAATCTTGACTTAAATTTAAACGGCTTGCAAAGTCGAGAATTTCTTTTAGTATATCCAAGTTCGTTTCAAAATCCATCTTTTCTTGTTGGCAAAGAGGATATTCATTCGTTTCATTTATTGTATCTCATAATTCAACTCATCGATTAACAAAATTAATCGGCAAATGATAATTTTGAAATACTTTCTTATCCTATTGAAATGCAATGTTATAATTTGAGAAATGCAAATGCCAGGTCGTTCCTCAACTACCTAGGCAGTTTGGATGAAATCCGCAACAAGGACTGGCTGGCGGAATACGAGAAACAAAAACGTTCGTTGACTCCAAAGAAGTGGACCAACGAGTACGCGAACTTGACATTGGCTGATCTCGAAACAAGAGGAACCTTGGGAGTGGGTGGTTTCGGCCGAGTCGAGCTGGTCACGCTGAGATCCGATCCCGAGAAGAGCTTCGCACTGAAGAAACTCAAGAAGAAGGTCATGGTCGAGCAACAGCAACAGGAACATGTGCTGAACGAGAAGCACATTATGCAAGCATGTGATTCGGCGTTCGTATGCAAGTAAGTCGTCATGGAAACGTTTCACGACGAAGCTGGAGAGATCAGCTCTCCGAAATCAGAGCTCGCCTTCTTCACTTATCTGTTTCGCAGACTTTATCAGACTTACAAGGACAACAAATATGTCTATTTCCTGATGGAAGTGTGCCTCGGAGGAGACGTGTGGACAACCCTTCAAAGGAGGCGACATTTCGACGACGTCACCGCGCAATTCATGGTGGGATGCGTGGTGGAGGCTCTTGATCATCTTCACTCGCTAAATATCGTCTATCGAGATCTTAAACCGGAGAACCTTATGCTCGACACTCGCGGATACTTAAAGCTAGTGAGTGGTAACACGCGTCAACAATCAGTTCGGTCGCCAATTATAAGACAACTACAGCAAAGCTGATTAGATCAAGAATGCACAAAGAACTAACGATTGAAGATTTATAAAAAACGATTCTCTACAACAGGTGGACTTTGGCTTCAGTAAGAAGATCGGACCAGCCAAAACGTGGACGTTCGCCGGCACGCCGGAGTACGTAGCACCGGAAATTATTTTGAACAAAGGACACGACAGGTATGAGATCCTAACTCGTTCTTTCTTATACTCTCATTGCGTCTACCTAATTTATTTCCATAAATTTTTACGTTGCATTTATTCCGTGACTTTATAACAGGGCGGTGGATTACTGGGCCCTCGGCATCCTAACTCATGAATTACTCGTCGGCAAACCACCTTTCCGGGGTTCTGATCACATGACCACTTACAACAAGATCCTGAAAGGTATCGAGATGGTCGGCATACCGAGCATCGTCAACAAGAATGCTAATAATCTCATCAAGAAGCTACTTCGTTTGAGTCCTTCAGAACGATTGGGTTACCAACGAAACGGGATACAGGACATTCGCGATCACAAGTAAGTCCTCGGAAACTTATGACACAGATGATACGTAATTAATTAATATAATCAAAAAATATTCCGTAAATTCGTAAATACTAGAAAAATATTTTTTACGAGAACACTCTATAATATAACATAATATTCCGGAAGGTATTATTCGGCGTGTAAAACGTGAAAATTTTTAGCAGTAAAACATAATGTGGAATAATATAAATATAATTTTTGTTTTTCCTATTGACAGATGGTTTTCCAGTTTTAACTGGCAAGCTCTTCAAAGATTAGCTCTACCAGCTCCCATTGTACCTACTGTAAGTTCACATTTTATATTACAACTTGACGAAATCTCAAACTAAAGCTAATTGCTCGAGCAATGCTATCTTACGAAATAATTGTTACAATGATAAATTCCCCTTTTTCTATCGAAGATTCCTCTTATTCTAATTTTTTTAGGTACGAAATCAACTCGACACGCGAAACTTCGAAAGATACCCTCCTGATCGTGATATACCACCTGATGAATTTTCCGGCTGGGATATCAACTTCTGAAGATAAAACATGAACGTAACGGACTTCCCAACAAATGTCGTCTAAATGATAGATGTAAGAACAATGCGATCTTAAAGCAATTGTTGTTAAGAAATATGTTTGCTAACTATCAAGTGACAATTGCACCAATACAATTTCGAGATATAAGAATGAATAGATTTAATTATCTGTGTGAGTTATAGATTAACACGTTTGGTAGCAATTCGTGATTGCTAATTATCTCGCAAAGAATTCTCGCTTGACTGGCTTTGATTACAAAAACTTTTGTGTTATTCTTCTTTTATAAAACCGCTTTAAAGATAACATAACCATCGCGAATTATAATTATTATTGTTATTATTTAAGATGGCATCGCGCTTACTCCCACTAATAAGCGATACGCTAATTTTCTCGTGCGATCGGCTGTATTTTTAATGACCGACTAACTTGTAAGAAATAATTTGCTAAGGTATGAGAAATTATTATTTCTTTATAAGCAATCACTCTGAGATTTCGGTGTACCTTGATTAGAAGATATACGTACTTCTTCTAACGCGATACTTCATTGTCTTTGTGTAAAAAAAACCGATCTTACGTCGATATTACATTATGTATTATATCTCTCCCGATCGTAAAAAGGATTTAAGCCTCCGTAATCTAGACTTAAATTCCTCATTACAATGGTTTCATTGCATGAAGTATCGATACACATACACGTAGCTGAATAAGAAAATAACGTCACGCATTTTCAAATAAATAATTTGTTAACTACCAGCAGCGTATCGTATGAAACATTTTCTCTCTCTCTCTCTCCCCCTCTCTCCCTCTCGTTAACCTTAAGACAACATAAATTCTCTTGTCCACTGTAATTTCTCTATATAATTTTTATATCTCTTATATTTATTTATAACTCGGCACTTGTTTTTCTTATCTTTCTTATCTATCATAAAATTATTAAAAATGACATGTTAAATTTTTGACGAGAATATTTTTGTTCGAAATACTACAAAACTGCACTATCATTTTTTTCAATTTGCGTAAAATTACGCATATAACAATATTTCCTTTGAATCTCAACTTTCATTTTAGTGTTCACTATTGATTGTTCTTTTATCAAAAACGGATGTTATCTTGCGAAACTGTTGCTAACAATTTAATTAATTGTATGGAAATGGACATTTAACAATATGTCATACGATTTATCGCACGTTTTATTGAGTCATATTGCAATATTATCGATCTTATCAGATGATGGTATACAATGACAATGACGGAAACACTAGCCTTCATAAATTTCTGTCGCTATCCAGCGAAAAGATAAGATCTGCCAGCACTGCAATTGCATCGATCAATCAGTCAACTACTGATATCGCGTATAGCACAACGTAGAAACCTCATCGAGCCGAGCCAAGAGAAGCCAGGTGAATTTTCACGATTTCTAAAACTTAACTATTTACGTAATAACGTAATTTAAAGTTCGAATATATAAGAAAGTAATAAAAATGAAATTCTTATTGCAGACGACTGTATTATGCAAAATGCATATTCTCTGTCTGCGAAAGACCTTTCGTGCCACAGCCAATTTCGCGCGATTTAAGAGGAATCAAATTTCTCGCCATGACAGCGATCAATTTTATCGAATGTTGACTCACCAGCGCAAACGAGGTGTTCTGGGTGAGATCAATGTCTCGCTAAACGAAATCCCGCGCTTCGCAAAGGACCCAGAGTATTTACCCAATTTACCACTTTACCGCTTACCGCTACAAGAACTTGAGACGGTTAACTCTGTAATTTAAAAAATTTTTATCAAGTTAAACTAATTTTTCTAAACTCTAAAGATATTTTTGTAAGAATTTTTGTCTGTTGGGAATTTGGCACAAAATTTAATCTGAGAATACAAAAAATACTAATAAATGTAAACATAATCATTTTCAGACTTTTCATACATTTACATGATTTGAAAAATTCAATTTATCTTAATTTTCTCAAGTCTTGTAAAAAGAGGATTATATCGCCGTTGAACTCTTTGAATAAAACTCTCATTTTCTACTATGAACTTTGTAGAACGCGAGACCGAATCAAAGCCGCTATTCGAGACAACAAATTTCTAGGAGACCTCGACGAGTCCCGTATCGAGGAGATCATTTCAGCCATGTATCCAAAATCTGTCAAAGGGCAGACGCGACTCATTCATCAGGATGAAATAGGCAAGCGATAACTAATCCAAAGAGATTACGATAGAGTCGATGTATTGTATTACGTGTGATATTGATACTTGATATGAGTATTTATTCACGACGAACATGACTAATCACTGAGCAACTAATAAAACAACTAAGCTATATACTTCGACGATATTTTCAGGATCTCATTTGTACGTCTCGGAGAAAGGAAACTTCGAAATATACGTAGACAATACATTCTATGGAAACTTCGGACCCGGAGTTGCTTTCGGGGAGCTGGCGTTGTTATACAACACGAAAAGATTGAGCTCCATCGACGGTAATGGCATTATTAAGTGATAAGTTAATTAATCATCTTCTTCAATCACCGTAATTTTCGTTAAGCAACCGATCCACGCTTTCTCATGTTTTCAGAGATTCAAGGATGAAACTGTATATAATTATAACATCTAACATATTACTCTCTCGCGAACGCTATTACGGCACTTTACATGGACAATATTTGATTGCAGTGCAAACGGATGGCAAGGTCTGGGTCTTAGACCGGAAAATCTTCCTTGCTATAATGCAGCGGACCGATGAAGAGTGTACGCAGTACAATCTACAAGTTCTCCGCCGTATCTCCGTGCTACGAACGCTACCCGAGGAAGTTCTCGCGAAGATGTCCGATTTAATAGTTGTGGTACGTATGCTGTATACACATCGTATGCAATTTGTCCTTCCTTTAGTTACGATTTTTCGAACGTTTCCCTAACAAAGACGTTACGACGCAACCACATTATTCTTTTCGAATAAAAAAGATCGATGAATGTTATTACGTCAGGAATTTTATTCCTCTCATTCGTACATCATACGTGAAGGAGATCCGGGAGATAAGTTCTTCATAATAAACGGCGGCAACGTTAGGATCACGAAGACCAACTCATACGGCATAGAGGAGGAAATGACGGTGCTGGATAAGGGAGATTACTTCGGTGAGAAAGCATTGTATGACAATGGCGATACTAAACGACAAGCGAATGCTATCGCTTTACCACCTGGTACCGAATGTTACACGATCGACAGACAGTACGTCACATCACACTCATATCTCAATTCTTACGCTTTACTTCCGAATGCTATACGGCGATTTTCTACCTACGATTCATTTTAATAAATTTAATGATTAATGAGTTTAATTACTTCATGATTTTAATCAATCTAATTCAATCTTCAATCAATTGTCAATCAAAGAAGATAGAAAAGAAATTATGAAGAAATGCATTTTGTCACTCGATTGATTCGAGGTCTTTTCTGGACTACCTCGGCGGATTGGAATCAATTCGCAACAAGAACTGGCAAGTCTATCGACGACCAACGATCGCCGATGTCTGGGACATTATGTTTCGCGATTTGTCGTTATCGGATTTAGAGGTCATCGGGACTATAGGCGCCGGTGGTTACGGCAGAGTCGAATTGGTCACTGTCAACTCAATACCCAACATCAGCTACGCCAGAAAAAAAGTGCGAAAGAACATGATAACAATCAGAGGATACCAGAAACTAATTTACAACGAGAAGCAAAATCTAAGACTGTGTACCTCGCCTTTTATCTGCAAGTGAGTAGAATTTATCTTCTACACCACATTAGCTCTATTACTTTTCCTTCCATTTCTTTCATAGAATCATCTGGCAAATTATGTTGCGTGTTAATTTGCAGTTTAATTCACGATTATATTTATTAATTTCAAATATTAAAAATATTAAAAATTATTCTACCTAGATTTTGGTAATTTGATACATTGCTAATTTCTGGTATCTACACAGAGAGAACGATTTAGTTGAATCTATCAAATGCTTATTTGGAATAGTCCAAATAAATTTTTTGATTGATCGAACAAAGTTTTGTTTGACGCAACAAAAACATTTCGTCGGAACTAAGCTGCAACAAAATATTTTTGTTGCGTCAAACAAAACTTCGTTCGATCAATCAAAAAATTTATTTGAACTATTCCAAATAAGCATTTGTTAAATTCAATTAAATCGTTCTCTCTGTGCATTTGCTGATATGCTCTGATGTTTAATTCTCTAATACTAATTTCTGTTCTAGTTTCATTCCACCTTGATTCTAATAACATTTTACTCGAAATCGTTCCACTAATTTTTTAACATTTTAAAATGTTTAAACAAAGGAATATTTCATTCGCCCTTAACTTTTGCTTTACAGATTACATAGGACGTTCAAGGACAACAGATATCTCTATTTCCTAATGGAAGCATGTCTGGGCGGTGATTTACGAACAGCTCTGTATAGAAAAGGTCGATTCGACAATTCCACCGCTCAGTTTATCGTCGCTTGCGTTGTAGAAGCGCTTGACCACCTTCACACACTTGGTATCGTTTATAGAGATTTGAAACCCGAGAACATCTTGATTGCTAATAACGGCTACATTAAACTAGTACGTTCAAATGTATGTTATATGAAAATGTTGATGTTAATCGTAACATAATTAATTCTCTTGAGCTCATTGATCGCCCGTGCAATTACTAATTTTAGTACTAACAATATGCGATTCAAATAATTGTATTAGAAGTAAGAAATGTGTTTTATAATAATATGTTGCAAATGTGTACAATATGTACAATGAGATTAAAAATGACACAACTTTTATGGCAGACTGATCTTGGCTCCAGCAAGATAATAGGTGTTTACAAGACAACGACTTTCGTGGGAACTCCTGAATATCTAGCGCCGGAAATTATTCAAGTTAAGGGATATAACAGGTAAACCTTTAAAATCTATTTTTATCATATATCGATAAAATGATTCGAAATGATTTACATATCATAATTAACATTTTTTTACTTTCACTTTCAAAGAGCTGTAGATTATTGGGCCTTGGGAGTTTTGGTATACGAACTACTTCTTGGCAGAACGCCCTTCCAAGACGCGAACGACTTAGAAATATGTGAGAAAATTCTAAAAGGCTTCGACGATATTCGTTTACCAAGTGTAGTAAAAAGCACTGCAAAAAATTTCATCCAACGTCTTCTACAATTCGACCCCACAAAGAGACTCGGTTATTTGCGAAACGGTGCCATGGATGTGCGAAATCACAAGTAAGTATTGTTTTTACAAGACAAACATGCAAAAATCAATAAAAGTTTGGGACCCTATCACAATCACATGTAAAATCGCGATTTTTATCGACTTTACTCATTTTATTATTTTGATGAAATTTGCATTGCTGAGAGTAGATCTTTCAAATTTCTATTGCAATCTTAACAATTCCTAATAAATTAATCACTATTATGATAATTGCTTTTTCAGATGGTTCAGCAATTTTGACTGGCAAGCACTGCAAAATCAGACAATGTCTGCTGCTATAGTGCCATCGGTGAGTAAGTTTATTTTATCTATAATTGTCAAGTTGTACAGTATACTCATCGTAATAGTTAATACTAATATTAATAGATAAATATCGATAAATTTTACTAGGAAATATATGTTTCTATAAAAAAAATCTAAAGATATTTTAGCTAAATTAACTCATTTTTGTTTAAAACAACATCATATTCGTCTCTTATTAAAGAAAAAAACATATAGCTTTTCTCATAAAACTTAAAAAAGATTTTAAGAAATTTAAATGATCGGTGAGTATCCTATATATGAAACTATTGTTTCTTAATAATTCCAACAAGTGGTAAAAAATGGAATTTATTTGTATATCTACATATAGAGACGATATATTGTATATATATTATATCATTTATAATCAATAAGATTGTATGTTCTGATGCGAAAAAAACTAAATTGTGTATATTTTGTTAACTTTTCAGATAAAAAATCATCTGGATATAAAGAATTTTGATAGATATCCTCCAGACCGTGAACCTGTATTGAATGATTTTTCTGACTGGGATACTAACTTTTAATCATAAAAAATTGAATATATATTAATAGAATAAGCCTAATGGAAGCCTGGTGCTTTAAAATGTAATATATTTAAAATGTAGTATATTTACAATTATGTTAAGTATCTGTAAAAAATATTAATCCCTATTTTCTGACTACACATTCAGAGCCAAGTGCAGTTGCTTGGGATTTTCATTCAAAGCTCGTATATTATATGTAAATTTAATGTTATTTCAACTTGAAAATTTAAATTCTTAGTATCTAGCGCTGAATGTGTTAAATGTGTATTTTTTCAATAATCCGCAAGTTGATTTTGCTATGATTGTAAACAAATCTTATATTTTATGTTTCATACTATCTCATAGCTGCTATATATTTTTTTGCATTTTGTATTTATCATGCATGTGCATCAACATATTTAAATAATAATAATACGCAATTACGATGATTTTCGTTACGCATTAGTATTACGATTATATTGCAGCATTGATGAGGCATCGATGATATTAATACCATTGTGCTACCATCTAACGGACACTTATGACAACTTACCGTGTAAGAATTGCGCACCAAACTGCCGCCAAACAACTTTTGCGCTTATGTGTTTCCACACATTTTATGTGCACACGACTCTTTACATCGACTATTATTTCGAACGCCCTTTTTTTCTATACACAAGAAAATTTTTGCAGAACCGTTTTATATGGATTAAAATTCATGAAGTGTCCATACGATACGCAAAAATCGCAGGCGTGTCGTTTGGCGACAAATCTCTTCTGCTTTGTTAACATTTACTGATTTTTCCTTATATGGCCAAAAAAACGCAGAAAACAATGTTCGCTTAGCGCTCCCAATAATATCTCACACACACGAGCTTCTCTTTCAACGTGTCGACATCGCAAAAATGCAAACGGTCTTTGAGCCGCCATTACGCTCTAACGCTCGATATTCTGGCTGCGTTCCGATATTCACTGCCACAGAGGCTGTATTCCGTTACCCGCATATCGACAGTTGTCGGTGTCGTTAGCGGTTTTTCATTGCGCAAGTTTCTCATATAACAAAATACTGCTAACGACACCGACAACTATCGGTACGCGGGTACGGAATATACAACCCTAGCACTGAAATCTATCTATAGGTGACACAAACTATATATTTTGTCTCTGTTCGACACTGCCGACTGACTATTTCGCGAAATGTTCATTTTCGGTAGCTATTCGATAATACTTTATATATACATGGGGTACTTACATACTTCCAAAGCTCCTGACAATGATTCAGATGTGACATTCATCTACGACCAGTCGAAATCGCCAAAAATACGGAGCAGCATCTCGATTCTGTACCGTCGCGTCCCGATCCTCTTGAAAAATGAACGTTGCAACGATTAAGTTTCTCGAAAGTTCGAGCGCGCGCAACTTCACTCGATACTTTTAGGAACATATTCTCTTCTAAACTCTTATGACTCTTACGAATTAAATTAGGTTCTAAGAACTAAAAGTCTTATCCCCTTCGACTAAGAACATTTAATTCGTTAATTGTCGCATTAATTCAATCAATTTTTTGTCTTCGTGTAAATAGTAATAAATCGTTAAACCGATACTTTGTTACATTCCTATCGTCCAAGTATCAGTAATCGCGAGAGTTTTGATGAAGCAGCCAGTTTTCAATAATATATCACTGACATAGTATGTCACTATTTATAAAAGATATCACTACTTACAGCAAATAAGCACTTTTGAAAGTAGCGCCAACGGTAGGTTCACGATTCACCCAGCTCCACGCTGCCATTGGTTGCTGCGGTTTTCCATCGCTTGGCGCCGCGTTCAGTCAGCTGTGCATAAGGGCGCGCACAGTCAGCAGTCGCCATTCGTCCGTCGCGGAAAACGCGGGTATGCGCAAATGGCGTCGTCGTATCATAATGAACGAGAGTGTGCCGTGCAATAACGCGTACCAGCCTCGTCCTGGGCGTTCCGCGGCCCAGCTTGACGACGAGAGTGAGCGCAGTGACGATTCCATAATTGAACAAAGAGTGGCATAATCGACGTCGCCATCGCCGCCGTCCTGGTCATCGTCGTGTCGTCGTTATCGTCGTCATCATCAACATCATCATCATCATCATCTTTCTCATCGCGCAGCCACAATCGACGACAGGGGCAACGAGAGAAGGCTGGTGACAAGGAAGTGAGAATAGGTCCATAAGGTGAGTGACAAACGGTAACAAAGCTTTCGTTCTTGCGCGTGTATCGTGAAACGCGCGAATATGTAGTCGCGCGCACACGTTCGGCTGCGCATTCTTGGAACGAGTACGATCGTAGCGCGATCATAGCATGTCGATCGTTGCAACATCTGGTGCGCGGTGTCGTTGATCGAGCGTGTTTTTTCGATTACGCGAGAATTTACAGCCGCGAATACGTAAATCGTGAAACGGTGGACTCGTCGCGGACGCGAGGACTGCTCCGTTTTTGTTTTATGAAAGAGCGAGCGAGAGAGAGAGAGAGAGAAACGGCGACACAAAAGAGTGGGAGGAAGAAGGAGTGTGTGTGTGTGTGTGCGGGAAAGAGAGAAAGAGTGAGTTAGAGGCGGAGACGACGTTAGATGAACGCGCGGGTGATTTCCATGGAACGCGAAATAAAAATCGAAGCTACGTAGCGTCAGGATGAGAAGAGCCGTTGACATATATTCGATTAACTATAATTTCTAATGAGTCGGTAAATTGTTTTGCTCCTTGAGCGGGGAGGAAAGAGATAGGAAGTAGCGCAAATGGAGAGGAGAACGACAACATGATAGAATGTGAGCGAGAGGGAGCTCGTGCGTACATAAATGTCCGTTTATCCACACACATTCTGCACTTTGTTTCCTTGTATTCCGTGCTGTTTGCTTCGCCCCACCGCGAGGGAGATGTAATTAAAACGCGAACGAGTTTCTTTCATCGTGCGCATTATCTGTAGGTGGCGTCAAAATGAGGTCTGTATATTGACAGTTGTCAATTTTGCATTATAACCTAACATTTCCACGTTATTTCGTTCGAGAGTCACAAGTTGCTGCTGAATGTGTCTGAACTTTATCCTCCAATCTAACCTAACCTCATTTGATCTAACCTGATCTAACCATTCTCCTTATTGCAAACATTGTGTTGTTTCATTTATGTTATATATAATTATATAATACGCTGTGTGGAACTGATAGAAATAAGGATATCTGCATTGTTCGCGGATATAAACTTGGCTTGTGCGATGGCAAATTTTGAAAGAGAAAAGTTCGTTATTCGAATGCTTTTGTTGTTCGAGTCGCGCAAGTCTCAAGTCGTTCGTATGTCGTAATCGGAGGTTAATGTATCGAAAAGCTACAGGCATTACGTGTTAGACGAGTTAACGGGCTTCTCTTTCCGATCTCTCTGTCATTCACGATAAAAACGATAAAAAAGGAAAAATACGTTCAGTCGTTTTCTCAAATTCTACGGAAACGCAAAATCAGACATTTCTAAATCCGCGAAGAGATCGCCCGTAAACGTAAGATCACGTTTAATTTCTACCCCACGTAACACGCACGGCGAGATTTTCCGCTGTTTGACTCAAGTCAGAAATAGCAACGTCGGTTTTTCCGACGAATCAGGCGGAATCAGGAGGTGCGCCCGAAACGTGCGTCGATCGTAATCGATATCGTGAGAGTCAGCTTTTCGACATACGCGCGTAAACTCTCAGCATTAAATTGCACTTGCATTTCCTACAAATGTTATCGATACGTAGAGGTATACTAGTTGTACCATCGTAAATGTTTCGTAAGATCGTTTTCAAGTTCGAGGAAAAGCACACAGGGCGCGAAGGAATGTAAACATCGGCAAAATAGCCTGAACAGATAGTTGTGTTTGCTTTTTCTTTCCCAAGTCTCTTTCGTAAATTCTAACGTAAAAGATAAACACAGTAATGTTACTCTCTCTCTCGGCTTTGATATCACTTTCATCACGTTAGCTGTTTTAACACGTCGGCGAAAAGACAAGACAAAAACTCCACCAAGTAACATATAATGCGGTCTCGCAAACGTTATGTCGCTGTGTGTTCAAAACGGATAAACTCTCTTTTGTTGTTATTAGGAAAAATCCGAAATCCAAACGGCGCGTGAGCGGTGATCGTTGATGAACAAACGGATAAGGCATTTAACTTGGCCGACGCCAAGTTGGATACGGTCAGCTCGAGAGAGGGTCAAAGAGCATTTCATAGATAGCAGAGAAATACCAACCGGTGTGTGTAGGGTATGCGATACAATCACTGGCGTCCCCAACGTCACTAGCAGGTTACATAAAAAATCTTAAAAATAAAATTCTTCTAGTGTATTAACAAACAGAACAAGTGTATATGAATGGTGTATATGAATGGTAATACTCTGTTACCATTGCTTTTACATGTGGTTGCCCCTAGTACTCTAGAAGAAATTTATTGCCCCTAAGGTTTTTTTTTTTATATATATATGTACTCTGTCAGTGAGACCGTAGAGATGCTGATAATGGTATTGCTTGTTCTATTACGAAAAGATAAATTTGGAAAAACGGTTACTTGTTTCGTAATGTAATTCAACAGATTTCTAATGAAACTTGTATCTTGCATAAACTCCTGAATTCATTTTCCACGTTGCGGCGTAAACTTATCATGACAATCCCGGAAAGTAATAAAAATTTACGAGAGAAGACATTGCGGACGTTTCTAGCGAGCAAAGTAAACTTCGCGGCTAACGAATAGATCCGAGGCTTATTCTTGATGAACACGTATATGAAGAGATACATATACTATATTACACGCTATTATTCTTTACTCTTTGTTCAATTACTCTTGATCGTGTACTGACGACGTTTATCCGAAACTCGTGATACCAAAATGCGAAATGCACTTTTCGCGCCCTCGCGACATACAACGAACATACCGAAAGTCCGCTGGAAAAGCGACTTGCGTCGTAGCGAGCACTTGCGTAAGGTTGCTAAAAAAAAAAGCACACGACCTTAGAGCCCGATAATACGTAAGCGTGAGCTTACGACAATCGGCACTCGAATCGTCCGATCGCGCACTCAAGAGCGAAAGAAAGACACGCGTTGCAACAGATAGATACTGCTCATAGAGAGAGAGAGAGAGAGAGAGAGAGAGAGAGAGAGCGCCGTTATAGGCATCTGAGGCCTTTTAATTTTGCCGGCTGATAACGCCCATGGAAAATCCATGGGTTCTATTCGGAACCGGTTGTAACGGGAAAAAGCCCGGAACAGGCGAGCTTGCGTTCCTCGGATAAACGGGTCAGCAGGTCGTCGAATTACCTCCGTTCGGAATTTCGTCGCCACGTGGAGCGAAATACCGACAAAGATTGTTTTCCTCTATGAATACCGTTCCTCTATTTTTCGACGGAAGAGATTTGTAGAGACTGTAAAGTCTCGCGCACAACCGTGTGTTCTTGTGTTAAGATGAATGTCAAGTCTACGCTAATACGAAATACAATATCGAAAGTGGTTGTAAAATACATAAACGATGTAAAATACATAAACGATTCTCCACAGTTCATGCCAGTTTGACACTGAAAATCGAATGAGTAAATCGAGACGGACATAATTTTAAGTTTGTCATTTGCTTCTCTAGAAGGTTTCTCGCGGCATCCGCTAGAATGATGAGAAAAAAAATAATTGAACGTCATATATTAAATAAAAAAATTTTCTCATTTTATCATGACCGATTTGTTAATAAACATCGAGCGAGATTTAAAAAAAGATGTTTTTCATTCGTGTTATTTGCAAAAGCATCTTCGAGGGAGAAAGTTTTACGATAATAATAAAAATAATAATAATAATGTGTCCGGGAATATCGACCATGGTGTTTGTACTGTCGGTGTCGTACGCGAATCCACGTCGAAGTGTAAGAATGTCAACGCGAATAGGAGAGGAACGTGCAGGTCTCTCGGATAAGTCGCACGTAGTAGAGAAATTCGTCGCGCGTGATTGAGCAGATCAACGTTTGATCGCGTGCCGGAGAGTACGTGGGACACGTTCGCAGCGAATTGTCCCGACTGTGTTTAATTTTAGCCGTCATACACTAAGCGCCCAGAGGAGTCACTGACCACTGAGAATTCCGTTGGATTTACCATCGTTCCGGGAAAGAAACACCACGGTGCGACTATGCAACGCACCGTGCATTTTCGGAGATAAGGTCATTTAACCTGATCGCTTGTCACACGCGCTGTCGCAACATTAACTTGTTAATTGCGAACGGACAGGAAGCCTGGCGCCATCGCGGCCTCGGGTTCTCGCTTACGGCGAGCATTGTATGAGAACAAGATTGTAAGTTACTCAACGCACGTTTTTCCGGAAGCGTTCACCATGACGAGTTTCTACTCGGTTGTCGCGTGCACTACTTCCGAAAAGGATACCTCTATAAATAATACCGCGTCTAAATATTTTCACATTTGTTTATTTTTCTTTAATGTCTCGCTTGTGTATTATTTATTGTGTACGCTTTCATACATTAAGTACCCTACATCATTCATTTCATAAATTTACAAAATGCTTAATCATCACCGTCACATGTTATCATTCACAGAAATTCATGCGCTAAGTATCTCGACCCGTAATTGTCGACCTTTTTACCGACAATTTTATAAAAATGCAGCACCACACACTTTTATTTCCGTGTAAATTTAAACTATCCGGGTATGACGCTCACGCATGTGTCGTGTATATTTTGAGCATGCGGAAACAAAACTCGTTCATTTTTCATAGTATTAGTTAACATAATGCTCGAGACGCGTTAAAGTTTTATAAGTTACATCATACATTTATGCATACACTCTTCTTCTTTTCTTTTTCTTCTCAGTTTTTCGCAACATTGAATATAGTATGCTTTGAAATAAAGGATGCATCGGGCTAAACTTATCAGAAGTTTGATAACTGGGGTTTGTTGTGTCTGTTGAGTCTCCCTTTTCGCAAGCGCGCATAGATTTCGCACGAATTGAAACGAGGTCGTCTTCTAATCTTGTTGCATTCTACTTAGCTGGCTCTATTTTAGATCAAAAAACGCAGATCAGATGTGTGCTTAAAGTATTCGGTTGAATTTTTCGAACTCTCCACTATGATCGTTTCAAAAATTAACTAACCACGTAAATTATTTAATTATCCGCGTAATATATTAATAAATTAAGCTATGATGAAACATACTACACATAATTATATGTGTGTATATGTATCCAAAATTCAATTTATAATTCTAACAATTAATTAGTAACCCAAGTATTTCCATAATAATCCAAAACTCACAATCGGAGGATACGTATTCAATTACAAAAAAAGAGAAAAATACTCAACTCACGTACAGTCAAAAGCTCTCTCTTTCTCTCTCTCTCTCTCTCTCTCTCTCTCTCTCTCTCTCTCTCTGTGTGTGTGTGTGTGTGTGTGTGTGTGTGTGTGTGTTTGTTTAAAAATCGTTAATTGCCTCTAACAACTTAATAAAAAAAAAGTTTATTAAAGCGGCAAATTGTGTTCTTACGGAACAGAGTCACGGAATGCAGGCCGAGTTGATATATCGAAAACCTGCGACGATGACGAGCTCATCTAGTCAGAGTGGTTTTCATCGTGCCGGAAACGGTAATCGAGAGAGCAGCAGCCGGGACTCCCGAGAGACCATACACTCCGGCCACTTCATGGTGTCGGACTTCGAAGCCGAGGCCCAGGACGATGAGGACGAGCTGGCTGTACCGGTGCCTGACGAGGAAGTCACCGCCAGGTTGTCGATTATCGCCCAGCCCGGTTTCACCGTCGAACGATTCGTCGCCAACTCGTCGAATGACAAGAGTTCGCTGAGCATCGAGACATCCTTGAACAAGCTCTTCCAGTGCATGTCCCTTGCCTACAGGTGAGTTCTTCCTTTTCTCCGGCAAGTCCGATGTTCTGTTCATTACGTAGATGCATAGCAAGTAGTGCTATCAATATAAAAACCGAGTATTTTTAAACTCGAACATCTAAGCCTGCTGATATCATGGAATAAAAGTTTTTTTTTATTTTTTTTTTTTTTTTATTTCAATTATATGTTTTACTTTACGCATAAATCTTCTCGTTTTTCTTTACATAAATATTTTCCTTATCGATGTAAGGATATCGAGATAACCTGAAACAGTGAATACTTAAATCTCATTTTATTTTACTATATTTTAATATAAAAACTAAATATCTCATATATAAAGTATTTACATTTTGTTGTTTTTGTCTTAAATATTTTTACGTATAAAATAACTTGAAGAAAATGAATAAATATAGAAATAATAATCAAATTAAATAATTGAATATCCGGTTACCCGGATACTCTAAATTGACAATATTGTTGCCGAGTAACCAATCTTGAGCGATCTTGGAGCACAATGTTACATCTGTCACTAAATATATAAAGACATTAAATATATAAATACAACACGATGAAATAATAATGCAACGAAAAGATCGGAACTGAACGAGGATTGAATCGTCGCGTGATATTTTTCAACAGTAGCTCTTTCGGTCGTTGTATCATGTGAGGTCTAAGGTCGGTGTGGAGAACGGCGCTATCTTAAGAGGCACGTACGAGTCGATAATCGTTGATTCACCCGCCCGATTAAATAAGATAATATTTTGTGTGAGATAAACGCTGGTTGTGAGTCCGCATTCGTTATAGTCACGTCTTCCTGCGACTAGATTTCCTCTTCTTCTCCTTTCTTCTGCTACCTTGAACCGTACACCTGCATCACTTGAGATGCGGAAGAAGCGAGGAACCGCGGCCAGAACGAACACAGATCTCGAATATCAGAACACTTCTCTGCGAATTGTTTCGCGAAATGATTCGAAAAGAAAGTATCATTCAACCGATATCCGCGTAAAAAAGCGCCATGATGCGTTTCGCTCGAGTCCGGCAATCGGACAAATGCTGGTTGCCGGGCTGACAGCATTCCCGCTGATAAAAGACAATTGAATTAATGAAAGAGAGGCCATAGAACCAAACGACAACACCGCAATTAAGCGCGGCCTCGCTAAAGTCGCGGCGAAACACGGCTTCTGGCTGGACAATTTCCGTTTTCCCCTTGGCCGCCAACGTCTCCTTTTACGCGCACTTCAGTGCGCCCCGTAAACTCACTTTGGTTCGAGTTAACCCACGCTTGACCGATCTTGTTATCTCTCATATCTTCCTACGAACGAAATTCCAAATAGAAAATCGGCTGATGTTACGCAGTACCGAGTTATTAGTAAAATCTGCTGTTGTCACGTATACGGCGCGAATAATAATCTCGGATAATTCTAAAGACGCGACAATAAGCGACTATACAAAGTACAGAAGGAGATTTTTTCCAGAGAGGAAAAACAACGATGTTCGCAGTCGTAAGCGAAGCAGTTTTGCAATGCCAATAGTTTGAACTCTCACGCGCGCGTCTGCAAATTTGAATAACAAGATGTGATCGAAACTCGTTCATTGGGTGTTGCATCGCGGGAAAAAGGATAAATGGAGCGAATAATGATCGGCTGACACAGTAATGATTGTTGCTCGAAACGTATTTGTCGGACTCGTTCTCGGAGACAATGTTAAATACGGAGACCGCGCTGAAGTTAGGAAAACGATTCACGTGCGATTCAGTGCGATTATGGTGTCTTGCATGTTGATTATTTTCTACGGTAGTGGAAAACAATGAAATCGGCTCGCGTTGTTGTTTGGCAATCTTCGAGCGACGTCTTCTCCGGAAACGTCGTGCCGTGTAAAATTAATTCAGTACGTAAACGCACAATTTTTTTCTCTCTCTCTCTCTCTCTCTCTCTCTCTCTCTCTCTTTCTTCTGATCGTTGAGTTATTGTTCGAGAAATCTACCATGGGAACTACATCGAAACGTCGCGTTTATATAAAACGTTGAAAGGAAAAAGTGAAAATTAACAACAAAAGTATATTATAAAAATACAGCAAATTATATGTATTAAAGCGTTGAAATTATTAAATTACAAGGCAGATTAGTTAAACTTGTAGTTGTTTGTCAAATGTCTCGAGCGTACAAGATTTTTTAATTTATTAAGTATTTAAATTTCTGTCAATCTTTTTTTTTTTTGTATAAAGCTTACCAAAATTCACGAATTCGCAGAAAGTGGATTTTACAAATGCGTCATGGGTCGACGAAGCGAAAGTAATTTGCCGACTTCGTGTTCATTATCGCGTTTGTCGTGATGTCAAATTTGCGATGGGCTCGTAGCCCACGTAAGCAAACGTGAATGGACCATTGGGTGTCCTGTGTCGCGTTATCGTTAATTCAACGTTCAGGAAATCAACAAATTGCATTCACACCACGTGTTGCTTGCACATTCACGTTCGCTTGCGTCTGCGTTGCATAATGCGCATAACGCGAACTTCACTGAATTAATTGTGAGATTATCGCCGATAGTATGATATGAAGCAGGAGCACACACAAACGCTCGACGGCCTTCGCCGATGTCGCACCGCAGGAAAGCGAAACTTGCATGATGCAGATCTCTCGCTCGCCCCGGATTCACGGCCTCGTGACGGTTTACGATACGAAATTTTAGCGAATTTTTTTACAAAATACGATATATTTTAAACTCGTGCATCGTGCACCGTTATCGCTAGGAGATACGGAAATCTTATCGCGGAATTCTTCAAGACCGCTCACAGACTTTAGTAAAAACTTACCCGTTTTACGATCGTACATTTATCTATTTACTTATTTATTTTTTTGTTTACTTATCGATCGAAAACGATTTACAAACGAAGATATTCGAAATGAGAGTAGGTTGTTTTGGTTTTATTTTATCAAACTCGCATGCTAAAAATTGCAATACGAGTAAAAATTCTCAATCAGCTTGGCGTTATTTTTCTTCCTTTTCACTTTCTTGTCTTGAGGAAACGCGTCCTCTTGAATCCGACTGCCTATTCTGATCTAACACGATGTTATGCCGATATTTATAGAAGTCTCATATAGGTAACATCCTAAATCGGAACATCGCCGCTCGATCGAGAGGCGCAATCGCTGCGATTTTGCCGCGTTCGGATTCCAATGGTCACGGGGAAGCACGAAAACGACCCCTGTGTCTATACTCGCGACTGTTGAAACGCGATAACCGGAAGATGCACGGATATATACCCGTTTCCGCAATGCTGTGGCATTGGCAATTGAACTTGTACACACACGCGTGTTGCGACGGCGCGGGTTTGTACCGTGTCGATCTCCGCTGCAGCTGCAGCGCGCGGTGCAGCACGCGCGCACGACCGCTTTCGCGCGTCGCGAAAAAGTGAATCGCGCTAAATTACCGTAAAGGCCTCTCCTCCTGTACGTGTCGCACAACGTGTCTTTTATCGACCAAGGCCACTGCGTCATCGTGGCCGCTGCGTTCGTGGCGCGTACACCGTACGTACGCGCCAACGTAACACGTACTTCCGTACGAGAACGCATCGCGAACAACGTGCGCAGCGTGGGACGCGCGAATCCCTCTCTTCGACCTCGGAGAGCTCGGGAAAGGAGGCTCGCCGATCGGTGTGGTCAGCTATTTCCGTTCCTCGGTTATTTCCCCATGTGCTTTCGCGTATGGCAGTCGATGCTTTCGCGCGCGGAAGCAATTGATCGCCCAACTTATATTTGAGAGAACGCTGTAATTTGCATTCTACCGAAGCGCCGTCGCATTTCGTCGCACTCATACGATGCCATGTGAGCCTCTCTCATGCACAGTTCGAAATTGCAATCCACTCGAGGGAATTTTTTTCGTCAGGTTCAATCGTAACCTCGATGATTCTTTTTCTCAGGAAAGTTTCATGTCGAGTTCTCGATCTTGCAAAATTTCTTTTGGAGAAATTTCATATGAGGAATCTCTTTTGACGAATGATAGTGAGATTTGTGAGGGATTTAAGATTTAGAAATTGAATTAGTCGAGAGCATGAGGAGGTCACGTGAGATGAAATCCGTAAAATTTACAGATTTTTCGGGATATTTCGTGTGGCGAATGATTCGAGCGGCGGCGCCCGTCGCGGGAGTACTGTGATCGACAAATTTAGCTTAGTTTCCACGGTGATCTTTGCTCCTCGCTTATAAGTCTGATAATTAAAGCCGCGAGACTCTTAAAATAAAAAATGATATCGCGGTTTCGTGGCGCTTATCGAAGTAGCGATTGAAATTCCTCACCTCGCTTCGACATTTACAATTCACTTATCGATAGTTTTTGTTTTAGCTTCTCATAGACGATGACGACGACGACGAGTCTGTCGCTATCTATTTTTCTTCATTGCCGCGTTGAGTTTTGCAAATACGATACGCGACAATACGATAACAATCGAATCCGTTGCTCAACAGTAGATCACGAGAAATGGTGCATCGTGCAACGAACAAATAGCTCGTTATCTGATAATGAAATCTCTCGATGTGTCTCGTTAGACGCTAAAATGAGGGCTCGCACCCGATGACTTGCGCGTATTGTCGCACAAACGGAACTCAAATTGCCACGAGGAAATGTGTGCCGCGCTAATCTCAAATTCACAAAGATGTCTTGCAGAAGCAAGCATCCTCGACGAGAATCTGCACGACTAATTGAAAATTAGATCGATGGATATACCTTGGCGATCGTTTTGCGCTTTCATTATTTTCATTCGACGCTCCTCGAGTTGAACTTTGAACGGAATTTCGGACGGAAACGGCTCCGTTTGATCTCGTCGTCTGAAAGAGATTTCCTCTTTCCCAGATACGAGTTTCTCCTTTCTCTATCTCTCTTCCTTTCAATAACCAGCCGAGTTATCTAATCATGCTACCAGAAAAATGAAAATGGCAGTGTGAAGGAACACTCGGACGACAGACCAGGGTCTAATGCCAAGGAGAAGAACCCTCGTCGTATCCGCGTTCGCGATACGAGCAAGTGGAAATCTCCCGACTGCAAGATATTTTCTCGCTGTTGACTGTTCGCCGGCGAGACGATAACAAAACGTGTCCGTCGCTAAGATTCCGGCTGTGCATCTTTGAAATTGACTGAAATTGACAGTTTCACCTTGCAGCGAAATAAGACAAACGATTTGTTAACGCGCTAATGTCGTCATTAATCGGATCATCGGAAATTGATCTGTCGCTGAGAAAAGCATGGAAATATACATTGGTTAGGACATTTGGAAAGGTACACAACAAAAACATGGTAAATATACAACTTTAATTCGTGATTCTATCTCGTTAACATATTCAATGTTGTCTCGATTATCTGTGTGGAAAATTATGGAAATCATCAATATATAAGCGTCAGCCTAATTCGATGATTTTCTCAGACATTGTCACAAAATTATCACAAATTTGTGCCAGTTACGATAACAGCGCGATAACGCATGTAATGAAAGAAACACATTCGAGCGATATCAAGGACCGGTCTTTAACTCGAAAAGAAACCTTCCCCGATGAGACAAATTTTAATTCGTTCGAACGAACCGAATTCGTCGTCTGAAAAAAGGAAGCAAAGCAGAAACGCGCGTGTGTAAACGTCTTTCGCGCGACGTTTATTGAACTTGCGCGAATGGAAACTCCCTAGACGCCTTTGATCGCGTTCTCTCGGAAAATTTTGTGATTTCACAAGGCGGAGCAACGTGCTCTCTCTCTCTCTCTCTCTCTCTCCCCCTCTCCCCATGACAGTGCGCCCAAGGCGAAGTAACAAGCACCCACAGTACTGACGGGTCGAAATTATTTGCCACGACTATTTAATACCGTTATGGCTGCCTGATCCGCCTGATTGAAATGTTTTCGAGGCAGGAGGATAAACTAACGTGTTTCATTGACTGAGTTATATCCTCCGAGAAGCGCACGATGCACATCGTGCTAGCTGCTGCTGGTTCACTGACTTGCATCTTTTGCCATTCCGCCGTACGTAATAGAAAAATACACGTGTACGCGCAATGAACCGTACAATGCAATTATAAGTACGAAGCGTCACAAATGACATGTGAAACGCGAGCGAGGCGGCGAAGCACACTCAACTTGTATCGCCATAAAGGCTGACGTTTAATATCGCAGTGGGTATGACATATGGGCATTTGAATTTGTTCCAGACAGAAGCTGACATCGCCCAAGTGGAATCGCTTTAAAGGAATCAGGTTGCGATGGAAGGACAAGATCAGACTGAACAACGTCATCTGGAGATGCTGGCACATGCAGTGTAAGAGAAACTTACGTCCCCGGCTTTCTCTCGCTCTTTCTCGTCTCTCTCGTTTTTTCTACGCGTCAACCTCGAGAACAGACCCTCGGGATATCATCTAATCCTCGCATAAGTGTTAATCTTTTGGGCGTATCCGTCTTTGTCTTATCGAGATTGTTTCTATGAGACAACGGAGCATGATCTCAATAATTATCGGAACTTATCTCTCCCGCAATATATCGTCACATCCCGCGTAAGAGATCTCTCGAATCCTAATCTATCTTCATTGACGTCCTCGATCGGGATACCCGATGCTCAATCAAAGAATTGCACCAATCCACAGAAGTGTTTCTATATTTAACGTTTCAGTTAGCGAGACTCCCGGTGCAAGAATGCGATAAGTCCATGAAGCCTGTTCTTTTCAGCTGAGCTAGAATGCAGTGTTTGAGCTCGAAGCAAACGTATGATCCAGTGTTGAAAGGAAAAGAACCGAGGTTTTAGAGCAGCACTAGCTCAGTTGAAACGAACAGACCATGTATGTTCCAAACGTACAAAGTCCATATCAAAATTGTACTTTATAAATTATGTGTATTCATCTATTTATTATTCTTAATTATGCATTGCCTCGATTTTCTTATTCCTGCTTCTGTTTTGTTTTGTTTTTTCTTCTCATTTTCCTTATTTAACACAAATTTGAAACGTTTTGGAAAAAATCTCTTTGATTATGAATCGAACCCCAGAAAAAGCCCCCATTACGATTAGACGAAATCATTTCGACCTGCTTCGCCATGGTTCATTGACACTTCGATTACCATGATATATACAGAGTGCCGCCTGTCGGATTCAGACAGCTGCTAGCTGTTTTGCCATCGAATAACCGGATAAGTAATTACCACTCGTCTATTTAAAGAGCTCCATCCCCGCGCTACATTCACACCAATAGTGTTCCACATTCACCTGGCGCATGCCCAACTTATCATTATGAGTCAGGGAGTCGTTCTACGGTGTACTTACATTCGTGGAATCTGATCAGCGAATTTGTTCGGCGAGCGCGAAAAACAGGTGGTATTTGAAATATCAAGATAAAAGAGAGTACATGCATTCGCATCGAGCGAAAAAATGGTGAGAGAACCCGACACGCGCTGATGCTTTCCCCTTTCCCCTCGCTTGTACGATTAAAAGAGGAGAAAAACAAATAGAATAGCTCATAAGGGAAAAAAACAACAACTCGATCTCGACGTCGATGTCGATAAGATTTTTATGAGATTTCAACGGAACGATCCGTTGCGCCTGCAATTATTATTCTATTGTTCGAACGATTATTCTGTTAGTGGAACATTCAGACAATGGAGATTCGGAGATAATGAAGGTTCTCCAGCATTCTAATAAAGCGCTTAGTGACGATCGACACTATCATAAATCACAGGCCAGACACGTATGGTGTAATTGAGTAGTATTGAGTTGCTTAGATTTTAGCCCGGTAGCTGAGTATAATCGCCGTATAATTCCTTGAATCAGTCCGCCTGTACTCGTTAAGTGAGACAACGATAGTAAAAGTGGCGTTCATTGTAAACTGCTGTCTGCAATTGTATCTTGTGCCGCTTTTTTAAGCTTCCATTTACCATTACTCGTTGTTGATAAATATAGCGCATCGGTAGCGTTAAACACGGCAAGTGCTTGAAAGTGACTAGCATGTCTATCGACTTTATCATTCGCCATTAATTATTAATTTGCGGAAACATGAGTTTCGAAATTAGATTCAAGTCATCCGCGATGACACAGGAGAGGGAGATCACTTGATCGTGCAGTTTTTCCGCGATGCGATTCATCGATTTAATCGAATAATGTGTGTCTAATGGGACGGTTTTATTTTTCTTTTTTAGTTATATTGAAACAAAGTACGTTGGTGTGCCAGTTCGCGTCGCCACTTGACGTCGATACTCACAACAAACCCGAGGTACGTCTTTCGCACAAATTCTCTAAAATTCAATTAAATATTCTGTGTACTCGATCGTGACGGCGACTGACGAGGCGTCACGCGTCACATTATTAATGAAGACGAGAAACATCAATCTATCTGTTATTGTATTATCTGGTTTTGTCCTCTTACATAATTGGAAAGTGTCTTTATCGCAAATCGACGGTCGCTCGTTTGATTAGATAATTCGTTGCAGTTGTAATTCCTCGAAAACGACGCATATATACATTCGTGCGACATTAAGTTAAAGACAAAAACCCGTATAAGCTAATAAAGTTGCAAAGCGTTTTTCTACGCTCGGCAGTAAGGCTCGTATAATTGCGCTTAAGCGTGAATCAACGGCGTATCTCTTATCAGGCGGTGGTCTTAGAGGGAAAATACTGGAAGCGAAAGCTCGCGGCCGTCACAGCGGAGTACAAGAAATGGCGTATGTTCTATCGGAACAAGATCCTCGGCTGGACGAACAAAGATGGCACCGAGATGGTACGTAACGTTACACATAATAAAATATGTATATGTGACCTTTCTTACGATTGAACTATAACGTTTGCGCAGAGAAAAAGTATAATTCTTTTATTCTTATAGTAATGTTTATTAATTTTCTTATTAATTTAATTATTCGCGTCAATTTTAATTACTGTTCAATAATACAGTGAAAGGTAATATATAATATATAATACGCTTTTCAGATGGAATCAATGGACATGCTAGACTGGGACAGTGGAAGCATAACCACCGAGAACTACGGGATGGGTATAGGCAGTGCATCCGGAAGTATCAGTGGAGCTCCAGGCGGAGAGAGCATGATGGTTGATGAGGACTATATGGAGCTGATGACCGACACCCTCTTTTCGACCATCAGTTCCAATCAACCGATATACTTTCCTGATCCTAGAGAAATCGGTAATTCCCCTCGATCGAGATGTTCAACGCGCAATAAAAGCTATTCGTACGAACGAAGAAAAGAACCTAACGTGTTGAAAGACCGTTCTCTCATATCGTAAACTTGTATTTCCAGCGACTCGCGCTACCACGAATATATAACACGTATTTGTTATTCCTTCGTCACCGATAAAATTCGTATCAGCATCGACATTAAAATCGAATTACATTTATCGCGCGTTTTTTCGTTGCGCAAATATTGTACGTAACGCAAATTCACATGCATGAAATGTGACTCGACAGCCCGAGGTGCCAGTTTAGCAGACTTCATTCAACCTAGTCTGGGTCCTCTACAGCCCAATCTCGACGATTTCATGGACACGCTGGAGCCACTACAAGGTATCACAATGTGATCGTGTGACGTTAATCGATCGATTACAAAAGTACATAAAAGTGTCGCTCGCGTGACATAATATTTTGTTTTTTCTCGATTTAAGAATTCCTAAATTCGAAATTGCCTCCAGTCCCTGAGGAGGACGACATGTTTCGGAATAACAGCCTAAATGCTAATTATTCCGACCTAGACCTTATGACCCCGATTACTCAGATGAACGAAATAAATGAGGATCCGACGATAAAGAGTGAACAGAGTCCACAACAACAGCAGCAGCAGCAGCAGACGTTGGCTCAGGAAGTACAAGATGCTAACATGCAGAATCTCCATTATACCGCCAAAATATATACTCAGCCCCAGCCTGAATCATCAAGTGTTTATAGAAATAGCATGTGAGTGCACACTAAATTTCCCATTTTCTTTTCATAATTTTTCTTCATATTCATTACATATATTACATCGACGCCATATAGTCATCTTTATAAATAATATAGAATAAAAAAAGCACATGATGATAAAAATATGATCGATTGAAACGCTGATTCATGAATACTTCATCCGCTTTCATTTAGAGCTATGACTGAGAACTACAACGCTATTCAGCAAAACTTCGAGACATCCGTCACGAGTCAATCGACGCGAGAGAAAAATCGGAGTAGTAGTAATAGCAGCAGTAGCAGGGCGACGTCGTCGAGAAGTAGCCGCGTGATACAGCAAGCCCAACAGCAGAGTACGTACCAAGCGACAAGCGGGCAGCAGACGCAGAATTCCGGGTTCCAACCGTCGCCGGCGCAGTCATCTTACGCGATGGAAATACAATTAACGCCTGTGCAGAATCAACAACCGGTGCAGATCGCGGCGCTGAACGATCAGTCGGTTAATCAGATATCGTCGATCGTCGCCGCGGCAGCTGCTGCAAGCAGCCATGTGTCGAATCTGGTGGCGGTGCAACATAATTTCACGCAGGCGGCCAACTCGCCGCTGCAAACGCAGCAACGAGCAATAAGACCTTTACCGCCCACGCCGCCAATGTCCACGAAACCGTACAAGATCGTGCAACCGCAGCAGTGCTACAAGTTCTCAAACCTCACTCAGAATTTCAACGCTCAACAGTGTAAATTTAATGTCAATAATTTCAAGGTAAGATATCGATAACGCGACAATGGCGGCGATTGCTTTAGAGCCGCACATCATCGAACGAATGCTAATTGTATATATTTCCAGACGCATCCTACGCAACAAGTGATATCAGTGTCGGCGGAGCAGCCATCGCAGTCACAGATATTGCTGCAGTGTAGGCCCTCTGGACTAGACCTCACCGCGCCTGCTCTGCATCCTACCAAACTACTACCTCAACCTACTATATCCAGCGTGGAGACGGAGGAGATCTTCGCCGTACCTAAGGTCAGTATGGCTTTTAAGACAATGGCTTTAAGACATTGGCTTTTAAGACAATATAAGATAAGAAAACTTTTGATCTCTAGCAGAGAAAGATTTTTATATATATATATATATTTTTTTTTTAACTCTGCACTGTGTGTAGGATTATTTATCTCGCGATGAATTTTAGTGCTCCATAAATCTTGGTTTCTGTTTTAATTCCAATTTTAGTCCCAATTGTATATCCGTAATTTTCCCACTTAACATTTTATCATATTACTCGAAATATTAAAATCTTTCTTCATTTCTTAGTACCAAATAAAGGGAAGAAATAGATCACGCAGCAGCTCGTCCCTAACAGCACCCAGGATACATCCACCGTTGGTATCTGCAGTGAGCGATCCAGCTCTGAATCTGAATAACAATGTCTTGCTTGCGCACTTGCTCACAAACAGTACGTATATTCTTATCACGCCTCTCCACCTCTGAAAAAGTGCCTAACTACACAGGAAAATATACTTAAAAACCTTGGATCTAATAAACAGTCAGAGTGTTCGTCATATTATATTGTTTCCCAATTGATTCATTGTTTCTTCAGCCTCGTCTACGCAAGTGACGACTACGCAACACATTACGACTCCAGTGACGGTTCAAACTATGCAGACTTCCAACATACAACAGGCGCAACCGCAACAGCAGGTATTACAATTGGCAATTTATATGATGCAACCATAATTCGATGACAATATATTTCGATAGAAATTTATGCATATTTAAATCTCCTTTATGCTTCTATAAATTCTAATTCTGATTTTGAATTCCTTTCCTGATTTGGAGCCTTTCTATATTTACTTATACTTTTATACCAAAAAACTAATTATTCCTCTTGTATCTTTTTTATAGGTGATGCAATCGTCCACCTGCAATCAACAGATTCTTTTAAATACAAACAGCCAAACGCACCAATCCCAAAATAGTCCTAGTTCGCCGAAGGACAGTTCAAACGCTCACAGTCCGCAAACATTGAGTCTCAGTCCTCTGCACAGCCCTATGAATATAGGCAGCCCATTGTCACCTAATCGCGGATACATAAAGGGTGAATCGGAAAGGGGACAATATAAGGAGCAGAGGAGAGTCGGCCACATTCACGCGGAACAGAAACGTCGATATAACATTAAGAATGGATTCGATATGCTGCACAGTCTAATACCGCAGCTCAATCAAAATCCTAACACGAAGCTGAGCAAAGCTGCGATGCTGCAAAAGGGGGCAGACTACATTCGGCAATTGAGAGCAGAAAGGAATCAGATGAAAGAAGAGATGGATAACTTGAAACAACAAATCGAGTGCCTTAATACGTCTATTAGGTATGTTCGTGCACTCAACATTGAAGAGGTCTGTTTTCATATCTGTCTTAAATTTATATCTTTAAGTAATTAGAGGATTAGAAAATTAAAATTTAAAAGAATTAGTAAATTAGAATTTATTGAAAAAATATGTATTATCTGTTATAAAATTTTTCATATATTTGTAACTTTGCACTTGTGAAAAATCTCGGACGGATCTTATTTTTGAATAGTGAGTTCAGGATGAATTCAAGACAATTTAAAAAGTATAAGCTCTTCAATCATAAAGAGTATTATGAATAATATATTACATACAGATAAGATATGTACATATTAAGCGAAGTAGTATATAAGAGCAAATACATATAATTATACGCTAGTCTCAAATACTTCATGATACAATACTCTTGTAGTAATTGTCAATCTATGCTTCCTGCAACGGGTGCTCCAGTTTCTAGCCATAGAACAAGCAAGATGAAAGAGATGTTCAACGAATATGTGCGTAAGCGCACGCGAGAGAACTGGAAATTCTGGATTGTATCCTTTTTGTTTTCTCCATTTCTCAAGGCAACAGATTGCACAACATAATATTTCCGAAAGATCTTCCTTAACGAAGTAATCAGTTTAGTACATTGTTAGAACCGCTGATGTTGTCCTTCGATGCTTCTGTCTCGACTGCGAGTGTAAACGACTTGGAGACGAGTACAATATTATGGGTTGAGCAGCAGTGTTCACTCACCCGCCTCAGGCCAGGTTGGTAGAAAATGTGAAGCAATTAAAAGAAAGTATTTTAATGTCTCCGTTGAAAATATGACAATTAATATTTTGCAACTGGAAAGAAAATTCTAACTGCGAGAAAAAGAATTAGATCGCGATTATTATATATTTTCAATATTCATCGAAATTATCTTGAATTCTTGAATGTTAACTATAAAGAACTAGTATTCAAAAAATTGAGAGAAAAATGTAACAGATAATCGATAAACACATACATTGCAAACATCCTGGTTTTGTTAACCAAGAAATTGTTTTCAGCCGTTCTGGATTGCCTGAGGCATTTGTCTACTCAAACTGATATTTTATCAAACCCAGCTCGTCTCCCCGAGGAAGCGCTCGAAGCGATTAATCAAACGGAACGCCGGTCCTCCACACAGTGACCAAGTGCACGGATTTTGTTGCAACGTTGTTCGCGTGTTGTATAAAAAAGTTCAAGATTTAGATACGTATGAAAACGGAAAAGATAGTTACCGTATAGCTTAAGTCAACCTATGCAAAAAAAAGATAGGAAATTAAGACCGGTTTTGTTGCGGCAGATTTACGGAGCATCGCTAAGTACGATGACGGGGGCGAAAGAATCAGAATTTAAGTGCAATTCCTCTTTTTATTGCAAAACGTCACGTTTGCAAGAAAACATTTGAAGCTGTGAAAATTTATCGTGACGGATTATATAAGACACGTTTTATATAACGTATTTGAAAATAAAATATACACGTGTATATTATCCATCACCACCACCGCAACCACCACCACCATCATCATAATATATGCACATCAAATATATACTAATGTAGCCATCGATGTGGCCGCGCACAATCATTTGCAGGTAATTATTTTGCAATAAAATAATTACATGCATAGTTTCACATTTATTTCGCGCAATCATGTATGTGTTATCTTAAAACTATATCAAAAGTCAGAGAATATTTTATAATTACCTCTACAATGAATTGTATAACATTTAGTACTCGCGATGAAGGGTTAACGCGTTTGTGAAATTTCGTAATATGATTCATTCCAACATTTGAGAAGCGTCTCGTTTAAATAATAGAAAGTTTATAATTTATAGCTATCGTAATTATTAATTGCAAAATGAGAACAAAGAAGTTTTGCACAGATGCCTATAGTTTTTTTCTTTTTTTTTCTTTTTTTTTCTTTTTGTAAACAAATTACATCAAACAAAAATGAAAGATATCTCAAACATTAAATTACTTTTGTTGTAAAATACCGTACTTATTTATATAAGTATGACTAAAAGTTACGTGATATTAAAACATTTCTTTAATATGTCTCCAATTATATCATATTAAAGATATGAGTCAGTGCCATAAGTCATTATCATTCTAACAGATTGCAATCAAAGATAATTGTAAAGGGATCATTTTTGAGTGATATGACTAGAGGTATAAAGATATAAGTAACTTTTCAATATGTAAATTATCAATATTGGTTATATTGGTAGTATTTGATAAATTTTGCGTTGCCATCGAATTGTTCTGCATGGTTGCGCCAGCAAAAGGAATTACATATATGTCGATAATTGTATGGACGATAAAAAGAGGGTTGCTCAAACATATAACATTTATGTTCACAACGTTATGCAATATAAGATCTTTAATATATATGTGATAATGTACAAATTATTTACAAATTATTATTAAAAAGGTTTGACTACCGAATAGAGCTTAAGCTACAAAGGGCTTCTGCATATTGCAACGTTCTTATTAATGTAAAGTTAATTTGTTGTACACACTCAAATTAAGGAAAACAGAAACGTTCTCGATACTTTGTTTTGTTCTTTTCATCTATACTTTAAGGTGATTCGTTATTCAAAAGACTTTACACACGATACGATATACAGATGCCCTCACTTAACTTACACGTGTATATACATGTGTAAATGATAGATAATATAAACGAACTCAGCGCGAAAGGGATGTTCTTTTGTACAATATGTATCATATAATCATAAAGACTCATATATATTGTTATTACTTCAATGTTACAACATGAAGAAATCTGAAATAATGTATTTTATTTATACCCGTACCACATTTGTTATTTTTGATAACTGTTATTGATGAATGAATGATTGATTATTGAGAAATTACTTGTGGTACAACCAGGGCAAATAAATTAAATCGGAATATAAACACACACACACACACATATGTATATATACAATCTTATGAATACTAGTCTTTTGTAATCATCAAAATATACTTGGATTCATTTGCATTGAGACAAAAGATGAATCAATGAATATCTCTCTGATGAATATTACTTCAACATGGTCTAACAATTTTTGTGTTTAAATTTAATGAATCAACAGATAAAATAACAAGATGCTATAATGAAATTGAATATACTCATGATATTTTTTCTTGACAATCGACTATATCAACAAATTTCAAAAAATATTGAAATTGCTTTTTAATATAAATTATATAATGATGAATATGTTCACGTTCTAAGACACATTGGTATATCAATATTTTGCAGTTTTTGCTTAACAATTTTGTTCTTGTTTCACAAATCTAGTCGAGTTAATTGTAAATGATCAAAAAATTAATGCTAAAGTAGAACAATCGTGACATACCATGTACAAGTTGATATTGTTACTCTCAGATATTACTGTGAATGTTGGCGTTGTGGAGCATTGTATTGCATGTTTAAGCAAACAATCATTGATTAAACATTTTGCTTCTTGAGCAGTACGACTAACCAACATCAATCCACAGGTTGCACAAGTTAGACTATTGTTCTCTTCAGTTAATATAGCTTTCTGACATATTGGACAAATCACATCATCATTCTTTTGATCACAGTACATTGCTAGATATTCGGTTTCCTCTTGCGAGATTCTGTCGTATTCTTGTAATATCCATTGCTCTGCATTAAATCAAAATATATAAAATAATGTTTGTCTAACCTATATGTGTGCTTGCAAGCAGTAAATCTTCCATTAATAAAAAGCAGTAAATTATTTTAGAACTTTTTAGTAATGATCAAACCTTGCTCTTGAATAATTTGATTTTCTAACTCTAGCGCTTGTTCCTCAGTTAGCTCATCTATCTCGTTAAATATATTTCCTTCATTCACATCCGATGTTTTTAGATTTTTTATTTCTTCGCGTATTACTTCCATCAATGTATCTTGCACATGTTTTGAATTAAATTCTAAATCAAACCTATGTCTGTTGAACAGTTGATTTCTTTTCTCCCGCATTCTCTGACGACATTTCTAAAATAACCTTTCCAGTATTATTTCCATATATTATATACAATTTAAAAAACATAGAACTAATCTTATAGAGCACTGATTCAAAACTCTACTTGAAAAAAATATACATTTATATATACTATTATGGAGAAAATAAACTATATTGAAATTACATGCAAAAAGCAAAACTAAAACAGACCTATAAAGTTCATTGATTCTATCTTTTATCAATTGTAAAAATAATATTAATTTATATAAAGAGACAAGCGTTAAATTAACATTTGTGCAATATCACAAAATCTTTCCCAATGGGATCTTTAAATTTTATAGTGTAAAAAAATATTCTCACAAATCTATACTTTGGGAGAAAGAGGATAATATAAATTTCTTTAGTTCTTAATTGCGAAAATTTTGAATTTGTAAACATTTCAAATTTTCTAAATTTCTAAATTTAACTATAAATTTCACTTTTCAGTCAAAATATCAATTAATCAATGATATTAAAATAACATATTATTTTAAAAGATTTATAAATTTTAAACATTTATGTGAGAGAGAGAAAGAGAGGAAGAGAATGTGTGCATGGTAACAAAAGTTCAAAAAAATTTATTATTAAACGTCAAGTAAATATTGACTTTCCAACCTCTCGCAGCGTCTCTTGTAACTTGGGCGATCCGTGTCTGATTTTATTCGCATAATCCCTGTTCCTCAACTTTGCTGTATTTATTGAGTTATTTGCCATGACTTATTCTGTGGATAAAATCAAACTGAATAAAATAAGGATGTTTTTTTTTCCAAAGAAGATCGTCAAATTCTTTTCCACTCCAGTGCAATGTGACATTTCATCCGCATGCGCAACACTAGATTCAAATTCAGATTTTAATAATTGGCTACAGGTTTCTCTAGGAAATACCCATATTCAGGCCTTATATTTGAGGCTTCCTTATATCTATCTTTAGATGCTGCATGGATTATTTCATTGGCTACAGACCATCTGAAGATAAACTTAAGGAAGCCTTAAATAAGGCCTGACTATGAATACAAGTGTCAATCCCGTAAGCCAAAGCCCGGTCCAGAATAGGTTGCAAACACCCAAGGGCTCGATTCCTGACGGCGTACGAATGAGATGCGTATGCGAAAATGTATAGTTCACGTCACATATAATATAGATTTTCGCATGCGCATCTCATTCGCACGACGTCAGGAATCGAACCCGTTGCGAGTTACGAAAGATAGCAACTATTAGTTACAAAGTGCTATTTTCGGTTGTAAAGCCAGCGGCACACAAAACTGCGTTTTGATTGGTGCATTTCCATCCATCTTCGGAAATGTACCAATCAGAACGCAGTATTTTCATCCAGCAAGCAATCCAGCACGGAAACAAGCACCGTGTGCCGCTGGCTTTAGGTTTGTTCTTTTTTCTAAACTAATGTAATAAGTTAGAATGAAATATATATATTTTCTTTTACTCTAACTAATTGCATTTGTTCTGAAGTTCTTCAAAAAGGAACACTTGTAATTTTTAATAGAACCATCGATACACACTTGTAATTTTTAATAGAACCATCGATAACACAATCGATCGATATTATAGTTTCGATAATCACATTACAAACTATCGATGTGATAAAATATCGATAATTACCTATCTATTTTTTAGATATCACGTGTCTGCGAAATAAAAATATCTAGAGTTTAAAATATATAGGAAAATAAAAAAATACAAAATAAAATATTATATAATGTAGATAAAATATTATTATAATCACAAATATGGGGCAATCGCAATTTCCAGTTTGTAATACAAACTTTTATGTCAATTTATATAACATGCAAAAAATTGACTCATATATGATATATATACGTAAACTGCTTTCTTTCATTTTACAATTCTTTGGGTGGTTGTATAATAGAAGTTCCATCTAACAATTCGCTTACTTTATTCATATAATGATGATTAATTTATATACAGAAAAAACAATGACAGCAAAGTAAGATGCTGTGACTCATTACTCCATGTTAGAGCAATGGTGAATGTTGACTAAACGTATACATATAAATAATATATGTACACGACATATTAGTCGTACACGTCTTCTTTATCGGCTATGTAACGTACTATGTCTGTAGGTCTTAGTAATCTTTCTGCATCCATATCTGGAATCTCAAAGCCAAACTCATCTTCTACTGCCATGATAATCTCTACATGGTCCAAAGAATCAAGGCCCAGGTCATTCATAAAATGCGACTCCAAAGTTAGCTAAGAACATTTAATATATTGTTAGATTACAATTCAGATACAGTACAGGTACATATAGACTTCTTACACAACTGACACTTAGAACTCTTAGAACCAGTCAATAAAAGGAATAAGTCAAACTAAATATGTTTTTTAAATTAAATAAAAAATTACAAAACATGTATATTGAATTTTAAATAGATATAAATATTTATACTTTTGACATGATTAAACATTGATGATTATCATATGCAATAATCAATATTTACCATTTAAAATAAAGCTCATATTTGCATGTCAGTATGTATACAGACGCCACGATCAAGCAAGGTGTTGACTATTTTTTCTTTTAAAAACTATCTCTCAAAATGTTTCAGTAAATATAAAAAGTAATATAGTCCAAATGAAGGACCATATTAATCTTTATATTGACTTTATTTTGTTTTCTTGAATATATTTTGCACATATTATTTACAAAAACATCTTAGCAAGTAATTTCAAGAATATATTTGATAGATACCTTTGAAACATCAACTTTATCATAAAGTTTTAATAACAACAGGACTCGCTGACCGATAAGGTCAAGAGTTAGCGGGGTCTTATGACTGTAGTGGCGCACCTGCTTGATGCGTGTGTCCCTTAAGCCCTGTAAAATATTTCCCATAAAATATATATATATATATATATGTGTGTAACCTTTTCTGCAGTGACTTCATTATAAGCACCCACAACTTTTAATACACGTTCTTGAATAGCCTTAATTGATTCTGGTTTTGCTCTAGTGCAATATCCACGATTGTATTTTACCTGTATTCATTAACCAATTTTTATATATTAATATTTATGTTTTAATACTCAGAAAACATTATTAATTGCATGTGCAAAACCTGATTATACAAAATAACAAGTAATCATTACATTATCACAATCTAGTCATCCTTAATTAGAATAGCAATGTATGTACATTAGTCAAGTATTAATTTAATGTTTCTTTTTATCATACAAACGCCTTTAATATTCTACGACTTGCAATTCTGGATAGTAGTTACAACATTAATATATGAAATTGCAATAAACAGGAACTAAGATGGATTCTGTTCAAAACCACATGAGAGACAACAAACCATCTTATCCCAAATATTTTCTATATCTCATTGCAAATACGAAAAATGTAAAAGAACGCAATCAGAGGACACAGAAGAGCCGGTAATTTGTCACGAACGTGACGAAATTCAAAACATTAAATTCAATTCAAAATAAGAGCATCGAGGTCGTCGATCAACGACGAGACCGGGTTGCACGTCGTGGGGATTCTTCAGACTCGCGAGTCTCTCGACGAACACGGATTTGGATCTTTTCATCAGTTACATAATACACATTTTACAAACCACACGGTGGTCGCTCGTGCGACGAAGTAATTCGAGAAAAAGAGCACAACGACGACGACAACATTGGTTTACCTGCGGTGCATTTACAAGAGTAATTCGTGCAGCGCAATGCAGCATTCGCTGCTCGCATTCCGGCCGTACGGCGAGCGTGACACGGACAGAACATAGCCGATTGAGCGAGTTTCTGAAACCGGCATTTCTCCTGGCCAACAAACGAACACCACTTGCCACCAAGGACGCCATTTTCACTCGTAATAAGAGAAATAAGAAGCACCCACGACAACGACGGCGATTCTTCGCGAGACTATTCGGACACTTTGTGGATTACGAAAGCCACAGCACATGCTGACATCTACGCGCGGCAAATCTTATCACACTTATCAAATGGAACGCTGATCGACATTGCGCAGTATGTACTGATTTTTCATTCATGAGAATCGCTAGCAGTTACCTTAAAAACCCTTTTTTTGTATATAATAAAAGTAAAAATGATGTCGAAAATAAAAATTAACCTTCAAATAATGTAATAACTTTTTTACGTCTTTAATGAAAAATGGAGATCATAGTATAACTCAATGACAAATCGGACGGACCTTTTATTTTCAAGTAGTACAACTCCATGATGTAAAAATTTTATTTATTGTTTAGCAATGTAACTGATCAACAAATTAGATAAACCTTGTTATATCAATATAATCAAATTTGAAGATATAATCCCATTTCCAAACGAAACTAAAGAGCAAACAGCTTGACAACGAAACTTAACATATAACAAAAAATATTATAAAATTAGAAATTGTTTATTTTTAGTTAGTCTCATCTTGCATAAAATATTAATAGAAAAATATTACGAAAAGCTACGAGTAACTCTATCTGTCATTATTATTATATAATTCATCAATCGCTTCATCAATATATTGATGAATACTCATATCTATTAAAAATATACATGAACACATCGATTCGTTTGCAGTATATATTTTTTTTCAATATATGACAATATTTCATTACAAACATAATGATCTCTAATTTCTGTTACACTTCGTCGATAACAAACCTCGAATACATCAATGAAAATGAATATCTAAAATACACGCGAGACATGTTTACCACAGAATCTTGCTGAAAGACATTTTCCGCTTTCTTTCATTAAAAAAAAAAAACCTCAACAAAATGTCTTTTTACATTCTCGAAAAGAAACAGAATGAAATGTTTCTTTACATTCTTGAAATAAATATACAATCGTAAAAAAGATATCCATCTATTAATCTATCAGTTGTTGTTTTAATCTGTGTAGCGTAAGCGGCAGCAGACCGACGAACTCTCTGCACAGACTTATGAACTCGTGTTTCTTCAGCTCCTCCGCCTTCTCCGGATACTTGTCACAATAATTCACGATAAACTGATAAGCGTCGAGACTCTTTTGCATGTTCTCTATCCTCAGCCCCAAATCGGAAGTGATAGTCTTGTTGTACAGCCTGCCTATGAGAAAATGAGTATACAATGCTTGATATAGCTGGTCGTCCGAATACTTTGGAACTCCATCATCGGATTTGCCGGTCTCCAGTGAATCTAGATATGAGCGGAAGTGGCTTATGCTGCCCTTCGACAGATGATTGATCTTCGTTATCATGTGAAGGGTAGGCTTTTCGTCAGACGCCTGCAAACGATCCATCTTAATGTTCAGAATCTCCGAATATGTCTCACCCAGCTCGATCCAAATCTCTCGGCAGACAGCGCGGTAATACTGGGGATTCAGTTCCTTGATCACACCTTCGAGAACGTCGATCCGTCGCTTGTGCATCTTTGCTTGCCTGTCCTCGTGCAATTCATAGAACGACAGGTACCTGTACAGCTGCGAGATGTCTTGTATGATGCGCGCATAGTCGGACGCATGATTCTCCAAAGTATAGTACGCCTTCGCCTTGTCCAACCACTTTTGCACGTTCAGGAACACCGGTCTGGCGTCCTCGAAGTCGAGCAGGTACTGATCCGTAACCTGGCCAGTGATGGTCTCCAACTCTGGCTCTATGTCCACGAATCTCATAAGTTCCACTGTAGGTTTTGTAGATTCCGTTGCCCCAGAGTTCAAATCGTCCGACGAGCATTGATCTTCCTGATCAACTCTTCTCAGCAGTCGTTCTTTGGACGCGCTCAGTAGAGTTATACCATACTTTACCCAACACCTAGCAACGTCCGCAGATCTATGATAATAAGTTTCATATTCCGCAGCGATGCTCTCGCTGCTCTCCTTTTGGCCCTTTGCCTCTAATATATTCTGATGTTTCTGTAATATGTGGGATGCTGCAGCTAGATGATACCTTGCTTGAGAAAAATTATCATGCCCTATGAAATATTGAGATAATGTTGCAGCATTTAAAGCCCAGTCTATATAATCCACATCTTCCTGACTGAGCTGCATGTTCAATGTCTTGTGACAGTATGCTGCAAACCTGTCCTTGTCGTCCAGTGTATTATACACTTGTGCAAGATAATACAAACTTAAGGTATGAAGTTTCTCCAGGAAATTCTCAGCGCTCAATCCTCCTGTATTCATGCCCATCGCAACTGCCACATTAACTGGAGCGAGTCGAATATTTTCTGTGAATTCAATATACAGTTTCTCAGCCTTTTCCAAAGCAACCTTAGCTTTCATTGGCTCACTCCACTGTGCATATAGTATACCCAGTTGATTGAGGGCACTTATCATTGGTAAGATGCTTCCAGGTTCTAGTTCTCTGTCTTCCAATAAATCAGTACACATTATAAATTGTTCCTCAGCAGATTTTGTCTCTTCAGAGTCTAAATGTATTATGCCTAAATTTAAATGAGTTATTGCGAGCATAATTATCTCATTCTTTGGTTCTATTGAACCAGTCAGCTTAATGTTGAGTTCTTCTATAATCTCCTTTAAAATCTTTGTAGCTTCATAAAGTTCATTTGAATTATTCACTCCTTGTTCATCTAATATTTTTCGAACTTTCAGATATTTATCTCTTATGTTTGCTGGCACATTCAATTCTTTAGCTTCCATTTTATAATCCAATATAGAGATACTTAAGTTTTCAGTACTTTGTACACCTTATTCTTGTTTTAAATAATCTTGTTAAAATAATCACCTAGGCAGTCATAAAATTCACAATGAGATTTAGTTGTACTGTCTCAATGATATATTCAATGTAATATAAATTTATTGCCATGTAATATACAAGTATAGCTATTGATGCCAACACCTAATAACATAGAAATAATTATTAAACAATGAATATTTTGAAAAAATTCTGGAAATAATTTTTACTGAGAGCATCCAATAGTTGTCACATCTAACAATCTATACTAACCAGTTTATATTTTTATATTATTGACTAGAGATAATTGAATACACAATAATCATCGCAATAACAATATCATCGTAACAGAACACTCGCTGAAACGTTTAAATTTTCTTTTTCAGATCATAATTTCTAAAAGAATCTCTCTTTCTCCTCGGTACTTTATTGCTACAAGAATCTAATTTACTCTTCTAGGGTACCATCTTTTCTCAAGAATCTACAAGGACATTTCGCTCGATGTGCCAACTACTATGAAATTGCCGGATCATCAGTGGTATCGAGTTTGCATCGCTGGATTCGCCAGTCTTCAATAATATTTAGTCTATGACCTGTGCCTATAGTTCCATCTCACAATTCATTTTTTGGATGTCCGTAGCCAATGAAAAGATCTGCATCTGCAAATTCTAGTGCAGCACTGGTTGCACCTGAAAAGAGTAAACGTAATGCCCGTCTCAGACTACGAATTGGGATTGAGTATTGGATTGAAATTTAACCAATCAGGGCTAAGTTTATTATATTTGAGATTATTTTCTTTTTTCCAATTGGTCAAATTTCAATCCAATCTCAATCCCAATCCATAGTCTGATACAGGTTTAAAGACGACACTTCAACACTGTCAGGATCGCCGGTCTTCGATAAGATTGAATTCATGACCGAACGCAGTCGAATCCGCTAACCGAGCTGTACGATAGAGTTTAAAACCAGGCATAAGCATATTTGGACGGCCATTTCCGTTACTTCATTGCACAAAGACGCTTTGCGGGGGTCCGTCATCCAAAGTTCTAATCTTTTCTGCAGAATCCGAGTACCATTGTACGTACCGTGCAACCTGTATTTCGGATTAATACGTAATGGTACGTGGTCGGGTAACATAACAGTCAATCCCTTACAAGTGTGTGTTACGTTAATCCCAACGAAGAACGCGGTTGTGTAAATAGCACGTAGTGACGTTTGCGCACGCTCAGTGCGCATACGCGGTCAGATGAGCGCGGGATCACAACGAAAGGACGCGAGAGGGGATCGTAGAAGAAGCAAGAAGACTGTGTAATGCGAATGAGAAAGAGAAAGAGCACGAACAAGCAAGGGAGAGAGAGAAACTGATCGCGGTGTTCCTGGTTAGCCGCCGTGTCTGTTCGACGGAACTTACGTTGGGTCCGCTTAAAGTTTCAATTGACGATAAGGTACGGCGACAACGGCAACGTAATACTTGATTACACAGTTCCGCGCGGAGATCGGTCGGCTCACGTTCGCGGAACGTAATTAACACTTGTTTTGACCAGATCGTGCAATGGAAAGCACGAATGTGAATGGCGGGAATGCCGAGGTTCCGCGCGAGGATTCTAACCTCAATGAAAGCGTAGGTAGTGCCAGCGGCGAGAGCGTCGTCTTACCAGGCGATACACCTGCAGCGATACCAGTCGAAACGCAGCATTTACCCGATAAAATATCGGCGGAAAGCGGTAACACTGACGCACAAGAAGTTAATGGTGATTTCAATAGCTCCTTCAAGAAACGTCCTGCTACGCCGTCTTCGCGCAAGAAGCAGTTGAAGTTCAAGGCCAATTCCGATAGCACATTGGAGAGCGATGCAGAAATAATGGAGACGAGGTTGCATAAACGTAAACTCGTAGATGTGGATGAAACCAGCTCCGATGAGTCGGCGGGATTTAACGGCTTTGACCTTCAGGTTCTCAGCGAGATACGAGGCAGTAGTATTCTGAAAAAACTTATTGGTAATATTTACTTATTAGCTTTTTGTTATACTTTCTGGTAGCTATCGGGAGGTAACTGCAATTACTAGCATGTTCCCAGCCAGAAAATTGGTCATTATTTTTCTATAATTTTTCATTCACACTATGTAGCTTACGTATCTTCAAAATTCCTGGAATTATATGTTATACATAAAGTTTAAGCATAGATTAATAATATAAAGAAATTTTATGATAAATTTAGTTCGGGACAAAAGTAAAATTTATAGCCTGACATATATTAAGTATGTATATTGAAAACATAATGTATATATATACCATTTTTTATCATATAAAATATTAAAAAACATACTCAACTCAATACTCAATATAGAAACATTATACATTTATATGTAAATGTTAAGGTAAATTTTATATTGTGTTATGAGAATGAGTTGATAACTTCTAAAAGCTTTTGTACAATATATTCCACAGTAACTTCTTTTACTATTGTATATGTAATAATCATTAAGCTTTACAAATAACAATCATTATAAATGGTAATTGTTATAAATAATTAAACTAATGAAAAGTATGTATTCTAAAAGATGATTTATTTAAAGGATGATTCAATTTTAGAAACATTGTGTTCATAACCTTGCGAAGGTAATAAACAAATTCTTTGGAAACTGATTTAGAGCTATGTTCTTTTTTATACTATAAAATTTCTTAATAATATCAAATAACATAAACTGTCATGTTAATATATTTAAATATATATAATAGATGATGTAATAGATGACAGTGAAATATGCAAGGTAAATTTGTGGTTTTATATAAATTTCTATTTATATATTATATTGATTACATATTTTTTATATAATTATGGATTATACATGTTGAGCATAAATTAATAACATAAGAAATTTTATGACGTTTCATGATAAAAATATTTAACTGCATGAACAGAGAACAACACAATTTAAGGTATATACAAATGACATGATGTAGCATGTATTAATATATAATAAGTAGAATCACTTTGTGTTAAGAGAGATTAGAATTTTATATAATTTGTATTTTATTCTTTATATAATTATTTTATTTATTTTACATGATTATCTACATGTTGGATATTTTTATTTTCACACTAAAAATATTGAAAATTCATAAACTTATTAATATTGTTCATTACAGCTGAAGCAGAAATAGCAGAAGCCCAACAAGTGAAACGTACAAGATATTCAAAGAGGAAATATGAAAGTATAGAAAAGAAAGAGGACGACCATGATCTTGATGATATGAAAGCCTTTATTTATGCCACAGACAATTTAGGCAAAACACTAAACAGAGCTAAGGACAGGGATAATTATGGTGCAGAGCATCATCTAAATTTAGGCAAGATCAAAAAGGAAAAAGAGTCTGACAAGTCTGAAACAGATTCTATCGATGTACCAAATAGCATAGATTCGGAAACTGAACCAAGCAAGACAGAAATAATCTCCATTAAGTCGGCAAATTCATCTCTTACAAGTAGTCCATCTACAATATCACCAAAAGTGAAAGTTGGGCGTGGTTTCATTTCACGCAGTAATAGTCCACATCATACCACTAAACAAAAGGCTGTTATCGATATGTCAAATCCACTGTACAAAGAGCCATTTAAATATGGTTGGAAACGTGAATTGGTATTTAGGGCAAGCAGCGATTCTGCTCTTAAGAGAATGGCGGATATATATTATTATACACCAAAGGGAAAAAAAGTCCGAAGTTTCAGGGAGGTTGCAGAATCTCGTAAGTAATACATTTTATGAATAGAAATAGACGTTATCGCACAATTTATATATGCATATGTTAGTTTTGATATTTTTACACACACACACACACACACATATTAAAATATCAAGACTAATTTTAATGTTTCTTACAGTTCACTCCAAGGAGTTGTCAATTGAAAATTTTACATTCTTCAAAGAACCAATTGGGCTTGATGATCCAGAGAAGGAGATCATTAGAGATGCAAAGAAATGGCGGGTATGGTTTTAGCTATTTATATTCGGATTATATACAAAATATGGTTATTTGGTTCTTTATAAATCAATCTTGTTTTTTAAGAAAAATTATATAAAAGGACAATAATAAACAATAATCGTAATATAAATTAATAGTTACATTTTAATTGAGTTGGGATTATTTTATTTTTTAATTATGCTTAGATATGAAAAACAGACAAATAACTGTTGTAAACAGACTGTTGAATCACTATTGCTTTATAAGTCGTAACGGTTATACAATAGTAAACAAATGAAAATGAGATTTAGAAAATATACATAGGTATGAATATAAATTTATTCTTTTCAATTGAAGTTTTGCAATTTTAGCCTATAGAACGAATCATATATATCCTAGTTTCCCCTTGAGGGGAAAAATAATGAAGTTCTAGCAACATTAGTTTAGCTAAATAAATAAATAAAAAACCTTATGTAACTTTAAAGTTACATTGTGTTACAGAGAATTGAATACATATTAATCTAATTTATCTGGAGACTCAATACTTATATTGGATATTGCAGGGATCTGGGTTCGGTTCAGGAGGAAGGAAATATTTTGGTAAGAAAAAGGGACCAGTGAAAAAACCACCAGTACAGGAACCTCCTGCTCCTGCTCCTGCTCCCGCTTCTGCTCCTTCTCCTGCTCCTGCTCCTACTCCTGCTCCTGTAACTACACCTGCATCAACACCAGCACCTGCACCTGCGCCAGTGTTTGCAAAAACTGCTGCCAAGTCAGCCACAAAAGCAGCAACATCTCCAGGATATAAAACGAAAGGGGCAGCAAAGAAAACACCTCAAATAAGTACGTTCTAATATTCTTATATGAAATTCAATAATTGAAATAACTATAATTAAAATTAATAATTACAATTAAATTCAATATAATTCAAAATTAATTTTGCATTTAATTTGATAACTTGATTTATTGTTTATTATATCTTATATATTTTATATTATAGAAAAAATATAAAATAATTGTTATATTGATACATTTTATTTTTTTATAAAACTATTTTATATATTTTATTTAGGAATCACCTTTTCAGTTATATTACAATTCTCGAGACATTCTGTATATTATAATATACTATATTTTATATTGTTTATTCTATGTAGGATTTTGACTAATTTATATTTGCAGAGATGAAACCACCAGAAACAAAACCAGCAGTTGAGGAAACCGATATGTTACCACCTCAACGTGGTGCGACAAGTACAAGACGAAATCAACAAGCAGCTGTGGAAAAGGTGACCGCCGTTAAATCCAAAAGAGTATTAACGTGAGTACTTTGATTATTCGATCTCAGATCTGCGATATTTCTATTGCAAAGTATACAACGTGTTATGTTTGATCTATTGATTCTATCTCGAACATAACGATCTACTGATCCTATCTCATCAGAAAGATAAAGTAAATGTAAATGAGGAGGCAAGAATATATTTTTCAATGTATATAAAAGAAATAAGAAAAAAATTAGATGTTTAAATGTTATAATATTTAAATAACATTTAAACAATATAATTTTATTACATAATATAAAGGACTTTTTACGAGAATCTATATATAGAATTATACAGGGTGTCTCAGAACTTTGGGACACGGACTCCGTAGGGATATAGAGCTAAGTGAGAGGAACAAAAAAGTCCTCTGCCATAATGTGAAAATCATAATAGTTTTTTAATTATAACAGCGCAAAGTTAGGCGTTTTCCACGCCCAGCGCGGCAGCTCGCGCTGACCGTCGCGCGACGTCAAAGCGCTAAGACGTCATCGTGACAGTCAGCGTGAGACGCGTTATCGCTCAGCCCTTACGCACACAGCTTGCCGCGGAGCGTCTATAGGTCGCGATGGGCGTGGAAAACGCCAAACTTTACGCGGTTATTACTAAAAAAAACTATTACGATTTTCACATTATGGTACAGGACTTTTTTGTTCTTCTCACTTAGCTCTATGTCCCTACGGAGCCCGTGTTCCAAAGTTCTGAGACACCCTGTATATGACTAAATCAAAATGCGCAAAACTTTTCATTATTTTATCTAAAGTGCAAGATTTATACGTATTTGTGAACTTCATTGCAATTATACATGAGTATGTTCAACTTTAAATTACATAGGACTTAATATTTAGGAAGAGAATTTATTCCATCTATAAGTTTCGTAATTTGTTCCTTCAATCCTATTTCGTACATTCCTTAATGAAAATCTTTTTTTCTCCTAAATCCTTTTCCCCTATCGAAACGCACATCTTACAGACCGAAAGTACAAGAACCGTGCAGCATAAGATGTTCGACAAGTATGGGATTGATACCGAGTTTGCAGTGTCGTGTCTGTCTCTGTTTATATCATCCTGAATGTGTTGAAGGCGTGGATTTTGCAGGCAGTGATGAATACATCTGCAAGGTACGTGTGTTATATATTGTACTACAATTTGAGGGACTTCGAGAACGAGTTCTTAAATGTATCAAGTATTCAAAATGTCGTATTCTTTTTAAAAATTTATCAGTTGGAGTTGTTAGATACATAATATTATAATAAAAAAGATACCTCAAGGCTCTTTCAAATACAATCAGAATATCTAAAATGGCTAATATAAGCCTGCATACAATATAAGTATGACTTTAACATTACAAAAATTTATCTCCATAAAAACTTGTCCAATGCAGAAAAAAGATTCGGCCCTGTATTTGGCCCTCACCATTTGCGAACTTATGCGGTAATATGTGATTTGAAGAAAGAAGCGTTAAGAAAAATTTCCTTTAGTCCTCCTTTTTATATAGGATATATTGATGACATAGCTTTGGCGGCTCCGTCTTCATGTTTCGTTTATTAACACTTTCAATTCACATGAAAGGTTGAAATTTATGATGGAAGTGAGGGAAGGAGGTTGCTTGAATTTTTTGGACATCAAATATACCACATATCAGATTAGTCTTCAAAATGTGACACGAAGATAAATCTGATTCCGCGACATATGCCGATTTCCTGATCCTTTCCTACATGTCAGAAGTATATAGTGGTACACAGATTCGGAAGAGAAACCATGAAATTCTCTTCCCAATTTTTATTAAACCACATTGATTTCATGATTTGAAGAAGTGCAATATGTTATCAAGGAAAGGAATTTCATTATTTTAACGAGACATCAAGTTTGTTTGGTGCTTTTCTTTTTGCTAGGTAGGTTTTCATAGAAATAAATTTTTGTAATGTTAAAATTATATTTATATAATTCAGATGAGGATCAAGAACGTAAGAATATATATATATATACACACGTTTGTATATTGAAAATGTGAGAGATTACAACTAGTTAGTTATAGGCAGATATTTAAACGACGATATCTTCAATTTATGAGATTTATGATACTTATGTGAAATTTAATGTGTGTTGTAGAATTGTCAGCAGGACACTAAAGAATCTCACACGTCAAACAATCCATCTTTGACACCACCTCCGTTGATCCCAATTAGTATGTTAGGTGTGCAGAATGCGAAACCGAAGCATCCGGCTAATTTGATCCCTCCGAAATTACAAAGAATACCAAAATCCGACGGTACGGATGCGCAAACGAGGAGTCCTTCGAGAATCGCCAAAGTACCGTCTGCAACGTCGAACTTACCCTCAGGCGTAGACAAAAAAGATATCGGGTGGTTCCCTCAGACAGAGAATGATTTCCTGCAGAGTCATGATGGCACTGTGCCGAAGCCGGCTCAGAATATCGCGGTGATGGGCGGCAAAAGGTACATTGTGGTACCGAAGAATAACGCGATGGCGGTCCAACCGGCTATCACTGTGAAGCCGGATATGATTGGCGATAAGCCGCCGACTCTTCAAGACGGCTCGCTTATCGATATCTCGAATACGGTGGATAATTCAGTCGCGAAATTGCGCGCACTTCAAACAGCCAAACATCCGGACACCGAGCTCGAACCTACGGTCGAATTCGAGAAAACGAACATCACACCCGATAAAGAGACGATAAGCACGAGAGACGATGCGGAGATGCGTTTAGCGGATCTCGCGTCTGCCATCGACGCCGATGAGACGAACGAAGCGCTCGAAAATAAAGACACTGCCAAGGATGAAGTAGACAGATTGATCGACAGTACATCAGACAATGAGTCCACCACTGCCATCGTAGATCACACGCCAGAGAATGAAAGTGTGCATGCGAGTTGTAAATCGCCCGAGAATGAACCCGTAACGCCGGTGCATATAGCAAGCACACCGAACGCTCTTGAAGCTACGAGCACGGAAACGAATGACACACATTTCCAACAGTCGTTGTTGAGTAATGCGAGTACAATAACATTTCAGAGTCGCATGTAAGTAACGCTCTCGGAAACACATAGGCGCAACTCTTATTTTCTCCCTTGTTTTATCCAAGTGATTTTTTTATTGAGTTACGGCAACTCTGTTGAGGTTTTGGCAGTTGCTTTGTACATATTGTATTTGCAAAGTTTATAAATATTCGTTTCGTATAATCCACGCTTTCTTCGATATTCAATCGATATTTAAGATTTGTAGAAAAGAGAGAATGTAATTTTATATGTATCCTTTGGTTTTTTTGTTACCATACAAAACTTAAGTATATTGAAATAGATCTTACATTATGCGACGACAAGAAGGTATCCTCGTATTGATTTTATGTTTCAGTCATGCAAAAATAATTATACATAAGCAGTTGTATATGAGCACTTATAAACGCAATATATACTCATGCTTATTATATGTGAAAATATAAAAATCAATTGTAAAAAATGAATTTGATTTTATCTCGTGATAGAAGCACACTGCCTTAGCTTCTTAGAAATGCGGCCAAATTCTCAACGAATATGAAAAATAAGTAATACGTGCACATTAATTATTACTTCTTTCAAATATTCAAGTGTCCAAGTATCTTGTAATTGTAGTATCAAGGTAACTTATGAAATTTCAGGTTTTCTGAAATCGATAATTTAAATAAAATATTTAAAAAAATGCACATATCTCGTGTTATAGTCATAATGTGTTTTACATTCATGCTACAAATACAAGTTACATAATTGATAAGTGCTTCAATGGAAAAATCTAATTCATTTTTACTTTTTATATTTGCAGATATAATGACATGTGCGAGCTGAAACACAAAAACCTGTTAGTGCGTTTTCCCATAAAATTCCTCTCCTCATCCCCTAAACCTATATCCACTTCTATATTCATTTGTTTGCTTTTAAAATCTCTCATTTTCTTCGTAAAAAACGAATATTGTCGATTAACAATTAACTTCTCGAATTTATATTTTTGTGGTATTTGTATTTTATAAATTCGATTCTTCTCGAGTAAGAGTTCGAGTAATCGAATATTAAATTCTGCTTCTCAAAACAATAGGCAATATTGATAAGAACGTTATCGTAAATATAATAATAATTTCGAGAGAAACTGAGCACAACTCTTATTAAAATATACAATCTTCAAATATTTACAGAAGGAAACAAAACCAACAAGAAATCGAGCAACAACAAAATTTCATGGGTTCTGTCTGCGCCGGCTATCATGCACTTCTCCGTATTTTTCAATATCTAAAGGTCCAAGAGCTGTTACGCGCAGCTCGTGTTTGTAAAATGTGGCGCGATCTTGCAGCCCACCCGTCTCTTTGGAAAACAGTACGAATGAAGAATAGTCAGGTGACAGATTGGGATGGGTTAGCCGATACGTTACAAAGACGGGGCACACAACATTTGGATCTTAGAAAGATGCTGGTATCTGGAGAATCCGATGGGATATGGAAAAAGTTTCTGTTGGTCATACCACGAGTAACTAGCTTATTAAAATTGGAACTCTGTCGATGTCCAGTGATGGTAGTGGAAGAAGTTATCAAAAGCTGTCCGCAATTAGAGGTGCTAAGTGCGATGTCGATTAAATGTGATTCGCTTACTCTAGAATCAGTCGGCAACCTGAAACGATGTCAAGAACTCAGACTTAAAGCAATTAGTGGCATGTCATTGCAACAAGATCTTACTCCTTTACAAGAATTAACGCAATTGACGCAGTTGGTAAGGGACTTTTTTTTTTTTTTTTTTTTTTTTGTTATCTATTTTTTATTTTACTCAAGATTCTCTATTAATACATTGAGCGCCGGCGACCTAAGAGACATTTAAAGCCTGAGCGCCGGCAACGTATCGGCCACTTAAAGCCCAAACGCCGGCCTCATTCGCTGTTTCTGATCAATGAGTAGCCAAAAAAAAATATTTAAAACATTATACATTTTCGTAAAATAATACATTTTAATTGCATATTCGTCATATACAATTTAACGGAAATGAAAAATAGAAACAAAATCGAAATTTTTAATTTATAATTATAGAAAAAAATACAGTTTTTTATCTCATGGTGGATTATTACATATATATAACATAAACAGAAAACAAAAATATTAATATTTAAGGCAAGTATGGTATTTCTCGAAACATTGGTCAAGATGCAAGGGTACTAAGCATTCAGCACACATAAAGCTACTCTCGCTTCTTTTTTTACTAGCAGAGCAAACTTTATACGGACGTCGTACATATCGGTTTGTTTTCCCTGATCCAACAATTCTGGTAACTTTATGTTTTTTCATATTACCCGAAAGTCTCTGGGGGTGATCAAATTTTGGTGTGCGAGGTGTAGGAACAAGTACAAGCGATAGACTCAGAATCCCGCGTTTTCGCGGGGCCGGCGCTCAAGCGACAGACTCGAAATCCCGCATTTTCGCAGGGCCGGCGCTCAATGTGTTAATTACGTTTGTAACATTTTCTCGTTACTTTTACAGAGTCTGACATCGGTCAAAGACCTCGGGAAAAAGAAAATTGACGTTATACAAGCATTGATAAACCTGGAAGCGCTAGAACTAGGCGAATGTTCTGATTTCCCGGACAAATTTGGAACGACTGTTCTAATAAAATTAAATAAACTGGAACGCCTCAGACTTGAAAAAGGTCAAGGATCTTGTTGTACATTCGATATACTTGAAGGCGTATCGAAATTGGAAAGTCTAAATCAGATGGAGCTTGTCAATTTCGACGTGAAGAACGGTTTCGATAAGTGTCTCGCCAATTGCAAAAACATCAAAAGGTTATTGATCATACCTACTTATATATCGCAGTCGGCAACATCAAATAATATGGTTCTTGGGGGAGTGACCGAATTGTCGAATAATCTGACTCACTTCGTATGGGGCGTCACGCTCGAATTACTCAGAGTCACAGAACTATTCGTCGACCAATGTAATCTTATGAGCAAACAAGTAACTGGTGATTCCATACCTGTTCTAAAACCGGTTCCTTGCTTAAAACTGATTGACGATGCGGAAGATGAGAACGAAAACCAAAGAGGTACGTTTCACACTTCAATTATTATTGATCATGTTTATATTATTTCTATCAGTGAGGTAACTGAGCAAATATGAACTATAATAGGAAATAAATATTGTATAAATAAAGATTATTGTCGAACAAATGATAGATTGTGCAATTTATCTATTACAGATATATATTTGTTTGTATTATTGTAATTGTTTATATTATTGATCATGTTTATATTATTTCTATCAGTGAGATAACTGAGCAAATATGAACTATAATAGGAAATAAATATTGTATAAATAAAGATTATTATCGAACAAATGATAGATTGTGCAATTTATCTATTACAGATATATATTTACTAATTTTGTTATACGGTTTTTATCATTGATCCTTGATTTATATTTCTAAAACTTGAACAGTTATACTCGAGTAATAACATACCACTTATTAATATTATAGGTGACGATAAGCAACAACCGCATCTGACGAGTCCACAGGTCGACATCTTACCGTTGCCCCAATTACAGAAACTTCTTTTAACTGCATTACCGAAAACAAGAGTTAAAATCTTAAAGATTCCTTTTCATGCTACATGGCGACAAAGCATTTCAGATACAACAACACAATAAGAGTGCTCCGAGTGATATAACTCAGACAAGGCAAAAAGATAAAAAATTAACATTAAGAATAGAAATTTTTGTAAGATCGACTATATTCTATATAACGTCTGCAAATATACTCCAACTTATGACTCTCTTGGGCAGTAAAAATAATTTATATATTCATGTACATCATGAAAGTTAGACATTTTTTAAGCGTAACCCTTTACAATAGACAGGTACACACCATATAATGACTAAATATATATATATATATATATACATGTATATCCATATTTACTATTTTTATTATGAGTATAGGGCCACATATATATACATATATATGTGTGTGTGTGTGAGTGTGTGTGTGTGTCACATTTTATCTGACTGAATGGTACAATAGCTTGATATTCTCCTGTGGCCACTAATTTAATAGCAGAAAATTCTATTTGTACACCACAATTCAATTCTCTCACAATAAGAGAAAACAAAAGAGAAATACACACACATTTGTATTTTATCGAGGCTATTATGATGTGTACCTGTTTTAAAAGTAATCCAACGTATATAATAAGATTAAGTAGCAAATATGTAAATATTTGAATATCAGATTCTCGCTATCTCGGTTACTCGTTAAACGCGTTGGATATTTCTTTGGAAAAATACCTGCAAAATAGAGAATATCGAGAATCAAGAGAGGAAAATTGTGCTTATTATTTTATAGTATATGTGACATAGAGTTTCTGTTGGAGTAGCAGAAAGTATCGAATTTATAATAAGGTTCTATATAGAGAGAAATTAGAATGTAAAAAAAGAATGATATATACATATTGATATTGTGACTGTATCTGTATCTAATTTAAAATACGAGAGTTTTCGCTGCAAAGGTCTTAAAACTACGACATTTTTGGGGTTAAATTTGTAGAATGTGTAATATACTTATTACTTGGTTGCACAATGCATAATTAGATAATTGTTACAAAGGTTCATTGATTGATATGTACTGAGTACAAAACTGCGTAATAACTATAAGTTTTCAATAATGACTATATTTCTTTTAACAAAGCACAACTAATTTCATCACTTCTCTGTTCCTGCCGTTATCTCTTCTTTTGTAATTAGTATATTAGAATTAATGTTAGAATATAATAAAGACGTATATTTTATACAAATAATACTGTAAGGAAGGAACATCAAAAACACGCCGAATTGTCGAGTCGTTTTAAACAACATGCAATTTGAATGCATTAAAGTGTCGTCGTTAAATAACATTTATCACAATTTATTTGTATAGGTTGATTTATGCGCATAAACAACCACGTGTTTTCTGCATAGCAATCTTTTTCTCTGCATTCTATAATAAATACATTTTAACATATTCAATGATAATATCATTTTTACGTGAGATATAAACAGTTTGTGCGATCAATTTATAATTTGCTTTGCAGCACAAAAATTTGTGTGATTGTTATTTTATCATTCATTTTGTTTCATTATATGCAATTTACATTATTATAATTTGCGAATATTGTAGTGAATATTATATAAGATTAAATTCAATTGTTTCATGGTTGCAGTTATAGTTATGGTTATAAATATTAACCATATCTTTGGTCAATTTTTAGAGGAATTAACAATTCAAAAAAATGTACAATTTATATTTCCAATGAGCAAACGTTTATACGTTTCTAATTATTTCTATGTTACATTATGATTAAATATATTTTTAAATTATATATTATATATATAAAGTTAATGACGTTCAAGAATTATCTTTTACATGTTCTTGATATTACATACATTATTCTTAATATAACTTTAAGTCATACAAAAAGAGACTGTTGCAATATTATTATTTAATTTAATTATTATTTAATTTGATATAAATTTGCAAACTGTATAACTGTGTACCTAAATTATATAACTCACAAATGCATGAATGAAATGCTTAAATCGCAATATATATGAAACTAAGATCGACGATATTTATGATTCTTCTTTACAGTAGCAAAACACATGTTGTATGAGACTAAATAACGTGGGAAAAATGCAAAAAGCATTTTACGAAATTACAAAACCGAATGAGTGATCTGCCTCGTATATACCTGTACATTTAATTAAGCCATATTGTTGCATCGTTATGAATTTTTTTGACCAAACGTACTAGCTCACGAAGATGTCAAACTTCGCAGAGCTTAGATTCCAAGTTGTCCATGAAACAAGTATAATTCGGAAAAAGAAAGAGAATGATCGAGTGTAATACAACGGAAGTTAAATATATTTGTGAAGGTAAGAACATTTTTTAACAATTCTATTATATATTGTAATATATAATTATCATCCAGATGAATATCTTATCATCAAACATTTTTTTTTTTTACATAATGACTAATTCTCAAAGGTTTGAAATTCATATCGGACAAATTTCAATTTCGCACAAAGAGAGAATATGGATATGATGATGAGAAAAAGAATGATTGAATATGATCCAGCAGCAAAGTTGGACGTAATCGCGAAAGTAGGTGACCCCTGACTGAAATTGAAAATCAATAAGGTACGGGCGGCAGAAGGCTGACGAGTCTGCGATGTACGAATACGCGCGATATAGGCCACCTTGGCTCGCCAGCGGTTTTAAGGTTATGTCTCCCGCTTCCCAACGACGGCCGGCCTCTGTGTGTGCTATTTTCGTTGCGGTGAAAAGCGGTGTTTATTCTTGCCGAACGTAGGCGCGCGTTACGCATTATAATGCATCTGAATGCGAAGGCGAGCCACGAGAGCGCCGTGAGATAGTAGACAAAAATGGGCAGGAAGAAGGCTCATGCATCGTCCAAAGGTAAACAACACGGCACAACGCAACAGAAGCACGTATCCGCGGCGAAGAGAAACGAGCTCAATGCCCTGTGCGAGAAACTCTTTCATCGTGAGTACCTTCAGATTTCTTTCTACATTGTGTGCTTTCACCATGCAGCTCGAAAAACCTCGCACCTCCTCGCGGAACTCTGTCTGATGTGTTAGAAACGAACGATATTTAGCAATGTTGATGAGGGACGAGTGATTGATAAGATTCCTGAGTCCATTTTAGAAATAGAATCTAGACGGTACAAACTTGTGAATAACTTAGAAACGTCTAAGAACTTTTAAACGCTTTCAAAAAGTCTCTTAAGATTTCGAAGTACTGTCTAGGGTACTGAAATAACAGGAGGAATGTGTGTCAAGGATTTGATATATTCTGCAGCATGTCTTGACTATTCTCCGATAAGATCTATTCTTTGTTTGTGAGAATTATTTATTCCAACATACTGTGTTTCTTTCATTGTGTTTACAGTAAGCAGTAATCTAGCATACGTGACACAATTATGGAACAACTACTTGGATATATCGGAAGTTCTGCTGAAGGTTAGACGTCTGGAGGAAATGAAGACGGAATCATCCGAACGATCCCAGGGGATTGGCCATTTCATGAACTGGCTCACGGAGAACGGAGCACGTGTGGATGGTGTGAGCATTGCTGAGTTCCCAGGTTATGATTTGGGACTCAAGGCAGAAGCTGACTTTACGGAGAACCAACTTATCTTAGAGATACCAAGAGCACTTATCTTCAGCACATACAATGCTGCTCCAGAGTTGGTCATTCTGCAGAATGACCCATTGGTGCAGCATATGCCACAGGTGGCATTAGCAATAGCACTCCTTATAGAGAGGCATAAGGAGAACTCCAAGTGGAAACCTTACTTGGACATGCTTCCCACCAGTTACACTACAGTTTTATATATGAAGGCTACTGACATGATCGAACTTAAAGGCAGCCCTACACTAGGTAAGCAAAAGGATCATCAGTGAATTTTACTTCATTCTTTTTTAACTCAAAGAGACGAATTTGTACTTGCTTGTTCGTGCATCATTTTACAGGTACATGAGCGAAAGATGATCGTTAGCTTGAATCTGAATCTGAAAGTAATGGTATTTAATTCAGTTCCATTCGCTAGCATTCCATCGAATCAAACACGCAGGAATGAAGCTGTGACTTTCGTACTAATAAATTTATTGTATTTGTGCAGAGGCTGCGTTGAAACAATGCCGGAACATCGCGAGGCAATATTCTTACTTCAGCAGAGTGTTTCAAACCAACAACAATGCCGTTTCTGCGGTACTCAGGGATGTCTTCACTTACGAGAGATATTGGTGAGTAATCACAAATCGTTAAATTGTCCAAATAAAACTAGACAATCACGAAACTATCTCAAGAGTATAAAATTTATAATTTTATATAAAATACAGCGCTTATAATATAAACATACACATATATATATTTATATAAATAAATATAGCCTATCTCTTTTATACATCGGGAATGCAGTAGTTTGTTCTGCCAGCATTTCATGACGTACCTATAATCATAGATTTAAAATCACGTAAATTCGATACAAGTACGTATCGAACCAAAGTGTCACTTTGCGTAATCCGGTATCGTCTCCCAACTGTCGTTCGCATCCAACGAGTCGTTGTCCATATCGCTCCTGTCCATGCCATCGAACTCCTCCGCGGCCTCCTGTGTCTCCATCCGCTCTGTCGGCCTCTTAGTCGTCGACGTAGCCACGACGTTGACCATCACAGTGCTGAGACTACTGGAGTTAGAGAGCTTTCTCGCAGCTAACATTGGGCCCTGAAATACTGCTCGCGAGAAGGTGTTTCGGTAGGTATACTTCTGCTTCTGTCGTATCCGGCAGACGATGAAGATCGCCAGGAACACAACGATCGTCACTCCTAGAATCGCACCGCTCGCGATTATGCTCGGCTTCATCTTCGATAGAGTCTTCTTTTCCTCGCCAACAACGACGCTCCTGTCGTTCATACTATTACCTATCTCATCATCGTAAACAGTCCTGATGTCAACCGTGTCCGGATTTTCCTCTCTTGTAATCTCCTCGACGTATCCAGCGCGAAATTCGTTCGCAGTGTCGTTCGACCGGACGATTCTCTCTTCTTTCTTGTTGATCAGTACTATATTCGCATGATCGTGGCTCGTGGTAGGTCTCACCTCCGATATACGCTCTTCGTCACTAACAACTTCAGGCTTGAACTGTCGTATTTCCTTCGTGAAGGGCATGGTACCGAAGGTGGTTAACAGATCGACAATCTGCACCGTTCGACGAGAATCCTCCAGGTTGCCGTATTCATCGATATTCCTCGCCTGCTTCTCGCCCGCGAACGTTGCCTTCCTCGACGCATTCTTGTCACGTTCCACAAGATCTAGCAATCTCGACATCGACGTATTTGCCGCATCCTTATCGAGGAGTGGGTCGTGCAGATAGCTCACGATGTCCTGCTTTATTCTACTCGTCGAAACCTCCGCGTTTTTCCTGTTTGCGTCTATTTCCTTCATGGTTTCCGCAAGGCTGAGACTCTGCTCGTTGGGGCCGCTCGTCGGCGACAGCGATATGACAATCTCCCCGTCGTCGGTGCTCGAGGTCTGAAAATTCTTCGGTTTAGGTACTCGCAATCGCGACACCTCCGTTAGGTGAACTCTACTGGAACCTCGCTGACGCAGCGCAATCAGTTCCTCTATGCTCATGTTCCGCGACTTGAGGAGTCGTTCCAGCCGCTTGCCAGCAGATCCTGAAGCAAACAGCTCGAAGATCTCTGCTCGTGCCTCCGGCTCGATCTCAGAGACGACCTCCTCGTAGCGCCTGTTGTTCGAGATCGCGCCTTGGTGATTCTGTATCATGCGATCGTCGCTCTTTTCCAATTGATTCGCACGCCGTTCGCTCGAGTAGTCTTTGTCATGTGACTCACTCTTCTCACTAGTCGAACTCACGACTTGTTTCTTCTCCGGTTCCGGACTCGCAGTGCTCTTGTTCGCATCACCATCAGCTTTCACTGTGTTTCGTCTGCCGTCGTTTTCACCGAAATCGATCGCAGCGTCATTTTGATACTCTGCCTCGAGGAACGCGTTATAGTCCTCCGCGAAAGACTCGCTCATAGGAATCGTTTGAACGGCATCTCGATTCACCTCTTTGTCGTCAGTGTCGTCGTCTTGATCGCCACAATCCTTCGTCAACTCGATGTGCTGCTCCGTGGGATTGAGGATTTGCTCGATACTCAAGGTGGACTCAACATTGCGGGCTTTTCCGACTCCTGTCGCTGACGACTGTTGTGATGCGTTTTCCTCGTTCGACGAACTCGGCCAGGTTGGTGTCATCGGGCTCTTCGCTTTCTTGAAATCCGTGAAATCCGAGAACTCCATAATCTCATCCTCGTCGAGGTTCTCAAGCCTCGTGCCACGATCACTCGTCGGTTCCACGTTCCCGTCGTCATTCAGGTAATATTCCATGGAGTTAATCGTAGGCAACGGCGTTGATGTAGTGATTGAGATGCTTGGAGGAATGGTTGCCTTCGGCCACGAAGAGTCGTGTGCATATTGACGTTGCGTCACCTTCTCAACGCCCTGCGATTCCTCTTCCGTCGCACGACTCCTCGTTTCATTCAAAGACATTTCGTCGTAATTCTTCATCGATATGTTATCTGTGATAACCGTTACTCTGATTACCGAGTCATTCGAGATACTTGAAGTTGCAGACTTCGTCATAGTAGCTTCGGACGTCGACATGGACGCCTGTGTGGATCTCCAGGGCGGCGACACCGTGGCGGCTAATTTTATCAGCGAGTTGGACATCACCCTCGACATTTCCTCGATGTACTCGTCGGACTCCTCACCGATCCTCGACTTCAGGGCATTAATCACGTCGACCTTGCCCTTCAGCAGGTCGTTCAGAGTCAGATTCCTGCGCTGGAGGATCTCCGATAGGCTGGAACCCTCTTCTTGCTGCATCTTCAGCAGCGACTTGAGCTGGAGTGCATTCTCCGAGCGACGTACGTTGTCCGACGGTTGCGTAATCGGCTGATCTTCAGTGTTCTTCAACTGCGATGGAGGTCGCGTAGTACCTGTGGCCTCTTCGTTCACCTCGGAAGACGCCTCGTTCGCAAGAGCGAACTCGTAGTTCTGCGGCGGCCGCCTCTTTCTTGGCCGAGGTCTCAGGTACTCCTCGTCGTTGAATTCTTGTTCGTATTCGTTCGGACGAGCTTGGAAAGCCTCACGGTACCTCGCTGAGGTGACTTCCTTCTCGTCGTCCTTAGACAAGTCGCCGACGATGTTACGGCCGCGTTTCCCATCATTGCTCGCCATGTTCTTGATCGTCTCCTCGTAAAAGAGTGTCGGATCGTGCGGGTTCTTCGGCGGACGACGTCTAATGCGAGAGTAGTCCTCATTAGGGTTGTAGTCGCGACCGTGGTACATCGGCTCGTAATCGTCATCCGGAAGCGGAAGTCGTCTGCCCTGGGGACGATTCTGGTTGACGGTGTAGCGATACTTGAACGGTCGACGCGCCGCCTCAGGCAAGTCCTCCTGTTCGACGTCGTCAACTTCGTCGTCCCTCGAGTACGACCGGTAGTGAGAGAAGGGTAGCAGAGGGACGGAGTCACCGTCGCGCCACTTGGGCTCGAGTGCCTCACCGTTGCTCCTCCATTTCCCTACAGGCTCATTTGACCCTCTTTCGTCCGCTCGATCCTCCGCGGCTCTTCGTGGCACTTCAGCATCATCGAGCTGGCCGTGCGGGTCCTTCTGGAAGAATCAGCTGCGTTTAGTTTACTCTTGTAAGCGATGTGTGCACTGTGTAAATGTGTATCATGATCTTCGAAACCGGTAATTCGCTTTTATATTTACGAAGACATTATCGTCGATATAGACGGAAAAGCATATTTTACTGAAAGATATATTTTTATATAAAATATTTTTTACATTATGCAGCACGATATAATATTCCTCCGTCATTTATATAAAAATATGTTCCAATATAATTTACATTTTGTTACATCAAAACAAAACAAATTATTTTTCCTGTAGTCGCGTAATAATTATAATTATACATGTATGATGCATGTAATTAAACGTAATCTTATTAATTTTCATGGCATAAGTCACTTTATGGAATAATATTTATGTAAGACAGATAAGAGATTTATGTAAGATCAATATTTCTTATATTATGGTACAATGTGCTCGATCAATTACGCAAGCGATACTTCATGCTTATGTTCATGAAATTAATGAATCCGTTACTCCACGGATCTTACGGCGGTAAATCAAACGCGACGTTCGCCACTTATTGAAATCGTTCGCGAGGATATGAAGCTTAAACTTCGGCAAATCCCGATTCGTCACAAGTCACGCGGCGAATCGCTGTTAAACGAGGCGTGCGCTTCGCGAATAATAATCGCGAGAGGCCGACGACCGTGACGATAGAAAGTACGGAGATGATCGCGTAGTCTGCGAACGCTGTCGCGGGATGTTCGCGTAAATCGCACGGTGCCCCTGCGATGTCTTGCCGCCGAGAAAATTCGCGTCCATCGGCGCGGATTTTCACGGGTCGCGAGATACGCGTCGCGGAAATATACATTACGAGCACTCTCGGATCTTTCTTTCTCTCGCACGGCTATCTCTTGATTATTCGCTGGCGGATCTTCCTCAACGCACGGTGCGCTGAAGGCGAGGAGATTCGGCGATTTCTCGCTTTTACTTTCGCAAACCGGACGCGCGCACGTGTGTGTGAGAACGAACGGACGAGCGAGCGATTCTTCGACGCGAGGATTTTTTCCATTCTCTTCTTTGTGAACGCACAATTCCATCCCTAATTCGCCGTCCAAGTTTTCCCCGTCGACTCCTTTTATCCTTTCTCATTTTGTACTCATTTCAGTTATTTCACGAACTCTTGCATAGTAAAATTTGCTAGGCACAAACGAGGGAATCCCGTTGCAAACGGGAGAAATCTCAATTTGTACAACCGAAACGAACGAAATAGGAAACGAACAAAAACTCGATGATGAAAAATGGCGTATCTCTGTTACCGCGAGCGAAAGCATTCGTTTGAGCACTCAGCTTATTAAAAACTCGTTTGATCGAGTAGAAATCTCCTACGGTAATCTTTCTGCCCTTGTAGCCAAGTTTTCATCTGATTGTCAGCAACAGAAAATTCAGTTACGCTAGCAGCGTCGTCTCTTTCGTGGCAGGCGAAATTCACCGATTTCGCGAATCGCGCAGTCTTCGCGGTTCGAGTCGATCTTCCCGTTTTTGCCGCATCGCCGCTTTTGTGTGGCCGAAGTTGGCCTTCAATTTTCTTCTCCCTGATAATTATTCGACTTCGTGGCTACGGAGGAGCTTTCGTTGCACTAAAAAATACTTCGGCTGCGTTCCGATAGTCACTGCCAGCACTGAAAATATATAGTTTATGTTACATATGCTATAGATTTTCAATGAATATTGGAACGCACCTGTAGTAACACGTTGTTAAAGTAACACGGCGCATCGGACAATCACGCGAACGACGTAGAAGCGAAGAACCATCGCGGCGTTTCGTAAAGAACATTCGGTGGCCGATTGGCTTGTTATCGTTACTAAGGCATTTCGTAACTTCATTAATAAAACAAAGCCGCGGCAGAACCCTCTGGTGTTCCGTGCTTTCGCGGATGATTTTCTCCTCGCTTTCTCGTCGCGAAAAGATCGCGCTCGCCTGCGCTCGCGCTTCTCCACCCGCTCGCTCACACTCGCGCGCGTTTCACGATCCTATTTTCTACGATTCTCTCCCGCGTATTCGCGACCCACGTGGGAAATTATCCGCGATTGTTCCCACGTGAACCGCAACTCGACTCGATCGTGCCGCGCTCAAACGAGAATTCACCGCATCCGAAGCGCGCGAATTCACTTTTCATCCTCATTACCATTGATAGCTATTCGTCGTGATATGGATCGCTGCTTGTAAGCTGCTGGATTTAGCTTGGCAATAGGTGTCCTGTATTTTTTCTTTATTTCTACGGCCGTTATCATTCTTACCTTGCACTCTCTCTCTCTCTCTCTCTCTCTCTCTCTCTCTCTCTCTCTCTCTCTCTCTTTCTCTTTCTCTTTTCGTTCGTCGTCCGTTCGCTTTCGCGCGAAACTGTTTTTCTCGTGGCTCACGATATTAACGTGGACGAAATACGCAACAAAACATTCGTAAAGTCTTGAACTTTCCGCGAGCGGTACCAGCTTTCTCTTTCTCTCGTAGTTTACGCGCCACGTCGTCGCACGAGTTTTCTCATCGGCGGTGCGTCGATCCCGCGGCCAGGCGCATCGACGAAAAATTCCGACAGGAAAAGCGTTCCGACAGAACGGCTTCAGCCGATATGCCAACTGCGACACACCCTGTGTGTATATGTTCAGAAACAACACGGTGTCAGAAAAAACACAGGAATGCGTACACCGAGGTGTTCAAGAATTGCGCAGTTATTCCGAATTATAAACGATGGAAGTAAATGGAGAGTGGAGAGAAAGAGAGAGAGAGAGAGAGAGAGAAATTTCAATGTCAAGTTCACTTCGGCTTGCGAGAGATGAGAAGTGAATTTTAATCAGGGCAATTAGGTTGAAAACTTAATGAAAAGACTACGATGCGACGAATCGCATCTCCGCGGAGAGACGTGTCGGCTTCGCCGAATTTTGGCTTAGCCGCGACACTGAGGAAGGCTGAATCGAGAGAAATTCTTAATATCCTGCGCTCAAGTTGAATCTACTTGAGTTTAATGACGCCTGATGAAAGCAATTACGGCGTAACTTGGTTGGACCTGTCACCCGCGAACGTCACGATCATTTCGCAAGCAAGAGAGGTCGGGATATCGGTTCCCCGCGCACGATCATGCGGCCGATCCAGTATCTTTCGGAGGCACCGCGTGTGACGAATATGCTCGCGTTATATTCGTAGAAATGTTATAGTATTTTGCAACCTACCGGTTTTCACGCAACGAAAGAATTATTACGACCGGTTAAAAGAGCCGAGGGGAACTGCTTTCGGTTCACTAATATGGTCATTAACCTTATCACGTAGCAGCCGTGAAATGAAACTCGGAATAACTAACAAATTCTTGCGATAGTGGTTAATTAGAGATAAAAACACGGCAACGTCAATTATCGCGAATTTCTTCAGCAGAGATCGATTTCTGGAAGAAAAATTTGGAAATTTGTCCTCACTTTGCTTTTCCATCCTTATTCCCGTTTTTCAATCTTTTTTCTCTGTATTTTTTTTCCTGTTTTCTCTTTTTCTTTTTTTTGCACTTTTTCTTTCAGACATCAATCTCTGCCAATTTTTCTTTTTTTTACGATATATTTTCCAATTCCGCGATTCCGAGCAAAACGCACGCGCGTGATTTGTATTTATCGTCGACTCGGGGCATCCGAGAATTTCCCAGCGCCCGCATAGCTTCGCTCGTGATCGCCGGAGCAAAAAGCCACTCTTGTCGCGCTCCTCACCTGATGATGTTCATAACCGTCGCTTCGTCCCGCAGCTTCCGGCTTTCCGGCGAGATCGCCGTGGACCAGAACGTCGTGCGAGAAGAAGTCACACGCGAATGCGATCAGCGCGAGCACGGAGATCGTCTTCCGCATAGTTGCAGCGCGATCAGGAACCTCGATGCCTCCTCGTCCTCACGACACCGCACTCCTCGTCCACGACACTTTACTTCCTCGTCCACGCCGAGCAGGTGCACGTAGATCACCGCGGCGCACAGAATAACGAAGATCGCGTTCTTCCTGTTGCACAGATGCAGAATTTCCTCAAGAACCATAGGCTAGCGAGCGTTGGTCGCCAAACTCGTGGAATCGATGCGTCCAACTATATGGACTGCCGAATTACACCGGAAAATTGTCAATACGTGCGAGCGATCTCGCGATTTTCCTTATCTTTCGGTCGATTTCCCTATCTATCGATTTTTCTATCTTCGCACTGTATCTGTATAGATCATTCTTAATTGGTTTATAATCACTCGGGTAATCCGAAGTTAACCCGATGAACTGCTCTTCATGAGTTTAATTCATCATGTCAAGTGCGTGCTGCGATCTCTTTCAATCAGCTGTGTGTATCACTTTCACCGGGTTAAATGCAACGAATTGGAATCCTTCGCGATCGAAGAATTGTCCTGTTCGCGATCCTCAACGCACCCTCTTCCGCTCGTTTTTCCTCTCGGTTACCGCGTGAGACTCGCGTCCCGATCGGATGCGGACACGTCGTATCCCATTTTCGATCTAGTGAAAGAGCAGCCGCGTCTCGTCTCGTCGCTCGACGGCAATATGAACTTTCGCGCGCGATCACGAGAACGGCGACGAAACGCGCTCCTGCGCTCACGGCAAATCAGTCCTGCGCCGACTGACGCTGCTTTTCTCTGCGCGCGCTCCTAAGTAAGTCGGTGAAACTCGCGAGAGGAATATGGTCTCTTCCAGCGCGCGAGTCTTCTACTACTACCACTGTATCGCCGCTATCACTACCACTATTAATCTCGTCGTAGCCGCTGCTCCTCTCGACGAGATGTTCTCTCCAGAGCCAGTGGGGAGGACGAATCCGGTAAACCGCGGACCGTGCACAAATCATCGACTCCGTCGGCCGACGCGAGTCTCTTTTTTGCGGAAGCTATCGGCGCCTATTACTGTAATTAATGTCTCCAGATTGAGAAGCGCCGATGTGTTTCACCCGAAGCGACGCTTCGGTGCATCGTAACGGAAAAACATGCAGAGAAACACCAGAGTTCAATCACAGAGACAGTTTATTTGACCGGTCGACAACGGGGATCCGCCGCCTCTTCCGCGAGGAACTCGCATGTGAATCCGTTGTTTCTCGTCGGAAACTACGCTCTTTCGTATCGATTATACCGCATTACGCGGATTATAACACGGTTATTCGTAACATCGCGGAGAATTCGCACGTCACCGCGGCCGAATGAAATCAGCGTGAGAGAGAGACGCGCGTCTCGTCGCGGCAGAGTGTCGCGAATTCGCCGCTAATGAGCGACGGGAAAACGACGACGACGATGATGATGAGGGGCGACGATAATGACGATGCGATTCTTCTGCAATTCGCCGGGCTACAGATAGGCATCGAGAGCCGGTTGCGTTGCTCGTTAAGCCTGTCCCAGGCGGTCTCTCGGCATGGAAAAAGGATCTCGGTTCATGTAACTTCCTTGGGGATTAGAAGGAAACTTGGGGGGCGACAGCTCCGTTGTCACGACAGAAAAGAATCTATACGAGCATTTTACGCTGTGTTAAAGCTTGATTAAAATAATCGGGAACAATGGATCGAATAAAAATTTCTTACGGAGGAATCTTTCTGTTCCTACAACCGCGTTTTAACGCAACTCCTGAACAATAGAAAATCACGAATTGAGTTTTCTTTTCCTTGCGCATTTTGAGACTCAGCCTTGCACTTCTCTTAAAGAATCTGTTGTCTTTTTGGAAGTAGATTTTTTTTTTTTTTTTTTTTTTTTTTTTTCTATGAAATGATCTCCGATTTTCTGGAATCTCGTTCTCCTTGCCTTCTTCGGTTAATTGCGCGGTCGAACTTTGGTGTCAATTTCTCGCGAATCGCAGAATGAGCTTTGTTATACGCCGCATGCACAGAGATAGGTAGCATAGTCGAGCACACGTGGGAAGGTCGCGCGATGAATCCGAAGATCGTGAGAGATCTCCTCTCTGCGCGCACTTTCTATGCGATAAGAAGAGCGTGCCTTGCCGTGCCGTGCCGCGGCGAAGGGTCCTCGCAACCGACCTCGGACACATAGCCCGAGCTCTGCTCGTTTCATGCTGAAGATAATAGCGATCGCCTTAGTTACCGCGTGCCTCTAATGAAACCCCGTGTTCTCTTAACCCACAAGGATGATATTAGCTCGCGCGAGCGAGCAAGCGAGCGAGCACCCGACCGGCCGAGCGATACTTTCCAATCCGCGTCTTCGCGGAGGAACTGTAATGATGTGCCAGATGACGAAACTCTCTTTTATCGAGGGATTTCTTATTACATTTCAATCGACGACTCGTTCCCGCATTTTCTACTGTTGCGCGATGTCGAAAGTCGAAACCTCTCTCTCTCTCTCTCTCTCTCTTCATCCTCTTTTTTTACCAGATTTCACTACGATATCTTCACCTCATCGTTATTCCTCTATTCAAACACATCTGTTTGCAAAAGACACTATATTTTATATAAACAACCTAACTTTATATGATACAAAGTTTGATATTATTTCTTGTGTGTATTTTCATTACTCTTTAATCGAGTCTCGTTGCGTTTCGATCGGATTTAAGGCGCTAAGTCAGATCTTATATTTAAGATTGTCTTATCTTTAGACGCCTAATAAAACGATCTGTACAACATCTGAAAGTGAACTTAGAGTAATCTTAAATATAAGGTCTGACTATGTCAATACTACTCTTAGTTTACCTTTCGGTGGGCGATTTTCTTTTCTTTTTTCTCTTTTCTGTTTTATATTCTATGATCACGTTCGTTAGTAGTATATAAATGACACGCGGTGTCATACGTGCGTGCTATACTTACAATGATTAATGATAATTGTGAGATGCTGCGTCGGTGATTCAAGATTTCTAGCCTCTGTATAATGCTTCTGTCCCGGTTAACTATATTACACGCCATAATAGAGACTTTGTTATGTTATGTTATGAGAAATACGTATGCTTAGATGCCCGTTAAAAGATTTCTCATGAGTTATGAAAACTTAAGCACGCGCAATCTGTACATCAGTAGGAATTATTATAATCGTATTGCCGCCGCGCGGTATCGCGTTCTCTGGGCACTTTGCAAAACGTTTACTTGGTCTCTCTCTGCCGACGAATTTTTTGTAAATTATACACGTTAAAAACAGCACTGTGCGCCGTCACGCGAGGCAGAAAAAATCCGAGGGAAAAACCGCAAGAGAGGTGGGAAAAATACAATCGCATTTTTTAATTTTCCCTCGGCGTGAAGAGGAGATCGAAAGGAAAATGTTGAATATGTTAGAAATATCGCGCACAGAGATCACGTTGTTACCGGTGTCTGATCGTCGTTAATCACCGTGCTATGTGTTACATTGCTGAGCAGAGCGAGCGGGAGCCGCGCAAAAAGACACGCATGATCGCTCTCGCAGCATGCGACGACGCATATGCACGGGCGCATGCAGATGCGTAGCCACGGCATAATCGAGGAAAACGGCCGGCTCTCGTATTCTCGGACGAGAACACCAGGAGGAGAAGGCGCGTTTCTCATCGTTCTCGACGATACTCCTCGTTTCTCGTATCTCGCTCGTGAGCTGGGAAGCTCGTAAAGAGCTCTTTACGAGTTACGTCGCGTTTTGCAAATGAGAGACGACGCGCCTCCGCCGCAGCCGCCACCGTCGCCATCGTCATACTTTCACACGAGCCCGAAACTTTCATGCGATTGTAATAAATTCGCGAGAGAGGTCCTCTCGCGCGGTCGGAAATCCTCGTCGGTGCTTGCTTCTACATCGATTAGCCCGAAATATTGAGGATATACAAGCGAGCTTCGTGACGATTGCCCCGACGTTTTACATTAATAATCAGATTATCGATTGCTATGCGACGATTCTAAAAGTGGTTCAGCTTCCCCGAGGTGAAACCGCGCGTCTGCTCATTGTCTCTCCCCTTGTAATTATTATATTAGCGTCAATTACGATTCTATGCTATAAGGAAGAAAATAACGCGAACGGTTCTCTGTAAAATTTGGTGATTTTGTTGCAACACTGAATAGAAAAAAAGTGTCAAAAGCGAAATTGGCGATTTTACCGCATAGTTTCCCAAGTCGGAAACGAAGTTTTACAAGCCATCTGAGACCAATCTCTTAAAAGACAATATTCTCGATTTTCTATGTGAGAGAGATTGTTATCACACACAGATTTGTATACATGTGTATCTGTGTGGAAAGTTTCGCGTGATGGAATTGTCGTGATATTCGGTTAGTTCTCTGTTATTTCAAATCACAAATTGTCTAATCTAGATTTAACAGTGAAGACTGCAGAGAGAAAGAAAGAGAAACGTGCCGTACTCGTTCAACCGATGACAAGCGATCACGTGTTATTAGCTCGGCACAGTTTACTGGAATTAATTAGTTTTAAGAGGAAGAGCTCTCGATCACGCAACAACCGGGCCATACAACGGTACGATAGCGTACGCGACAGCGTAGGTCTCGCTCGCCTGCTCGTATATGTGAGCGATGAAATCTCGGTGAACGAGAGTAACACGCGATCCTCTCGCGCGGACGGGAGTATGTGGTAGCGGTGAGAAGCGCGCGTTTCTCCGGATAGAGAGAGAGAAAGTCTATCTCCGATACAACAACGACGATGACGACGATGACGACGTCGCCGTTGCCGCGGCAATGAATCCTCTCGCGCATTTATTTTCGAAATTCTGGGTCAAGTTCTTGTGTCCGAAAAGCAGGCTCGCCCGCAGCGAGCTAACAATGTTCTTCCTGGATCTCCCCGAAGGCGAAAGTCGACTTCACGCTCTGCAGATTGATGCGAATGCACACGCGTTTGTCGTAACGGTCTTTTGATAGCCGCCGGATTTCACCGTGAGCCGAGATTCCGTCTCACGGCTGTTTTGCATCGGATCCTCGGCTCGAGCTCACCAAATTTGGATGCGGCGTTAGTCAACGTTATCGACTATCGGTTGTACTATTCGTAAATACAAAATTAAAAATTGAGTGTCTTGAAGTAAAAATTCGAAGGATAGCTTGTGAGAGAAACAAGTTTTTCCCACTCCAAGTTTTGTTTGTGGGTATAAAAAGTGAGAGACAATAACTCTATTACCGCCTTGAATATCTTTGAAATATAAGAGTAGGAGAAAAACTTATTCAACAAAATTATGCGATATAAAACCGGCTGTCTTTTGTGACGCTTTTCTTCAGTTCTCATTTCATCAAAGGAAATCTTAATGGCGAAATATCCAAAGTGACGCTGAGGAATTTAAAAATTTTCGCTGACGACTCGCTGAAAGTTAATTATATGATCGACGAGACGGGGGGAGAACAAAGAAGCCGAACAATGCGCCAGCTGTGTAAGTCGTAGCTAATAATGTTCAATGAATTTTCCAGTTGGGCAGTTTCCACAGTGATGACGAGGCAGAACCTGGTGCCGAGTCCGGACGGTTCGCGCATGATCCACGCTTTAATCCCGATGTGGGATATGTGCAACCATGAGAATGGCAGGGTGAGTCTCATCTCGCACAGGATAATGAAACGGACGAACGTGCGAACGATCAATGTGCGCTCTTGTTTTCAATTCGCAGATCACAACAGACTTCAATGCAACCTCGGATCGCTGCGAGTGCTATGCCCTGAGAAACTTCCAGAAGGGCGAGCAAATATTCATTAGCTATGGCCCGAGGACGAATTCCGATTTCTTCGTGCACTCGGGTTTCGTCTACATGGATAACGAACAGGTGTGCGCTCGACGAATTATTTTTACAATTTTTTTAAGTACTTTTTTTATAGTTCTCATAAGTTTCTAAGTTTTTTAAAATCTTAAAGAATGAATTGATCCACCGCCGCGGTGAATCCTCCGATTGTATTTTCATCGCGAAGAGATCAGCCTCGGTCGAGCAATCAACAACCGAGAGCGAGTACATGGATTTTGCGGCAGCTGTAGAGATTGTCATAAAGACATTATAATTTGCAGGATGGTTTCAAGCTTCGTCTTGGTATTAGCAAAGCGGATTCCCTGCAGAAGGAGCGAACGGAACTCTTGGGCAAACTGGATTTACCATCAGTGGGGGAGTTCTTGCTGAAACCGGGCACGGAGCCTATCTCTGATATGCTGCTGGCCTTCTTGCGAGTGTTCAGCATGCGCAAAGCTGAGCTGGCGCATTGGCTGCGCTCAGACAAGGTATTCGACCTGAAGCACATGGACTGCGCGTTGGAGACTGTCGTCGAGGAGAATGTCAGGAAATTTCTGCTGACCAGGCTGCAACTACTGATCGCTAATTACCCGACCACGCTGAAGGTGAAAGTGAAACCACGTGGTCAGCTCGCCCTGCCGAATAGCACGCTTTTAATGAGTCTCTTTCTCTCTTTCTTCGCAGGAGGATCTGGAGCTATTGGAGACCACGTTGCCGCAGGTGAAGAAGATGACCGTTCAATTGAGGGTCACGGAGAAGAAGATTCTTCTGGGCGCCCTCGAATACGTGGAGCAGTGGATTAAAGCCTGAGGAGGTGATTTGCAGCTACGTTTCGGCGAGGGGTCAAGCGTATATACATCATCCTACTGACTGAAAAGGAATCTCCAGAGAAAAACCAATTTTATTTTTACAATATCCTCTGAAAGACGATTTCGAGTATAAAAGTAAATATAGAAGCGGACGAATTATACAATAAAGCGTATATATATCTATTGCCTACTAAATACGCAACTCTCTATGCTCGACATGCGCGCATATGAGTTAGAAAATAACAACATCTTCCTTATACAATGGGTTCCATGGCTATTGGCTGAATCATCGGTTAGGTACTACAATCGGTCGAGACGCATTATCGAGGGAGGGAGGGAGGGAGGGAGGGAGGGAGGGAGGGAGGAGAGAGAGAGAGAGAGAGAGAGAGAGAGAGAGAGAGAGAGAGAGAGAGAGAGAGAGAGAGAGAGAGAGAGAGAGAGAGAGAGAGAGAGAGAGAGAGAGAAAGATACGATCTGTTTTTAGCATTCTCTCTCGAGTAAGACCGGTAGCTGCAACATTCGGCCTCGTTACTCGCGCGTAACGTACTCGGAGTGATGTTTCTTGGCAAAAGGCATATTGGAAAATGCTAAGGGAAATAAGGAGTTTCGGACGCGCCGGCGATTATACATATAGGGATGCACAAGAGAGCTATACAATGTAATTGTACAATAATTGCGTGCTCAGTAAATATCGTAATTCTCGTTATCGTGGCGTGGAAGCTTTCATACGCAGCTTCTCCGCATCCATTCTTTCTGATTTGATGAATATTTATATATACGAATCAAACGCCGGTTCACGCGAGTTCTAATCTCTGGACTATATAAAAGACTCGAGGGTGTACTACTTTTCTCGCTGCTTTCGATATATATGCGATTAAAGTGGTGTCTCTCTCCATTCGCGCGCGTATGTATATGCGTGTGTTTGTCTGTCTGTCTATTTATTGTGAGTACGTGTACAAAGGAGAATATTATTGCTAATGAACATTTATTTTTCAAAACGAATACATAACAGAGCTGACTCTCTTGATGTAAAGTATAGTACCGTAGGCCTACGACATTAGTCTTATACATACGAACGTACGCTGCAAAATATCCCCTCCCCTCCGACACACGAGCGGATGCGAACAAGAGATCCGGCTGGATATAATCATAATAATGTATAACCTGCGAGGTGTTTCCGATATTTAACCATGCGTTATAAATGCATCGTGTTAAGCCCCGGTATTTCTCATGTTGCTACCAGACTAATAATCTCACGCGACCACGACGAGAACGGTAAGTTCGTCGGAAGCGCGCACGTAATACGCGATTTAGATTCTAGGAAATAGCAGATTCCGCGCGCGATTTAAATTTATTATAAAATCAATGAAGCTAATTAACGTAGCGAGATGTCATGATCAGGCTACAGCAGGATTGATAGCTCGGAATACACATATATGTATATATTGCATACATATACAACCTGTATATATGTATATCACTTTTTATAATATTCCAAAGTAGGAATAATTATAAAAATGAAAGAAAAAGAAACGTTATATAAAAACGTATACGTCATACGCGATACATAGATAATATATACATATTGTACGAGGTTTAAACCTATAATGATCTGTGTATATCTTTACAGAGAAATTATTTATACATCTGTGATGCAAGAATTTTTCGAACGGGTAAAATCCGCTTGAAGAGCGAGTCGCGCATGATGGCGGAATGTATTTATGTTACAAATATAACTTGTATTTATTCTGTACGGTAGAATCTGTAGAACGGAGCTGTCTAAAACGATGTATAACGTGCGCCCGCGAGCGACGATGTCGCGTCAAGCGTGCGTGTCTCCTCCCCCTGCAAGAGAAAAGAGAACGCGAAGCGAGAGATGGTCGCTCGCCAGCGCGTGTCAGACGAATGTAAAGAGAGAGAGAGAGAGAGACTTAGGTTCATCCGAAAATATCTGCTATTCCGATCGCCTCAAAGCTATCTGTTTCATTAATATCTACTTTAGGATTGCTAATATAGCGTTTAATTATCGTTATCCTCTTGTCTCGATATATATATTTTGCTTAACGGAAAAGATAAAAGGAGAATACAGCACGTTCTATGTTTAAAATCAACACGATCGTCTCCGGTTTATATAAATCGATATCAAAAGTCCCGAAGCAAAATGATGCACCTTGAAAAATAGCGTTTCCAGATAAAATTGCTTCTCGTCTACTGCTTCACAACGACGGCACTTGCAACTGTCCTCATATTTGGTAGTTCAGTTTTCTTTTCTTTTTTTAGTATCAATATTGTATGAGAGTACGCCGATAGTTGTGACGATAAAAGCTGCTAACAACGGTTCACGATGAGAGTTGTTGTTCTTCATTTTCACGATTTGAGCTCGTAGTCGACTTGATCTTCCGGATCGGTGTCTTGTTGCAACGGGTTCGTGTCGCTACAGCTGTCAGAATAGCTGACAGAATCCTTGAAGTCAGGAACCACTACTATGTCGATAATGTCTCCCTTTAGCTCGAAATTATCTTCCGTGTCAGTCTCCTCCGTCTTCACGCTCTTCACATCGTGCTCTTCGGTGAGGTGCGACAAGAGGGTCGGTAAGGCGTAAAATATCTTGTCGCAGAGATTACATTGAAACGTCTTGCCGTCAGCCGCTCGCAAACAGTGCATGTAATCCTTCATCGGTTGATACACTTTTCTGTGCAGGGACAGATGCTTCTCGTGATCCGTCGAGAGAATAAACTCGTAAGAGCAAATGGGACACTTCAAGTAATGCTTCATCCACATCGTGTGTATTTTCAGCCGATGTAGACTCTCATAGACCTCGCCGCAGACTGGACACTTGAGACACTTGTGATTCTTCAGGGTCTCCAAGTTCTCGTAGAGACCGCTGCATTCATTGCACTGGTAGGACTTCTGCTTCTTACAGGTATGCTTGAACCAGTGTTTTTCCAACTGGGCCAAGAGATCGAACACCAGTTCGCATATCGTGCAGACGAATTTGCCATGGTGATCACGCTTCAGACTGAACGCCAAGGAGCACTGGTACCAATGCTTCTCGAAATTGTCTTTACGTAGCAGACTTTCATTACAGGACTCACACTGGTTCTGATGCTTGGCGAGATGAGCGAACAACATGCCAGGCTCTGTGTGAGAATAATCGCAGAAATTGCACACATAACTCTCTACAGTCTTCTGCATGTGCGAGTGCAAGTGCCTTTGATACGTGTTCGAGCAGAAGAACATCGCCCCACATGCGGGACACTTCAGGTAGGGCTTGCTCCTGTCTGTATAATAAAGAGACAATGGATGCAACTTCTTTGACCATTTGATCTTTTCCCGTTTACCCTTGTCATTTTTCTGTTGCTCCTCAGAATTCTCATATATATGATTCTCGATATTAGGGACACGTCCATCCTCTTCGAAGGAGGTATTTTCATGGGACTCGTCCTCAGTCTCCTCTGTCGACAGTTTATTGCGATTAGCTGTACACTTCCGCAACAGTATCATCTTGTTGTAACGTTTCTGCCTATGCCGACTCTTGGAGATCTTCTGCACGCATTGCTCCAACGGTTCTTCTGCGTTCAGTCCAGGTTCATCTTTGATGGACTCCAAATGAGATAATATTATGTATTCATCCTCGTTGGATACAGAGGTTTCTACTTTGATCTCCTTGGAGACACCAGACACTATGGGGTCCTTCTCATGATACGAAAGTTCCATCGTCGCCTCCTCCTCTTGGGACTTGACTTTGTGCGGAACAGGCGCCAAACTGCTCCGTAGCTTGCGGCTACTGCCAGTGGTGCGCCTGTGCCGCTTGCCACCTTTACCTTTACCTTTACCCTTCTTCTCCTCCCGACTCTTTCCGGATTTCTTCGGCATATTTTCGTACTCGGTCTCATCTAATGTCAACATCTCGGTGGCCCCCACGTCGTCTCTCTATTCTTTTGTCCCACACGCGCCTACGGTCGTGGCGTGCGTGTGACGTTACGACCGCACAGACGTCGCAACATAACCTGGCGGCGATGCTCTCTCACGTATTCTGTTAACATTCGATCTAATTAAAAAGACAATTCGAGGGTATTAACGTAAAAGCGACGTGTACTCACGTACCGTAATCGTCGGCCGCGTGTCGACAATTTCGTCAATTTCGCGCGATGCGTTCTCACGTTGCACCCTCATTGATTTTTCCACATGCGTGGCTCTTTATTTACCGTCCTGGCGGCTGCCGTGACACTTCGCTAACACTCATCGTGCGTTTGTTTTGCAAGATTCAGGCAAACTGGCATTTCTCCGAGGCTGGATCAGCTGTTCCTCGAGATACGAACCAAGCCAGAAGCTGACAGATATCTGACCCTCGCTGGAGCAGCCGTACTTGGATAGTCGCTTACTACTGCACCGCCTTTCCTTCGTCCGTCCGTTCGTTCGTTCGCCGAAAGTAGATAGAAAGGACTCGACGAATGCCTCGGCTCCGCTCGTATCAGCCACGCTGTGTTAACTCATATTCTCTCTCTCTTTTTGTTTCTTACTTTTCTCTCTTTCTCTCTTAAGTATATGATAAATTTTAAATATAATTCGATGTAATCCGGAATATCTATCTTGTTGCGAGCGCGGAAAGTTCATGAAAAGTGCAGCTAACACGAATGTATCCCCCTCTTGAATGCTGAAACGAGGACACAGTATAATCGTGTTTAATATGTTAGTAGTAGTCAAGATGTGTTACTAGTAGACCACCAAAATTGGGTATTTCCAAAATCGTTAAAAAATTAATTGGTTACTTGAAAATCGTTAAAAAATTCCATTGAAACGTACAAAATTTAGCATTTTTTGAATATTCCAGACAACCCAAAAAGTTTTTTTATTTCATGAAAAACTGTTCTTTATGGATTGGGCACTTCGAGATCGTCGAAAATTATCACAAAACTTGAATATCCTCAAAGTAACATTCCACTAATCAAAATGACATTCTATTAATCTACTAGTAATGTCTTGATTATACTACTGTTGAAAAAATGTTGAAAGAAAATTGAAAAAAAAATTGTATTGCTCAGAGAAAGAAATATTGAATTTTCCTCTCAGAGAAAAACTTTATACATATTTCTGAATGTACTGTTCTATTTCATCAAATTTTGTTCATAGACTTTTCAGCACTTCAGGTGAGGAATTTTGAACGAAGGAATTTTTAGTTAAGGAATGTGAGAGATTTTTAAAGTAGTGCTCTTTCAATATTAAGCAAATAATTTTATTCGTGTTTAACTTAAAAGATCAATAATCATGATATAAAAATATTTTAACAATCTTTCTAAATTCTTACGCAGCAATTTATATTTATATTTAACGCAAATATAAAATATTCTCATGTATAGTATTACTTAACGATTCACATCGCCTGTGCCTTTTGAAAACTCGCTATATATATATATCATGTGAATTCAACCTATATAATTTCAAATTTACAAGATGCGACAACTTGCGAATTTACGAAATTCCTTAAGCCTCCAATTACCCAAAAATCACTCGAATGTCTCTCCTAAATCTCTCATGGATGCCTTTTTATGATGTTTCATATCTTTCCATTATTCGAAGTCTACACTACTATGCCGACAGTGCTCCTTTCTCCACAACGATTTTCTCTCGACACAGTCCCAAAAAACTCTTAAAAAAATGTCTGGTCTCGCCCTTTCTGTTGCAATCTCTCTAACATTCTTCTTCCTCCCCTAAAAAATTATAGTTACGTACAATCATACAAGTTTAAAGAATTTCATTATTCCATACGCGCTCATCGTCCCTGATGTCTAATTCTTATCAGTTTTCCGCTTCTTGTGGTCGTGTGCGTGAACAAGATGGTCGTCGACGTGGGCGTCATGATACGGACTGTACCCATAGCCATGGCCGTAACCGTGCGACAACACATGACCAACCTTATGGTCGAAGCCATGGGAGAAAGGCGCGAAGCCGTGACCGTGCAAGTGCATAAACGGATGAAGGTGTAAAGGCGCGAAGAGTTGACCGGGTACATAGCCACGACTGTAGATGGCGCCAGCCAAGTTTCCGGCGGCCAATAGATGGGGTGAATGCACCGGAACCGGAACTGGGACTGCTATCGGCACCGGCACCGGATGCTTCACCGCGACTGGATATGGCTGTTGCACTGGTACGGCAACGGGATGCTTCACCGGAATCGGTACGGGATGTTCCACAGGAATCGGCACCGCCTGCACATAAACGGACGAGGTAGATTGAAGCCTTTGATCCGCCAATGTCTGCTTCTGTTTGATCCGCGTTTAGCGAGGAATTTGCGACTTTGACGAGGCAAACACAAGTCGCCATATTGAGGTAATCGAAATTTTCGAATCTTTCGAATTTGGGATTGCGTGCGATTTTGCGAGTTTATTATGAACTCTCTATGGTTCCTTAATGGGTAATTTTCAGTTTGTAAGAGAATTATTGTTAAATAGATTCGGAAATATAAACTCTTCAACTCGAGTAAATAATTCACGAAAGATTCTCTTGCTTGAAGTGAGACGAAAACTCTTTGCAAAGTCTAGCCTTAAGAAAAATGGATGATAAAATAGCTTAAGATGAATGTCTGCCATAATTAATACGACAATTTCGCATGCGAATGAAAGTAAGACTGAACGATATATCACCTGAGGCACCGGTACCGGCACAGGGACCGGTTTGTGAATAATCTTCTCAATCGGTATCGGTATCACCTTTTCCACCGGTACGTGATACGGTTTCTCTATGATCACCGGTTCAGGAACTGGTACCGGCTTTTCCAACACCACATGCTTCGTTATGTACACTGGGAGAGTCTTCACGATTCCAGGCGTCAGGGTGATGCTACCTCTACCGTAAGCAGGAAGTGCACTTGCTAAATGCAACCTGTCGAACGAACACTATTATTTACCAACTTCTCATTGTTTTTGTCATATTATTTTTTTGGAAGCATTAGATCGATAAAAAATTTCATTTTATTTCTAATTCTTACACTAACATAAACAAGGCAATTAGAAAATTTTTAACTTATGAAAATTAATTATCGAAAAAAATATTAACATCTAAGCTCTCCAAAACATTTGAGCAAATATTTCAACTGATAGTAAGAGAATTAATTATTTAATTAGAATTATTTTAAGAGATTAAATTCTCTCTGCAAGATACATATTTTGTGATATATATATAGTGCAAGATATATTAAATTACTTGACATTGCATTTCGGCGCTTATTTTTTCTCAAATCCATTAGCGTGACAAATATTTGCATTAATTCGGTATTTTACCCGGAATGTAGGTTGACTTCTGGCAATTTTATGCCTTTCCAAGGCGTGTGATCGATCGTCCACGGATGTCCATGTCCGTATCCGTAAGGACTTGGCAGACCGACCCATCCATCGTTGCCGATGATACCTCGTTTCTGTTGTTTCGTATCTTCCGAAGCTGACGCGAACGCGCCAGTGCACAGCAATGTGAGGAACAGCTGAAATGTCGCGTCGACGAAGATATTCACTCAACGCTCGTAAAAATCATAATATTTTTAACAATATTAAAATAGCGTGAGCGAATCCACGGATAAAATCGAAATTTCACAAAGACAGTTGCGAGCTTATAAAAGATCAGTAGAATCTCAACTACAATCGATACAATACTTGTCCAACGAAAGATTTCTCGGGGAAATTTATTCTCCTGGAGATTAGTTACAGAGACTTACAGGAATCTTCGACATTGCTCTCTCGTCGCGATTGAACTGTTCGTAAGATCGTTAGAACGGAAACCTTTTATATTTACGAAGCCGAGACAGTCAAATCCATAACGAGGAGCAGGCCGGATTCCCATCTATGATCAAATCGGGAACTCGCTCTTGTCGATCAACACGACCTTCGTGCTTCCGGTAAGGAAAGTTGATCGCACCGGGTCCAGCTTTACGCCGGCATTTCGCGATAATATGCGCATTCTAATGACGTATAAAGTAATAGAGGCACGTACGATAAATTAATTACACAGGAATTGTAATGAGATAAACGAAATTAATATCTCGACTTATCGAGAGCAACACTGGTTTCCCGTTCGATCGCAAGCTCATGTGCCCGTCATTTCCGATAGCGTAATTGCGTCTGATAAACGAACACTCCGTACCACTTACCTATATTCGTTTTCGTTACATCCGAGCCGCGCTTCCAAGCACGTACGTCTGCGAGGAAGCGCTCAAGAATTCGCCACAGGCTATTCGACAATCGTCATTCACACGAACGATTTATATACGCTAATAGCTTCGCATTAGAGAAATTTGTCATTTTTCCTTATGAGAATGCATTCGACGTGGATCAATATTAACACCGATGTTACCGGTATTTCTACTTATAAGAAATGACGTCGAAATGTAACAAAGGCAAGAACGCTGATATGCATATATGCAAAAATAGAAAGTAAGAACGAAGACCAAAAACCAAATCATCTGCATAGATGCATAAAGCGAGAGAGCAATGCCGAGGCAACGTGTAAAGTGAAAAGAAGAAGGAAGAAAAATTCGGTCGCACGAGGCTTCACTGCAACCGTTGCAAACGTTTTCCTGATTTCTTTTCGATACAAACGGCGTCTTCACGTTCGCTTGTTACGCCGCATCGCATACGTAAGTTTTACTAATTCGCAATACGTGGCGCGAAGTTTGGTCAGCGTCATTGGATGTGTATACTGTTATGTGTTTGCCAGTAAACGATCGTCAATGAATAATGAATAACGAGCAGTGTCGCGGCCGTTAGGAACGACCGCCGCGTTAGAAAATGAAAGTTAGGAAAGTCTTCGTGGGTAACGCGGAAGCAACGAAGAAAACGCGCACGCGCGCAGGCACCAGTCTTGATCTCGTTGACCGAATAAAGAAAGACCACGACGGAAGGAACCTCGTGCGATCTCTGTCGCTGGAATAATACTTACGTCCTGTTCCAAATGAGCATTGTATCGAACGTGCTTCTTTTTACGCAAGACTAAGGAATCACCGACGATACTTTAGTCCATTAATACTGATGAATGTCATGACGGTCACAGCATTATAGTTCGTGTTAATAGTCGTTACTTGAAACTGTCTCACATCACGCATATATTGTTAGATTTGAAAATAAGTTAGATTTAAGTTTTTCAGTTGAATCGTATGATATGTGTGATATAAAGTTGACGAAAAAAATTTGTCATTTTTCTAAATTCTAAATTCTCGTAGAGAGAGAAAGTTTGGATATTATATGGGAAGTAAAAAATTCTAAAACTAAATATCTTGTTTGACTCATATTTTTTATTTATAAATAATTAATACGGGACTGTGATCTATCTCTATCATATCTTATTAAGTTACTTATATAAAGTATTTAATTATTCTAATACAATTAATTGCATTTGAAAGATCGGTTATAAAATCAACAAAAAGCAATGAAACAAGAGATATATACGTTTAGAATTACATTTATCTATTGTATTTTGAATAATTCGATCGTCAGTTAAATTTTCGTACAGTCAATGATGATCAATATTATCAAAATTAATGTTGATAGAGCACATTATCTCATAACGCATGCGTTGCGGTAGTATCGTTGATACATACAATGTACTCGAATCGATTCCGGTGACGCACACGATATTGAAGTGAGCGCTCACGTATCAAGAGCAATCGCAGCTATCTGGGCGATCTGGAAGACCGGAATCGTCGTCGCGGTCTCACCGCGCCACTAATGTATGCTCTAGGGTGCTTCGGTATATGTGTCTTCCTTGTCACCTTCGTAGACTTCGTAGGAGAGAAAAGCGGCCTCGACCGTTATTTGGCTGCCACCCAGATTCGGCAGCAGCGAAAGTGTATCACTCATAGAATCACTCGTGACGATTGCTCCTCTTCTTCGTCCGACTGATGTGTCGCCGACGTCTCTGATACCCTATAAATACTTACGGGGGTCACGATTCTCGAACGAACTCAGTTTTTCGTCGGCATCGCGACCAACAACTAGAACTCAGGAGCGACTGGTCATGAAGCTTCTTCTGGTACAAGTCCTCGTGCTTTTCTTATCATCATCGAAATCGCACCCAGCATAATTCATATAGTTCAAGACAAGTGGGATGGAGAACGCGACGCGTTAATTCAGTGATTTATGTGTCGCTTGTGAATCGCGACAATTGATTGTGCTGCATTTGACTATATTCAAATTAAAATTTGTAATATGAAACAAAATTATATATAAATACTATATTTAGACATGTATAATTTTATGTATTATATATAATTATTATTGCGCAATATAAAATTGCGAATTATACTTAATTAGTACCGTGTTATACGGGAAACATTTAAAGATACATTTATTTATGAATGCAATTTTAATCTGTCGAACATTTCCTCGCAAATTGAATTCTGCTATGAATTCTCTCTCTGTTGTGAATTACATTGCATTATATAGATTGTCTAAATTAATCTAAACTAATTTCTTAATTAGTCATACTTTGATCTTTATGCAGTTAATGTCACTCGTGGCAGCCAGCAGTGTAGCAGTTACTGTTGAAAACAATTTGCGTCAAAGAAATAACGCTCCCCTAAAAGAAAAGAAACATGGCAAAAGAGGACTGGATAACTTGGGATACAGTTTACAACATGAACATCTAGAACATATATATGGACCACCAGTGCATTCACCTCCGGTTTACGAAGTTCCAACCGCGGACGTCGGTCATCCGGTACCAGAACATATCCCAGAGCCGTCACCGCCGGTCGCCGTTGGACACCCAGTTGGTTAGTAAACACGCTTTACTTTTATATATTTTATAAAAGATCCTTATTATTTATGGATCCCACATATAATTCGATTACTTTAATTTCCTTATAATTTTATTAAATTTATAATTAACAAAAGCGAGCCTGTCATTTATATTTATATCATTGCTGATGTATATTTCTTAATATCTTTCATAAATATGTAATATTTTTTTTATAAGAAATGTGGCGACATTCTTGTCACCGATAAAACGTCTTATATAAACCTACATTACAATATCGTTGCATCTGTAACTCATAATTCTTTTCTATAAGTCGAAAAAACCAATGAGAATGTTATTGTACTTGAATTATCATTTTTTTCAGCAGCAGTACCGGTTCCTATTCCGCAACCGATACCGCATCCGGTACCACAACCCGTGGCGGTGCCTGTGGCAGTGCCAGTCACTAAGCACGTGCCAATCGCCATACCTGTACCGATCCACATTGATCGCGCCGTACCGGTAGCAGTGCCCGTTCCCAAACCGTATCCAGTCACCGTAGAAAAAATCGTTCCCGTGGACCGGCCTGTCCCAGTGCCGATTGAAAAGCCGGTGCACATCCCCGTAGACCGTCCTGTGCATGTGCCGGTCCCAGTACCGAAGCCGTACCCTATCACCTTCGAGAAGATCGTGCACGTGGACCGGCCGTATCCGGTACATGTAGCCGTGCCAGTACACGTACCGAAGCCGTATCCAGTACCGATCAGCATACACGCGCACTATAAGTCGCACGGCTGGTAATTTGCTCGTTTCGCATCATATACTCGTCTCTTGGCTCTTCGATGATAATAATAATAATATTAATATATATATATATATATCTCATAAGTCGTCACTTGAAACTAGAACTACTGACGATCGACGCGACTTATTTTTATTGGAGCGGTAGAAGTGATAGATTTTTTAAGAAATATGTTATGTCAGGGCAATATATTTATTTATTTCTTTCAGTTTTACTCAACATTCCTTGAAAATAAAAAGTTGCATTATTATATAAAAATTGAAATATTTTTTATAAAGAATTACAAACCGATGATTTTTCACTGCTTGGTAGTTCTAGTTGTTAAAATGTCCGCGACGTAACTTTCATAACGACATGTAAATACGATTATCGTGCACTTACATGGATTATAATTAATCTTGCCTAATAAGATGAAACGTATGTTAAGGATTGACGTTGCGTCGACGAAATTTTGTACTTTCTTTTTTTTTAAATAAACAATTTTATTAAGAATTTTATTGCTATTCCTATAGACGCACTGGAAGCTCCTAAAATCTCAAGATTCTCGACAAATCACATTATTACCAGGGAAGGAAATACAACGTTACATGAACTTGTACTATTAATATTGTAATCATGGTTAATGCAGCCAACAGCGTTACGGTCGCAGCACGTGAGGTAGTTACAAGGTGAGAACCGAATCACTTATGCTCAATGACAAAGTTTATGAGCTTCAAAGTTCCTTACGACGTCGTTAACGTCCTTGTCTTTTAATTATATTTTCTATATCAAGCTTTTAACAGCATATTGCGATACTTCTGGAGATATTTTATCATTCTTATGATACAATATTTTATGCGTCATACGTAACATGAAGTTTCGCGATCCACCAACGTTCAACACTTAGATATTTCGTTACCTCATTGCTCGAATAATTGTTCCAGTGATAAACCTGTAAAACCGATAAAGTATTGCATCGAATGGACAAAACAATCACCCAGAACGGGAGAAAACGGCAGGCGCGAGAAATTTCACCTATCGAGCCATCCGATAACTGCTATCACTCCGGAGGGAGATATCGTCGGCCAATAAGAATCTTTCGCGTGTCCTCGGATCTCCTCCCTGCTCTTGCGCACCATCGAGCGACGCGGTAGAGCATGGAAAATGTCGCACCTACAGAAAAGTGTACCGATGGAGGCGACAGAGAAAGGTCGCGCTTTCCACGTAGCGGCTTTCTCATGCATTGTTGACGAGAGAATGCTTATTGTTAGCCAAAGGATTGCGCTTTATATCGCCGTCTGTATCATGGGTGTTAGAAAACGTATATAATTCTACTTTCGTCTATAAGCTTGCGAGTTGCAGCTTTTTTCAATTAACAACGAGCAGGATTAACAACTGCTAATTTCCCATTACTTCCGGTTGAACAATATTGAATCATGGGAAATTTAATTGATCCCTATGTATCCCCGTAGTTCATTTAAAGATCATTGATGCACCGATACATCCGCGAAGATAATCATTTTTCATGTTAGATTCGTACACGTACATGAAGCGACTTAACACCGAAATGCGGTTGATATGACAGGTTTTTTGAAAAAATAAGTTACGCAAGAGGACAAAGATGTCCTTATCCTTTTTAATTCTATATATTCAACGTTCATAAAAAACATAAAAATGCATCTTTATATAAAATTCATAAATTAATTAAGTAATTTTTATAAAGAATTACAAACCGATCATTTGTCACCGCTTGGTATTAATAGTTCTAGCGTTCAGCTGTAATAACGCGATCGCCATTGCGATATATTTAATGGTAATTTAGTGATTGAAATTTACGGGTTTTCAAGGAAAACAAGCAACCTGGTTAGCTAAAAGGGTTAACTATACATATCGTGCGAATCCGAACGTGATGCCACCGTTGGCTATCGACCATCATTCGCTCCGTGCTTCGTTCCGTAAATAAAACGCGAAAACACGTGGACGTTCTCGCCATCTGTCATCCGCGAAAATGTTCATGTCATCTGTCAAATCGGCATGCTCTGGAAGAAACGTTAACCCCGTTACGGTATCAGGTGGCGAGTCGCTATCTCTTCGCCATCATAGCTCTCAGTATCCATACGTTTAGCGACGTAGATACGTGGATTTTTTCTTTCTCTCGAAAACACGGGACCGCAACCGTTTCTTCTCTGTGAAGATGAAGTTTTCCTAATTTGCGATTCGCGATTTATTCGCTAGCGCGAAAATTCGACGCGAGCATCTAGAGCATGCGCTATTTTTGTTACTCGTCGGTCAAAACAGCTCGTTTAATCTAGAAGAATTTCCCCGGGTTTACAATATGATGTGCGATGTTGAAGCTACATAATTCGCGTACTTGTATATTTGACGCATATTTGATGTGAGTTAAGAAATTATTACGGAAAAATTATTCTCTCAATTAGAGTCGATTTAGTGGACAGTACTCGCCGTTTTCCAATCTGATTACTGTACGCGTTATCTTGAAGCCGATGAAAGACAGTGCGCATCAGATATTTCTTCAGAGAAGTTCTCTAGAGAACTCTAATGACTAAATCCAACATAGTAGTGATTCTCAGCTCATCGCACAAGCCAATCTCAATTTCCATGATTTCCACTGATTAAAGCACAACATAATTTTTACAAAAAATAACTTTCTTTCTGATTTTTCTCTTTATACGCTGCAATATTTTTTTATGAGATTCATTTTTTTATTTATATATATATATTTTTTATTTATATATATATTTTTTTATTTATATATATATATATTTTTATATATATATATATTTTTATTTATATATATATATTTTTTTATTTATATATATATATTTTTATATATATATATTTTTTACACATCTTTCTTGTGCGATGTAACTAAACTCATTAAATTAAATATTTTGAAAATTACACGCGCACAATTACAAGTATGTGATTTCCAACGGTCGTTAAGATTATCTCTTGCGCTTTTAATTACAAATGAAACTTTGATCGCGACTCTCCTTCCTTCTTGTCTGCCTACCTATCTGGCTGCTTTCCTACCTTCTCCTTTGAACACACGCGAGTTTTCTTTGTGCATAGAGACTTGTTTTAATGGAATCACAATTATGATAACTACGTCTACGATAGATGCCAGTAATAATGCAAGGGTTGCTCGTAGCGGGTAGGGCGGATAGCGTATCTATAGCAAGCTCATATTTAATGAATTATTCGGCGCCTTTTGCGTTCGATAGGCGTTACACTTGACACCAAAGGCGCGGATCTATAACGCCGACTTAAGGGCGACAAACATTGTGACGATCGAAAGAAATGCACTCTGATGCCACAGAGTTGAAGTGATAAAACACATTTTATACACCAAACTAACGAATGTACGAATAGACTTCCACCATTCTCAATCGAACGAACTTGCCGATATTTTTTATATCGAATTGCGATATGATATTGGTTCAATTATAGTTAAAAGGCACGCTATCCTAATTTTAGAAAATTGTATATTTTGTAAAATTATATATTTTTGTATACACAGTAATTTAAATTTAAATGTAACTATAATTGTTTGTTATTCTAATTTACTTGAGAAGTGCTTTGGAGCGTCCGTCTTCAATTGGCTCTTCAAATTCTATTCAACTTCAATACCAATCTGTTAACTTTCTCATAATTTCAAAATTATAAAAAATACTTTGTATTCAGTTACGTTTAAAATGTTTCAAGTATAAAACTGCAAGCAGGATTTGTATACTCCATGCATTGAACTATATATTAATATGAAATTACACATCGTCAGATAGGGATGGATAGGTTATATATTTCTATCTAATGAAATTAGTGATAGGCGAATAAGATGTAAAATATATATTATATAAAAAAAAGTTTGCGTGATAAAAAAGAAATTTTGATAAATATTCATAAGATATAAACTGATTGAGGTCGTCCAGAATTTTCAAAAGTTTAATTTTATTTTTAAACTTTAGTAATAAAAAATATTACTCCTAAATTTTTCTTGGAAAAAGAATATTGAGAAATGGAATAAGAAAAAGAATGAAAAAGGAATTTCAATATTTTTATGATAAAATTTAATATATTTTATTTAAATATTTGCCAAATCTACCAAAATGCTTCTAACTCGATTCGTAAAAAAGTTGCTTACAAACCAAGTTTCTTGTAAAATTAACTTGTATATATTACAGTTTTAATTTCATTTTTAATTTTGAACGTCCTCAACTTAATATCTCTAGGCTTTTTTAAATTTATAATAGGTTTAAGCAACCGTCACTTTGAATTTAGTTAATTAAGTAAAGAGTTTGTTAAATTTACGTCAAATTTGCGTTTTCTACACATTATTTTGAACAGACGATGCACGTAGAAATTGCACAGCACCTGGTTGAAGACTTTTTCTGGAAAGAAAGACACCTATGCCTTCGTCGCATGTCTAATAAATCTATCCAAAAGCTTCTGATCGCGCAGTCGCAAGACACAGATGTCGTCGAGTATTCACGAGTATTGGACAAACAATGATACGCGTATGTGTGTGAGAACATGTGAATATGAAAACAGGCTCAGAGAAATAGATAGTTAGTTGGTGAGGGCTGCTGAGGACCGACGACGAAGAGATCGACGAGCGAGACGTCTGCGCAGGAACAAGTCCTTCAGTTATTAAATAATCCTTTTCGAGGAAGAATTTTCTCAGGTGTGCCAAAGATACTTCATAGAAGCATACAATAAAAAAGAATTAGAAGAAGAAATAGAAGAATATAATAAAAAAGAAAAAGGAAAAGGAAGAGATCAAGGAAAGTGAGGGCTTGTTGCAGAAAGAAAGAAAAAATTAAAAGTTTGGTCGATTTTAGAACACCGAAAATGTCTACTTCCTAAATTAAAGATTTTCAAATTTTTTCAAATTTGAGAGATGACGATCTTATCTGTTTTTTAGATCAAACTTTTGTTAATTTCGGACAACGAGAACTTTCATTTTCTCCGGAAGTTGAGGATTTTGTGGAGTCTGAAAATTGAAAATCTTCTCGACCTTTGAAATTGAAATTTTGTCCAATCTTAAGCGATGAGGACTCGGCAAATTTTCAAACCGAGAACTTCGTAGATTTTAGGAACTGGGGCTTTTATCGGGCACAGGATAGGCAGTTTTCAAGAAATCCTCTCCAAACAACTGGAGAATAACATCACGCGTCGTATGCTGCATCGAGTTAACAAAACGATGCATAGTCCGAATTTGAGGCGACTGCTGTCCTTTCGCACAATTGGCAAAATTCTCAACATTGTGCTACGCGCTATTGATAAAAATAAGGTGTCAGTGATTTAATGTCAAAATGATTAGTTTCGGCGAGAAGAATCAATTCTTTCGAAATTTAATGCCAGATTCTATAAAAATCTGCGTTTTCTTTCTTCGCGATTTCCGACATTTCAAAACGAAAAACTTAATATAATTTCTATTCTCGGTGCTTTTTTCAGATTAATAACATGGTGTCCATAAAGAATCTGGGACTCGCCGGATCCTGTACGTTCTCCATTGGACTTTTTATTTACATCTTGGGCTTTCCTGCAATACTGAAATCGCAAGTGAAATCGGTAAATGAATATCTTGAATTTTTCAAAATCTGAAATAGATAACAGTTCTTTCAACGTTATAACAACACATTGCTCAAATTTACAGCAAATTAGTCTGAAAAAAGGCACAGAAATGCGCGATTTTTGGGAAAAGCTTCCACAACCAATGGACTTCAATATCTATGTGTTTAATATAACGAATCCCAACGAGATCAAATCAGGAGCAAAACCTATCATCCAAGAACTCGGGCCTTTTCACTACGAGTAAGTGATGTGTCTCATGATAATATAACTCATTTAATGAGCAATTAGAATAATAAGCAATTAAAATTAAAAGCAACAAAAGTAATTTATAGACACGTAATCATTTTAAAGACAACGCAGTTTGAATTTCCCAATACAAAGGAAAATCGTATTTTAAGTAACACTCGGACACAAATTTATCAGCGAGAGAGATTAATCACAACATCAATTTCATTTCCAGCTTATATCGAGACAAGGAGAACATCGTTGATCAAGAAGAAGAGGATACCGTCGAATATAGCCTCAAGCAAGTCTGGTATTTCAATCTGGAGAAGAGCGCCATGCCAGACACCGTGGATATCTACTCGTTTCATCCTATCATGTTAGCGTTAATTCTCATTGCCCAAAGAGAGAAACCAGCTGCGATGGGAATTGTCAGTAAGTACAATATGAAACTCTAAGAAAGTGTATTTGCAAATAAAAGAGTCAAAAGTCGTACTTGTATCAGTAACTGTTACTGTTAGTTGATATTCATTAGAAATATCTGTATTCTTGCTATCTAAATGTTTCCCGCGACCATGAGTTTTGACAAGTTTGAAGATTGGCTTTTGAGCCCGATAATGGAAAATAGAGATCCTATAAATCTTAATAATTGTGTAATTCACTTTGATTAAAAACCTAAAAGCTTTAAAATACCTTATAAATTTTTAAAACGAAAGAATTTACTAGTTATGAGAATCCATCAAGATTTTGTAAATTGTGAAAATAGAAAATTTGTATTTGTTCGTTTATTTATAATTATCTGTTCTTATGTTACTGATAGACAAAGCATTAGACAGTGTTTTCAAGAAACCTGAATCAGTATTCATCAAAACCAGCGTAAAAGAATTGTTCTTCAGTGGTATACGTTTTGAATGTAAGGATGTAACCGATTTCGCTGGATCTGCAATTTGTGGCGAACTGCGAGAAAGGGAGCATATATTAGTGCGAGAAGAGGACTTAATATACAGATACGGTTATTTCTCTACGGTAAGTGATATGTTGAAATATATCTTCTTCGCGCGCAACTGAGCATTTCTTCATCATTGTAAGAACAACATTTAAATCAAGTCTGAATAATTAAAAACGACTAAAATAGAAAAATAAAAATATATATAAGTGAATTATTCTTTACTTCTTATATTGTGCATATTTATTCAGCAAAAAGATGTAAAATATCTCAATATAGTCTATATATTCTAAATATATCCTTTGATCTGTTTGGTAATTTGGATTTGTTACTCGCGATTCAGCGCAACGGAACTCACATGGCGGATCGTATAAAAGTATTACGCGGAATTAAGAATTACAAAGACGTAGGCCGCGTCTTGTCCTTAGGAAACCAGACGGATATGAGCATTTGGTCAGGTAGTCCTTGCAACAATTTTCGCGGTTCGGATGGGACCATCTTCCCACCTTTTCTTACCAAAGATAGACAAGTTTGGGCACACTTTCCAGATATCTGTCGAAGTATAGGTGCCTACTACGTCGAACCAGGGGAAGTTAAAGGTATCAGTGACCGAACAAATGTGTGAAAAGCATTTTTCAATACAAGTATACAATAGCATAATGCTCGGCAACATATCAACGGAATTATTAATATATATTATAAAAAAATATTATTTTATTTAATAATTAGTTAACTCTACTATTTAGTCTTATCGGATATTTAATGAATTCAGTTACTAGTAACTTTAAATTTTAACTCAGTATTTCAGTAATAAAAAGGTACCTTAGATTTTAATAGAAATAAAGTTATGTATATTAATTTTTTATACTTAGAAATAAAAGTTCTTCCACGATAAAATATGACGGTTTCATTAGGCAATTAGTTTAAAGTTTCATTAATTTTTAGGATTCAAAACGTTACATTACACGGCAGATATGGGAGATCCATCCATAAATGAGGATGTAAGATGCCTGTGTCTCAAGCCCGACGAATGCATGCCGAAAAATATATTTGATGCGGGTCCTTGTATGCATGTACCTATAAAAATAAGTCTACCTCATCTACTTAATTCCGATCCACTTTACTACGAGATGATTGATGGACTGCAACCTGATCCGGTGAGTCTTCATAATTATGTGGCTATAAAATATGCATATTCTACACTGTTATACATCTTTTATTTATTATAACAATTATTAACATTTTTTCATTTGTTATAATTTATTGTTTTGCAACATACGCTATTTGTGTGTGTTCTGTGAATATTGAAAGTGTTCATTATTGAAAAAAATCCAAAGCCAAGACCGAAACATTTGGTTACTTATATCGTATTTACATCATTTCCTAGTTTTTCAGTAAATGAAAAAATTATATTTAAGAAAATGTTTTAATTACATATATGCTACTTTCACAGGAGAAGCATATGATGACTTTTGACTTCGATCCATTGACAGGCACTCCATTGAGAGCATATAAGAAAATTCAATTTAACGTGATGATCGAACCCATATCGAAACTCAAGTTAATAAAGTCTTTTCCAACCGTGTTATTCCCGATATTCTGGGTAGAAGACGGACTTGAACTCGGACCTATTCTTATAAAGCCGTTGAAAGTCGCGTACATGCAAATTTTAATCGCAAAGTAAGCGACATTATCAAGTTAATATTTGCGTAAAAACACATCACCAATATATTCAAATGAGTTTTGCCAAGGCAAAATTTATATCGAAAAATATTGTCATTGAGATAAATAAATAAAGAATTCAGATGTCTTATGTTTAAAAGAAAATGAAACTAACAATTTTATAAAAAAATAATAACTAACAATATGAAAATAACTAACGATTTTATAAAAAAGAATTTATCACAAAAAATTCTCATATAAACGCTCGTATTAATAAATAAAATCGCAAATTAACGCATTTTTCGTGTTTATAGAATAGTGATATGGTTCATAATGCTGAGTGGAATAGGCATGATGGCCGTCGCCGGGGTAAGATACTATCAAGAGAACAATAACAAGAACTCAAACATATCGCTACAAGCGGTTCCGAGTGAAAAGCAGAAAAGAAACAGTGCTTCAACGATCCCAAAGATGTCTGTCAGCATCACACCTGGTGCGGTACCACCTAACATCGATTAAGACAATCGGTGTATTGTCAGTTCATCGTTGGAACTGGAGAACTGTCGAGAACTGACATTGATAATATGATGCTGATTACAGTATGTTATGGATAAATATTTTACAAGATATTGTTATTAACCTTGGCTGATATTTTAATAATGTATTTATTTCGGTAGCACGATTGTATCACGATATATAGGTTTATTCAAATTGCAATAGTATTTTATAAAAAAAAAAATTTTATAAATAATACATATAGTCTTATAAATACGGACTGTATATATGACGTTACGTACGACAAGATTGAGCCTGTCAAATTTTTTTCTAAAAAAGATATTAACATTTAAAACTCGAAAGAAAAATAAACTTGCCCCATCGAGATACATAAATATATAAAATAACAAAACTTTGCTCAAGTTTTTTGTTTGTTCAATTTCCTGATAAATAAGTCATATATATGTCTCGAATTTTTTTTCTAATTAAGAATTTCAATTATATGATATAAATGTGAAATATATATAGCAGTCATGCAGTGTGCATGACGGACGACAGGCTTGTCTTTGTCATACAGGATATCTCATATATGACTAACACATTTGCTTCAATTAATTTTTACATTAAATACTAAAACTTAAAGACTAATTTATATTTGTAGAGATAGCTCATTTTCCGAGGCGAATGCGTTATTATTAGACGTTATTTCAACAACAATGTTAATTACTTTGATGTCAGTTCCTCGATCAATTAATGCACTTGTGAGTCGACCGTAGTAATGTGTACCAGTGAATAATTGCCGTAATTGTAATCTATATTATTGAATTTAGGGTGTGCAGATTGTACTTATAACGTAATCATCGTAAAGATATAGCTATTGCAAATCATATATATTTTCTAAAGACACGATATATTCACCGAAAGAGCCTGTTTTAATAACATCACGCGTAGAAGCGATAAATTTCAGTAATCGCGACGGCTTTCTTCCGCTGCTACAGTTTACTATAGTAAACTGTACAATTGCGCACGCATTAAAATGTGTCGACCGATATGCTGTTGTAAATGGTTGATCCTATGATAAACTGAATAACCATCCACGCGACTTATCAACTAATCAATAACTTATCAATGCTATTTGCTATTAGCTCTCGTGAATACGTATATAATGTATGTAACGTCCAATTAATTCCGCCGCAATTTTAATACAAGAGATTTTTAATACAAGAGATTAGGTAATTTTAACAGTTTCATATAAAAAATTGTCTCATGAAATTTCACAATCAATGTAGAACATGAAAGTGCACGTATAACCGATGCATTAAGGTGCTCTATAATGTTTAATGTACATATAATATTTCCACATTCGGTTCTGAATGTTGTGAAAATCTTGAAAATTTTCAAGATGAGTCTGTATTCATCGCGCTTCATCATTGCGCTTCTCGGAAAGTTAATTTATATTTTCATTATCGATGTATATATTGACTTCCTCTCATACCAAAAAAACAACAAAATCGTACGGCCAAAATTGGACGTTATTTCGTGACTTTCGTCGAGCACTGTTAGAGAAACATCATTACTTAACTGAGTCACGTAGCTTGCGAGCTGGCGTAAATTACGCGTTTTCGATCACTTTGTCATTGGTGCATCCATGTATCAATGCTGAAGATGCCACGCCAGGCCAGCTAGGGAAGACAGAAGTCCACGATGGGGCCGAGCAAGCCAGGAGTACGCCGACGCCGAGCCGATGTAAAACATCGGTGTTATTATCGCATGGACAGTCCGTTCGCGACGAGCCGCGCACGATCAACGGCGACGAGGGTGGCGCGAAAATTGGCCAGGAGAGCACACAGGTGCGAAGACGGTAGAACATAGCGAAGGTCGATCACTGTCCGGCTGTCTCGCGAATCGCGAACTTATTCCCTTACGCGACTTTTGACGACAACCCGAGTTATCCGTAATATTTTCGCGCGTTCTGCGCTTTGCTTCTCGACGGAAGAAAGAAATGAGAGCAAGCTGATACGGTGAAGGAATACGAGTGAGGAAGCGACTAAGTAGTCGAAATTTGAACGCGATCGCCTCTGTGACCTCCTCCTTCTCGTGAATTTAACGGAGAGAAAATATTAATTTCCATCGACGGAATTTTTCACCTACGAAAACCACGACGAGAGAGAAACGACGACGAGAAAGGAAAAAATCACGCAATGAGGAACGCTGGCATAAGATATCGCATACCGAGTACCGATACCGAGTGGATACTATAGCGAAAAGATTACGCGCTCGATTTACTCGTTTAGATAAACACAGAACAGAAATAGAGAGACCGACGCAACAGACAAAAACGAGTAATTGCATAAAGCAAATTATTTCGGATAACTTGATATTTTTATCGTAACTATATTTAGAGCGCGAATTCCCACAATCCATCTCATTCAAAGAGATCAATTTTAATGGAAATTATTTTCGTCGTATTTATTTACTTTTGTAATTAAATTTATTTATTTTGATGTTAAAACATACAACGGCTTTGTGTACTTTGCTCTCGATGTAGACGAATATCTGCGTATTCTCCTCGTGCTGCGTTTTATTTTATCAACGATATTTTTTCTCAACGACACTTTCATATCTACCGTGACATCTTGTAAACTCTTTATACGAGTGACGAATCAGCAAGAAAAATGTCACATGGCGCCCACGGGCTTTCTTTGCATTGTTGCAATAATTTGTTGCGAATTGAAATGCCGCGAAATCGAGAAGCAAAGACGGACGTGCAAACAGCGCGAATCACGAAGCGATTCGACGTCGTTGTTCACACATTTCGACGCACGCACGACGTCATGAAGCGTACAAAGCTGTTGAACTTTGTCCCCTTCGGTAGAGTGCTGGACAAAGCAATTCGTGTCCTCGAAGGATATAACAAGGTTCTGATCATTCGTGATCACCGCATAGTGCGAAATACATTCAGTTCTCCAGAAATACGTAAAAATCCGCAGTTTTCAGTGGACTCGTCGTTCTCGTTTGTCCGGAATTCCGCTGAACCCAATTCAACTCAGTTTTAATCGAACAGTGTTTCACTTTGTTAAAGCTTTGTGTAAGTCACAATCGGCCGAGTTTTGTTTTCCGATGTTAATTATAACACGGGGAAAAATGCAATGCGCACTAATTCGGTCTCTAGTAATTTGACCGTGTGAATCCTCGCGATTGTCTGTTTATTAGGGACACTCGTCTTATCCACCTTGATCGTGCGTTTATGATCCGAACGTAACCGAGTGCTTACATGTTTTCGCAGAGCGTGAAGATGGTGAATATAAAGAAACTCGGAATCGGTGGTGGCGTTATGTTCGTCGTTGGCATTCTCTTCGGTTTCGTAGGGTTCCCTGCGCTGCTCCGCTCGCAAATCAAGAAGGTAAAACGTTACGCTATTTTCTCTCCATTCGTGTAGCTGTCTGTAATCTGAAATATCTCATATTATTGTTACATGAATACGTACATGTTGTTACATGAATATGTACATCGCTATAATTACTTAATTGCGATGAGAATGTCCGCATATAGGCCACCTCGTTCTCCTTTATTCTTGAGTGCCGCGTAATTAAATCAGTATTGTATCAAGAGAGATTTTTTAAATGACAGACTCAATTAACGTGACTTTAGATAAAAATATATGTATGAATTTTATAAAAATTATATGTGCATCGACGGACTGACGATCCGTCTAATTGCGACTCTGTGCAGCTTTCCTGTTGGTTATTACATTTTTACCTGTCATACTGTTGATACTTTTATAAAATCCGGCGAGATAGCTTTGAACTTCTTGGAACGCAAGATGTAATTTTAATAAGCAAGATGTAATTTTAATAAGCTTCGACGCAATTGAACTCTTCGTCACAGGGGGGAAATCTCAGTATGTCGCTTCTAGGAAATAATCCTGCACACGCGCCTGATGTAATTGGTTGTTATAGCTGAATATCGTGAAACATTCGAGTCATTCTGCAAAACTATACCGCGAAAGCCTTGAACTTTATTGTGAACTATACGTTATAATATATTGTTTTGGCTGTTTCTAATTTAGACCCCGATATCTGCGACACGCAAGGGAAAAACAGCAAGTAATTAATGTAATCTCTCTCTCTCTCTTTCTCATTGTTCAACGGACAGAATAACGAAAACAGCGACGGTCAGCGAGACTACCAGCAGATATTCGTTTAATTCGTCTTCACGGAGTAAAATTAACGAGAACATCACATCGAATTTGCAAAATTTTCGGGCAATTGCAAGAGATTTATTTTAACTGCTAAACTACAAGTTTCACGTCACGAGATTCTTTTTTCAGTCGTGAAGCTGTAAAAGTCATCTTCAAACCATTTTAAACTATACTTTTACGAAATGCAGATTACACGAAATTTTTCCATGACTTTCTCATATGTAAATGAAATTCTATTTATCGCGATTGATAATTTATCATAAATTGAATTCCTCCCATCACGCTGAAATGTTGAATTAACAAAATTCGATGTTTGCAGGCAATCGCGTTAAAGCCGGGCAGCGAAATTCGCGGGATGTGGACGAGTTTCCCGCTACCGTTGGACTTCAAGGTCTACCTATTTAATGTAACCAACGCCGATGAAATCATGCAAGGTGGCAAGCCGAAACTGAACGAAATAGGGCCGTTCTTTTATGAGTGAGTTGCTTTCACAATCAGGACGAATGTTAAAGCTCAATTCGATATACTGCGATGTCAATTCAATAACATATATGAAACATAGAGAATTTTTTAAACGCTCTAAGGAATTATCAGAAAATTTGCAATCAAAGATTCTAGAAAAATAATTCGAAATTAAATTTCTTTCCGTTGGAGAAGAAATATTTTTTTTTTATTATATACTCGATTATCCATTACTTCTCTGAAAGTGTCGCTCTGATTCCTCTTGGTCTTGATTTCCATCTAATATGAATTGTTCAAATCTGTCTTGGTTTCCGATATCGAATCTGAAATATTCCGTGTCCCTTTCAGTGAATACAAAATGAAGGTGGACCTCATAGATCGGGAAGACGATGACAGCGTAGAATATAGCTTGAAATCGGAGTGGTATTTTAACAAGAAGAAGAGTAACGGTCTGACAGGAGACGAGGACATGGTGTTCCCTCATCTTATGATCCTCGGCATGGTGATGGCTACTCTCAGGGACAAGCCCGCTGCTGTCGGGGTGGTCGGTATGTACAAAACTCACGGTGCAGTGTCCTTGTCATTTTAGCTGAAGAGCGAAGAGAACCGAAGAGGATCTTAGAATAAGACTTAGAAGAATTTTAAAGGCCAAATTCAATTATTTAAAACCAGAAATTCTCCTTCCTTCGATCAACAAAATTTTAAAAGTGAAATTAGTGGTTCTTAAGAATTAGAATTCCTTTTCCTTCAAGCAAAATGCACTTAGTCGCGTCATTTCCACATTAATTCGATTAATCCTCCTCAATCAAACATTCAATCAGATTTATTCATTGGCCCCGTCTGGCTTCAGCTATCCATATTTATTCGATTTCATTATTTCGTTCAATGTCACATATCGATTATGGCCGCAATCGTATCAGTCGTATCTCACAGGGTCACGGCGCGGACTATAACACATGATGGAACCTTTAAAGTAGAACGCGAGATATGATTTTCCCTGTAGCGTAGGCATGTGTAGGGGTGCATCTCGGACGATGGTGTGAATTACTCATGACGCCTCACGATCGAGGGATCGCCTTCATCGACACTGTGTTCGTTCGACAAAGTTTGACGATTAGTTTTTAATCACGACGAAAGTTAAATTCATCATCCTCACGACTCAGGGCGAAAATTTCGCCTTAACGCATATGATGCTCTCAGGAAAGGCAGTAAACAGCATCTTCCATAACCCGGATTCGATATTCGTGAAGGCCAAGGCGAAGGATATACTCTTTGACGGTTTGCCGGTCGACTGCACGGTGACGGACTTCGCCGGCACGGCGGTGTGCAACGTATTGAAGACGGAGGCGAAGGACTTGATGCCGGACGGTGAAAATCGCTACAAGTTTTCCCTCTTCGGTGGGGTGTGTGTCTTCACAATGCCAAGCAGATTCAAATCCCGATAACTATTTCCGACCATTGATTCTATAGTTGATTAATTATTTTTCAAGTATTCTAATACGCACTTTTAAGTATTCCGTGAATCTTTAAAAATTATACATTCGAGTTAATATGTTGCTTATCGTACATGTCAAAGAAGCAACGTATCACGCATAGAATTAATCACAAGCTATAATTACGCTGCATATAAACGCAATTTTGCCGCAAACGAGAGAAGACTGCACGATTTCTTCTTTGCATTACGCGTACGAAAAATGCAGCACGAAGTAACGCGAGAAGAAAGAATGGAATGGCTCGCCTTGTAGCATGAATTAAATCGATTATTTCTGCAGAAAAACGGCACCATCGTGCCAGAACGTATGCGAGTCCTGCGCGGCATCAAGAATTTCAAAGACGTCGGTCGTGTCTTGGAGTTTAACGGTAAGCCCGCGCTAGACATCTGGCCAGAGGATCACTGCAACGCTTTCAACGGTACCGACTCGACGATCTTCCCACCTCTATTTGGACCGGACGACGACATCGTCTCATTCGGCTATGAAATCTGTCGGAGTCTTAGCGCGCATTACAGTCATCGCACTAAAGTCAAAGGTACATATATCTTGAAAAATTCAAAGCGAAATTATGTAAAATATATATTCTATATAATTATATAAGATACATCTCTCTAAATATATCTATAACAATTATAATTAGAGCGAATGATCAAACTTAACACTATTCTCACTGTTTTTAATAGTATATTTTGAGATTTAAAATATACTTATGTATAGAATAAAATTAAAGCAAATCATATTGAATATAACACTTTTTAAATAAATTTGTATCGTTCTTACTAGTGTTTTTCTACTTTTTGATATTATTTGTATGCAGAATAATTATGCAATTATGTAAAAACATATTTATTGTCACTCAGTTTTCTTATGTTACATATTTTATGAAATTTTCAAATTCGTAGGTGTCAACACTCTTCGTTATACTGCGAATCTTGGTGATACGAGTAAAAACGAGATGGAGAAGTGTTTCTGTCCGACACCGGAAACCTGTCTAACAAGGAATCTCTACGACATGACGAAGTGCCTAGGGGTTCCCATTATTGGTTCTCTACCGCACTTTTACGATTCTGAGGAGAAGTGGTTGCAGATGGTAGATGGCTTGCATCCTAACCAGGTAACGTAAAAAATTTTTTAAAATATATATATGTTATAAAAGAATATCAGAAATATAACAATTGCATCATTCTTATCGAATTTATTATATGAAATAAATATAATATATAATTACAATTAAATAAATATAACAAGAAGTATGATTATTATTTTAAATAAACTGTTTTGATTTTTGCAGAAAGATCATGAGATCGATATGGATTTCGAGCCGATGACAGCTACCCCGATAAGCGCACACAAGAGGCTGCAGTTCAATATGTTCATACACCCAGTGCCGAAATTCAAGCTGATGAAGAACTTCCCGGAAGCGTTACTGCCTCTGTTCTGGGTAGAAGAAGGGATACTTCTCGATGACCAATTCGTCAATAAAGTGAAGGTGGTGTTCAAGGCAATAATGGCTGTCAAGTGAGTGATCAAATCAAATTAATCAAATCAAATGTTTGTTATTAGCTTATTACTAATACAGATGAATCGATCAATCAAATGATATTGATTCGCTAATTGCAAATCGATCGATTACTTCGTTAAGATTAAGCTATAACGAATAAATTTTAACATTGTATATTGATTTGTAGCTTTATAAAGTGGCTAATGATACTCGGCGGAATAGGAATGGGCGGCGCGGCTGGCATATTGTATTACAAGAATCGTGACTCTGGTAAACTCGAAGTCACAAAGGTTACCCCGAAGAGCGGCAGCAGTACAGACAGCAAAATGAAGGATAAGAGTGCCTGGCCACCCGGCATGAACATTAGCACGATACAAGCGGCGTCGGTGCCATCCAGCCTCGATAGAAATTGAAATGCTTTCAGCGGCAGGTTAATATCAGTATTAACATCGCGAGGGTTTATCCCTACAGGCTCGAAGATTTTTTTATTAGAAATATTGTAAATTGTATGATATTTTACGAAATATTGTACGATAAATACAATATACAACGATAATACGTAATCGGTGAGCTGAGTCCTAAATAGCAAGGTGATGTTAAGTATTAAGACGTGACCTTACTACTTAAAGTACGACAGCGATTTAATAACGCATTTTTCGTAACTTTGGAAAATGGATCTTAAAGTGAAGAATATTAGTTGTATTAATTTCTTCATTTATTCTTAAAAAAGAGAGAAGATTATATCGTTGTTATGCGAAATCCTTTTATTAAATGATGATTTCTCTGAAATTTATGAAGAATCAATTTATAAAATTACCAATAACGATACAAAAGAAGAAATAATTGAGTCTTATTCCTTCTTAGTAAAGAAAGAAAATATTAAATATATTACGATGTTATATGTAATGACAATGTAACTGAATACAATTGATATTTCAAACCAGCAGAAAAATAGATAAATTTATAATTGCCTAAAAAAAAAGAATACATAAAAATTATTATATATATATAATAATAGCTAAGATTTACAAAGTATGTAATATATATTTCAATATATTTGAACAGTTAACTACCTCGTTGTAAATGTAGTAAATTTTTTGTCAAAGTTTTCATTGCACTTATATATATAGTACAATCAACTTCTAATCTATGTTTTATAGTTTCTTCTTAAATTCTCGATTGTCAATAATACATGTATGTATATCCTTTTTGGTATATTCCTAAATCTTTAAACGCCCTGTAAAAATAGAATTGGATTTTTGCTTCCAATGACCACCACAGATTTATCAAATCTTTAAAAGGCTAAACACCGATGGGAGACTGCACGTTCTAAATATCGTGGATAGTCTTAAGAAAATCATTTATCATTTTCTAATTAGAGCGAAAATATTAATAACACTTATTTTTATCTAACTGCATGCAATTAGAGAAAATAGCAAATGTTAACAAATTTCGTAAAAAAGTCTTTTAATTTATATGTTAAAATCAACAAATTGATTCGTAAACTAGAGATACAAGCGTTTATTTTTTAAACATAATTGTTCGAGTACCATTAGTCACTTTCAAAAATAGTACTTAAATACATTGCAGACAATTCATGCATCCAGAAATGTTTAGAAAGATCTTGCGAAACAAATAAATGTTATATTAAAATTATAATATTAGTATTATATTCGAATTATCTTGAAATTAGAACCTGATCTATTCTCATATATGTACTTAATTTTAGTATGACAAATTTAATATTAATAAGACAATTTTTGTTATATAATGACTAAAAATATAATAAAATAAATATAAATGTTTTAATGTAATACAATGTTCTATTTCATACAAAGAGATCATTTATCAAATTTTGCAGCTTTACTGTGCTCGATTTACATCGAAAATAGGTCGACATATTTGAGCGTTTCTTTTAATATACCTTCATATTTGAAATATCAATTATTGAGTGAATATATATATTTAATATCAATAGATGTTTTTAATACTAAATGCATGATTTGAATAAAGCGCCAAAACATGTAGTTTTTGACGTGCATGCGTAAAAGATATTTCGCGAAAAGTGCAGATAGTGCAAAGTGCAACAAAAACGAACAAATCTAACCTAAGAATTAGAAATCAGATGACAATTACTAAATAAACATGGAGATCAATCCACTAAGTATAATTTTGGTAAAAAGTGATAGCAAGGGTGACAGGCTGTTATTTCGGTACCCGCACATGACAAATCATGTAAGAGACCCGAGCCAATATACTAGACGAAAAAATCCTTATTCTCTAACTAATACTGAGGACTTGTTGCAGGTGATCTTTGTTTAAAATATATTTTAAATGTTATAAGATTTAATTTTATACAAATTATAATTACACTTATTTGTAAAAAATTTATATAACAAACACTTTGAAAAATTTATATAACAAACACTTGCTTAGATAGTATTTTAACTGTCTAAGACCAATATTATTTACTTGTGAATATGATATTTTATTGTTTATACATTAATAATTTGGTAAATTCTAATGCAATCCAAATAATTCTCTTTTACTCAACAGTCTTTACCCTTCCCGACATCAAACATAAGCAATGGAAATTTGACAGGCCTAACAGATGGAGTATTATCTACTTTATTTGCTGTTAAACCAGAATTATGTGAGCAAAAATTTGAATTGAAAGTAAATGATGTTCGCTTTGTTGGACATCCAACTTTGGTTCCATCTCGTGGTTTAAAAGAAGTCAATTCCTCTATGCTATTCAATATAGTGTTTGCATTGCAAGCACAAGCCAGTCATTCCATAGTAAGATGCTACTATGATTTAAGCAAAAGGTAATATAATTTCTACAGATAGAAATTGCTTTTGAGGCATAAAAATAGTATTACATATTTAGATTAGGCATAGCATTGAGACATGAAGAGAAGAGATGTGGTTTTCTAACAGAAGAAATAAAGATGATGGTATCTACCCATGATGAAGTTGCTGGAAGGTAAATAAAATGATATCCTCTTACTGAAGAGTTCTTATGATATTATAAGAAAACATTATATTTTTAGATCTGAAGGTGAAAGTGATTGTGATGAATCACCATATGAATTAATACTTCAAAGAAGTTCACTTGCACGTGGTTTGAAGTTTGTATTCAGTAATCTCAGCACTTCAGGCATAGTCAATATTATGATTAACAAATGGATCCAAGTGCGCTTCTGTCTTCCTCAAAAGGTTCACCAATCTCACAAAAAAGGCTTGCTGATTGATCCTGAAATTATAGACAGGTTTGTCATACAACAGTATTGATAATTATGAAATTCTGAAACGGAATATATAGAATTTATTTAAACAAGTAAAATTTACTTTTAACTTATAAAAGGCTTTATCGTCTATTCAATCTCAAGTATTTAATTACTTTATTTAATTACACTTTGTATTCATATAAACATGTTTATAAAGTTGAATGTTTAGTAAAGTTTTGTAAAGTTTGAGTCTTGACTAAAAAAGATTTATGTCTTGACCAACAGAGATTCAAGTCTTGACCAAGTCTTACAAGTCTATATTTTATAGATGCTTGAACAGCTTAAGACCTTACCATGGCATACTTTTATTAATCGAGCCATTGGACTTATTGGATTCTCTGCAAATAGACTGTTCACCAGCACTCAAACGTTTGATTCAGATTTACAATCCACTGAAAAGTTTACAGACATTAGCGGCAGATTCGGATCTAACACTTGCACAAGTATTCCAGCTAACTGGCCATTTAGTTTATTGGGCAAAAGCAACGATAATATACCCACTTTGTGAAAGCAATGTTTATGTTGTTTCTCCTGATGCTATTTTGACCAACCAATTGTTAGACTCTTTCTCTGAACAATTTCCAGGAGTGTGCTTACTTCAAGTATGTATAATTTTTTCCATTATATATCTTATGTATATGTGAAATAATTAAAAATATATATAATATTACCAATATATTTATGTTCATAATATAAATATTAATCTTATGATTATATTAAAGCCGATATTTGTATTAATTATAAAAAACTTTCATAAACGATTTCTAAGACTCTTACGTGAATATATTCTTCTTCAGGTGATTAGTGATTTCTCTTTACCAACTTCCATTAGCCAAAAACTAAATCCTCTGAGCCAACCACAGCAGCAGACGCAATTAGTAAAAATAATTATATGGCTATTGAGGAATCACTTACTTTTACAATTACATACATACGTGCAATATATGCCAACAGTGCATGGACGTTTATCAGTGGTAAGTCACAATTATGATTTTTTATTAATATCTCTGAGAGCATAAAAGATACTATATGAAAAATTAATGGAAATTTATTCTTTATGTTCTATGTAAGAAATTTAAGGAAAAGAATTCTTCAAAAAGTATCCTTCAATTTAGAAATCATTTCTAATTACAATATATATTGCAAAATATGTTTTTAAATTTGATATTTAACATTCTCCCAATATTTCTCGATTTTAGGATATAAAAGATCAAGACACACACGATACGGACGCAATAGAGAAGAGCGAAAGCACATGGAGTTTAAATGATACGCCAAAAGGCACACCTACCGAAATCAAAGAGGAATTGTCGCTGACGGATAAGGAGGATGGGCTGTACGATTATCAATCGGAAGATTACGATATTCCTTCTGATGATAGAAAGCTACTCGATAGATTGTGTCGCCTTGGCTATTTTAATGGTGGCCATCATCTAGAAGAGATTATGTATCTAGAAAATATTCGCAGGTCGCAGTTGTTACAAATTCTTGACAAATTTCGAGATGTCTTGATCACTTCCGAATGCGAGGACCCGGCCATCGCTCTTTTCTACAGTCCACTCGGTTCTTAATTTTAACACAGTACAGTATATCCATTATTACTGTTTTCATATAATTGTTATAAATAAATTGTTGCACCAGTCGATTCTCACATCTCCGTTCAAATTAAAAACTTGTGCGTTACAAAAAATTTTATTTATCTTTCGCAATTCTCTTATAAAACTTGCGATAAAAGTTACAGGGGATTCTTAATGAGCTTTTTTATTTTGCGGGCGATAATCTGCATTATGATAGAAGGAAGGACTAGGATGCTACAATTCCTGATGTCACTTTGTAAATATTGCTCGCGCTTTTACATTACTTCATATTTTGTGATATAATTTAGGTACATCGAACCTTGAGCTGCCGTAATTGCTTTTTTATGTAATTTTTAACATAAAAGACTAATAAAATGGTCCTGAATTTGTGGCTACATTTGTGTGCGTTATCTTTGTATATTCTCTGCTCACCTTTCTTCCCGAATATATACCCAGAAGTTACAGATATATATCAAAAACGATCAACAGCACTAGCATGACTAGACTTTTCTGATACAACTATATCAAACACATCAATAAATTGATAGATTATAATTAAAATATAAACAATAAAATGATGTATTCTTATATTGCAGCATATTAATGTTGTAAACGCGAGCCTTTGAAAAAGAATAAGTTAAAAAAATAAGTTACAATCTAATACTGACAGTCAATCGATTGCCGAAAATATGTATACACAAGTCCATTGTGTATTCTGTAATAAAAATGTTTTAAGATATTCGCGCGCGCGTCTCAATTATCATATCCATTCACTCATGCATGCATCATATTGCATTCAGTATATTTCGTCAACTGTCAGCGCAATTAAACTCAAGCTCAGATAAAGAGCAACTCTTTTTGTTAAGACTCACGTCTATCTAAATCATAATTTTGTACTGATACAATGTTGTATACTCAAATAAAGAGGCTACTTTTTAACATTGTAAATTTATAAGTACGCTGATGAACACAATAATCTCGAAATATATATATATATACGCCAACAGTTTTTTGAAGAATAAAAGTTTCGTATATCCCGTGTTCCTTTCATTTTGTTAAAGCTACATTAAACGTCACAGTTTCTCTCTCGGATAGATCTGTATCCTTTTCAATTTCTTCAAGGCGCACTTGGCTGCTGTACACTTCGCGATCCTATAGTTCCGTCCGATTCCTTTAAACGAGCCTTTGCCAAATACATCCACCGTCACTCGGACTCTGCGGCCGTCGGCTAATTTCTCAGGCTTTCCAAACTTTGCCGTTTCAGGCTCCAATTCCAATAGTTCACGGATTGGTGACTTGGGAACATTCGTGCTAAATTGTTCTGCAATATATCGTGTACAATAAATTATTTGATAATGAATCGATTTTTAGACATTGTTTAAACTTTCTTTCAGAAATCGAACAAAATATATTTTTGACCAACCAATTTCTGACTTCATTATCGTGTAATAAACACTCCACACCGCATCGAGAGACATTCCGCTATCCAAGTAGATAGCACCGGCTAACGACTCGAATACGTCACCCAAGGCCTTCGGTACTTCTACATCCTCGGCTTCCTCGCATTCTTCCTTGCCGATCAGGTAATACTAAAGAACGTGACGCATTCGTTAACGTGTTATGTTTATCGTGTCATGTTTATAATAATTATTCCTCGCAACCTCTTACTTCTTCGCTAATGGAATGTCCATTCTCCTCTTGTATTCTGACAAAGCGATTTATCACCACGCTCAATCCAGGAGATAGATGACGGAAATACTTATGAAAGCCACATCTCACGGCCAGAGAAGCGAATATTGTATTATTAACTAAAGCAGACCTTAGATCTGTTAAAGCACCTGGCGAATGTTGTCGAGAATCTTCATACAAATGTCTAGTTATCAAATAATCTGAAATATAAAGTGTATACCTCTATAATTTCAACGTGACAAATTGCGTGGCAGATCTGACGACCGTGTTTGGAGAGTGAATAAAAAATATTTACCTAGCACAGCATCGCCGAGAAATTCCAAACGCTGATAACAATCCGTTAGTCTGTTCGGTTGATAGGAGGCGTGCGTAAAAGCCTGCAGGAGATAACTACTATCACGAAATTTGTATCCTATACTTTTTTCTAATTCCTCATATCCATCGAGCATCATACACAACTCGCCTTCTGGATCAGGAATGTATCGAAGCAATGGATTTTGCGGCTCTTCCAACTTTCCGTAACGAATCTGAAAAAGAAATTATTTTTTATATAAAATCATATAAAATATCATGGTACAAAATTATGTGGTATAAAATCATATGAGCCATTCACTTGCGTCCACACGATTTCGCCGTGTTCGCTGGTTTCCTTCACGTACGGTATGCTACCGGGTATCCTCTCTTCTGGTTCGTCTTCGCTTACTATTTGAACTTCCTCGGTAGGCAGAACGTGAATTCCTAACCAGGCCATGAAAAGAAGCGCTCCACGTGGTCCGCATGCAATTAAATATGCTCCTATTAAAGCTTCCACGCAGTCCGCGATACTCTTATCCGGGATACTGTGCTGCGTGATCAGATTGTACGGTATGAAACACCGCATATTGTCTAAATTGCACGACAGTTTACTCTCATTCTTATCTAATTCGCTTTTCATGATCACAAGTTTCTCTTCAGTCTCTTTAACGAGTTGATTAATCTCGGTGGGATTCACAGCTTGCAAAGTCGGAATGTCGGCTTGATTCCACAGGGCGAACGGGACGCCCGACTCGATGAGTGCTTGCTCAAGCTCTTTGGGAACGTAGTAACAAGGAGGCAGCCAATTGTCGTGTGGCTCAAATTTAGTTGCTATCATACTCTCACCAAGCATCTTTTGCCTCCCGAGTCTGTATAGATTTAAATTGCTAACCTGGGACAAAAATTGTCATTTCATAAATCGGTCTCGTATACATGTAAAAATAACCACTGATTTCGATAGAAAAAGAAGATATATATATCAACGTACCTGTTTTGATCTTAAATGACTAAGTTTTCCCTCATGGATATTGTCATACGTACAATACAAATATGTAGTTATAGCGTATTTGAGAAAAGAATCACCGATCGTCTCCAAGCGTTCTAAATTAATGCCGTCATTCGCGTTAGACATCGTTAAAGCTTGCAGAATTAAACTAGGACTCGGCCCTGGATGGCCTCTCAATTCTGGCTGGTAATCGAAACTAAAAAGATCGCTATGTAAGTAATTCGTCTCATCCAGCTTATGGATCCTTTTCTTCACTATTTCAGTGGACTCGAAAGAATTTTTATTCAATACTTCGTCAGTGAATCTCTCTACAACTGTCCCGATATAATCCTTATGCTTGTAATCTGGTCGTTCCTCAGAGATCGGGCAACTCAGCGAGTCCTTCCTCTTGATCACAATTTCAGAATCACAAGATATAAAGGTACCGTCGTTTATTATATCGTGCTCCTTTTGCTTGGCGAATTCGTAGTGCGCCTGCTCGTGTTTCGCCAGCAACAACTTCTCATCTTTCTCCGCATATACCCAGAGATTATTGTCAGAATTCTTCTCAGTCTCCAGGAGATCCAAGATTTTCTTGTTGATTTCCTGCTTGCATATCTCTCTCTCGTCCTCCACAGCTTCGGCGACATTCTCGCCCATGTAAGAGATCTTCAGACCTCTACTCTCATCTTCGCTCTCGTCGGACATGTCTGCATATCCATCGCTGTACGTGTCGTCAGACTCGTAACCGTCGAAATCAGATTCATACGCCGGTGAGCCGTATCGAATGTCATTCCACTCAAAGTTCTGCGGCAAGACAGTCAAATTCAGGGGAAATGGCTTAAGATTGTCCGTATCAAAATCCATCGAGTTCATCGCCATATCGTTTGACCATGTACCGATCTCTAGTTCGTCATTCTTCTCGTCAGCATTCTCTTCCTCCTCAATTCTCGTATTATCAAATAATTCCAATTGCTTCCCGGTCTCATAACACGACACATGATCTTGATTTGACGAATTTTGGCACATATCAGAGACCATGTTGCAATTGTTTAGTGTGCTTTCATTTTTTGCCTGCTTCGCTTTCTCCGCTTCCTTTGACTTTTTCAACACTTCTGCCAAACTCCATCCGAAATCTAATGCTGACCATTCGAAATCTAAAAGATACATACATACATACGCACATATATACATATATATATATATATGTATATTTCCTTTAATTATAAATATACTTTACATTATACTTATTAAGACCATTATAATCTGGTCATCAATTTTGTTATTAAAATATCTCCTGATTGTACACATATATACCTGAACTTAAATTTTGTTGCCCTAAGTTTATCATTTGTGCAACTTGGCACCGTATCTGGTTGGCAAGCAACAAAGCATTAATTCTATATAATATACAGGGTAAGCAGACAGCTTGTCTCCATAGAGAAGCTGGGAAGGGATGAATGGCACATAACTCAGCAACGAGAATCTGTTTCTGCTCTAAATTTTCTCTTTTCGCGCGCTTCGTCTCTTCGCTACTCGTAGGCAATGCGACACCTTTACGATTAACATATCTAAAATATATATCAAATAAGAATTTAGTCTAAAAAATAGACACTTTGATAGACACTTTTGATAATTAGCTACATTATGGATCTTACCTAGGAGTTAAAAAGTTTAACCTAGCTGATGTATGATCCACGTCCAATAACGATTGTTCGAGATTTTGTATTTGTATATCGTATTTCTTCAAGTAATATTCCTCGAAAGTGCTATAATCGTCTCCGGGAAAAGAAGACTTTGGATTCAAATTTGTACATATTTCCGCTACATAAAAATACTGTAAAAGAAAGAAAAGCGTTTGTGAAAAAATATATAATAGATCTACATGATCAGGATTCAATGTTTTATACTTTCTATCAATCTACTTTCTGTCAAATTTCAGAATATAATGCATTTGGATACATATACCTGTGGTTGGTCCTGGCTTCTGTACCATGGCATGATCACAGCATCGTAATATTTCGATGGATCGAACTTAAAATTTTTCCTAACTTCTTCCGGTACCTTAGTCGGTACCGCATTTCGATTCTGGTAAATACATTCCAGAAAATCCCAATCTACACTAATATCTGATCCTTCATTTGTTGTAACTGAAAAATCAAACATCGTACTACATTTTAGGAAGATTTTAGACAGATAAGAAACTCTGTGTGAAAAAACAGAAATTCATCAAGTAGAAATTGATCTTGATTAAACAGAAATAAATGTACTTACCTATTTTAACCGGTACAATTATATACGAGTTTTCCGAAGCATTCGGATCAAAGAGCATTAAATATTTCTGCAGTCTCAAGACATTCGTGAAGGTATAGTTAAGGAAAGTGGCGACTCTTTCAATCTGAACGTCGTCCAGAATCACAGTCTGCTTGCTAAGTTTCAATTGCACGTGAACTTCTCCGGATCTAGTATAAATAGGAAATGGACACAGCTGTAAAAAGAAAATATAAATTTGCATTAAACATATCTCAAGGAAATTATGAATTTCTTAAAGGTATAACATGCTGCAATTGAAAAGGAATATCTATAGTGGCTTATTACCTTTGGTATCTCTTTCAACGTAAGTATGCCAAATCCAATGGCTGATTCTTCAGGAGGATAAATACGTCTGCCGCGTGTATTTTGTTCCTCTGGTAGAGGACAACTTAATACCATATTAATATGATATAGATAAGACGGTACTCCGACTATTGGCCTACAATCTGTCAATGCTTCAGCTGTCTGGATAGAATGGTACACATTTTGAATGACTGCTTGCAAGATAATAACAAAAATCAGGATATCAGATATTTTCTTTTACTTTTTTCTTTAGAGAAAAAATAATAGTCACCTTTTTGTAATAATATTGTCTACGTTTTGTTGTACCAGGTCTAGCTTCCGAAAAGTCAGCCCTGCTCTCGTCCGGTAGAGCAGGCACTTCAGCATCTTCAGGCTTTGCTTTGAAGTTCTCCTTTCCAATAGGTAACAAGTTATCGTCTATCTCATTTCCTCGATGTAGGTCGATGCATAATTGCAAGGCAGCCATACGTCTGGCCATCGCTCTGTTTGGCATTGGGTACGACTGAAATATGGTAGAAAAAATAAACCGTAATATTGCAAAATATATAAAGGGTTACAAAAGAGTTAATTCATAACGCATTCTCTCCACTAAATTGATCAATGAAACTATGACTATGAAGGCACACAGCAGAAAAAATAATTTGCATTTTCATAAGTATGCAGTCACTTACCGTAACTACATATTTCATTGGTGAGTTTATAGGAAGTCGCAGAGAACAAGTATACATCGTAACTTCGTTGATATTAACTGTTTCAATAGACCATTCTGGTGTTAATCTCGTGAATGTGTCGCTAGGTAGCTTCGCACAGTACCTGCGTAATTTATAGAATAATGAGTGCATGTATCTTAGGATAGTTATTAGAGAGTATATTTAAACGTTTAATTTGTTAAGACCATAAGAAAGAAATATTACCTGTTCACTAACGAGATAGCAGAGTTAAAAGTGACTTTAGGAGCATCGTCGCCATCGAGCGGTTTGTAATGTGGTATCATCGCAGCGTACATGTCCGCTCCAGTCTCCTCTTTCTCAGTTAGCTCTTTATTAGAACACTTGAGTAATAAAGTCTACAAAATAGATCAGCGCCCTTCCATTAACATTTCATGACTGAGATTGGCAAGAATAAAGAACCATATTGAGAATTGATATAAAAAAATCAGAGATGTGCATAAATGAGTGAAATAAAATTTACATAATATCGTAACATATAAAGATAAACCCGAATTGAAATTAGTAATTAAATCTTTATAATATGACAACTAACATTTTACAAGATTGCAAGATTGAATTCTATATAATTGTACCTTTTCTATATATTGATATTGTGCTAATTGCCATATCAATTCTTTAGATATTTTCTGAGGTACTAATAATACATGCAAGGCATCTATAGCTCTTGCTCTGCTCTTACATTGTACATACGACTGATAATTTTTAGGGAAGTCGTATCTCATAACAAAATTACACTTCGGGATGTCGATTCCTGAGGAAAACGTAATGGAAATACATCATTGCTAATCTTAGCAATATAACAAGTTTATGATACATGTACATCCTAACAAGTGGGACTGACATTATATAAGAACGAAGATCTAAATACAAGCAGAAATGCTTCTGTAACACATGTCACTAATTTTATATACCTTTCGAATTATGTCACTTGGGTATTTGAACAATCTTATGCTTATCTTTACGAAAAATGCTTTTATGGAAAGTACAAAACGATCATTACATATGTTTAAGTACAAACTTGCAAATTATCTTGCTTGTTCGAAGATTTTGAATCTGTTCCTGAAGCATGTCCCATTTTTTAAAACATCCTATATAAATAACATGATAAAAATATATTTCTACAAACCTTCCTCCAAGATCGAGGTTGCAATCAATAAATTACATTCATGAATTCTGAATCGCTTTAAAACTTCTTCTTGTTTCCTATGTTCCATTTCTAAATCTCTTGAATAACCAACGTCATCAGTAGTCCTTTCAATTGTATAAAGAGGTGATAAAAATTGCAAATCTTCATCATGTTTATATATTTCCTGCAATTAATGTTAAAGTTAATACTCAAATCCATAATACATTTCATGATTTTCTAATGAGATGTTAACATACATTTAACAAATAAAATAAAATTTTAGCTGTGAACCCTTTATCCACAAAAATTATTCCACAAAGTAAATCTGGGTCTGTACTACCATACAGGTAACGTGATTTGGAGTTTTTTTTATAATTATCATCATTTAATTTCCAATTACCCCCAAATTTTTTTGGCTGCACTGATTTATCCTGAGTTCTCGAATTAATAACATCCTTGTCATTTCTCACGAGACAATTTTTTGAATTAACATCTAGAAATATGATATAATCTAAATTATACTTAAAATATATAATTTATAATATATTTAAAATATATAATTTGTAAATGTTGGAGCAGTGAAAGATTCTTACCAGCATTTATTTTCTTCTCTGGGGTATTATTCTCTTTAGTATAAAAAGGAGTATAAGTTTTTAAGATTTGTAACAATCTATGAACTTTTGGAGTACTATACTGATATATCTTTTCTTTCTCAGATATACATTGAAAAGTATTATCACAAACAGCACTAAAATATATTCATTTAATTAACTTTTTAAAACATGAGAGAAAAAAATATATATACATTACAAAATATTCTTACCGAATCTTTATGAAAACAGATGCCACCATATTTAATAGGAGATAATGTCTTTCATAAGGAGTTTTGATTTTTAATTTTTCTGTTAAAATTAACAATGCCAAGGCAGCACGATCCGCACACCATGGTCCAAGAGTTTCCAGTATATACAAAAAGTCCTGCATCATCTCCAAAGGCTTCTCTCTTGGATCAGGAATTTTTTGAATATCCTCAAAAAATTCATCATTGTAAATCTCAGTAGGATCATAGCGATGATCACGTAAAAATTCAGTGGCATCTAGCACCAAATTTTCAAGCGTATTGTATAAATCCCCCTTCTCTCCTTTAGAGTATTCCACCACATATTCTCTTGGTTTTGGACTATAACTGCAAACAATTTCTATATTATTAAATCAAACCAGTTATTGGACTGATAAATAAATAACTTACCGTATTATTGAAAGGATATCATTTGTGGTTTCTACACCACACTGGAAAGTAGCCTCTACTTTCTCTATTTCTAGGCCCAATCTTCCAGGTGCCTCCGTTAAATTAAACAAAGGTACTGCTAATCCAATGATTCTAGGAACATTGTTGCATAATAAAAAAGTTTGAAGAATAAACTTTAGATTGCTGTCTTCATTAGACTTATGGCACTCATCCACTATGACTAGATTTATATGACATGGTAAAAGTTTTTTTTCTGATATCAACTGTGTGTAGACTTTTGGAGTTCCAACCAATACCTATATGTGAAATCAGACTTATAATTCAAGAATTTTTACAATTTTAATCTTAATTAGTAATATAATTAATAAATAATTATTTTCTTACATGAGAACTTTCAAAACTTTCAGCAAAGTCCTCAGGTACAGAATCACATACTAATACTTTCAGATCTGTTAATTGCTTTATATAAGTTGCTTTTATTACACATTTATCTTCATTGTTTAATATATATATTGCCCGTTTCCCACCTTTACTTATTAACCTATGTACAAATAAATTATAAGTGTATTAATAAATCCCTTCATAAATACTTCTCAAATGTAACTGTAAAAAATCAATATACTGAAAAACAAATAGAGAAATCTTTATTACCTTCTATTATTAGTAGCAAACTCTTGAATCAGTTTTATAACAATGAAGGTTTGCTCAAAATTCTTTCCCAAACAGATAATTATGTTCTTTTCTTTGGCCGCATAAAGAAGTTCTACCTATAAATAATTGTTAACAAATTAATAGCAAATCATTCATGAGATAATTGTCATAACAGTCTATATATAATTTTTATGATTACTCTTATATTTTCCTTATCCCCCTCAAATGTTTAACTATATTAAAATTACTTACTTGGTACTCCCTGGGAGTGAAGGATTTCGTGTAGACCTGATCATTTAGTGGAAATGCCATGGAACCTATAGCTTCTTTATAATTTCTACTCACAATAGCAATTTCCTGATATTTATTGATAATCTTTTACCATTTAATAATCACTGAAAATACAAGACTTGCACAATATTTATCGAGGTATCCGTTAATTAAAAAGCTTCTGAGTTTGAAACTTAAGATTAGGTTAGGTTGCAGACAGTTGCATGCGAAGTTTACGGACCTGACAGTATACAAACTTCAAGTGTTGAACTACTTATTGAAACATTATTATTAAATACATAAAAAAATGTCGTTACGGAACGACCAGTGCTTTACCTGTAACTATATACACATGTCTATCCTTGTCTAATAGAATGCCAAAATTGTGGTTCCAGTCTGGAGTCAGTAGAAAAATCAGATTTTAGTGAAGACTCAAACCACAATTTACCAATATTGAGCCTTTAGGCACCAACAAGATACTAAAGAAAATATAGACCCATATTCAGAACATGCTTATAACTATGTTAGTGCGCTGTTAACTAATCAGTACCGCGATTCTGTAACTCGTTATTGGAGTTAACGACACTTTCGTTATCGTTGCGCAGCTTTTGTATACCGTAGAAAAGCTGCGCAACAATAACGACAGTTTCGTTATCGTTGCGCAGCTTTTCTACGGTATACAAAAGCTGCGCAACGATAACGAAAGTGTCGTTAACTCCAATAACGAGTTACAGAATCGCGGTACAGAAGCCATAATGCGTGGCTTTTCATTGGTTAACAGCGCGCCACATAGTTACAAGCGTGTTCTGAATATGAACCTTTAGACTTTTATGCTTATTTCGAGATACAGCTTCATATCCCAGTCATAATATTACCAGAGAGGAACTTGAAAGCGGCCAACACGGCATTATAAACCTGTTAACGCCCAAATTAAAAATGATATTAATCATACACGATCTCAATTCTTCTTTTCTTTTGCGCATGTTAACATGTTAATTCATGTTACAAACGCATAACAATGTGCGAGACCGTGCTTGTCAAGTACACTATTATGGTTGTAGCACGGATATAAACCGCCTGCAAGTGGATGTAGCACGGTCTTCCACCACATGCAGATTTTACCGCCAAGACCTGAAAGTGGATATAGCATCGTAATTCCCCTCTCAAAATGGATGCAGATGGCGCCCTTTCCCAGTGCGGAAAGTCAGTGTCGCCGAAAACGCCGTGTTGGCCGCTTTCAGGTTTCTCTCTGATCTTACTAAGATGGCGTTAGAGCATAGCAGAATTTCTCTGATACGTTAAATCCCGTAAGACCAACGGTCTTTGTTAGCATCTCATCGATGAACTAATCTAATTACTACCCTGCTCAAAACTGTATTCAAAAATGCTATTAATAATATTGAATCGTGAAAACTATCAACACAGGAATAAATCGAACTAGTGTTTGAGGGGATAATCAATCCTTTATTTAGAAAAAAATCGAACATCGACTTATCAAACAGCTGGAACCAAGATTGAGTGAGAGTGAGAGAGAGAGAGAGAGAGAGAGAGAGAAAAAGAAAGAAAGAAAGAAAGAGAAAGAGAGTGTAAGGGAGAGAGAGAGAGAGGCTGTCATCGCCCATATTTACTTACCTCTGCTTGTTGGTAAAGATATTACGGGAAGATACCCTTTTGATAGTATTGAGTGGCGAGAAATAGAAAAAAATAAACGAGTCTTTCTGTAATTTCAAATCATTCATCTTTAAACTAAACTGTAGCATCATGGATGATTTACAAAATTACAAGTTACAGCTCCAACAGGTAAGTCTTCTTTTACTATTTTTACTAACCTCCATTTTCGTAACGACTAATCAGATGCAATAATCTTGGTTGTTTATATTCTTGTAAGAAGCTGTCACTCATACTTATTGATGTTTCAGGTGGAAGCAGCTCTCACGACAGACCCAAATAATGAAGAATTAATTAAGCTGAAAATCGACCTTGAGGAAGTAATAGAGCTGACACATGATTTAATTAAATCACAACAGCAAGAAAAAAGACAAGCCAATGGCATGGATGCTAAAGATCCTATTTTACTTGCAGTTCTGGCCAATAAATGGAAAGTCGGTGATCAATGTATGGCACCTTGGAGTGAGGATGGCAAGTAAGTATTTTTCTATTGATATATATGATAAAATTTTATCTTAAGAAAATTATACCCCTTAATTTAAATAGTCAAAAGTTTTAACGCTAAATGCTAGATGTACAAAGAAAACCAAAGCTAAGAGCAATTCAATCATGAATTGACTACTTACTTGCTATTTATATTAAAAATTAATATATTAGAAATATAATTTTTAGAGATACCTAATCTTAAAATATACTTTATACAATAGTATATTGAGTTCTTTTCTTCCAGATATTACGAAGCAACTATAGATGCAATAAGTGAAGATGGAGTTGTAAATGTAACATTTAATGAATATAAGAATACTGATGTTACTATGCTGAGCCAATTAAAATCTGTTGCAAAGAGGCCAGCATCAGACTGGGCAGATCAAAAGTCAAAGTAAGTTATCCATATAATATTGGAGTTATGTATGTGTAAAATTTACATTAACTCCTATATTTTTGCACACCTTTATCTTTACAAGAAATGTAAAAATGATAAAATAGAAACTAATATACTTTTCTTCTTGTTCCTCTTCTAAATTGGCAACTATACTCCATCATTGGTATGGTATTTGGTCTGAAATTCCATTATTATTCATTTACCCTTTGATGTCATATTGTCTGTGCGCATTGTTGGGCTTCAGGAAGAGGTAACAAGAATTATCTGATTTACACGGTACCATGTGTGTACTACAAAATGATTTTGAAATATAATTATATAATATATAGAATAAAATTGAAAAAATATAAACTTATTTGTTTATACTTATTAGTTGTATAAAAATAATTGATAAATTATGTTTAATATGTAATAATGTAATAATTTATATAAAATTATTAGTATTATTAATATCTTATTTTATGATTTTATGATGATAGATATATTTTATTAACGTTGAATAATGTAAATATTGGTACAGTATTATATAATATTGTTGCAAAACATATTGAACTACATATTGAACTACTTCAAGTCAGAGAAAATGATAAAGAAATAATATATAGCACAAAATTGGGAATTTTTATGGCATATTAGTCTCTCTCTCTCTCTCTCTCTCTCACTCACTCACTCTCACACACACATACACACATATCCAACTTTTTCCTCACTTTTCTTCTATTTCTCATTGAAATTATAGTAATATTATATACTTATCAAGGTGTTTGCAATGTGTCATTATGGGAACATTTAATTTTTTATAATTTGTTTATTTATAGGAAGATGCAAGCAGCTGCAGTTGCGGGCTCAGATCCTAACAAACAAAGGGAATATCTTAAGAAAAAGAAGCAGAGAAAACTGCAGCGATTTAAAGAACTAGAAGAAGAACGTGAGTTGGAAAAAAATAAGTGGTTAGCTTTTACTAATAAGGTATGTATGAAGTATTTGTAATATTTCATTATGTGTATGTATGTATGGACATACATGAAATTTCATCTTTATAATTGACTAATTATTCTTTGTAGTCTTCGAAGAAAGGCGTTATTAAGAAGAGCATCTTCGCAACACCGGAGAATGTGAATGGTCGTGTGGGAATTGGCACTTGCGGTGTCAGTGGTCGCGAGATGACCAAGTTTAGTAACGGGGAGAAATGGAGACGAGGAGCTTAAGTAGGCGTTGTACATAAATTAGAAATTGTAACCTTTGTGAAGTAGAATCGCGATATATTATTATTAATCGGAAAATAAAAATGAATCAGTAGAAGCTTGAAATATTGATGTATTTATGCGGAACTGCATCAAAGTATTGAAAACACTATAATACAAGTGTAATTTTTGTTTTGATTATATTGTTTTACAATATGTACTGTAATACTACAACATTGCAGGTACTGCAATATTTCAGGCCTTTGCTGATTTTAACTTTCCGACTGTACATCTAAGAGCCTTACACACATTATTCAGATTATATTATGAAGACTGGTTTATAAACTGGTATACAATGCACTTTATGTTGTGAGAATGGTGAGAATGTCTGTGTGATAGCAGGAACGGTGAAATTGTCCAAGCATGAATGCAAATATCTTTTCTCATAACACTGACTCTATAAGTTATAAGGCAATTTTAAATTTTGTATCGTAATATAACTCAAAGACGAATGCGGCGAATAAATCTGTTTCTAGTTTAATATGTTTCTGTGAGCATAATTTGTTTATAATATCATTGATATATAAATAAATGTATATTTTAACGTGGAAATCTTTTAAGAAAATATTTTTACTCCAAGGAAAATCGCTTGAGGCTGTATGAGAAAAATTGTAATTTAATTTCACTTAGCTGCCCAGTCAAAATTGTAATTACAAGAATACTAATATCAAAATATCGGTAATAATGTCGATAATAAATGTTCGCAGATCTTGTTATTGGCTATGGTATGCGTTCACAGGTGAAATGATTCGAACTGTAGATTAACGTTAGAAAAATCAAAATGGTGGCTTTGTGTGCGCAGGCACACGTCACCATTGGTTGATATCTTCGCATAAAAATGTAGATTTATTGCACTGATATACGAAAGAGTAATTGACCCGTGTGAAACGCTATCAAATACTTGTGCGATGATAAAAATTATTTATCATATCGTCTATTTCATATTCTAACCTAGGCATATCGACACGGAGTGAAAGTGTCAGAATAGAGCTACATTGAGAATTATGTATAAATACGAAATTTATCGCATTATTCACACGAATGTGTAGTATAATACATCTATAAGAGGTCTGATAATAATTTGTATGTGAAAGAAACTGGTATCAATGAGGAGTGATTGATTTTGATCATAGAGTGTTACATACAGGAAGAAATGGGATCAAACGAGGAGAATAGACTTCCAAACGGTGATATCCGGGTACATAGAGATGTTGACTGGTCCAGATATGGTTTACATGATCCAGAAGCACAAAGGAATGTAAGGAGAGATAATGAAGGTTACAATGCACTTGGTCCTGAAATGTATCAAGCTGGTGCAAATGAGTTGTTTGCACAAGAATATGTAAGCACTTTTAAGTTAATATTGATTTTACATGTGTCAAATAGTACATCTGTTTTTGTATTTTTCTTAGAGTTCAGATCCTTGGTGGAAATCAAACTTTTTTATTTCCCAACCTGTACTGTTTGGTACCTGGGATGGAGTTTTTACATCTTGTCTCATCAATATATTTGGAGTGATTGTATTTTTGAGATCTGGATGGATAGTTGGCCAAGCAGGTGTTTTAAATGCAGTATTAATAATTTTATGTACAGGTAATATATAATGTCAGATGAAAATACATACAATTAGAATATATATAACCACTTGATTACTTATAATAATAATCATATATTTATTTCAGTATGTATTGCATTGGTGACAGTATTGTCAGCTGTAGGAATATGTGAACGATGTAGAGTTGAAAGTGGTGGAGTTTACTTCCTATTGTCACATGTATTAGGTTCCAGATTTGGTGGTTCTATTGGATTGCTTTATTGTTTTGGACAGGTATGAACAAATAAACTTATTCTCTTGATTTACCAATGTTCAAAGAATCGGTTTATGGATTTTATTTCAGGCCGTGGGTTGTGCTCTAAACGTTTTAGGTTTTGGAGAATCAATGGCTGATCTTGTAGGTTTGGAATCTACTTGGGCCCAACGTGGTTTTGCTTGTGCAGCAGTTATATTATTGTCTGTAATTAACGTAGCTGGTGTTAAGTGGGTCATAAAATTACAATTTATTCTCCTTTTGCTCTTGCTTCTCGCTGGAGTTGATTTCTTTGTTGGAAGTTTCACCCATACCAATATTGGTGAGTTGATTAAAAAAGTTATAAAGATAACATACATTTTGCAATAAAAAATCAAAATATTTCTTGCACATGCAATAAAAATATCGTAATATCACAAAATTAAAATTAATGAAGTTATAATATTACTTATATCACAGATGCTGGTTTTGAAGGATGGTTGTCAGGAAACCTGAAAAACAACACCTTCCCTGATTATCAGGACGGATACAGTTGGTTTACCGTGTTCGGTGTATTCTTTCCGACAGTCACTGGTGTTTTAGCTGGAATTAACATGAGTGGAGATTTGAAACATCCATCAAGTGATATCCCCAATGGTACTTTGGCAGCGTTAGGAACTGGGTAAAAAAAACTTAATATTAATACAAACTTTTTTAATGGATTTTCTGTATTGTAATTATCTTTGCAGAACATTTTTATACCTGTGTTTCTCACTTACTTTGGCGGCCACTTGTATCAGAAGTGCTTTGCTCACAAACTTTATGATAGCATCGACAGTGTCAGCAATCTCGGTACTGCTGCTAGCTGGTCTCTATGTATCGTCGTTCAGCAGCTGTTTGGGAGCTATGTATGGCACACCTCGTGTCCTCCAATCTATCGCCAGTCAAAACGTTATACCAGGAATGAGTTGCCTGCAAAGAGGGGTAATAATTCTCTTCTCGATATTATTCTTTTATCTATTTTCCGTTTAGATTTGTTTAAGATAAACTGTTCTCAAACTTAAATTAATACGTAAGATTGAAGATTATTTGTAATAATAACGGTAATAAAATATATTCTGCTTGTAGAGAGGGCCAAACAAAGTACCTATTTATGCTATGTTAGTCGTCGCTGTAGTGACGTTGACCTTCATCATCACTGGGCAGATTAACACACTCGCACCGATCGTGACGATGCCTTTTCTGTTAACGTACGCGTGCCTGGACTATGCATACTTCGCCCTCGCGCAAACGTTCGATATCCGTCATACGCGTGAGCAAAGATTTCGCACTCAATCGCCAACATTCGACCGCAACTATGGTTCTGCCAGCAGGAACAATTCCATTACCGATACGGACAACGATTTGGACAGTTTGTTTCCGGAAAGAATAAGGCATAAGAACCTCACGGTGAGGTTTACATTTCGTTCACACATGCATTATTATACAAATTTAAAAGACACGAGAGAATAATTAACGCATGATAATTATTTGCAGAGAAATAACAGTGTCTCTGACAATAATGTCTATGTGGACTCGTCGCCAAGCATCGAGGATAACGTTAGCGTGGCTAGTGTGGAACGCAAAGTTCACATACACAATAAATTGGGGAACTGGTACAGTCCGTTGTGCAATAGATGGTTTTCGTTGTTGGGTGTAAGTATCTTCGTATCTGAATGAAAGGAAGAAAACATTGCAGAATTTCATTCCTTCATACTATAAATTCATCCTAAAGTAATTAGTGTCTGCGTTTAAAGAAATTACGTATAAAGAAATCTATATCTATAACTGCATTTTTATTCCAGTGCCTCGTGAAGCTGCTTATAATGTTTCTCGTGCATTGGGGATATGCTATTGCGAATATCGTCGTTGTGTTTATTGTCTGGAGTTACGTCGGTCACGCTAATCCCGCCGTCAAACCAGGCGTCTCAGCAGAATTCCAGTTCTTCAAATGGCTTCGAACCGCGCTACTTCGTCTTATGGGGTATACTCTTCATTATTACACGTTACAAACAGTTCCTTTCAAGTGATAAGTTGTCGAGGATCGAAAAATACAAATTATTTTATTCTAAATTATGGAATTGTGAGACAAACTTTTTTGTCACGATTAAGATTTCCTTGATAAAGATAAACAATTTATGCTTTTTATCGTAGGAGAAAAGTTTACGATTACGAGCAGATCGTTGTAACACCGGTACATCCGGGCGTCGAAACGTGTTCGGCTCAGTTGAATGAAGAGAATGAGGATTTTTCGGGAAGAAGAAGATATCATCAAACCGCCACAGTCACGGGTCAATATGTTAATATTGATTAGACGTTTCAGAACTATGCGATTTACACATTAGTGGACATATCTTGTGAAGTACCATTCTCACTAACGAAAGGAAATTACAAACATACGCTAATGCTTAATATTTAACATAATATTTCGGAGAGTGATAAGCTTACAGCAATCTTCGCAGGTAGCTACTGTTTTTACTTCGTTTTTTAATAATGTCAATCGCGCAAACAACTAGTCCAATTGAATTTATTTAACTCGTGCAATGCATCTAAAGCGAAATAATATTATAGCTTTAACTCTGCCGTTCCGTTCACTCTTCGTATACATATTAGTGCATTCGAATTCAAGTAAACATGTATACATATTGTAACGTGATTTTAATGAAATGTCCTTTTTGTGTCGTGTATCTGTTTGGATATGAAAAGTTAACAAAATAACATAGCATTACTTTTCTTCAGGTGAGAAAAGAGATCAATCGAAATTAATTATTACGTTCTGAAAATAAACATTGACTGAATATCCGAACGGAACAGCAAGGTCAGCAAATATTAACAGTCAGGCATGAGGCAGTAGATCAAATGTACAACTGATCGATTACGTGAAATGTACAAAGAACTGATGTAACGGTAGTACTAGATTTTTATAAGCATTTGCCATCTGTTGTGATTGCTATGCAGCTAAACGATGATCTATTACTACAATAATTCACCTGAATACGACACAATATTATTCGGTTCGGCATAATGTTTAACGAATGACCGAAAGAAAATGTCCATATGCTCGAGGAATTTTCACGTATAGTGTGAGATTATTCTTTTATAACTGAACCACTACAGGGTTGTAAATAATCAGATGACATTGACAGTACAGCGCAGCGCAGTCGCATCGTGCATTAAAATACTCTGTAAATACCTGATAATAATATATTTATACACTATTTAACACTTTTATAATTCTCAATGCACGAACAAATTTATAATGGTAGTAAGAAATATATATAGATAAGAAATATATAGATATATGTATATGTGAATGTGTGAAAATTTGATATCATTGTCATTTTCCTTCCATTTTAGTACTTAGTAAACATTTTAAATCTACCGGAAAACAAATGTTAAAGAAAATGAAACAATTTACTAAAAATTATTTAAAAAACTTACAAGCAGAATTATATCGTGCGAACTTGATAGAGTTACCTTGCCCTTAATTCAGCACCCAATCACAAGTGTTAGGTTACTTCATGTATATCAAAAGGTTTTTCATTAATCATCTATCTTAAAGAAAAATCACGTGATATATTAATTATGGAAAAACAGAGGAATATAACTAACTATATTCTCTCTGATAATTTTCGTGTAATAATTATATTATAAAAATTATTTTACAATGATTAATATATATTCTAAACATACTTTTATAATATGAAAATGATGCTACTGTAATCTATCCTACGGACGAAACTATCAAATCGGCGACATCTGGATCTGGACATAGAACGGACAATTGCATTGTAACTAGCGTCCCGTTCAATGCCAATCGTGCGCGTGCCAATACTTCTTTCCCCCCTCGGAAGACACCGCTCAAGAGCAGATTGTGTGCGGTCGAGCCACTTTGTACTTTGTTACTGCGTTCCACAGCTTCCAATCCAAGAAATCCCGTGAGACTTTGTATCGCTCCTTCTAAAGAGGTCACCGAAGCTCCCAAAGCGAACGTTTCTTCTAATTTAGCGAATCCCTTCGCGGCGTACGTCTCCCAAGCAGTATTGAAATCCAAACCTCTGTTACCAACGCCGCGTACTTGGTCGGCTAAAGTTACTTCTAAATCTTCTAACTGAAAGATACAATAAACATATGTAAATAATCATTTCGAAATAATACTCTTCTAAACTCTAGAACTAAAGTTTCTGATTAAAAAATTTGCAATTTTGCAAATCTTTCAATGCGCTTTTTTACAATAAGCATCAATAAAATTTTACTTCATAACGATATTAAGACTAATCTACCATATATTCGTCGTGGTATCCTTGATCCGCATCTGGTATACCCGTCGTTGGATCGCAATCCCTTGCCATGAATCTGAGAGTCGTGGGAATGGTAACAACACTCGCATGCACATCTTCCGGGTACTTTAATACCGTGTAAGTAGTGCCCGGCTCATTGTAAGGTAATCGCGGACACGACACCACGCATATGACCGAGTATCTATGAAATGATTCGTTGCAGCGTACGTTATAAAGAAATGACACGATCAATGATTGTTAAATGCGCTCACCCTTCAGACGGTTCAACAGCTACCACCACGTCTTCGAGAAGCTGATCGGACAAAGTGTTGACGCAATCAAACTGCAAAATAAGATACTCGGGGAATGTGTGCTTGATACATTTAACGTTATACTCCGTCTCGGATTCGGTCAGTTCGAACACCGGTGAGGATTTGAGCAGCGACGAATCACGAATGATCGCGGCCAGATGCGGGATCTGCGACAATTTCTCCATGAAACTTTCTTCCCTAGTCAAACGTGGCTGCTTAATAGTGGTGTGTACTTCCACTTGAGCCGGCTCCTCCACTGTCTGAGCCGGTGGTATCTGAAGAAAGTAATAACACGTGAGCGGGAGAACGTAGAAGCTAAACGTAGACACATCAATTTTCTTCTTCTTTTCTTCACGGCTAATCCGAAGCTAAAGAGCAATACCTGAGAAATGTCGAACGATTCCTCCATAGGTGTCTGCATATAATTCCGCAAGGCTCTTTCTAAAGACGGCACGGACAACGAGGGTGGTTGTACCAGAGGCAATATGGTCGGATCGCTTCGCTGCTGCAGAATCGTGCAGTAGTAAGCTGCTCGATCGCGAACCTCATCGTCCGAGTCCAGCTGACAACGCGACAACAGCACCAACACGTTCGGCAGTAAAAGCGGACAAGCGGCGGCAAAACGCGCCAAAGCAGTGACGGCTGCGGCGCGCACGCTGGCGCTCTCGAGAATCACGCGGTTGTAAATGAAGCGGATGTACCTCGACGGATGCTTCGATGTCGGACCTTCTTGACCAAGCAGGTGTAAAATGCGAACCGCTAGGGAGATATGTTCGCAGTCCTCGATAAACTCGCAGAGATGCGCAAGACCAGCTTCCTTCGCCTCCGCATTCCCCTCCATCACGGCGATGATGGTGTCCGCGATCGCCGCTTTATACTCAAGTCCCCCTTCGTCCCTCAGCATGGCGGAGAGGAAGTTCATCAGTACAGAGTGTTTACGCGGGAACTTTTGGCATAGAGCTCTAGAGAGAAAGTTTCAGAAGAGCAATGAAATGACACAATTATATTTTAAAGTTATCAGCTGGCAAGGTAAAAAATTCACCTGATAGCTTGTACAACTACTACTTTGAATTCATCCGAGATCTCTGACACAAAGGTAGCGATCTGCTTCATCAGGCGATCCACTGAACTTTCCGCCCCGGTTTTCAACAGAGTAGTGATCGCCAAAGTGGCGATCGATCTGTTCGAGTCAGTAATAAGATTTTCCAGGTCCAGATTGCAGGCTGTGACTGCAGCTGGGTGCGACATCGCCACCTTGTTCAGAGTTCTGACAGCGGCGAATCGGAGCGCCGGTTTCGGTGACCCGCAGAACAGCTGCAGCACACTGATCGCAGGTCCAATCTCTCGAGCGCCGCTTCGTCCAAGATTGACCAGAGCGTGTGCCGCTTCGTACACCACCATCTCAGATTTGTGACGTAGGCATGATTCGATGAATCCTATCAATTCCTCGCCCTCGTCCACCTCGTCCAGCAGTTTGTATGCCATTCTAATCAACATACAGGCTGCATATGGACTCTTTGGGCTTGTCTTCATGAGTTTGGCAACCAGCTTAATCACCGCGTGCTTATCTGCCTTCCGCGCCTGATACAGGACACCTAGTGCGTGATACTGAACCATTACATTGTTGGAATTCAATGCTTCCTGTGCCTCATTTGCCCATCTCCTTGCGACATCACCAGATACACTGGTCAAGTGCAAAGAAGAGACCAGTGCAGCACTGGACACAGCTGGTGAACGATCGACTATGGCCTGTTTCATGTATCGTTCAATAGCTGCTAACATGCTACTGTCAGTGATGGTGCAAAGTGCTCTGATAGCTGCGGCCCGATACAAATCTTCTTTCCCTGTCATATCCTTGGTGAGACTAGAGGTTACTATGATTACATCCTCGGCCAAAGAACTCAGTTCTTTGATGCCTAGATAAACCAGTCGTCTCAGGATAACATCGCGGGACTGAAATAATTTGGTCATAGCAAAGAAGGCCTCTGTAGCTTCTGTAGTGCCCAATTGTTCGCCTTGATTGAGCAGGTACAGGATCTTGGTGAGGATATGTGCACATTTTCGCGGGTTTACAGGTGTGTTGTTAAATGTTCGCGCTTCTTGCAAAACTGTTGTCTTCTCGAGGTTTTGGAAAGGGTTCCCACCGCCTGAGCGAACGAAAGAAATACACGTTAATATATGGCGCATTGTTGATGTGACTATAAAAGCCTGTAGTACCGTGCAACAAAATCATCATAAAGAAGCATATATTTCTGACAAAAATTGCTATAAATTTCGCATTTTCATAATTGCATCATATGATATTAATAGTAACGTATCTACTCGTAGCTGTCAAATTAGTCTACAATCTGCATAAAACTTTTAATCACATACGTATAATTAACACTCGCACGAAGAATGATAACGATATCAATTAATAGTTACCATCTTCCTCCTCTTTCTTGTCGCGCTTAAACGCAATCATATTTTCTCAAGTGTGATCTCGTGAAGCAGAAAGATATGCGACACGTCACCCAACGTGTTCTAAACGGCCATTACGGTTAGCGCAGATTGCTAACCTCTTCTGCAGAATACGTTTCGATCAAAGACATCACCATAGATCTGTTCAATCTAATTAGTAGAAACGAAGTATCGCATGAAAAAATTAGCGTTATATTTATAAAAATAAAATTACTAATCCGTTATCGATTTCAGATAATGAACTAGTAATGAACTAATAATCGATCCTTTAATCGATGTTTTTGATAATCAATTAATTTTCAGTCCCTTTACGACTATTTAATATCCGATAAATTATTATCAATAAATGGTCGTCAATGAATGATATTTAATAATGTTTACAGACTTGTGTTGTTAAGAAAGGAAAAAAGTGAATTGTGTATGTAAAATAAAGGTCTGATCTATCGTTGGGTCGTACTACGATCTCGACTGCACATCGCCCATACTCCAGTTGCGGTTGAATCTCAAGAAGATCGTATATACCGTGGTCTAAGCTCAGCAGTCACAGAAAATCCAATATGGTGTCCGTTTTTCAGCGGTTTACGTCCGATGCCCGTATTTTGAAGTAAAATCGTTATCCGGCGAACGCGGAGTTAGCGGTAATTATGAAAATTCGATTGAAACCGTCGCGCCGCATGTAAAAGTTCTCATGCCACTGCGCTTCGCGTACGATCAGTAACTGTAAGAAAGAGATCAGTGCCTCGAAGACAGTGGTGAGACCCCCTGTCTTTTGGTGTGTTGAAATTTTGCGAAATAGAAAAATACTGAAAATTCGAAAATGGAAACTGACAAGGTAGAAGTTTGCGCGGAAGTGAGTGATCCTGAGGTGGCGGCGATAAAAATTAAAGAGACGAAGCAGAACTCGATAGCGGATGTCACGACGTTAGATATAAAGTCACGTCTTAGTTTGGAGACGACAACCGAGACTCGTAGCGAGCCTCACGTCAACGGGATAGCTCAAGTAAATGGTATCTGCGACTCTCCACAAAGAACTGCCGATATCGCCGATCTTTCCCTACAATCTGGAACAATGGGAACTAGTCATTTAAACCAACACGGTACATAATGCTAACAAGCTTATTCATTGTACACAATGTGTATATAACATATAGATTTAATTCATATATATCTACTTGTTTATGTTGCTGTTGTAATATAAGAATATACTTGACAAGCAATTATTGAAAATATCCTATTATTTCTTATTATTTATCTTATTATTTCTTTTTATTATATCACAATCTATTTTCTTGCTAAGCTTCTATTGCGATCTAAATGATTTCTTTTATTAGTTTAGAGATAATCGGATAAATTTTATTGACATTGTAGTATTATTGCTTATATATTCCTGTAGTGTGATGACATTGAATGATACAACTATGACATTTATTGTTTACTACTATGTTACAGAACAAGCAGAAACATTAGCTTTGGAAAGTAAAGACAACGATATCCAATATGTTAGCTATACAAGTGAACTGCAAATGCCTGATATTATGAAATTAATACAGAAGGACCTAAGTGAACCATATTCTATTTACACATATAGATATTTTATTCATAATTGGCCGAAATTGTGCTTCCTGGTACGTATACTCTGAAATTCTTTGGTTTTATTTTATTTGAGTAATGCAATATTACATGTTTTTCTATGCTAATAATAAACTTATAATTCATGATAAAATATTCATAAAATGTTGACAATAAGCTCAGGAAATGTCAGAAACTACAAGAAGGATTTAGCTAGATTTATATTTATAGAAAGCTTTTCCTTTTTCTTGTCAAGGCAATGCATGGTGATGAATGTGTTGGTGCCATTGTCTGCAAACTGGATATCCATAGGAAGGTAATAAAACGTGGTTACATTGCAATGTTAGCTGTTGATGTGAAATATCGAAAACGGAAGATTGGCTCGAATCTTGTAAGGCGAGCTATCCAGGCGATGGTGGAGGATGATGCGGATGAAGTAGTCTTGGAGACTGAGATCACCAACAGACCAGCTCTACGTTTATACGAAAATCTTGGATTCGTACGAGATAAACGGTTATTTCGGTATTACTTAAATGGTGTGGATGCATTACGACTGAAATTATGGCTCAGGTGAAATTCATCTGCGTGCTTATGTCAATAGGTATTTAAATAATTACAATGTTGTAGAGATATAACATCTATGCTCTACCATGTCAGACAGAAAAAGTATATGACATTAATGTCAAAGAGATTATAAATATTTCCACACGCACAAACGTGTTCTCAGTTGCATACTGTGCGATCTACTTTTCAAAAATTTAATAAACAAATTTTGTCAAAGTTTATCTAATCCCTTAATTTATTCAATTGTTGCAATCAAATAAACAACTTTATATTGCAACAGGAAAATAACTAAACTTACTGTTACAGATAATTTCTTACGACGAATTTCTTTATCTCTTTTATCTATAAATAAAAATCTGTTCTAACACAGCCTACTGACAGTACATCTACTAAAATCAGAATTTTAATATATGTATAGATAAAGATATTGTATAATTTGTTAATAGTGCCTAACTGATTGTTAGTTATTTTGTTATAAATTCGCTGCAGTTCCTTTGATATTAATGTCAGTGAAAGAGATAGATTTCAATTGCAGCTTGAAAATATAAAACTAAGAGGTGATATAGGAAGAGTGACAAAATCGAGACTGTGAAAAGTGTACTGAAAAATAATCAATGTTTGCTGCATCTCACATTGATGAAGTGCACATCTTGAAGCAATGTATATATTATAATTCCTTACATTATAATTGACTCGCGCAATCATACATCTTACGTCGGTATTATGTTACTAAAAATTGTGATTCGATTGTGTGAAAATTTTATATCCAGGAAAAATCGTTATATGTATAATAAAAACGAGATTGAGTGGAGAAATTTATAGATTTGTTGCTCGCATCTAACATTTTAATTTATTCGCTTCCGTAATCTCAATGTGAAATAATTTATATAAAATCGTGATAACGTATTAAAAAAAAAGAAACTGCTGTATCGCGTATTGTAGACAGCTGTCGTCTGATGTTGCATCAAGTGTACGATTTTGTCAGTGTGAACGGCAGTTTGATAGAAAATAAAAAACACAAAGTCCGACGAAGAGAAGACGATGAAAACCTTTAGATAAAGTATTCCCAATTGAAATTAAAGTGATATACGGAAATATCGATATTTATATATTATATTAAACGATGGACATACAAGAGAGAGAGGGAAAGAAAAAAATTATCGTTTACGAAATTGAAATATTTCGAAGGAAGTACGTCTCATGACGTAATTGAACGCAAAGAGTCGTACGCATTACTGTCTACCTATTATATCTATCTTTGTATAAAATAAATGCGAAGCACAGATCATAATGTAACTATTAAAAAATGTAAAAAATGTTAATAAAAATACATAAATGTTTTTACACGTGTCTTGTTTATGTTTTCGTTTTCGAAAAATTATACGCATTTATAATTATATACAACTTCACAGCACATAAAAAATTGTTCGTTTAGAGTTCAATTAAATTTTATAGTTGTTATAAATTGCTCGAAATATTCAAAATATCTAACAGAAAAATATATAAATAGTGCATGCTCTATATATAAATATAATCGATAAAATTATTCCGAATCTCTCAGATTTAAAATCAGATTAACTTTAAAACGATTGGTTCACTCAAGATAGCCAATCGATCATATTGAAGTAAAACATCACGGAATTTCTTGCGCAGTTAACCGGCATGTGTCGCCACTGGTCCTACTAAATCTGTCATGCGCTATTCTACGTACTTTGTATTTCATGTTATAAGCGTAGTTACGAAACTGCTCCGCTGGCGTGCATTCGTTGTTGGAATCATCCAAAGAATAATCGAATATCATACGGTAAGTTAGAAATATAATCCGAATTACATTATTTACGAGAAAGCGATCCGTACACGAAATATATAAAATAATGTTTCGTATTTTATTGGCTTTCAGTTACATTCTCTAATTCTCCGCTTACGATTATATACGCATCTATAAAACTAATTTTATAACGCGTCAATGCATCGTTCTTCACCGGTTAATCATAGGCCATCGAATTATGTATTATATCGCGGATAAAATTATTTCATTGTTACTTCATCGTTTATTATTACGTAAATAATTTCCCTTCGTAACATATGCAAAACAATACCATTATACTTGCGAGTAACGGCGTTCTTCCCGACAGCATAGTATCGTGGCGACGGCCATTACATGAACGCTTTTTCGGCAAAATCGTTATTTTCGCGGTTATATATATCGTGGTAGAAGCACCTTTATATTTTCGTACAGGTAACTTTGTTCGCTTGAGAATAGGTTATTCGCAGAAAATAAACGCATTTATACTTATACTCGCAAATATAACGTTAATGCAGTACAATTTTGCTTTTACCATAGTTATCATATAATTGGAAACTATATCTCACCTCTGCATACATTTTCACATTTTTGAGAATTTTACTAACATTAATTATTATTGTTAACTGTTAATTATTTATCTTCATTTATATTTTAGTGATCTTACTGAAGTCACTTTGAAGTAAAATGGCAGATAATGATGATCTTCTGGATTATGAAGATGAGGAGCAGAATGAACAGCCTGATGGAAGTGGAGATGTTCCTGCCAAGAAGGAAGTAAAGGGCACGTACGTCTCTATCCACAGCAGTGGATTCAGAGATTTTCTTTTGAAACCAGAGATTCTACGTGCTATTGTTGATTGCGGTTTTGAACATCCATCTGAAGGTTAATATTTTTTATTTTTTATAATATATAATTTTTATACATTTTATACAAAAATACAATGATGAATCTAAAAATTAGATAGGGACAAATGAATTTCTATGATTAGGTGAAATATTGTTATCTGAAAAAATATATATTCATGATTGTGTCTTTTTTATACAATATGTATATATATAAGAAGGAATGTCCACTATTTACAGTACAACATGAATGCATTCCTCAAGCGGTACTTGGAATGGATATATTATGTCAAGCAAAATCTGGTATGGGAAAAACTGCTGTATTTGTATTAGCCACTCTACAGCAATTGGAATTGACAGAGAATCAAGTCTATGTCCTGGTAATGTGCCATACTCGAGAATTAGCATTCCAAATCAGTAAGGAGTATGAAAGATTCAGCAAATACATGCCGCATGTAAAAGTAAGTTTCGAATTTTTTTTTGTTTGAACTGTATGCGAATGTCATAGAAATGTAACTTTTATTATAACAAAATTTGTTTTACTACAGGTTGGTGTATTTTTTGGTGGCTTACCTATTCAGAAAGATGAAGATGTCTTGAAGACTGTATGCCCTCATATTGTCGTCGGTACCCCTGGACGTATCCTCGCTCTTGTGCGGAATAAGAAATTGAACCTGAAACATCTGAAACATTTCATATTAGATGAATGTGACAAGATGCTTGAATTACTAGGTATGTCAATAGTAATATCAAAATATTTTGCATTTTTATCGTCGAATAGAATCTTCACATGATGTGATAATTGCTCTTAGCATATTGTGATGACACTCCTATACCACTCACCAATACTGATGTGATTCTGCAAGATTTATTTCTTATTCTTGCCATATCATTTGGAATGACTAGTAACCATCCGCGATGTTTTTGTTTTTAGACATGCGCCGGGACGTACAGGAAATATTTAGAAGCACGCCACATAGCAAGCAAGTTATGATGTTCAGCGCTACGTTGTCCAAGGAGATACGTCCTGTCTGCAAAAAGTTCATGCAAGATGTAATTACACAATCTTCCTCTTCACTGCGATCTACAATCGCTCCTACTACTACTTCGTTGGCCCCGTATTCATATCCAGGACAAAGCTCAGCCCACACTAAAATAACTTTGTCCGGCGCATCCGCGGGTTAGGCAACATTATGACACGGCACTTCGAAGAAACGATACACGAACGAAAGTTCGGAAACGTTCGAGTGTCTTTCATAGCGGCCACAGTTGCCACATGCCCAACACTCGAACGTAAATGTCTCGCAACCTCCTCCAAGTATCTAGTTTCTGTTTTCGAACGTGTGTCATCTGTGATCTTACGGAAGGGAGGAGTAATCGTTTGAAATTGATATATCAGTCGCTCAAAACGATGCTGTCGATGCAGATTCAAATTAGTTTAGATCTGGAAATTCAATCTTTTCATTTATCGCTACGCATTCGTGGAGCAACGCAGTATATAAGTGTAGAGATAGTCGAGTGAAACGAATACAATGATGATGGGAAAGGGTATAGAGCATACGAAAAATTGCTATTTTGTGGGTAATCGTTGCAACGGTTGATAGGATAGAATTAGGGTACAATACTGGATCTATGTGATTGATTCACAATTGGGTTGGGGGGCCAAGAAGACCTCAAGACAATTTCAAGACAGAAGAATGCAAGAAAGAAGATACAAGAGGATACCCAAGGGAAATAATTAAGATTAGTTAGGGAAAAAGAAAAATACAAGGAAACGGGAAAGCGTAGCGTAAATATAACATTATCCGGTCGTTTTCATCCGGCCATTATATTAATGGCATATTAAAGCCATATACATTAGAGCTTTCTTATTTCATGTAAAGATTTCGATTTTGCAATTACGGCTATTGTACGGCCTATTTCGTACGAGCGACAATTGAGCTTTCGCGAGACGTTCTGAATGGGTTACGCGATGATTTAACGGATACCGGAAGTGATTCGCAAAAAAAAAAAAAAGTAAAAAGCGAGAGAAAATACCAACAATAATTCGCAAGTCGATTCTGGCCATCTTCTCAATGTGCCAGAAATTTTGGAGGAGAGGTTTGGCATCGAGTGGCCAGCGGATGTGACCGAACGTTGATGATGAGTGCGCCTTAAGTTCAGTTGGGGTGACTGCCGAGTTTTCGTTGTTAGCACTACCCAGAGGTGGAAGTCGCCGGACCGTATGTAATCTGTATGATGACTAATCCGATCGACAAGTCGAACTACACGTATTGCAACCTTGATGAAATTCGTACGAACAGTTTCCCATTTTACGAGAGACGAGAACACGAAATGTTCGCATTTCTCGCAAATTCGCGAAGACGTATTTTTTATTTATGACTACATAGGTAACTCGATCATGTCTAATATTGCCTTGAGAAGGCAAGGTGCATTTAAAGATTACTTTCAGCTTTGTCATTTCTATATTGTAATTCCAATAGTCGATCTTAAAAGTACGAACATACGCGTTTTTACTTTTATTTTGACAAACGTGCGTGTAAAAATTTCAGTCGTATTATATATTTATATACATATGTGTATACACATATATGTACGTATATATATATATATATATATATGTGTGTATACATACATATGTATGCATACATATACATACACATACGGCTGGAACGGAATAATACATCTTTATTTTGCGTGTTTTTTTTTTATTTAATATTTTTTCTTTTTTATTTTGTAACAGTTCTTTTCCATCACACATTCAACGTTTCAAGTTGAATATGATTTTTAGATGGCGAAATGACGGTATATGACGAGGTCTCAAAGAGTCACAGGATCTCGCAGCCTTTCTTTGAAAATTATACAGGCACTATGATCGACTCGGTGGATTTGTTCATTTGATGTAATAACATTCTTTGTGCAGCCCATGGAAGTCTATGTCGATGACGAGGCGAAGCTCACCTTGAACGGTCTACAACAACATTATGTTAAATTGAAGGAGAACGAGAAGAACAAGAAGTTATTTGAACTTCTGGATGTACTCGAATTTAATCAGGTTTGTTCATCTAAAAAAAAATTCTCTCATCATAGAATAATTCTATGAATAATTGCACAATCAATGAGGATACTTTGAATATTTATTTCGAAATATTTTTTTAATTCGTGGATATGTATGAATTTATCGATAAGCATGTATTTCTACTGGTGTTGCTTCATAGGTTGTTATATTCGTGAAGTCAGTACAAAGATGTATGGCTTTAGCGCAACTTCTGACAGAGCAGAATTTCCCTGCAATTGGAATTCACCGAGGCATGACGCAAGAGGAACGATTATCCAGATATCAGCAATTCAAAGATTTTCAAAAGGTATGCAATTTGCATCTGTTGATGATGTAGTGTAGAAAGCTTGGAGGATGCGTGAATAGTACAAATTAGATAACTGGCAGATAAGATACATGTGTGTGCTATAAACAAAATCGTTTGTTTTCAGCGTATTTTGGTAGCAACGAACCTGTTTGGACGTGGTATGGATATAGAACGCGTCAATATCGTGTTTAATTACGATATGCCGGAAGATTCCGACACGTACTTGCATAGAGTTGCACGTGCTGGTCGTTTCGGCACAAAGGTATGAATATTGATTTTTATATGCCAAAATAACAAGTGTATCCAACAAATAACTAGTTAGAAATGCTTCTCTGTTTAGGGCCTTGCTATCACGTTAGTCAGCGACGAGAGTGATGCCAAGATATTGAACGACGTTCAAGAAAGGTTTGACGTAAATATCACAGAATTGCCGGACGAAATTGATCTCGCTTCTTATAGTAAGTTTATACATATAGTAACAATTTCGTTTGCATTTTATTATATCTGATACACACACACACACACACACACACACACACACACATATATATATATATATATCACATATACATATGTTTTGTATATTAATAATATTTTTATTTTTTCTAGTTGAAGGACGATGAATTGAACCTGCACAGTTTTATTTTACAATAAGATCTTAAAGCACATAAAGTATGTTTAATAAACTTATATATAAAATGATTTTTTTTATTTAAAATACATTCAAATACCATTTTTTTCTACTTGCAGTGTTTCTTCTAAAGCTGTCAATTCCACCTCAAATATAAAAGTTTGATGTGAAATGATAATTATAGAAATATGTGTAAACCAAAAGTAACCTATAAACGCATCCATTACAAGATACGTTTTTGCAAATATTTTTATTGACTATTAGATGCTGATTTTTATGATCGTATTATAATCATAGTTACTTAATCTTCAATTTCAACAATAAATAATCTGTAAGAGTGTAAATTGTCTTATTCCATAATTAGAAAATAAGTATTACGATCATAGATGTGGATCATGAATTTCAGTCGCACGTAAATGTAAACCATCACAATAAAAACTCACTTTTGTAAGCAAAGTATACAATTTTTATATATAATGAAAATATATAATTTATATAGGAGAAAGAATGAATCATTAGCTATTATTTCACATACAAGAGCAGCAACAAGTAATTTGTCAGTTGGATTTTATAAGATTACTTGTAGCACAAAAGTTTTTCACAAACTGAACTATAATTGAATAAACAATATTGTTTTATTTTGGTCTTGGTTTATTTTGTGATTTATTTCCCAGTTGTGTCCCTCCTCCACGACCCAATGGAGCTGGTCCTCTTCCACCTCTACCAAAAGTACCTATAATAGAATCATGAATGATTTTTCTCCAAAAACTCATCTTAAAGTATAACAATTTTTTATACTCTTTTTATATAAAAAGCTTATAAAAGTAAAAATTGACACTTACCTCTTCCACCACCACGTCCTCTCTGACTCTGGCCTCTACCTTTGATCTCACCACGTCCTCTGGATTTCATCTGTACATCTTCCTTTACCATATCTATTACTTCATCAGGGATCCTCAAATATTTTATTGTACTGCCTCTTATATAACATTCTGGCATCCTCCAGAACTTATCACCGTCCTGATACAAACATCAAACAGTGAGCAAAAAATCTAAATGTAAACCTATATTTTAAAATATCTAATAATCTTACCCTTGAAGTACATATGACTTCTCTGAGATTGACGTTCATCCAGTTATCGCAGCTAACCAAATGTCCGTTGTACGTTTCTCCATTTTTTAGTTCCACCAACTATGAAATGAAACATTTGGTTTGATTATTAAACGTAGAAGACTACAAATATTTTTAAGATTAAGGTTAAGTAAGGTTAGATATTACAAGAATAATCCAGAACTTACCATAGGGTGGTTTTGCGCAGTCCTTAATAAAGATAAGGGTAACTAAAATATTAAATAGTATTAAATGGGCGAAAAAAACAATTTGTAGAACTTTAATGAGAATAATAAACTCACCATTGTTTACACTTTATCAAACCTCGTTCTCTTTCTCTTTCTTTCTCTCACTCTGTCACTCTCTAACTCTCTCTCTCTCACTCTCTCTCTCTCTTTTTCACTCAATATGTGACTTGGGGAGTTTAGGAGTAATTTAAATCTCGTTTCTACTCATAAACATTTCTCGATATTCTCACATCAATCGATTGGTCTGTTCTTTTCAGCTGCACTACTGAACTGGTGCAATAAGTTAAAGTGAGAAAAAATATAGTTGTCTCATTCTAACTTATTGCACTAGTTCCGCAGTGCAGCTGAAAAGAACAGACCACTTATCACGATACGAGAATTTGTAAGATGCGGTTTTTTAAATATTTCCAATGAAAAGAAAAATTCGGAAGTGCCATTTTAGCCCTAACTCAAAGAGTACTATTGAATGCAATTTTAAAAGTTTATGGAAAACATCTAGTCGTCAGTTTAGTAATGACTAAATTTTATGATTCGAAAATATTTTTGGTGATTTAAAATTATGGTTTGAGTTTCGACTAAAATCTGCTTTTTAACCGAGATTCAAACCGCAATTATCGACCTTCATAAATTTAGTCGAGATTCGAACCACATTGGATAAGTTCATTTAAATAATGGGTAATAAGGGATCTATGATATTCATTAGTCTGTTATTTTAACGAGCCAATAAGGGGTTTACAGGATTATTATGAAATCTTGCAAGTTGTAGAATATTCCATTTGATTTATTCTTTCTAATTGTATTTTCTGTGCTTTCTTTTAAATTTTTTTCCACATTTTTACTTCTCGCTAAATATAATAAATATCGTTGTGTTTATTTTATCCTAAATATTAAAAATTAAACGCAATGAAGTCCAGAAACTGTATTATTAACTTTCGATTTTTCACAAAAGTGGTAGAAATTTAATTTAATCGCTTGATTCTGAACATTCTTTGCACTAATAAATTATAGACATATGGTTGTATTTGTGAGAAACTTATTACGGAATGTGAGATTTGTAATTAAATTAACTACATCAATTTAATTGTCAACGGATAGTACAGATCGAGAATGAATCAACGTTTTTCTAAGACCAACAACGATCATCCCATCACGTTAATCCCACATAAAAAAGTGTTCTCTCAAAATATAATATCAAATACATTAACATAAATTTAAATACAAATCTGTTCATTCGTCGACATTGATTATGCAGCGATCTACCGTCTACAGGTCGACCTGCATGACTATCGATAATAAATCACAAGTAATTTCGATTTCGGTTAGAAGAAATTGCTCGGCTTCCTAGTTCAACGTATTACGTTGCAGCTGCAACCCCAATTGTTCAATCCGCTCGTAGTTGTACAAATAGAGCAGTTTCATGAATGAAAGCATCTCTCAAGAAGTCACGATTGGTGTATCGCCGTTCGACACTCGTTGCATCGCTCAATCTTCGACGTGATCTCGACGATTGAATAACGCGATCTCGCTTGTGGATTCGTCTCTGGATATCGCAATATCGGCGATTTATGCGGCATGTTGTTGCTGTTTGTTGATGTTCATGAGTTTCTTCAGCAAGGGAAAGAACATCTTCCAGTTGTATATCGGACGCACACTTGAAATTGAAAGATACAAACGAGCGGGATGTGCTTCGTCGATATCTTCGAAAACAATCATTCGTATTTTGCAATCAAAGTCACCCTATCGTCTATTGTTCCTATTGTTCCTCATAATGTTTACATCGGAAGCGGTACGTCGTAGCTCCAACAGACAACGAAGACTTCCACTGGCGAGGACATCGTGTATGACCGGCGGATTTCCTTACAGCACGCAAGCCCGTGGGGGGATGGACATCCACTACGTGAACTAAATTGTAACGAAAAACAATTCGCGACAACTCGTCACTGTTGCGCGCAGCACCGCGCCATTTATTCGCGAGTTACTCAGTCGGCACGACCGACCAACCGCGATCGCTTCGGAACTTTAAAGAAAGAATCCTAATACGTTCCAATGTGTTCGACGACTCCAATGTAGCTGTATGAACAAAAAAGCCTTGACGTCTCTTATTGTGCGAATTTATCTTCACGTCCATGTGCCGAACGGTAACGCATCCTCTATAAAAGTGAGAAGAAGACATAAAAACATAAAGTCGTGATAATCAGGCACTGAACGAACCGAGAAAACTTATAGAAGATAAAGATTCGAATGGATCGGTGATTCCATGAAATATATGAGAGATTCAAGTAAGTTTCGTATAATGAAGAAATGTGGCTTGTGTACTTGTTATCGTTTCATTTGAGAAACTTCTCAAACAGAATAAACTTTCAAGAAATCTATCTGAAGGACGTTTGAAAAGTTCATTTCAAAGGATAAGACATCTTTAGGTCTTTAAGGCTACAAGCTTAAAAGTTATCTAGATTGTATTTTATGAGATGCTCAGATCGGAATTCGGAGTTAAATCTGCGTTTTTCTATTAAATCATACATATGACATTATAATGGTAATAATTATTTCACTGAAATTCCCATTCAATACAGAATTCTCATTCAAAATTCTTTCTGTGACTGTGGACTGTTACTTGTAAAGGGTGTCCCAAAATTCACGCAAGAAGTAATTTTGATAGAAAATACAGGTTTATAATTAAAAATTGTAAATTTTTTATTGATTCATAAAGTATACAGTATAGGGTTATGTATGGAATAGCATATTGGGTAAACGGCCACAGCGAAGAGAGTTCGTTGAATGGATTATGGAACAGCAACAAGTGGATGCTGATTTTTCGAACAAAATTATCTTCAGCGATGAGGCTCATTTTCATTTCTTGATGGCTTGGTTAATCGACAAAATCGCATTTGGGGTTCAGAAAATCCACGAGTAATTGTTGAGAAACAAATGCATCCACAACATGTCACTGTTTGGTGCGGATTTTGGGCTGGAGGCATCATCGGACCATTCTTCGGAAGAAAATGCAGCTGGTCAGGCAATAATAGTTAATGGTGCTCGCTATCGCGACATGATAAACCAGTTTTTTGTGCCTAAATTGCAAGATATGGATGTGGACATGTGGTTTCAACAAGACGGTGCCACATGCCATACAGCCCGAGAAACAATTTAATTACTACATGAGTCATTTTCTGGTCGTGTAATTTCCCGTTTTGGGGATAAGATTTGGCCGCCCAGATCATGCGATTTAACGCCGTTGGACTTTTTTCTTTGGGGTTTTTTGAAGTCTAAGGTTTATGCCAACAAGCCCACGACCATCCACGCCTTGAAGGAGGAAATTGAGCGCTGTATCAACGAAATTCAACCACATTTATGCAAAACGGTTATGGAAAATTTCAACAGAAAAGTGCATATGTGCCAGCAAAGCCGTGGAGGCCATTTACCCGATATGCTATTCCATACATAACCCTATACTGTATACTTTATGAATCAATAAAAAATTTACAATTTTTAATTATAAAACTGTGTTTTCTATCAAAATTACTTCTTGCGTGAATTTTTGGACACCCTTTATATGCATATCTGAGCAAATGAATAACGGAAGTAGATGTCATATCACAAGTCATAAAAAATTACTATTTTCATATAACTGGTAAATATTATCATCAATGTGCGCACAAACATGTTACAAGAACAGTTCAAGGCTGCATATTCGCAACATTTCCAATAAAAGAAATCATTTAATATTAATTTGATATAAGGAACGCCAAAAAATATGAAAGATAAACGATGATACGCGATATTCTGACCACGCCGACACTTCATAAATTGCAATCGCAGTAATACAAAATCGACCAAAAAGAAATTACTAATAAGATTTCAACAACGTATATTCGCTTAAATAATGTTCTACAATTACCGGTTGTTATTATATTATCGATACTGAAAGAGCACTTAAAACTGATTGTAACATTATAAGCGAATAAACACCGAACAGTGAATGTAAAATTTTATTTTGATTTATGAAAAAAATTATGTATGCCTTAACGGATCAGAACAAAACGTCTCAGTCATATTCGATCAATGTATATTCTCTTTAATGCGATAAACGAACACAAATTTATGGATAAATTTCGATATATTCGTTAACGCTTGCCTTTTAATATTATGAAAACGAAGGAAAGAATTGTTTTATAAACGATGTCACCTTCGTAAATGTACGCAGAGCGTTATCTCGCCGACTAAATAGTACTATCAGCCGATGTGATATATTTAATACATGTGGCATATGACATACTGATAAGCATAAATCATTTTTCGCGGTCGTTATTTATCGCAGGCATTATCATAAATTATTTGCAATGTTGTTGCGAGATTCAGCAAAAGATCTTCTCGAACTTCTATATTTCAGTGATAATTTATTTTCGATAACCGTTTATACCAATCTGTCGTCAGCACTGCTATTGTAGAATTTACTTTGTAACTGAAAGAGTTCTGCAACTAATTCTTTTAATCGAAAGGATCTTGCAACAAATGTTGTAACCAAACCAAACAATGGCAATAATAATTTTAATAATAATGAGAAAATTAAAAAAAAAATGTGGTCGCGAGCCCAAATGAAGATTGAAGTGATGAGATAGACGTATCGCGTGATGCCGATGAGATTATGATCGGTGATGTAATAACAGGCACGTTACACGACGAGCATAAGAGCGAAAATATGCATGCGAAAATTTAGTAGGAGAAATCTTTATAGAACGCTACAAAACCCACGGTCTCGCAACTCACCATGCGCAAGCCGAATTGCGAATATGGACTTTGCGCGGTATTTCGCCGATGACAAAAGCATTCGAAACTCGCTCGCTCGCTCGGGTCGAAGTTTACATACATCACGTTTCCCGAAGTATCGACTTTTACTGCCTGGAAGCAGACTGTGCTCGGTATTGTCTTAAAGTCGCGTCGCAAAGTCGATAGATAGTTTCTCGTCCACTTCGAAGCACGACAAAGCGACTCTTATTCATTACTAAGGAAAATACATACAGGAGAATACATATAGTTTGAAAATGTACAGTTCCAATTTGCAATGTATATGTGTACACGTCATAAGATGAAACTGTAGTTTCCAAGTGCGACACATTGCTTCCTTATACATGAATAATTAACGATTCATATATACGAGCGCAGACATGCACGTGGAGCGAAATCAATCTCCGCTCGTTGCAGGAAGCATTGCCACGCTGATTAATTCGCATTGGTATTCGCAAATATTGACGGATCATCGTCGAACCGAGTATCTGTCCCTGTGTGATTGCCGCAAACTGCTATAATATAAATTGGAAATCGATCGGCTCCGATAGAAAATTATCGGATTGCTCTATGTGCAACACAGCCTTGCGTCTCTGATCAACTTTGTTGTCACAGTTTGTAATTTCACTTCTTTATCGCTTCCGAGGTCTCACAAGTCGGGCTCGACCATAAAACTAAGAGGTCACAATTCGATCGTACATAAAGTATGAACGTTCTGCGAACCACCACGTGTCGCAGTTCTATAAAGAACTTCGTTGTGCGACCACGACAATCGAGTACGTACAATTGTGGAGCACCCGATTCGCGAAGGGTTCTTTACCTTAGCCATTTAGCCACCTTGGTTCAAGGCCAACTCATATACTCGTATTCTCTCTCTCTCTTTCTTTCTCTCTCTCTCTCTCTCTCTCTCTCTCTCTCCTTCTCCTTCACTTTTTACACACACGTATGTGTACAATAAATCTGATACCATTTCCCGCTAAAACGCGAATCTATGAATGATATGAAGTAGGAAATTAGAAACATTAGGAGCACATAACGAACGAGAAAGAAATCTGTATGTTTACTCGGATCTAATTGCAATTTTAAGAATGAGCATCCTTTTCAATTTTTCAAATCTATTAAAAATGAGCGCAGTTTTTTCAATCAATGTACGTCTTCGTTTAAGGAAAAGACTGATATTAATGAAGGAAAAAGAATAGTCTTAATTGTGAAATTGATTGATAGACATATGTTGTATCGTCAACGATTTCCGATACCTATGAGACATATTGTCCTTTCAACTACACGAGAGGCTTCACTTAATGACTCTCGTGATATCGCTTTAATCTTGTAATTCTCCTAAGTATGTGAAAGCATGTGCGCAAGGTCAAAGGTTCTAGTGCCTCTGCTCACATGAACTGATAAATTAGACGAATTAGGTTTCATATGAACTGATGAAAAGGAGACTCTTAAAGAATATTAGCCGCGCACACGATTACCGACGTCCGCAATTTCGCTCGCACAGAGAAAAACGTGCACGGTGTGTCTAAATAGGTAGAACAAAGGACATTTTCTCAACGAGAAAGAGAGAGATGGAAAGAGAGAAGTCAATCTAATAATGATCGAGAAATCGTTATTGCGGGCTTCGCGGAAAACTCGACGCGGTGCTCATACGCTCATATCGAGTTATGCGGCATCGCGACGCGCCTTACGCACACAGAGAAACACGTATCGTCAGCACGCAACGGCGTCGGACAGCGTGCACCCCAGCCAGCTCGTGCGCGATACCGCGTCGAAGAGCGAGTACCGCATGACGGCGCCACGAGAAACGGCGTCGCGACGCTGTCGTCAGGCGGCGCCGGTCGGTCACGGCGAAACAAGGCGGGGTTACGACAACGAGTGGGCGCGAGCGAGCAAGCACGACACTGACGAAACGCAGCAGCGCCTCCTTCGTCGGAGTCGCTCCTCTGTCGGGCCCCTTCAGTCGCCGGCGCGTACGTTCACTCTCGGCCGCCGTTCTCGCGACTCCTCGGGGTTCTCTTTAAAGGCGAGCCCGAGCACCTACGCGCTCGCACCTCCTTCCGCGGCTCTCGTCGATCCCCATTTCGTTTCTCTCCCCTGTTCTCTCTCCTCTACATCGTCTCTTTCTCTGCCATTCATACTTTTTCGCGTTCTCTCTCTTTCGCTCTCGTTTTCGCATCACTTTCTTCCTCTCCGACTATTCGCATCCTCTCCTCGAGATTTTCGTCCTCCTTTCTACGACAGCAGTGGTTATCGTACTGTCAGTCGCGACTACACGCGTGCCTAGCTTTCCGCGAAGCGATAAGCGACAGCTCTACTGCTGATAGCCAGAGGAATCCAACCTGGGGAGCAGCCGGCGTACGAGAAGAACGAGCGCGCGTGCACGTACGGCGTCTTGTGTTGCGCGCAAATATGTGTGTGCGTGTGTAATCGCGATGCTTCGGTCGCGTCGGTGCTTCGGTGCGTGTGTGTGCGCGACACCGCGCCGGTACGAGGCACGGTGCTATTCGCTGCTGGCCGCCGCTCCGTTTTGACTTCGCACCCCGCCGCTGTCGGTGACACTGGCTGAAGTTACGGCACACCGGGAATCCTTCGTATGGCTGCTGCGTCGAGTGCTGACAGCCGCGGGGACACTTCGGAGCCGGCTGCAAAGAGATACGACGTCGCAACGCTGCTGCATCGCCACGGTTTCAACCCTGCAATGAGTGAGAGTGAGCGCTCGAATTTCATGTGTATGTGTGTGTTTGCTACTGCTGCCAGTGACTGAGACTGTGTGCATGTATGAGAATGCGACTACCACCTTTATACTGTTATTACTGCGTTTCTTAGCGATAGATTCTCATCGTTGCAGGTACGCCTCTTCAATTGTATGCCGAATACGCTCATCACTCACGTGTGAGACAGCGCAAACACGAATTCACAGCGGTGGCTGGTCGCGTGCGTGGGTAGATAGGTGCGTGCCTATGTGGTGAAGGCTTTTAAAAAATTCTGTAGGAAGAAATAGAATTAGAGGCGAATGAAATTAAGCTGCCGCTTTTATAGCGTGACTGTTGCATCATTTAAGCACCGATAGAATATTCTGAGCTTTCGAAATGCTCCATTTTCTGTAACACGATTGAAAGTTTTACGCCTTTCGGGAGTAATCGTGTATCTCATTAAAGTCTGCTTCGCGAACCAATTGGCGAGCTTAAGATCGTATTGTCATTAGTTATCAGAGACAATTATTATCTCGCATCGATATGTCAATTCTCATTGTCTCCATTATAAAATACTAGGGTATCACGCGTCTCTTCCACGTACGGCGATGTCTCAGGAATCGGGCGAGTCATACATATAAACAACTCGCGATGAGTGCATATGAATGCTATGTACACGCACACAACACACATACGCACGTCTTAGAAGGAAACGGTATTAGCAAAAGGCGTACACGCACGTGTATGCGCGCGCGCACGTGCGCCTACAACGTATTTGAATTGAATCTCAACGAGAGAATCATGCATTCGTCCCGCACGAGAGCCGTCACACGGCGAGAAATGATTTTTTACACGCGAGACGCATGCCATTCGCATATCAATGAGCGGCGAAAAATGCGCGAATACGCACGTACACGTGCCTTTGAACCGCGGGAATTAAAAATGAGCGTATTCGTGGCGCGTACAATACCGCGGAGATTGCAGTCCGTGCTGAGCAAGATCTCTCTAATTCGTCTCCTCTTCATGCGCTTTGATCTTACTTCTTATAAGCCGCGCATGAAACTCTAATGTCGATCGTTCGCTTGGAACTGTTGCATCGCCTTGGTTTCTTTTCTTCCACCGTTTGCTTTATTTCTCCCGTGCTACGTATCGACGTATCATCACTCATGCGGTCATGCTGAAAAAAGGAAAAAGGAAGTGAAAGGAACGGAAGGATAGATAAAGGAAAATGAACGAGCCGCCGCATTACCACCGGGAGAATTTAACACTATATGTCTAACACTATCTAAACTAGATGTAAAAATTCTCTCGAATCTTCCGTGCGACGCGCATGTCATATAAAACCGATGTCGTTTGAGCGATTAAGCACAACAGCGATAAACTAAGCGTCGCGAAAAGAGCGAGTTGCGAGGCAGGCAAGCAAACGAGCACTTATACGGCGCGACAATGAATTTCGCGTGCGGGTGATAACGTCGGGCGATATGTTGTAGTTGTAGTTGTAGTCGTCGTCGTCATCGTCATCGTCATCGTCGTCGTCGTGTGGCGTAGAGAGTTGATCGGTTACGTTGTCGTGCGAGAGCCTTTAATCCCTTCGCCTTCGTTTAATTACCGGCACGCGATCGTCTGCCGAGCGGCGCATTAAAAAGCGCCAATCTAATTCGAAAATCCATTTGGCCGCAATTTCCACCGAGGCCGGTGCATGTTCAGTTCCTCTCCAGTGGTGTGATACTCTTTTTGTATACCGTAGAAAAGCTACGCAACGATAACGAAACTGTCGTTAACTCTAATAACGAGTTAAAGAATCGCACCAGTATGGATAATTCGAACATCGCTCAGTCCGTTAGTCCGTAATAATACGTTTTGCTTCTTTCGCGCTGCACGACAATCGTTTTTTCCCTGTGTCGTGAATCATTTCGCCCCAACGGTTTCACCTATCACGACGCCGTTCTGTCTGCAATGGAACACGTATAGTAAATAAAATAAGTATCTACGAGAATTTCCTATTGTTTTCTGGGATGTTTTGATCGTGGCAACACATTGAATGCCGTAACGCTCAGAAACAATCGGCGCTATAATTCTATCATGTCTCACATATTAAGTTAATATAAAATTAAATTATAATTACGGACATCAAGTATAACTGCATTTGAAAAATCGGACTTACGGCCAATTACCATTATAATGGTAATCCAATTTTTAGTTAAGCTCCTGTGGTGCGATTCTTTAACTCGTTATTGGAGTTAACAAAAGTGTCGTTAACGCCAATAACGAGTTATAGAATCGCACCACTGGATACGAATAATGGAAATGAAGGCGACAACAGTCAACGTGTTGAGGAAAGACTCTTCCACGAAACACTTTGTTGAGTAACGAACGGGCAGCTCTAAGAGGGTGGAAACAATAATCCTTGCGTACGCCGCGTGCAGATACATTAACATTCGCAAACTTTTTTGCTTCGCGCTCGAATCGCTAATAAGCAGAATACTCCCGAGTGCGTTAACATGTGGGAAGCGCGCTCATGGATGTCGTCGGTCCGCGGCGCTGTGAGAACCGCACGCGATACTCGCGAAGCGGAGACATTATGTGTTTTGCAGTTTCGTGCAAGTACAAAATTAACCCACTTTATATGATCGCGCAACGCCCAAGCAATCTGGAATCGCAGTCCCGCGCGCGTATTACATGCGCCAAGCTCGTTTCATTCAATATGATATTACGCGACCAATCGCAACGCGTAAATCATCCGCTATCGCATTCCCATCCGCGAGCGATGCGCAATATTTCGCGCATAATTACGCGGGAATGACGTGTAAACGGGCCGATATCAATTTCCGATAGCCCAGGAGATACCGAGATATTGTGCATTGCAACGACGATAACACGTTGTACGGTTCCCATTTGATGGACGATCATGCAAATCATTCGCGTGTGTGCACAATTTCAAAATTCGAAATCAGAAAACTCACTCAGGACTCGCGGCGTCGGATACGGAGCGTTTAGTTGCGTCGACAGACCCACGGCCGTTTCGAAAAATTTATCTTCCTCTTAACACATTCGGGTATCATTCGATTGCAGGTGTTCGTCGCAACGTCCAACGTCTCGGAAACGCGGGAGGTCCGAAACAAATGGTGAACGATCCTAAGTCCGTGTCAGGATAATGCACGAAGTGACAGTTCGTGCTTTCGTCGCGCGCGGGACGAGCCACTTCTCATGCACGTGAGAAGAGAGGAACACGGCGGAGGAATGCTGTGATGTGATAATTACTTCGGCACAATTCAGCGTTCTTCGTTTTCTTTCGAGCGGTCGAAAACTGCGACACGCTGCTCCATCTCGATGCCGACGGTCGAGCGATCCCCGCGAAGCGCAATCGAATCTTGAAAGAGAGGAACGCGTGAGAACATTGCTCATCGCTCATAGAATCGCGCGGACAGTTCCTTGATCAAATATGGAGGACATAAAGGTGCCGAACTTAGGTCAGGCCGCTTCAGCCGCGTGCTCCATGGCGTCTAATTTTTTGGCACCGGTGAAGACTGAGCGCCAAATCTACGAAAATTCGATGCTCGAGGACGATCCCAATGCCAACTCGGTAGTATCGACCTCTCAAGAGGACAGGACTGTGCCTAGGTGGGGCCCAAATCATAAAGGTGCTCAGGAACTTGCGAATCTCTATAGCACTGGTACGTTCACTTCTTTCTATTCTGGAAGAAATTAATTTCAGTTAAATGAAAAATTAGTTGACTGAGCGATTAACTTAGTATTTAGTAAAATCTACTCGCTTCACCGATTGATGAGTTCGTCAATCAAAAAGCGGACGTGTAAATTCAAATTCTTTTCGCGCACATGTTTCAAAATGACGCAAAACTCTCAATATTGCAAAGGTCTTGATGTATCAAAGAGACTGCGCTAAGTTTTTAATTCAACAACGAATAGTGATTATGATAAACAACATTGATACATCACTCTCTTATAGGCAAGAGAACACAAGAGTGCATCTGTGTGGGGATTTGCATCACCCTTATAGCTGTAAACTCCATCTTCGTGCTCATCAGGTTACGGCTGGAAAATTTGAGTTCTATAGCAATGGCAGCATTGTGCGGCATCATTACTGCTGATTTTGGCTCCGGCTTGGTTCATTGGGCTGCCGACACTTGGGGCTCGGTTGAACTGCCAATTCTCGGGAAGGTGAGGTGTACTGGTAACAGAGACAAGTTGTTAGTACAAATCCCCTAAAACTGTCATTTGTACAAAAGTGTCATTTTCATTTCATAGAATTTCTTGAGACCGTTCCGCGAGCATCATATAGATCCGACTAGTATAACGCGACACGATTTCATCGAGACCAATGGCGATAATTTCATGGTCACGATACCGGTTCTATCGAAACTCACGTGGGATTTTCTAACATTACCCGAAGCGGACATGCAACAAAAGTTTCTTTGGACATGCTATTGGTTTCTACTTGCAATCTTTGTGGCAATGACTAATCAGGTGAGCGTCTGAAATATAAGTCGTAAATATTAAAAATTAAGTTAATTAGAAGAATCGAGGTATTATGGAAATATTCACTATTCCTTGCATGGGCAAATATTTCGATTCTGATAGAATTATTTTCTAAAGTCGATGATACGTTCCAGCTTTAATTGAATAGTAGGCATCTACGAGATCGCCCGCTTTCCGATGTCTATTCTCGTGTGATTGAAGAATGTTGGACGATATACTTTACAGATACACAAGTGGTCGCATACGTACTTCGGACTGCCTGCCTGGGTGATTTGGCTTCAAGAGCATCGGATCATCTTGCCAAGAAAGCATCATCGAGTGCATCATGTCGCGCCTCACGAGACTTATTTCTGCATCACTACAGGATGGTTAAATTGGCCTTTAGAGAAGCTGCACTTCTGGTACATCATGGAAGTGATCATTGAGAGTATCACCGGTTGCAAACCCAGGGCCGACGATCTGAAATGGGCGCAAAAACGCTCTTGAGAATTAATAATCGTCTTGCTTTCGTTGTACATTTTGCTGTACAATCGAAATATTTAACATATAGCCAAATGTTAAAACAAAAGAACACGAACTACGACGAGGTAGATATTAAGGTGAAAAAATTTGTATGGGCAATAGTAAAAGGTTTGTAACGCGGGATTCATGATGTTTCGAGGAAAAAGAGAGATGTCGCGAGATTGCGTACATATATACATATATTATATACTTTCTTTCTCAAACTTTACTACGAGGCCTTTTGTGAAGACAGGTAGCATGTATAAAGATAAGCATTATTCGACATGCTTTTAAAGTTTACACGTTTTTAATACGTACGTGCAATAATACATGTATATATACATATACTACGAATAAGGGGACAAATGTAAATCTAGGATCACGCTTGCGAAGTCACAACCCGATGATATTATCGACACGCTATGTTGATAACTGATGTCTTTATGTATACCGCACAAATCATCGCATCGATTGCACAAATATGAAGTCACATTTTAATATGCGACGATGAACGCGCGCGCGTATACGCGGTACCAATTGAGAAAAAAGATATTGTAATATCCAAGCTCGGACAAAGAATCCGGAATCTGATACTTTGAAAATATTAAATGCATAGCTAAATGAATACAACGCGCAAATATAAATAATAACATAACTTTTACGATAAATGCAGATTTGTATACATGTGACGCATATTTGTATACATGTGATTTTTGCATATATACATACACGTGTGTATATATATATATATATATATAAGTAAATATATATATCTTGTATATATATGTACTTTTAGATATATATATATGTGCGTGCATATACAACATATACAATATATAATTACGTGCCCTAAACGTATTCAAAAATTAATAATGGATCGAATCGATCTATTTTTTACATAAAGTCGTCTATACAAAATATTATGAATCATTGACAAGGAAACATACAAGGAAACAGGATAAGATAATTTTTCTTTTAATTTTGCGATTGGGTATAATTGTAACATCCTGTTAATGCAAGTGCTCCAATTGCATCTCTCACGAGCTAAACTAAATTCCCTGAACCTTCCGAAATGTTTGAGATCAATCAAAACGTTTTTCGTGCATATACTAGCATTACTAATCTCAATTTAATTAATCGGAATAAAAGTCAGAAGGTGCTAAACGTAACAAGTACAAGTCGTAGGTTCAGGGACCAAAGAAAAAGACTTATTGCTGTATGTAAGTTGGTTAAATGCTTCATGTGATTTAGATTGAAATATACTGACGCGATTCATCGTACATGCAACGACGAACTGTCAATTTCAATGATGTTTTCGCACAACTGTAAATGCTTTTTTCTCTTTCTCAATTTATAATATATGAATGTTCAACTGCATCGCGCATATTCAGTATGCTTCGTACAAGGCTACTGTAATCTAAGTTCCTCACACGCAAGTCAGTAATAATACGTCTTTTAAACGAAATAATAATTGTAAGAATCCGCAGTTATTGTAACTGTAATTACTGTAATCATTGTTATTGTTGTTGTTATTGTTATTAGAGACAGAATATAAATTTTAAACAAAAGTCGTCAGGTAACACCAAATTCAAAGCTTTTGCATTATCATTTACGAGAAGTAAATTATTGTTTAACTTTATTGTGAAACCTTAAAGACATGAAGAGTCAAATTTACTTATTTATTTATCCACGCATTGCAACTGCAAGTACGACATGTGATATGCTTCTGTTCCTGTCTTAAATTTCACGACGGGCAAATAGTGTTTTGTTTAAGATATGACTCTCATAATAATGGTTCTAAGAATAAGAAATAATTAGAAATATGCGCCGAGTGAAAGAATCATATATATGTGATGTAAGGAATTCGCCTATAGTTCTAACTAAACAGTCGTGCTGATGGTAATATCTAACGTGGATGCGAACGCATCTGATTTTTAAGTTAAATTTGTAGGGATAAAAATACGAAATGCAAATTGCTACAAAACGAAGAAGAGATAGATGCAAATTTATATATGTATTCTGAATATTTTATATATCCGATCTATTTATATGTTATCGTATGGTACAACGCATATGTAGAAGATAACGGGAAAAGAAGAAAATGCCAAGAAATGCTCTACTATCGCTATTTTCATACAAACATAATTGCGCTCGTTAATCATATGATCGTATTGTACTGTGGTCTAAACCGTCTCGAATACTTTTCTTTGTCCACTTATTGTGTCGAAAAATTTTCCGTTACCTCAATCTAAAATGCGTCTACCCTAATAAAAAAGAAAAAGAGAGAATTTAGAATATTTCTTATTCAATGAGTTGATTGAACATTGCTATAATCTCACAGAATGCTACATTTTATTTGTATCTTTTTAGCAGTTTTCAAATCATGTAGCTCATATCGGTTGAATCTCAGCACAATTATGTAAATAATAAGAAACAAATTATATGAAACAATCAACGCATCTGCAGCTGCTGAAAGTACAAAGAGAATAAAAGACAAGCCATCGCTTCTAGCCTGTATGCATATTGCAACATATTTTGTATTCATACAACACGTATTTGCATATGTTACCTATGTGTGTATCTTTTTAGAAGTGATCAAGAAGTAATTTTGAACTTTTTATTTTTATCAGTCAAACAGATCATGTTGTTTCTATATTTGTTCTAGCAATTAATCTAAGTTGAAACACCAACCAAGAAAGCAAATCTAACAAAGAGGCATAAAATTAAAGCAAATCATATTCATTGCCATATAAGTACTTTTTTATGAAATGTATTGTTATATAATACTTAATATTTGAAGTAGTCATAATAGCAACAAAGTAAAAAGAATAGTGTCGCATAAGAAACAAATACACGTTGAATGATGGAGACAATGGACTGAGAACTACATCATAAACGAATAATGTATGTTTCTGTAAAATTATCCAACATGAAATTTTTAACATAAAATACTAATAACCAAATAAAAATAACGATAAAATCATCTTAATAATTCACCAGAACGCCTTTGTTATATTGTCGAAACGATAACAAAAACGATGATCTGCATAGCAGATCGTGTGTAAGCTGTTATAGCTGTTATACAATAAAAAGGAAGAAAACAGGATTTACTCTAGCTATTCGTTATCACTGCATGTAATACTTCGTTGTTGTGCGATAAAATGATGAAAATCCATTCATTACGATTATCACAATCCGATTCAGCAACGATTCCATCGCAGACATACACATAATTTGTATTTCTTGCCGCATATCTCTCGTGTGTATCTCTTATTGCATATTTTTCGTTCCTCCTTGAATACAAAAATATTATAAAATACCACCTAATACCACCGAAAGAATGAATGGTTAAATAAAATATTACATGTTTTCTTCTCCCTATATCTTTCGCATCGTGCAATTTCTCCAAAGAATCTTTCCTCTTCCTAAAGATCCTCTTGCCAAGGATATGCTAAGGATGTTTTATCGCGCAAAAATCTCAATTCTCGAGAGCAATCAGCAATGGATGTTGGGCGCGAAAGCGCGCTTGAAATATTCGAAAATTTCGTAAAGGTGCAGTATGACCAACATTAATCGAGAGCACGGTGAAGCTCCCTAAAACTATAGGAAATTCACGTTTAGTATTTATCCACTAGATTCATTAAAGCCGGAGCGGCATACGGTGCTTGTTTTCGTGCTGGATTGCTTGCTGGATGAAAATACTGCGTTCTGATTGGTGCATTTCTATCCATCTTCGAAAATGTACATTTCGGATTGGTACATTTCCGAAGATGGATGGAAATGCACCAATCAGAATGCAATATTTTCATCCAGCAAGCAATCCAGCACAAAAACAAGCACTGTGTACCGCTGGCTTTAATATCCAAAGATCGCGCGAACTCATCCGTTCCGAAACTTATCGCGAGAAGAGTTTCGCAAACGTTCAACTCACGAGTATGAGTGATTTCCAGTTGGTAGAATTTGTACGTGCGGTGTGTGGTAAGTTCGCCGACGGCGTCCGTTCTGGCGACGAGACTGGAATAGTGGACGGAGAAGAAGTGGAGTCAACGAGAGCGGGCTACAGCCTTGTCGTATTTAGCGAGCAGCTTAGTAAGAAACAACGTAAGAAAGCCTCCCTGCGGAGGAGGAGGAGGAGAAGGAGTCCACGTTTACGTTCTCGACGTCGCGTCCCAGAGGACCTCGACGGATTTCGTTTCGCGCGAATACCGCTCGGACCGCCTCTCGCAGCTCAGCTGCGCGAGCCCTTCCCTAGCTGCTGCGAGGCGCGACACGGCGCCCGCGTACGCTCCCGGCCACAACGCTAACGCAGACATTGCGGAGGCGAAGAGGTTAAGGGGACGGCACGAACGGGAGGACGCGCCGTCCATCACCATGAAGCTGGTCGACCACGTGGTGCGGAGCTTCAAGGTGGCCAAAATATTCCGCGAGAACTCGGATCGGATAAACAGCATCGACTTCTCGCCGAACGGCGACACTCTGATCTCGTGCTCGGAGGATGATCAGATCGTGATCTATGACTGCGAGAAAGGCACGCAGGTGCGGACGGTGAACTCGAAGAAGTACGGGGTCGACCTCATACACTTTACTCACGCGAAGAACACCGCGATACACAGCAGCACCAAGATCGATGACACTATTCGATACCTCAGTCTACATGACAACAAGTACATACGATATTTTCCTGGTCACACTAAGAAGGTAGTATCGTTATGCATTAGCCCAATCGAAGATACTTTTCTCTCGGGTTCTTTAGACAAGTCTCTCAGACTATGGGATTTGCGTTCGCCGAATTGTCACGGGGTCATGAACGTCTCAGGGCGACCAGTCGCAGCATACGATCCCGAAGGTTTGATTTTTGCAGCAGGCGTCAATTCAGAGAGCATCAAACTCTACGACCTGCGCAGCTTTGACAAAGGGCCCTTTGTTACCTTCAAGGTCTCGCAAGAGAAGGAATGCGATTGGACAGGACTCAAGTTTAGCAGGGATGGCAAAACCATCTTGATTTCTACTAATGGTAGTACAATTCGTTTGATTGACGCTTTTCACGGTACACCTTTACAGACTTTTGCGGGATACTTGAACAACAAGGGCATTGCCATCGAGGCTAGTTTCAGTCCAGATTCGCAATTCGTGTTCAGTGGATCTACAGATGGTAGGGTACACGTGTGGAACGCGGAAAGCGGTTACAAAGTTTGCGTACTGAATGGTGATCATCCAGCACCGGTGCAGTGTATCCAGTTCAACCCTAAATATATGATGCTGGCATCAGCATGTACCAATATGGCTTTTTGGCTGCCTACCATTGAGGAAAGTGCATAAGACTAATTTATAAACAAACTTAAAAAACAACAATTGTCTGCTGGATTATAATTCACACAGGAGATATATATCTATATATATATACATATATGTATATATATGTATAGAGAGAGGAGGGGACTTGTAAGAGGAATGACAAAACGCAGAATAACAGCTGATTGATGAAAATAGAGAAAGAGAGGGAGGGAGGCAGGAAGAGAAAGAGAGAAGAAGTAATGATGTTACTTCGGTCAAGCGAATATTGCATTTACATTTATGTACAAAAATGAAAGCCGTCGTATGACACGCCGGTTCCGGGACGGATCAGTTTGGGGTGGTGGACAAATTGAGTAGGCCAATTCAACAACTTGATCCTCCTCGCTCGTTCACGCTTCAGAAGGATCCGTAGGGAAGATGTCATATATCCTTTTCATCTGTATCATCATCGTCTTCGTACCTAACGATACACCTTGTCATACCTCGCGAGGATAGCGACGTAGGGCAACGTTCGCTGAAAGAAAATGAAAAGAAATATCCACGTCTCATACTAAACATCGGTAAACGTCGTTTCGAGTGTGTCTCGTGTACATAGTTCTATTCCTGTGTACCTGTGTGTGTGTGTGTGTAGCGTTTAACGATACGAAGAATGTGAAGTCTACTACTATTACCATTATTACACTACTATTACTATCATCACCACCACCACCACTACTACTACTATTACTATTATTACTATTACTACTACTATTACTACTACTACTACTGCTACTACTAATACATCGGATGAGCACACATCTGTCCTAGCAGACAGTTCTTTCCATTAGATTTTCACGCGTATCGTCCATGCGTTCTGGGCAATCGAGATCACCTCGCCCGATTGGATACGAGAAGCTCACCGCGTAGAGTGAATCTCTCGTATTAGATTTGTTGCCCGAAAACTACGACTGCGGCGGTAAACGTTATACCGGGGATAACGCCGCCTTCCGGGAGATCTCCGTATTTATACGAGAAAATTGTACGTATCGCGAGATTAGCGTAAAACAATTTTTCAAACGGTTGAAGGGACATGATCTAGCGTATAGCGCAACGATGTCTTTGCATACATGTACTAATTACTTTATCCTCTCGTGCGTCAAGCGCTGTATCGTAAGAAGACGAATTTTTGCATTGATGAAATCAGATTGTTGACCGTTTCGACGATTCGTCCTCGCGACGAATCGATATACACAGATCTCGATGTGATCGCGGTAACTTTTCTATTCCGCAGTTCGAGATGACTGCGAGAACACCTGTTGTCGTTCTGACCGGAGCGTCTAACGCTTTATACTTTTTTACAGCTGGTCTCGCGCGTCTAGGGCAAGTCATTAAGATGTTAAATGCGAAACATAAAGCCACACGTGTACGAATGAGTCTCGGATAGTCTATGGGATTCGAGTCTCGTTAACACCTTTGGAAATATGTAGCGTTAAGTACTTGACCACAGTACCATTATGATTAACCCGATGTATCGCATGGCCGCATGCAGGAAAGAATCCTAAGCTGATCAGAACCGCGAAGAAATCAGAATCAAGCGGATCAGGATGAAATTGAAATTCGTCGGTAATTACCCTTTGACTATGACGTCGGTGATTTTGTTCGTTATGACGTAAGTAACGCAGAAATTTGATCGTAAACTCTTTAGTCACCGGTCTTTGATATTTACTCTCACCGTGCGTTCTACGCTCGTGATACCAAATGTGATACGCAAGACGATACACGTTCATTGTAAATAAAAACGAAACGAAGGATCCATCAGTCTCAAATATGTAGATTATAAAATATAATCTTTTGCAGTTCGCGTGTAAAAGATTGGAGAAGAGCACTCGGTAACGCCTCCGAGGATCACCCTCCTTGCTCCTGCATGCGGTCATGCAACGTCGTGCATATTGACTGTCAGCAGTCTAAATACGCCCCGTATACACATAAATACACGCGACATATAAAGCGACGTGTACATAGCAGATACCGGCCAAAAGCGTTTTGTAAACCGATAACGAATTTCCAACATCGATATAATCTCGAAGAGGTCGAAGCTCGAAGGAAGCAGCCGTGATTATGCATGGATATTTTCACTGGCAGCAGAACTTGCGACGATCATCTCGAGGAAGATCAGAGGTGCTTCTCCGCGACATCCTCGACTCAGATGACTGTGACAATCGTGCTATACCGTCGCTATCATCGAAGATTCATCAGATACGTATCCCCTCGACGTAAGGAAAATATCGCGTATTTCTGCTAGTGCTGTCAATATCATACCTGTATTCCTGTACCCGGTTACCCAGGTGTACATTCATAGATACCACTCGGTTACCTGCATAACCAGAAATTAGCAAATAGTTGACGCATTCGTTTGTTATTTGTTACCGTTAAAATAATTCATAATTTGTAACGTTTGAGGTAAAACATTTACCCGTGTATTCGAGCGATATCCGAAAGATTCGGGTACTCTGGAAATTGACAGCGCTAGTTTCCATCGCACCGCGTCGAGAGTATCAAGGCTGCGACTCGCATTGTGCGATGCACATTGCGATCGTTGGCGACGGACTCTCCCATGACTTTACTACGATACAAAGAGACACACGATATCGTTTTTATCGAGTATATACGCGTAGAACCAAACCGGCAGGCCGGCCGAGAAGACACGATTCGATGTTCGTAGGAAGAACGGTCTCTATAGAGGTGTTATATAATTGTATCTCTCACGATAGTACAGTAATGTTAATCGACGACGTTTATGTCTAGTTCGGCGACGTAGTATTCCGTCTCTCCGCTAAACGCCGAGTATACCACGGCGCGGGCGAATAGACGAGCGTCATCAGCGTCACCGTCACTCGAATTTTGTTTTACTTGAAAAAAAAAATGCGTAAAAAAAGAGCAATTCACCAAGCACTAGGCATCATCATCTGTCGGTCTGGAGCTCGCGAATCCGCCGGTCGTGATGTTAACACAGCGACCATCGCTCTGTCTATTCGAACGCTCGCTCCCTGTCCCTCCATCCTTTCGTGCATGTACATATACGATAGTATCTATTATTTCCTGTAGAGTTTCTAGACTTCTCCCCGTAAACATATTTCGTAAGAGCGCGCGCGTGGTCAATGATATTTTATTCGAACGGTATGCGTGCGTGCGTGCGTGAATGAATATGCGACTCACCGCGCAACGGCGATGACAGTGTGATTCCACGAATGACTGTTAAAACATGTATGTTTGTATGCACGTATCTCATGTGTCTATTCCACGTACGTGCGCACGTGTGTGTGTGTGTGTGTATGTATGTGTGAGAGAGAGAGAGAATGAGTGAAAGCGTGAACTGTACGAGCTTGTCTCACCTGCGCTGTAAAATAGTATTTTTTATAACGGCGACACAGTGTACGTAGAAACGGGGGAAAAATCGACATATATGTGTATTCGAACTCGAGCGCTCGGGATGAATTTCGCAGTGCGTGTTTGCGCGCTCCAGGAGGAGACAACGCCGACGGATAATCGGTCGGTCATACGAGAGGAATATCACGCCGAGGACCTCGACCCTTTCGGCTGCTCGTGTAGCTTCCCGACCAATGGAACTTTCAAGCCCCACTGTGTTCAGGCTACGAGTGCTGCCTCTCGAATTCAATATCTTCAATCTCTCTCTCTTTCACGTGGCGTGATTGCGCCGAGAAATTATGTCTCCTTGTAACGAACGACCACCTTCGTCCGTCTTCATTTCCGGAAAGCGCGCACGAGCGCGTGAGCTCGGAGTGACCAAATGCTTATTATGTAATCGCTGTTTTAATTTACAAGGTGAAGTGCGCGTGCGTTTCGTAACCACGCGATTTGAGTCTCGTCGCGCGAGGCCTTGAGCGTCGAAGTTAAGAATTCACCGCCGCGCGTATAATTGTGCGGCTCTCATTGTTATTCGCTGCGGCACGACCGCTTCGACGAGCGGCGATCGATTTAGCTCACATTAAACATTACACCGGACGAGTTCCGTCGTTCGACGACGCGTTGTTATTGTCATTCGCCGTCGTTGTTATTTTTCTCACCTCGCACACTCTTTCACGTGGTCGTTGCGCCGCGAAAGGGTCGAAGGGCGAGGTCGAACCATCTCGAGCGACTACGAGCGATCTGATATTTAGATTAAAACATCTGTGACACGTGTTATACTGCCAGCCAAACGAAAAAGCGAGCGAGGAAAACAAAAAAAAAAGAAAAAAATACGAAACACTGTGTTCCCTTATCCCAGGATAAGTTAATAGAGACATGCGTATAATGATTAAAATTGTATATATCCCGACGAGTCGCGGTCGACGGTACATGTTTTAAAACTACCCAACGGGACTAGGACTTCCGCGAACAGAAATATGAAAATAGGCGATTATAATTATTATTATTATTATTACTATACTTATCGAACGATCGCCCGAACGTTCTTTCATCGTATCAAAGGGAAATAAAAAAGTAGGAAACACCGGTGGGGTCGGCCAGAGACGTAAAGGCGCCTTGGATCTCGCGTTACGAGTCATGACGAAAACCTTTTTGTACACGAAGAATCCGTGACAGATTTGTACATACGTCGAAGTCAACCTTGTTCTCGCATGTCACGCATTATGTGCTCTGATGATAGGTCGTTCTTTTCTATCGTATATAAATTCGCGACCGATCTCAGAGATATTCGACGATTCGTGACTCGTGGCGAGAATCGTACCACGTGGAAACGCGCACGTTCGTGCAATACACGCATCGCTCCCAAACAAAAATCGCAATGTTTTCAGAGATTCGGAACAAAGTGAGAATATCTCAGCGTATCTTTCAAATTATCATCACGTGGCGGCGCGATTACGTCCCTCTGAACGCAAGATCGTTGGTTCATCAAGCCATCTAATGTATTAGAGATTTTAGAATTCGAATTTAATTTAAAATAGATGTGTGTGTATACATATATATATATATATATATATACATCTATATATATATATATATACACACGGTACAAAAGAATATACGAGAGACTTAAACTTGAAAGAGAAAGAGAGAGAGAGAAAGAGCGTATAGAGAGTAAAATGCGATTTCGAAAAGATCTTGAATGTGATGATGGTTCATGAACACTACACTCGTCTTGCTGTTAATAATCGCTTGCTTTCGAAGAATACGTTGTACCTTCTACAAACAAAAAAGAAAAGGAAAAGAAACATCCGAATTTTGACGGCAGATTCTTGTGATTTTTCTTCTAAGTTCCTGCATCAAGTCTTCGTACAAATCGTTTTTTGATAGCCAAATAGAGACAGAAACACGCGAACGCTCGTTGTTGTTGATTCTGATTCCTGAGAAGATTCGTCACGCGATCGGTAACGAATCGTCGGGGCCTCGCATCCCGATCGCTGTAAACTGCATGCGCTCTATAGGGTACTAGAAATCAGAAATTGACACCGTTATTGATTTCATTGAGTTCTGCGTTGGAGTATAAGCATATAAATGCGATAATAATCAAATTATATGCGTTAATAACTAAAACGTAAGAACGTGACTGCAGTCTTTTCTCTCGTCGTAATCGTGTAAAGTGTGCAACGTCGAAAACACCGAACTCACTGAAATCAAATCGATCGCAATTTCTGTTAGGAACACACGATGGTGTAGAAACATCGCGCTGTAATCGGAGCAATGCGAATAATCCGCACGCTGCATAACATAATGGAAATAATATATGTGTATCTCTGTCTGTTGAAAGTGTACGCGAAGTTAAAAGGGACATCGAGTGACTTTTGTTTTGTCACTAAAGGGTTTTGTGATCTACTACGAATCATACCTAATTTGTAAGGTAACAGGAATAATCAGAATTATCTGGCAACACAATCGGACGCGCTGTTTCGGTTTTGAGAAAAAGGAAAACGCGATTTCTATACATTCGACGATGACTGCACGAAGAAAATGACGCTTCTGTCCGAATACTTTTGTTATCGTTTCGAAAGACTGGCGCGAACCGTCGATCCACGATTTGTTTTTGTGATAAGAATCGCAAGAGCGATTGAACAGACTTTTCTTGTTGTAATTACATTATTCTGTCGATAACTGGCGAGTTTTAATTACTTTGACTAGCAAATTTGAACGCATTAATCATATTTTGTTGACGGATAAATGTGAACAACATTCTGATTCAATGGACTTTTAAATTGGATAAATATATGTACGTGTGCATGTGTGCGCGTGTGTGTGTGTGTGTGTGTGTGTATGAATAAATAAAGAGAGCGATGTAATGAATTTTCGTCCGCCGACAGTTGATAGTCACAACATATCAGCGTATTTGTTAAGAAATTTGTTAGGTTGACGGTTTCACTTAACAAAGATCCTCAAGGAGTGTACAAAAAAGGTGGACACTTTTTTGAGATTCTTCTTGAAAAGTGGATGTCATCTCGATAGCTTAACGCGCAAGCAAAATTGTATTTTTATTTTTCTGTAGAACTATTTCGATTGAACGCACGAGTTTACTCGAAACAATAAAACACTTTTTTTGTACATCGAATCCTCGTCTTTCCATTTACTTTGTTTATTATCATATCCTCCCAACGTCCACTGTGTGATGCGTAAGTTAAATTTCATTAAAAAAAAATCGAATTACCTTTATGATACACAGAAATACGAAATACAGTCATTCTCGGCTCCATGCTACTTGCTCTGTGTCTGATAATGACATAAAAATCATGTTATTTTGCAACATCACATTTTTCTACAGTTTGTATGTGATACAATGTTTTCAAATCGTCCGATATAACATCCGGTGCTCCGGCCATGAGATCTTGTCCTTCTATTGATTTTGGGAAAGCTATGACGCTCTTTATATTTTTCGCATTGCAAAGCATGCAAACTAGACGATCCAGTCCTTAAAAAATACACATAATAATCATGAAAATACTATTTCGAGATTCGCGGACGTAAATGTTTATCGAAGAAAATAAATACCTAAAGCTATTCCACCGTGAGGTGGAGCTCCATATGTTAGAGCCTCTAGCATGTGCGACAAGTTCGTTTCATCGATATTCAATAAGTTCAATATCTGACGTTGAAGATTTGCATCGTGGATACGTATGGAACCACCCGCGATTTCCGATCCGTTCATAACTAAATCATAGTGCAAACCTCGAACCTACAATACAGAGATGTGCAAACGACTCATTTTAAACTCGAACTTTTGACCTTACTTTTAGAGGATCGTTTGCCAGATATCCGATGTCATCTAGATGAGGTTGCGTAAACGGATGATGCGTTGATTCTAATTTTTCCTTAAATGTGAATAACGGAAAATCCGTGACCCACAGAAACTTAGTTTTGGACGAACGTATTTGTTCGCCCTGTGCTTCTAATAAATTTGTAAATTCAACACGTAACTTTCCTAACAGCTTTAACTAAAATGTATAACAATTGCCTCGATAAAATGAAGAGAATAAAATGTATTATTATCAGGAAAACTTATATACTCACTGCATCATCATAATGACCAACTGCTAATAATATTACATCTTCTTCTTGCAATTTGCAAAACTGTACTATATTTTCCGTTATATTTTTGGAAAATATTTTTTCTAATTGAGCTCTCCCTGAATTGTTTTCAATTTTTAATGCAACTAATTTTGTAGTAGTAAAATAGTCATCACGAATTTTCGAGAGTTTGTCTCTGACGGATTTTGTCAACCATTTCTAGGACATAAGAAAGCGTATTAATAATGTATCATAAGTATATAGATTCTATTAGAGTTTTCGTAATTGTTTACCGATTTATTTGAGAAAACTAATGCAAACACTTTTTGTTCAACATCCTGTAGTCTCATGGTCTCCTGCAATATTGTTGAATCAACCAAATGTGTGAGATTTCGTATCTAAAAAAGTTCAAGTATTACATTATGATCCTGTCGGAAAAGATAAAAAATCATGTATATATGTATATATCTTATACCTGATATGGTATTCTCAAATCTGGTTGTTCAGTACCATACAATTCCATTGCATCTTTGTATGTTATATGCTTGAAAGGAATTTCTATAGAACCTAATTCCTCCGGCCACGAATATACCAGCAAATTTTCAACTAAATTTATCACTCCATTTTGATCGACAAATGACATCTCGATATCTAGCTACAATATAACTGATAATAAAATATGAAACACTGTTTATATATATATATGAACACAATTACCTGTGTGAATTCTGGCTGTCTGTCGTGTCTAGCAGTTTCATCTCTATAACATCGAGCAACTTGGAAGTATCTATCAAAACTACCTACCATAAGGAGCTGTTTAAATTGTTGAGGACTCTGTACTAATGAATAGAATTTACCTGGTTGTCTTGTTGGTACTATAAATTCTTGAGCACCCTAAATATAACAAAATTAATTTTACATATCTTTAACAAATTAATGTTTTTTCTATCAAGACATACCCCTGGGGTATATTTGAAAAGTGTTGGTGTCTCAATATCCACAAAATTGCATTCATTGATCAAAAACTCTCTCATCTTCATTATAAATTGAGAACGCATCCTCAAATTTCTTTGTAATTCTGAATATCTCAATGAAAGATATCTGTATTTCATTTGCTGCACTTCTGTTGCTTTATTATAATCTCTGATGAATATTGGCAGATTACGAGAAGCTACATTTAAAATTACCAAAGATTCTATATGTACTTCTATATCACCAGTTTTCATTTTCTTGTTCTCTAGACCTTCAGGTCTTGATGCAACCTTGCCTGTTATGCTTAAAACACTTTCATAAGGAATATCTCGCATAGTCTCCATTAAATCCTTTCTCTGCAATTATTAAGCATTTTTAATGCAATTTGTTTTCTGTGGTGCATACATGATCTACAAAAGATCAACATGTAACAAATATTCACACATACATCTTCTGGTATAAGTAACTGTGTTGAACCATAAGAATCTCGTAATATTATAAATTTGCCCATTCTCTTAAACTCCATCCAGCCACTTAATTTCACCTGTTCTCCGATATTTGTAAGTGTTAATTCACCACATGTATGCGTTCTAGCAACATACCTATTCACTGGTGAAACATTTTCTTTTAAAGAAAGTGGTGGTTTGCTTGCAACTAAATTATGTATAGAGACTGCCAATACTCGAACTTGGTTTTTTATAAAATTCTTTAAAAAAAGCAAAATTATATAAATGATATTTTATATTTCATGTTAAAATAAAATAATGTAAATATATCAAATAGTAAGAAAAATACTGGCATAAGAATTATTCTATAAGATAATTGAACTTACGTTTACTTTACATTTTGTTACAAGATTTGTATAACCAAGTATAATTCTCCCACCAGTAAGCATTTTGCATGTATTATTAATACTATTTTTACAGAAACATAACTTTTCGCATACTTTATATTTCGCTGCTTTTTCTGCTGAACGCAGCCATTTTGTTGAAACTTCAGAGATATGTCCTTTTTAATTGCACCTTCTGTACTTACTTATAATTTTCTTCTTTCTCTTTTAATAAATCAGAAAGTAAATTCATCAGAAAGATTTCGCATAAATTATTTTTATTTTTCAGTAACAACAAGTTAAATATATACTTTTATCTATGCTCTTAATAAAGCCTCTTAATAAGTAATTGTTTTCGTGCTAGATTGCTTGCTGGATGAAAATATTGCATTCTGATTGGTGCATTTCCATCCATCTTCGAAAATATACCAATCAGAACGCAGTATTTTCATCCAGCAAGCAATCCAGCACGAAAACAAGCACCGTGTGCCGTTGGCTTTAGATATAAAGATTCTTCTAATAAATAAAATTATCGAATCTCAAACGTTGAACGAACGATCGATCTTTCAAAAATTGAATCAAACTTATAAAACTTGGTTCGATAGGTATCGATGATCGCTTTGGACATACTTTTGGACAAGAAAAATAATCGACTGCGATTGGGCAATTTTCTTATGACTTAAGATTTTATGACTTCTCTTGTAGATTTTGCTTTAGTGGCTTTCTACAAAAAGCCAATAGTTATAAAATGTAAGTTAATTGATCGTGATTGATCAGTTTACTTACATTTTATAACTAATGGCTTTTTGTAGTTTTTGGAGTAATCGATAAATGGTCTGTTCTTTTTAGCTGCACTGCTGAATAACCGCAATAAGTTAGAGTGAGACAACTATATTTTTTCTCATTCTAACTTATTGCACAGTTCAGCACAGTGTAGCTAAAAAGAACAGACCTATATTCTTTATTCAATGAGAGCTTCCTCCTGATCTAACCTTTCAACCTCCCTTTTGAGCGGTTTGCTAGCAAGAGGTGCGTATTGATTATGTTAAATAAGAAGGATTTACCAAATAATCAACAAGACTATAGTTTTCTCACCTAGAATATATATTAATCAAGTCAATTTTTTTTATTAGAATCACAGCCGTAAAAGAATGGAGAACGACACAGGCACCTTAGTCGACTTGTATATTCCACGTAAATGGTAAGACGTACACGTGGGTTATGAGTAATTATAATAAATATTAAAACGAATTCAGATAAGACATACCATTTGTGCTAAAGACGTAACTTAATACAAATGTTCTTACCAGAACATTTTTTAATTAATTTTGGCGTGGTTGATAAATACTTGGAAGACTATTGTTAGGTTATATTAAATCAAGCTATTTGTACACATGACTCCGAAAAAAATTAACTTTTTTCTTATAAAATGTGCGAATTTAAAATCTGCATTTAAAATATAATAAATGTTTATTGAGAAATTGCAAAAAATTGAGCAAGAAATTGCCCGAATTGAGAATTGCAAAAAAGTTAAGAGTCAACTCACAAAACAAACCTGTTTGTTTTAAACATACTTTATATTCTCTACATTTAAGATATAATACATATTTCTGAATTTTATGAAAAAAATCAAAAGAAAAAGTATAGAAAATACAGTTAAAACGTCTATTAAATATAAAAAATACAATTTAAATGAATTTAAATCTAAACATATTTCTTTCACAGTTCTGCAAGCAACAGAATTATACATGCCAAGGATCATGCATCCATACAGTTGACTCTAGCAGATGTTGACCCAGAAACTGGTCGCATGACCGACTCCCACAAAATGTATGCAATTTGTGGAGCCATCCGTCGCATGGTATATCTTCAATTACCTTTTATATATGTGAATATTTTATAGAGCTTGATTATTTGTTTAGTATCATATTTTTACATTATAATATTACAAAACAAAATATCTGCTTTAAAATGATTCTGTATCAATTGAATCTTTTATACTTTAAGAAATCATATTAAATTTATATTGCAGGGTGAATCTGACGATTGTTTAGTACGGCTGACGAAGAAGGATGGCATTTTACCTAAAAACTTTTAATATATGTAACCAGTTCATATTTTCAATAAATTAAAAATATATTTCGGTATTCTTTCTGAGATCCTTATAATAATTTTAAATAGCAAATGATTTTCATAATGTATATGACATATTTATTATATATTTTATACATACACACAAAGGTATGAAATATCTTTATATACACATATAATACATTAATATAATAAGACTCGCATGTCTCGAATATCGTAGTACCGCTTGTTAATCACGTTCATAAAATTATGCTCGTGAGTACTTGGTTATATAAAAATAAAAATTATCACTAAAGTGTGTGTATGTATATGTGTATAATTAGATTGTGCCATTTACAATTGAAATTGGTTGTCTTTAATAAATTGCAATCGATCAAATTCGTATATCATATTAAAATCCATTTTTATCTAGAACAGGACAAAATTAACAAACGTTACTCTTTTTTTCCTTTTGTTGATTACGGATATCAGAAAAACGTTTTAAGAAACCAAGGTGACTCAATATATTTAGGCAACGTTGTGTACAATGCAATATCGATTTATAATGTTACCATCTAAAGCTTTTCATGCCAACTGAATTTATATTATTATCTTGTATATATATAATTTGAAAGTTGAATAGACCGAAGAAATGTCGACTGTATCAAGAATTTCATATTTAGAGAAATTGTTATCTGATTCTTTTTGTTCTTTTTCCTATTTGTCCTTTTCTCCTTACATGATAAATTTTCCTTTATATACACGCATTGTTCTTTCTTACCCTTCTCATTGTGGACGCGATTGTGTGAAAAATGATCAATCTCAATATTTCGGAACTTTTTTTAAACCGGACCATAGAGCTAATCACAGAGATCTGTATTAGTGGAAGTTAACGATTAGTTGTCAAATAATACTGCATATCAAAATTACGTTATGATAGCTCTCGTTTGAGCAGGCGAATTAGTTTGTGTAACATTTATACGTATATATCTTTATAGGTGAAATAATTTTTTAAGATGTACGATTTTCTTTTGACTTATACTTAAAAAAATTAGTATAAATTCTGGCATAGTTGCGATTGAACAAATTGTAAAAAGAAAGAAAAGTCCGTCTAAGCAAAGACGCGTAATGCTTACAATAATCTGTTGTTTATATACAGAAAGATGGATAATGGTGAAGTTTTTTGATCTTCAGTTCCTTACTCATGATGCATCATTTATCTCTTATGTAATGGCTATGCAAGTAATACTTGAGGAATATATCGAATGTCGTACGAGTCGCACTCTTTCCGCTGTAGATTATAGCACATCTACAGTTGAAAGAAAGATTACATTTAAATGTATATATCCTCTATGTTTCGCTGTTTATATGTTCGTCATAAAACGAAATTAAAATGACATAACGTTAAAGTAAATGACTATATTCGATATCTATTATCGCATACGTTATATTCCTCATATCTCTGGTAAACCGTTTGTAACATGTCTGGCAAATTCTATTATGTATATTTTTGTATCTCCTGTAATGAAAAAAGACCAATATCGGTTTTCTTCAAGTTTCAATTAAAAAATCTTGCAGAATTTGTAGAAATTTTTTAAGTAACACATGTCACATATCAATTACATATTAATGACTAAAGACTATTATTTAACTATTATTTAACAACCAAATGTATAACATTTTAGTAATTAAAGAATAAAATTTACGATTTAGTCGAATTTTTAGATTTTGAAATGTTTAGGAAATAGAAGGTTATTGTAATTACAGGTTTCTATAAACTAATAAAATAGACATACATTGGTCTTTTTTCTTTCCAAATACAAACGTCTTCCTTTTCCTTAGAATTTATATATATCGCGTCAATATTAGTTATCTGGAAATTTCCTTGCATTGCTTACATATAATAATAAACATAGTTGATCTAAATATAATGGAACTGTTTTACAATCTTTACCCTGAGTGTTCACTATTGACACATTCGTGTGTTTTAACGGTTTCGATATATTCACCAGACATACGACTAATAAGGTAGGCCAACATATTAAAAACATATGTCTCTGTCATCGAAAAATCTTCGTGAATTAATGACATATAACTACCATTGTCGATATATTGATTAATAAATCTTATCTTAAAAGTATTTGCAATTATGCTCTTTGCTGTATAATATATCGTGAAACAAGTAAACGTGTTTATCGCATAAAAGACCACAGTAAACCACATTGAAAAATAAATGATCCAACTTAGCAGGCAAAGAACATAATCATCAGGTATAACACAAAATCAAAAAATATTCTTTACGCAAATATTACACGGCTCTTAGGTATCGTAATAAGTCAACTTATTACGAATTTTCGAATAACGCTTACAACTATCGTTCTATTGCACATATCACCATTCATGCACAAATGCGTTTCCCTCCAAATTAAAATTCATCAAATTCGTACCAATATATTCAGCTCCGATTTCTCGACTCGATTCGAGTCTTTACTATGTTGTTTTCGCTAATTTGTTGAAGCTTTTCAAATCATAAGAAGCGGTTATTATGCAGCATTCTCTTATATGTTGATCACCGTATGTCATCCATTCAGAGTTGGCGTATCTGATAATGAATGTACACGATTAAATCTACGGTTTTTCAATGCCGTCATAGATTCCACCAAGTTGGCTCGTTTGCTGAAAAAATCTACTATCGCTTGTCCGGTTAAGGCAGACGCTAAAAACTGTTCGACAGTTATCGACCAATCGGGATCTGCGGACGACGCTATACTCGATGGATTTCCGTTACGATCCGGTGACTGAAAAGTATCAAATAGATACGAGTTTATAGCGGCAATTACGCGTGAATAGATATTGTCAGCGCAATTAACAAGTGATATACCCTTTCAATAACGGAGGTAGAAGCTTGCTGAGCAGCAGAAGCGGCCATAAGTAAACTATCTTCGGATTCGTCTCTTTCTACATAGAATTTCTTCCCAACATCTCCCAATTGGAGCAGAAGGGTACCTGCGAATGTTTCATTTATACAGGATGTCTAACGATAATGTTTGTGTACATGTAGATTGGGCCAAACTGAACAAAAAAGATCTCTACACACAAGTTATTTTGCAAACAACCGCAAAAGATAAATATCTCACCTATGGAAGCGATGCAATGGTACGTTTCTTGTTCTTCGGGTTGTGCAGGAAACATGTCATAAAGAGTTTTCCATAACGCTATAAAATGCCCCTGGGACATTTTTGGCACAGTTTTAAGATCCAATGGACTATCCTTGGACGCAATCATCGAGCGTAAGCTACCCATACTTTGAATCTCCCATGACTGATCTCCTTGTTGACTGTTAAGACTCGTCGATCGCGATAAAGTTCCCACTGTTGGTTCCTCCGCCACACTGACTGGCATCTCTAAAGAAGCTACGCTCTGCTCCATACTGTCGAAGAAGTCTGTAGCTTCCGCTGCTACCTCGGCACCATCTGCTGAATTTAATAAATATACATTAACATATACAAGTAATACGTGTAAAAGAGATATATATATATATAAAATACAAGACAATATGTATGTCAATTACAAGATATCATTCGAAGATACATTCGGTACCTTGAAAGAGAAAGAGTTAATGTCTATTGGTCATCCACAATTGAAGGAATAAATAGTGGACCTTTTTCTTTCTAGATATCGACAAAATTTTCGTATATATAATAATGAACATTTACCAGAATGCGTCGGCGACTCAAAGTCGGCAGGTGTAAGAAGTGGCGGCAGGTGCAACGTATACAGAAGCTTCAATCTCTGTGTCAAATCGGCTGTCGCTGTCATTCCTATAGCCTGCACCAATTCTCGGAAGTTCAACAAACCGTCGCGATTACGATCCATCAGCTAGAAATACATTTTCAAGTGAATGATTACTATCTTACCGCTTAGAATTAATTTTTGTAAGACATAATGGCGATTCCAAATTTCATAGTATTTCATTTATGTTGACATTAACAGAATCGAAAACAACTTGATAAAAAAGAGAATTTGATGAATAAAATTTACGCGGAACAGTCGCGCGGAAAGAGACTCAGCCTGAGTGCACTTTCCCCATGGAGACAGACCACCGAATAAAATTCTGAACAAGTCAAAGTCCACTTTGTATGCCTCGTACGGCGGTTGAGTTGGATCATAACGATCGGGCTCAGATTTTCGTTGACTCATTAGTTCCTCCCTTACTAGACTTAACAATTCCTGTAGACACGCGCGTAGCGTAAATCTTTTACATTCTACAACTAGTTCATACGAAGTTACTCTGCATTACCTGCAATTCTTCAATCGTCATGTACTTATCAACAATAACGCTCCTAATTACATTCTTTTCAATTCCATCTTCTAGACTCTGAACTACCCTGAGCCTGTGCTTTAGTCGCAATCTTTCTATCCAGCCGATAGTTAACGAGCCATATCTCGAATACGCTTCATAAATTAACGTCTGAACAGATACACTCTGTAATAAAAACATGTTTCGATAATGAGCTAATTACAGTATATTATATATAAGTATATATATATATACAGTATATTATATATAAAGTGAAGAATTATACATACATTCGCTACAATTAAGACCCATTTTTTTACCTTATTAGGAGATGTACTGTCGACTGGTCGGGGAAATATTGGCCCTTCGTCGTTGTAGACGCCACCGAGATAGTCAGTTAGCAATTGCATAGCCTCCCCATCATCGCGGCAATTAAGTAACTTGTCTTGATTCCATTCCAGCACTGTCAATGCTATCTAATACAGCAAAAAACTCGTTTACATGTCTCCGATGTCTTCTGTACATATTTTATTCTGCGTAAAATCGTCAGCATAAAATAGCAAAATTATTCTGACATCTTCCGACGAAATCTCGACATCTAAATTAATAACTTCAAATAGAACAAATTTATCAAAATTCCTGTTTAAACGAATATATCTTAATAAAGCAATCTTAATAAATCTTAATATCGTAATAAAGTAATCTTCTATATAAGTATATAGTAACAGAATGTGAATTTCAACCAAGTTTATAACTAGAGAGTTATTTCTGTAAGAAATAATTTTCGTCATTTTAGCACTTAAGTATTAACGTTTAATTTCTTACCTGAAAAATCACTTTAGCTCCATCATAGAAGAAACAGTCCATGATGTTTACAGCGCTACTGGTTGGCATGACACTTAGGAATATAGTTAGAAACCAAGATAGCGAGATAACTTTAATTAAGCCCAACTCTTGCAATTTAGCATGCAAAATTGGCAAATGCTCAGCAGCCAGTTCTTCTAAGAGACCTTGATCAACGAGAGCACCAACTACTCTGCGATCATAGTAATCAGGCAATAATGACTCGCAGACATTACACAACTGCCAGAAAGCTGATTCCTCAGAACAGTAGATCAGCAAAACCGAAGCTACGATGTTCATCGCCTGACAATAACCTGGGAAAATATAAAACATGCGCGAAAATTATTTAATTTGTTTAACAAAATTACATAATGTAATTTTTTTCTGTTATAATCGATTAAGAATCAATTATTTAAAAACTAAGAGTATCAATCAAAGAAAAACATCGACCTTACCAATCTGAGGATTTCGCCACGCATAAGCGGACAGTACCCTTCTCAGCGCATTGATTCCAGTATCAGATTGGAAAGCCGGATGTTCCGGTAACGACCTGTGCAGATCCCTTTCGATCTCTTCGTTCGCTTGACATGATTTGCCAAGTGATTGCTCAACCAGCGATTTGTACAAATCTGGATTCATTGCCTTTTCGTTTAAGGCACCTGTAGCAAACGTGTTTGAAAGCTGAAATACGTATGTATATGTTGCACATCGTGCGTGTTGAATCGTTTATGCATCATACCAGAAAAAGTGAGCCAGGCTTCTCCTCTCAAAGACTGCGGGATTCCCTGAATAACGAGCTTCGCTGTTTCAGTTGTTCTGTACATTGTAATACCTCTCCCATATTCTGCGAAGTGAAGCTCCCACTGTTTTTCCTTAGCCTCTTGCTTCAATGCAGCTTCGCTAGTGAGCGGAGTTTTAAACAGAATCATTAGAGGCGGCTGAGGTTTCCAATGTTCTGTAGGCTTCGCTTCCTCGCAGTTGCTAATGTTGCTATTCGAAGAGTTCGGCGAACATAAGCTGTCTTTAGATCTATATAGCAGAATACATACAAAAATGACCTCGTGCAGTCCCTATTTAAGTATGAAGAAATATCATTGTAATGTGCAAACTTACACATAATTAAGTTTAGACTTTGCTAGAAGTTCGGAGATTTTCTGCACCACGAAATCCCGATCGTGTATTTGGGCAAACAAAAACGACGAACGCGCCGTTGTGACCAATATCGACTTATCTGCTCCTGTGCTGGATTGATTCTCCGCTGATTCGACGAGCGTCACTTCCCTCAAAGGTATAACTAGACTGACTACTCTTCTGACCTAGAAGAAATAATAAGTACTTATTTGTACTTTGAAAGGCAATATGTCAACGTTGATTTCTTCAATTTCCAGTTATAAAATAATTTTAGAATTTATATAAACGTTTCAAAATGACATATTATATCAATTAAATTGATCAACTAATATTTTAATCATTAAAGGTTTAGTCATTAAAACGATTGAAGAAAAATTTATATTCCATTTTTAGACCTTGGAGTGTTTACAACTTTTCCAACTAAAAAAAACTTCTTATACACTTCTAGCTATAGCTAGAGCTATATAACTCAAGAAGAAAAAAAATAATAATCATTTTATTGCCGCGATACCGAGTTTATATAAATATATATGTATGATCATATTATATTTAACATTTATTGGTTTCAACCAAGTACTTACCCTACTTTCGAAACAGAGATAATTCTGGGACAAATATATCTTTCCCCAAACATATCTTTTATTATATGGTGTCCATAAGGTTGCATCGACACTGCCGTCTAACTTTTCAACTCCCGGCAACCTGAATTGAAGTCTATACGCTTCCGAGTGTGCTCTCGCATCGAGATCTCTCTTCAAGAAAGATGGCTTCTTAGGCACATTTTTGCTAAATTAAAAATTAATGGGTTATATACATGTATAGATTTATCTAACGTACGATGATCCAATGATATAAATCGTGCCTTAATTACCTTAATTTATTCAGTAAGTCTCTATCCTCATTAAATCCACTTTTCTCATCAATAAGCCTTAAAAAGAATAAAAATCGATATTAATAAAATATGAAATGTAAAAATATAAATTATCCTGCAAATTTTATGTGCGTATTTCAAATATAATATTAAAGTACCTTTTCATAGCAATATTGGTCAGTTGTTCCATCAAGGAATACGTTTCTGATTTATGTAAAAACATAGAAAAATAATGCTGCAAAAGAGAATTCAACATTAAAAATTAATCGAACATCACATGAATATCATGATACATATCGATAAAGCAATATAGAATAAAAAAACGTCGATGCATACTTCTTTATTGTCACGTGTTACAACACGTATACTGTCCGGAACTATGAGAGAACTGGTTTTGTTCAATTCAGTAATGTCGGTCCATCTTACAGTCAACTTTGTCTCTCTTGCCAGTATATAAGCATAAAAACACATATGATTGACTGACAAATAAAGCCATCCTTGTCTAGGTAATCGAGATTTCCAGTAACTGGAAGAGATAATTATGACTTATTACATGTACATTCGGTATGATAGTCTCAAATAAACTGCAAATATATTAAAAATTTAAAGACCTGCACGAATAATAATTGACCAATTTGTCTTCTTTTGGTACACTGAACAACTGATGGAATTTAAAAGACACAGTTTTAAAAGACTCAGGATCTTCTTCTGTAAATAATATTAATGCTCGATTTAATCAATGTTGACCAATCACTCCTGTAATTTAAATAACGATTAATGATTCTACCATCTGCAAACTGAGAGTCTGGGATGCTATTTGCTATTATGGATTGAATTTTGCAGCAGACAAACTCTGTTATCTCCTCCTCGGTATCAAATGATGTGAGGGTTGTCATTAAATTTGAGTGGAGCCATTCCCAATCTTGTAGAATCTCTTCGCGAGTCAAGGAGCACGCCACTTCTACAAACATTCAATATAAAATAAATGTGTTAGAGGCTTGAACAGTTCAAAGTGATCAATCAATGAGAAACTAAGAGCTAAAAAAGAGTCCAACTGCAGATATAGATATTCGAATGTAAACTAATCCAACTAAAAATAAATAAATAAATAAATTGAGCATATTGTAATTTATCTAGATTTTTATTCTGCATAAATATCAAAATATCTAAATTCTAAAGGAGTTCAGAATAAAACATTGAATTCTCCATGCTCTCCTTCAGCATGTGTTACATACAATTGACATTTGTTTATGCCAACTTACGCCACTATCAGTTACTGTGCTATTATCAGTGCTATTAAGGCAATAATTACATATATATATGTTTCCCTTGGTGGTTTTTCAACATGGATATATGCACAAAAGCTGATATCTAATAACAGTTATACTTATTGTAGATACAATTGAAATTATATAGAGACATAGATAAGTTATCTACAGAAAAAAAAATGTTTTGTATATTTTATTTCAAAGTACAAACTGAAATATTGCTTGTGATATATTACCCCAATAAACTTCCGATGATGGTGTTTGATGAAGGATCCTAAATGGTGGTGGTTTAGTATCAAAAACACTGTCCAAGGTGCCCACCAATATGGAGGTGAGTCCCTTTGTCTTCCCATGTCCCTTGCGACGTTGCAAAACAAAGTATACAGTCGCTTGCTCAGTAATCCTACATCAAAAAACAAAATATAAACTGATGACAATGAAAGTTATTATTAACTGCACGTTTCATTGAAATGCAATCCTCAAAAATAAATATAAAATATGATGTCCTTTTTTTCTCAAGAATTACAATTAAGACAAAGAAATCTGTCATAAGTATCGTAATAATTGCAAAAGGGAACGTATCAACCATTATTAAATTATATTTAGAAATACATCAATGAGAGGAGATTATTTCAACGCGGAATTCGTCACGTTGATTTCGACATCGTGATTGCCGCTTATCGAACTCACGACAGACACTTGGCCGGACTACGTGCGATTTATAACATATATATAACCGATTTTCGCGGCCGTTATCTAACGCTCCCGACATTACAAACGGAATTTCGTCGTGTTACGACATCGTGTTACGACGATGTGACCGACATTTACCTCTTATCAAAGCAGACGTGATATTTGTGCGCGTTAATAAACAACAAACAATTAGTACGTTGCTGAATCGGTGTCGTGATAAAAAGAAAGCGATAATTTCCGCGGTGTGCGTAGCGGATTACGCTGGAGAAGGAGGTGACTTCCCGTCAGCTGTCTTTGACACAATGTAAACATTTACCGACAACCTCTCTCGTGGCTGCGTCTACGGGTGAGATCGGCCGTTTCGAAGGTACAGGACCGCGACGATTGGATCGCGCTCGGTCACCAGGGAAGAAGTCGACACGACGCAACGCGGAAACGCGGAAACGAGCCTGAGAGACTGAACGTCTTACCAAAAAGCGTTGGCGAGCAGCACTTCTTGTGGCTTCACCCACATATCGACCAAAGTCGTCGGCGAAGCACATATGGCACTGACGGGACGACGTCGCGCACGCACTCCTTATCAGAGATATTCAGGAAAAGTGTCGACCACCGCGTCTGGCGCCCGACTACGACGATGATGAATGTCGCGCGCGCACAAGCACGGCAGGCGGAGCACTCGCGACTTGGGTTAACACGCCGCGCGATTGCGATGTGACTCCGTGTGATGATGCGTCGCGACGAGGGAGTGCTGGGCTGGGCGCACCAGCACGTCGTCAGCTGATAATCGGCTGAATTTCTCTCACTGAGCGCGATCGGTTTATGGTAATGGATCTTCTTCACGACCAAACGTAAAGCGGCATATCGAGACAAACAAACACGATTGTCCCTTTCGAGTGACCAGCTCGGCTTGTTCTCTTTTGAACTAAAATGTACATCCTCAGAACCTGAAAAGACACGGATATATAGTTGAGGCTAGGAATGGGCGATGTTGAAGAAAATATAATTGGCTTCCAAAAAATCCATTGAGAAATGTATAAATTTTTTATGAACTGATAAAAAAAATCGATAAAAATCGTCAATAGTGGTGGATTAATTTGAACTTTTTTGGTAGTGGACTTTACCGATTTCATAAAGTTTAACCGAGACTCGATCCACATTGGACAAACTCGCTCAAATAAGAAGTATAAGAAACATTGACCCGTTATTTTAGCGAGAGGGTTTACAATATTCATTAAAATGATATGCCATTGATTTTTACCAACCATGATTAATTTAACCGGTTGTTATTCCAACGAAATTTACCAATCGCATTTTTTTTCGCGTTGATTAGAAAATTTGACAAACGCGCTCAGTCAATTCCGACGAAATAACCAGCGTGTTAAATTAACCATATTTGATAACACAGTTGGTAGGAATGGGCATAAACTGTTGTTATGTATAACAGCAGGCAGGCCCTGCCTGTCTGCTGTTATATTTTAACGATAGGAGGATCGAGAATCGAACAGGACGATACGAAAGTCGACCACGCAGTTGAACAATCGAGGCAAGGAACAGTCGCGATGCACGCGAATAGCTAGACGCGAGACGCGAAGCGTCCCAGAGGAATCCGCTTCCTAGGGGCCCCGGTCAGCGACATTCTTATCTCCGAAACGGGTTCTCCCATTGAATATCGGGACGTCGCGTAACGTCGTGGGACGGCACTCGGCAGGACCAGGCGTCAGGTGAATGCGCGAAGTCGATTCTCCATATGCGTAGCGCTCGCATTACGACTGACCCGCGATACTACAGGCGGTGACGTATATAGGCCTTTTACATTACGGTGAAACTGATTTGGATTTGGCAAACGGTCTCTCACGGACGCACGACTCGACACCTGTAATATTACCGTTGTCAAGTCGTCAAGGCGTCAGGCGGGCGGATTGTAGCGATTGTTAGCGAGATGAAACGCTTCTGAGGCGAGGCTCATGGACATAACTCGTACGAGGTAAGCGCCGCAGGATGTTACGTTGTTATCCCCCAAGTCCAAGTCGACGCATTCGCGATTTGTTTTGACCCCCTCCTCGACGATCGACGTGCCATCGACGTCTTTTCGGTCGCACCATATGCGCCTTCCCCTATTGTTCGGACGTACTTAACGATCGCACATCGGCGCGCGTTATCCCATCTTCGATAATGGTTCGCAAATTAACAGTCCGTTGACGAAGTCACCGCCGCCAGGTGGATGCGAATGGGAATGCGATTGAAAACGAACGCTCGCATCTCTCGCGCAAAGTCGAGTCGATATTGTGGCTGCGTAAGAAATGCACACCAGGCGTAGGATGTAGCGACGTAGCAGTTGGAGGTGTGATTGAGAAATCGACGACTCGTCATGCTGATTTGCTTGGGCGGCGCGCTACGACATTCACGACTCTCTCATTCTAACGTTTACTCGCTGACGAGATTAACTACGAGTTGTTTTCGAATGATGTTCCTGAGAAAGAAACTAGGAAGACTACGAGATTTTGGAATCGAAATAATCCTTTTTTTATTTTTCCAACACGCTTATGATTTTTGAGATATCGGTTGACGATACACGAATGACCCTGGTGTGCTATATTAAAAATAGTTAATTATGAGATAATTGTAAAAGGAATTAATGAGACGTGTACGTCTGTGCAAATCAATCGCATATTAATAATATGCTCGTTAGAAAATCAACAAGTGTAAATAGTCAATTACATAAAATTTTCATAATGCTTTCAGCAAAAAACGCGTCCTTCAAATGGAGCGTGTTTTGAAGGCTGTACCGGCGGATTTAAGAGTAAAAATGGAGGCTCTTGTGCACGATTTGACTTTGGCACTAGAGGAGAGCAGCAATAGTGCAAATCTCAGACGTAGATGGGGCATCAGAAGAAGAGCACGATCCACAGGGAATATTCGTAAGTATATAAGAGAATAAAAACTGATAAAACATAAAAAGAGATTCTTGCTGCAGATAAAGCTTCATGTTGAATATTAGGATAAAAATGCTTCACATATTTTAATAATCTTCACATATTATCTTGAGTTTATCTCTATGAGGTAAAATATGAATTATTGCTAAGGTTATTTTGTAGAAAACTAATATCATAAAACTGGCTAATAATCTTGACACATACATGTAATCTTTGAAAACCTGCTGATAATGTGCAACATGTTATTATACCTATTGCGGAATACGTTAACATATCTTTTTAGCGGCCTTGAGCATGAACAAACATTCAGACGACAGCTCATCTTCCATCTGTGACATTCGCATTCCAAAAACTGCTAATGTTTCGAAATACCAGTCCGACAGCGACGACACGAATCAAACGAAGCGTTTTGCGCGTTTCTCAAATTTAAATAACGCCAGCAACATCGAGAGCGACTCGGTGAATGAAAATTTCGTGCCAAGGGCAAACACGAGACGCAAGAGGAAATTCAAGAGAATGTCAGTTGATTCCGACTCCAACGCATCTACTTCTCAGGCGGTCACTATTATGTCGACTACGTTTGGCGGAAAGAAACGTATTTTTCGAAGCGATGGTAAAAACAGATACAGCGCCATATGGTAAGAGAAGTAAAATCATGCTTGCATGCGCACTTGATATCTGTTTGTCTACTGATGAACAGCAGTATATATAAGTGTATCTCCAATTCTCCCAGGTGTGGCAAGAGGAAGAGGTCATGTAGAGAGCGTTCGATAGATTGCGAGATGAGAGTATCTAAGCCGACGAGAAATGCGAAATCAAAAAATCGAGGTAAGATGCATGATGAGGACACTGTTGATTGTTCACGTATATCAAGCTCAAGTATCTCGTCCAGCGATTCGGAAGCAGGTCTAATCACTAATGACGAGGATAGAGAAGGTATGCGAGATTCGTATGAAGAAAAGCTACAAAAATATATAGCTTAATATACACACTATTAACTTACACACATTAGAAAAGATATACTCATGTTATTATTAATAATTCACAGGAGATGACGAACAGTCGGATTGGATCGGAGAATCGAGTTGGCGAGAGGATGGGGAGAGCACAAGCGACGACAAGATCACGTCAGATTCGACTTTTCAAGTGATATTGCACGGGTACGAGCATTCGGTAGCCGAGGCTAGAAGGAACTATAGACAGAGAATACAGCGTATTCGCGAAGGTCTCAGTGGCAGAGAAATCCGCGCCGGACGACGTCACGTCGACAACAAACCCGGTTACTCCATCATAACATCCGCTAATGAGAAGGTGTCGCGATTTCTGCAAGATCCTACTCAGAGCGAGTTAAAGTTGCATCCCATGCGACAACCAGAACGCGAGAAGCTGCGTCGACTCGCTAATCTGTACAGTCTGAGCCTAAAAGGCGACCTGGGTTGCCCGATTTTGTACAAAACGCGACATACTACGCAAGCGGTGTGCGTAGATCAGGTGTCATTGAACAGATTCTCAGACTACAAGAGACTACGCAAAACACCACCAAATTCGCCAAATCCAGACTCTACGATGGAAACTCAGGAACCCGAAGTCGGCAGCGCAAGCTTCGAACCTCAGACCATGAATCAGACGCAGAGCACGGCGCCTGTGCAACAGCAGGCTATACAGATGCCGTTCTCATCGTTCGAATGGGAAACTGAAAGCATGGACGTCGAGATACACGGAAAACCAAAGTTTCTCGACTTCGGACACTCCAAGTCCAGTTAGATGCATTGATATATTCATTGTTATACGGTTTTTTTTCGTAATAAATTATTTATACGCAAAGTGTGACGGGATCAGTAGTGCGACAGAGAAAAAAGAAAATGATGATTTACTGTAATAGATCTTCATCAAGATTAAGTACCTCGTATAAAACGTTCTATAACGCGCATTTTTTGACTTATTTTTGATACAAGAGGTAATTCGTATTCTGTTAATCGTGTTATTAATCCCATCATATTCCTATTGTGTCATACACATATATATAGTTATCTTCGTTTGTATAGATTTGTAAAAATTGATCATGCGTTACTATCTGTAATAACGTACTGTATAAGAAAGGAAGTTTCTGATATGAAAATTGTATAGCAACTTTAAAATTGAGATATATTTACAATTATTTGAATTATGTATGATATATTATACACATTGAGGACTAATATTTATATGTAAGAATATTAGAAAGATTTTAAAACAATTGTAACATAATAAACTAATGATGAGATCTTGGTTTTCATATTCATATTACAAATAGAATAAGTAAAAATAAGATTCACAGATAGATAAATCAAATTTGTTTCTCTACACCTATATATTGCATTATATATATATATATATATATATATATAAGTGAATTTGTTCTTGTAACTTACATAATTCATTTTTTTTGTCTTGCAACATGGTATAATCCACATGAAAAAGTATGCAGTCTTGATTGTGACATACACATAACATGTTACAGACTATATTTTTTATCATGTGCTCAGTGTTTTTTTACTTTTTATCAACTAATGATCATCTATAGGAATACATTGATCTATTGTATAAAAATATTAAGTTAAATAATTAATATCATAGCAAGTGATGTTCTTTTTAATTTTAATATTACAATAAGGGAAATTATTTTATTTATATTTACATTACATTGATAGAATTACATTGTAGAATTACATCTGACCTAATTTTTTAGCAGCTGCCAGAGCATTCTCATTAGCCATTATTTGAAATTCTTGAAACCGCTGAGATACCCTCTGATTCATCTTCAGGTATTTTTCCATGCAATTAAGAGCACATTTCTCTTCTTTGGACCCAACATCTCGTGTAGTAAAGTCATGTATACAGTCGACAAAACAAATTTCAGAGACTTTATTGTAGGATGCCAAGAAGTCACGAAACTGAAATATATAGAAATTAAACATATAAATGTTAACAAATTTTATCAAAATTACAAGAAAAAGCAAGAATTTAAATGCAAGGTAAATATAAATATTTAATGTTATACTAAACTAACATCTCCCAAAGAGTTACTGTTAATCTTTTTCTCTTCGTAAAAATATGTTATATTGCATGTGCCCACGTAATTTATTCACACTATTTCACTTGTAATATATAAATATAGATAAATCGCAAAAATGAAATTGTTCATAACCTTAAAATATGTAAAATGTTTATACGTAAATATAACCTTAAAATATGTAACATACGAACAATACGTACGACTTTCACTTGGTCAGCATCCATTTCAGTTGGAGGTTGCATCGCCATTCTCGTAACTCAATGCTTTCTGTAAAATGTCTTAATTTAATTAATTTCTATTACATTTGTAAACATATAGTCTAGAATTCAATTCTGTCGAATGTTCTCAAAGTTCGAAAGATGTGATCAACATACGTGCACGCAATGGGTGCATTCAGTACTACATCGCTCAATGAGCTTTTACATTTGATTGGTATATTCCTTTAGATTTTAAAATATACACCAATCAGATGCAAGAGCTCACTTAGCGCTCAGTGAGCGGTTGTAGTACTGAATGCCCCAATATATCAATCTGTTCTTTTTACCTACACCATATGACACTATTTACACTCTAATAAAATAAGTGTTTTTATAAGTTTTAAAAGAAAAGAGAGTTCTGATTATTTTTGATCACGTAAATTATTTCCATTATTTCACTTGTACCATTAATTTAAAAAATTATGTTCATGTTACATTTTATTCCATTCGGAACAGAAACAGCTTGAATTATGTTTCGCGTTTGTCGCAGCGTTCCCAAATTTATCCGACAGTTCGTTTTGATTTCTACAGTTGGCTACTATTTTAAAGTGTCGTGAGACTGATCACTGAGAGGGCGACTCGCATGAATATAAATAAAAATAATAATAATAAATAATAATAATAATAATAATAATAATATAAATCTTTTTGAGAGAAACGCGTTTGAATATTTAGTCGTTGGTAAAACATGAAATTTGTTAAACTTACATTGAATCATCGATGCCAGGGCCATAATGCAGATCTTCCGCGACGGATGGTATAGCCAGATCTTCAATATTTTGTTAGCGATGACGTATTCGCGCTTTTTTAATACTTTCAAACGCGCGTGCCTCTGCGCGATGTGGCGGCCGTTTTCCCGTGCAACATATTGATGTGCGTTTGACCCGACAATTATGTTCATTGCATGCATTATTTGTAATAATGAAGCTGCACTATTATTAAACATGCAAGTAGCTGTATATGCAGGCAATTTCAACAATAATTACTCCGCTGTGCATTGTTTTTGAAGCTACTTTCCAAATTAGATTATTCAAGCTCTTGTCACTATTTTATGCATAGTCAATAATGCGTCACATTCCGATACAGCAGAAAACACTTCAAAAGTTCAAAATTTGATATCCCGTATTAGGCGTTTCCGGAATTAGAATTAGAATGTCGTTTACACTTTTTAATTTTTTCGCACTGATACTAGTACTTGCTTCGGTTCTTTCGGTTACGTATTGATTTCTAGGTGGCATTCTTTTTCGTTTTACATCTTTCCTGAATCTTCCAAAAATGTAATCTTGTCTCGATTCTTCTTTTCTTTCATTTCCATTTAGAATACTGCGAAATGAAGATTTCGATCTCGGCTCTAATTGTCAGCTGCACAAACAAACTACTGACGAATTAAACTTTGTACATTAAACGAATTAAATATATGTATTTAGATAGCCGTTATGTTCAAAATATGTGGCTAAAACAGGCAAATATGCAACAGCGAGAAACACAATAAATTCAAGAAAAATAATACACAGGACGGGCAGTCAGGCCATGCTATCTGAGTGGCGTCCGCCTGTGCAAATTTCCAATGTACTCTCAGGCCTACAATTTTGTCATTTGTTGCAACATTGACTTAAAATTTGGAGAAAATATTCTCTACATATGAAGCTTTAAGAAAATATAAAAAAACGAAAAATCGATTTTTTGAACTCTGCTAGGTGTATATGCCTCCTTAAGCGTGTAGGGTCATAGACGTATAGTAACTAGACCGCGCATTCAGCCGAAAAGTCGTCAAATATTAGAAAGAGAGAGCATGCTTTGGGGTATCATTCTGTCTTCGTCTGATAATGTTTGGAGTGGGGATTATTTATATCGTTCCGCTCCCCTCTACCTTCCTTTTTCGTCCCCCATCAAAGGCTTTTTCATCCTACCACGTGTCTTTAGAAAAAGACAGAATAGTACCCGTACAGCAACTATCTCTTTCTAATTTCTGACGCGTTCTAGTAAAGGGAGACGTTGAGACCGCGCGGTCTAGATATTATACGTCTATGGCGTAGGATGGGATATTAACGGCAGATGTTTCATATCGTTGTAGGATCGAAGGAAGGGTTCACGTTCCTCGATCGTCGTACACAAGCCTTTGTTTTCAGCACGACGAGTAAAGTATTATCCCTTTGCAATCATTTTCGTCTATCGTGATATCGATTTATCCGGTAACGGTCTTCCGTCCAGAATATTCCATGAATTTCAAGTCGAGCATAAAATGGCCGACAACAACGCCGAAGTGCGCGCATATAATTCGAAAAAAGAGACATGTCTTTTTATATCTAATTTACGCAAAAAATAATTTTTTGTCTCTTCAGAAATGACACAAATCTTGCAAATGATCTGAAAAGTTTGAGTATTATATATATATATAACTATCTTATATCGCATTATATAAATACTAAAATACTCGACCGTACAGTAATGTTCAAATTCTCATTATTTTACTCGTGTGAAATCATGTAGCATTTTATTATCTTTACGTTGCAACAATAATATCCATGTTTAAATTGAATTTTACTTCTAACTCGATTTATTATCTCGATCAGAAAAATATACAGTATAATATAATACAGTAGAGAGAGAGATATATATCAAATATCATATATCTATAATGAGATTATAGTTTTGTAATTTTTTGCAAGTTTTATACATTGCGTACCAATTTATCATTATATTAGTTGAGAATATGCACAGTAAATTTTTTATTTATAAGGTTCATATTTATAAATTTCCTCGTATATTTACAACTGTAATATTTATATATATATTTTTTTTTCGGGAAAAAAAAAATATATATATATATTTTTTCCGAAGTCCAATGTCGGGCAGCATTCTGCCGCGTTCGCAATTCCCGTAGCGCTTTCGTTACGCACCACTATTTCCGTTTTTGTCTTCGTTACGGTAGCAGAGCAAGAAGACAGCTGACTATCGAGGCTTCTTACTGGACGAACTTGAAACACGCTGTACTATTGGTCGTACAGGCGTCTGTCAAACTTTGGAATGCGTGCACGTTGAATCGTCAGTCTGTACAATTGTGCTTCGCGGGTTTGGTGCGAGTAAAATTTTTCCTGGCAATTTATTACGAGTATAACCTCGTTTCGTAAGCGTCGTACGAGTGAATGGCATCGCACGCGAAAACTATTCACGTTGATAACTGGTGTACTGGATAACCCTGCTGTTTGCATCCACCGGCATCAACATGATCGTAAGTTGCAACAATTTATTCTCATATTACGCTTTATTTATTTTATATATACGTATCACATATTATAATACGCGTCAAGTTATCTCTGTGTTTGAATTTTCGATAAGTATGTCAGAGCGAAATGTAATTTAACTGTACTGATTAACGCGCTATTATCTGCCAATCGCATTGATGACATACTAATTACTCTGATACTAATTACTCTGGTTGTATATAAATATATGCTAATTTATCGTTATTTCTGTACTGTATTTCGTGTTACCGCGATAAACGAAACGATTCGACATTGTTGCAGGGGAATAAATACCGAGGAAAGAACGCGGCCATCAACGCGTCCTCGAGGAACACTTCTGTCGATCAACGCGCCAAGCTCGGAACAGTCAACAGGAGGTCTTCGAAGGATGAAAACTCCGTAAAATGCCGTGCGATGAGATCGCAAGGTCTGTGCGAACGACTTCTTTCTTCACGGAAGGAAAACAGAAAGGACGCAAAATTACCCGAACATGCGTCAGGACACAAGAGCCGTTTGTTCACCGACGGGGCCAGCGATGTCGCCAGCATAGATAACGATGATCCAATTTACAATTTGCGGAAGGAAATACACGACTGGAGAGCGTCAGGACAATTAAACGAATCCGAACACGAACACCTCATTACTGAAGATGGAACAAAGAAGAACGTGCTTCGAGGTAAAGTATAATTAATTGCTGTAATTGCTAACGTGTTAATAACGTCTTAACAATGTATCATAACGCGCGCTACCGGATAATATAATTGTTATAAAATTTTAATTACGAACGAAATTACATTATACTTTTTCGATGCAATCTTAATTACATTCTTTCTACTGATATATTAGATAAATGCAAAAGTTTTGAAAGACGTGAAAGGGTTTTCAAAGATATAACTAATCCAGTTTTATGGCAGTACTTATAAATACATGAATGTATGATATACTAAATACAATAGAAAACAATAACGATTCTCAATAGATTGAGAGACAGAGTAAATCCTTTTTAATAAAATTATTTAGTTCACACACACACACACACACACACACACACACATATTTTTCTATCACGAAATCCATCAAGACTTTTGTTCCTATTCAATATATTTCTCCATTATTTGTTTCAAAAGTGGCAAAACAAATAAAAAAATTTAACAAAATAATTCAGATGGAATATTTTAACCAATAAATATATCTGTATCATCGCAAGAGAATTCATACAAATATTTTATATTTATATTATTTTCTCGAAAAATTCGTTTACTATTTTTTTTTTTTAATTTACAGCGGACTACAAGCAAGTTACCGCGAAGAATCCAGATCTAAACGTTCTTGGCAGATTACCGAGCTCCATCATTATCAATCGATTAACATGGCGCACGTGAGTACATCTCAATATCTTATCGCAGATGCGCAGATCTTCCGCATTCATTAGAACTCTTTTATTCGCTTACGTGAATCATGAAATTCTCGTGAATTTCACGAGAATGTGCCATTATGCTAGATCATGTACTGAGACGATCGCATATGCTTTATTAAACATTTAATTGATTATATACGTTTGCGACGACAAACGAAGTATGATTACCAATATATTTTAGCAATTATTTAATGGAGATATTATATACGTCTTTTTATATAATTTGCGACTTAACCAACTATTCGATAGAGACAGATTCAGCAGAGAACTCTTTTGAAATTTACTTAGCAAATAATTTGATCTTCCCTTGTTTATGATTTCTAATTTTTCCTTGTTTAATTTACAATTAAGGCATTCAGTTTATTGTTCGATTCGCTGACGAATCTTTTCGAGAATTATTATCTCCCAGATAATCTTTGTATACTATTCACTTTCCTGCAATTCACTCCATTCTATTCGACTGATCGTCCATTCGT